AAGATTGCTGTAAATACCAAAGAAACTCACACACGTTCTCTTTGCAGACCATGTGCATCAAAAAGCATTCATTGGTTAGGAGTAACTCTGTCTCCAGGAGCAGGTTTTGCTTTTACCACATTCGAAGGCAATCGTTTACTGCTTCTTTCATAAACTGCAATACATAGAACCAAAGGACATTGCTTGTTTGCAGATACGTCTTGAGTTGAGTCAAGCTATATCAAAAACAGATCAGCTTTCTCCATCTGTACATACTAAATTATGGATCAGGTTTCTAACTATCTCAGTTTTATCAATATTGTATCGCTTTTCAAAAACCTCCAAAGAGTGCATGTTTTTGATAAGATATATATTTTCCTACCTTTTCCAGTTTCCAGCTGTTATCTTTCAGCTCTTCGTAGAGACTTGATACAGTGGCAGACCGGACAACTATTGACTGTTTCAAGGAAATTCTCTTCAGTAACATTACATCTAGTAAACCTGATGCTTATTTCTTTCATACAATGTTATGTCTCTGCTTGCCGATGTATCTTATATCTTCTTTTTTTTCTAGAACAGCATTTCTCCTTTTGTCTCCGGTAATCCTCCGTGTGTATAATTTTGCAATGTTTCATTCGCTCTACCTTCTGAAATATGCACTTAGACGGTCATTGCCACTCCTAGATGATTTAATTACTCTCATTATTTGGTATCATCATTAGCAGGGACAGACATAAAGGGCAAGGATTGTTTCGGTTTTCGACTTTAAGAAAGTAAATAAAGTAAGTTTTTTTGCATCATTTTGCGACTACTGACTACCAAAAAATGCTTATAACCGAATCGAAGCAAAATTTACATAAGGACACAAAAATGTGGGGGTGAGGTTGTCGCACCCCACATCCCTTTATAAATCTGTTCCAGTTCACTAGTTCACTGTCCCAGTCCAGAATAACTTCAATCATGCTTCAATCAAAATGAACACAAACATGGACAGTTCTTTTGGCGATGCCACGTGGTCACATGGCTCAGCATCTTGAATTGCCACAAAGAAAAGTAGTATCTTCCAAAATATTGTTCACAAATTGCCCATTCCAAGGTATTACCGAGCTGTGCGTAGCCTACGTGCAGGCTCAAATCTCTTTCAAGCTGTGCGAAGATAACCAAGGTATAACCATATGGTATAACGAGTACCAAAATGATGATGTCACAAAGTCTATCTTTAGAATCTATGAACATGGACAACTACAAAACGTGAATAAACATAATCAAATACTTCTATACCTGCGTAAACAGTTCATTGAATGTGTTAAAATGAATGAAATTTGGTCTTTGTTCTAAAATCTGTGTTAAGGTCAACAAGTAACCCTAAATTCGCTCATTTGTCACGTCAAGGCTTGTTCTTGTCAATGGTGGTCCTTTTTTAGACAACAGAGGAATATAAAATGAGGGTAAATCGAGGGACCTTAGGTTAGATCATCTTAATTCTATTATTTTATCATGCCGATACTTACTTGTTTAGATTTAATTTTTAGTATTTTTAAGAACTGAAAGTTTTAAAAATCTAAGTGGGCGTCGAATTCTTTCCAGTAGTTTCTTAATTTCCAGGGACGAAAAATATTTTGGATATTCACAGCAAACTTGGGCAAACCTGCTTTCTGGTACCGCAGCGTGATAATGGCGTCCTAAACGCGGGACGGGGGACGGGGACCGGGGGGGGGGCGTTCAGGGACACTAGAAAAACCAAGGGGCAAGGGTCAGACATGAGTAAAAGGGCATTAACAAAATAATTCTAAGTTACCAACAATTCTTTCGTAACTGGAATTTTTTCTTCGACTTTCTATAGGTATTTTGAAAACCAGCTATCTTTGGACATAAGAAACTTCTTTACATGTTTTGAGAAATGTCGTCAAGGATAAAGAAGTACAGTCAGAATTTCATATGAAACTTTTGAGAATTACAAGCGGTCTAAGTCAAGGGCAATTCTATGAGCTAGCAGTTTCTATGATCTCCTTTTTGCTGTCCGTTGCAAAAAGGACCGCTAAGATGGGACCTGCACATGCAACATGGATTTCGCCAAACATCAAGAATTTGATGTGTGAGAGAGACCGTATTAAGATACGGACTGAGAGAGATCCAGCACTGTGGCCAAGATTCGAAAGCAAGATAAGCAGCTTCGAAACAGAGTTACTTCTCAACTCAAAAAAGCAGCTGTATCATACTACAGTATCATGATAGATGACAATTCAAATAATCCGAAGGGAATGTGGCAAATAATATACAAGGGATCAAACATTCAAATCATAGTCCTACTTAGTCGATTATCCATGAAGGTCAACGTGTCGAGAAGCCTGATGAAATGGCAGAGGCCTTTAACAGGCACTTTATTTCCATAGGCCAAAAACTAGCCGAAAATATTGAAACCGAAGATTGCGATGACCTACTGAAGTAGCTACCCAGCGAGGGACTGTCGGCTGAAACTAGTTTTGAATTTCAAAGGCTTGATCCTGAACTCATTGAAAATGAGATCAATAATTTAAAATGCTTTAAAGCTGCAGGGCACGATAAGATCCCAGTAAAACTAGTGAAAGACGCTGCTGATATTTTATCTAAGCCATTAGCAGCTATTTTCAATTCCTCTCTTGAAAGCGGTGTTTTTTCGAGCATATGGAAAGAAGCCAAGGAAACATCAGTCTTTAAGACCGCCTCGAAAATTGATTTGAACAACTACCGGCCAATATCCATACTCTCGGTATTCAACAAGCTAATCGAGAAAATCGCACATGATCAAGTCTCCGCCTTTTTGAAAGAAAAAAGCATGCTCTCAAAATGTCAGCATGCATTTCGAAAGCCGCACAACACGTTGACCTCACTACTCAATGTCACTGACTCATGGTTCTCAAATGCCGATAAACGAAAGATAAATATTAGCATCTACCTTGATCTAAAGAAGGCATTTGACACTGTGGATCACAAAATTCTGCTCTCTAAGTTATCAAAGTATGGGATATTAGGAACCCCTCATCAGTGGTTTACATCATACCTAACTGATAGGATACAATACTGCCAAATCAATGGTCACAGTTCACAACAAAAAAAGGTTCAGTGTGGTATTCCCCAGGGTTCGTGCCTCGGGCCCCTCGTTTTCATCCTATACGGAAATGATTCTGAGCGATGCTTAGAAAAAGCTCAACCAATATGTATGCAGACGTCACTAGCATAACACTGCAAAAAGACTTTAAGGAACTGTGCAATGACTTTAAAACTGCGGGTAAGAACATTGCAGAGTGGATGCGGCAAAATAAACTTAGTCTGAACTCCAATAAAACTGAATATATGGTCATTGTTCATAAAAGACGAATTAACCATATCCAGGGGGAGATAAACGTGGAAATAAATGGAGAAAAAATCAAACGAGCCACTATCGATGAAAACCTATCTTGCAAAAAGCAGTACAAGAGGCTTAACTGTAAACTCAAAAGTGGTCTTTCTTCGCTGAGGAAACTTAAAAACATACTCCCACAGTCGAAATTGGACCAGGTTTACAGGGCATTTTTCCAGAGCCATCTAAGATACGGTGATGAATTATGAGGAAGTCTGTCCGCTACAAATCTTTAACATCTTCAGCGTCTTCAAGACAGGGCTCAAACATAAATTGAAAGTGCTAAATTTGAGGACGGGTGGATTTGTAAAGGGCTTTCAGTTTCGAACCGAATTAAATATGATAGGGCCACAATGACGTACAAAATGATGAATGGTCTTTGCCCTGACAGCCTTAAAGGTAAATTTATCACTAGATCAGAGACATCCAGGTATTCGACAAGGAATCAGCTTGATATTGATATCACAAGGCAAAATTTGGAATCCTCAAAGGGAAGTTTCTTTCACTCTGGGGCCAAAACATGGAATGAGCTTCCAAGAAACATCAGAATGAGCCCCACAATTTCCATTTTTAAAAGAAACTTGAAGGGGCTCCTACAAAGTTGATAAATTCCCAAAACAAAACACGATCCCTATGTAGAACAGCAACATCTTTATTATTATAGTAGTAGTATAGTAGTAGAAGTAGTTTATTTATATTATAGCTGATAGGGAGTTAGTGTATAAAGATTTCAAAATGAATGAAACAAAAAATGAAAGTTAACTGAAGTCACTCGCCATTCCAAGATACGAAAACAACATTTCTATTCGAACGCAAAACACATGTTTAGATCCACCAACAGCTGCTCCCAACTGACGCAGAAGATATAGTTTTGAGTGAAAATGGGCGGGTCCCTGCTAGCACATTTCAGCAAGTATCAATGGCATTTTAATTACGTGGGCATTATTTCTCTAGATCGTTATCATGATAGCCACCTTTTCGATCAAAGGGAGGGAAAATTTGAAATGGAAAAACTCTTCAACTATAAGTGGATATAATAAGGCCATTAAACGAACTGAAAAGAAAAGTTGAAAAGCATGTTACTTTTCAGAATTGAAAATTGCGACATCAGAATACACTTAGTGAGGTTGCGCTGAATAGACAAAAAGATTATCAAAACTGCCCAACCAAACCGTATTTACTCTGGCTTTGTTACTGACCTTATTAATTGCCTAAGATATTGTAAGATGTCCCAATGTATTGCAAAATGACCCCATGTTTTGTAATATGACTTGGGGATTGACGGGGACATGCAAGACAGCTAGATGAGGCGCAGGCTCGAAAGAGGCACTTTAATAGCGATACCACAAGGTTAGATCTTCGATTAAATCTCTAGACAAGGTTCAGATTGTCAAGAAAGGCAAGCAATCTTGGTTCTAAAAGTGAGCTGAATGAATGGCGTGGCCATCAAAACATATGTAAGACGCGGTTCGGAAACTCAATGTGTGCTACAGGACCCATCTGAATTGTTAAAAGGGCTGTGCTCTTATAGATCTTAGCACATCCGCTGGAGCGAGTCAAATCATACAGAACTGCTCTCCTGGATTGTACCAAGAGCAAAATGAATTGGAAGGACGAGAAGCAATTGGTAAAAGTGACAAAATTAAACACCAAGCAACGACACATTTCTCTATTTCGAACAATGTTCTAGTTTACATTATACTCTGGAATGGACTAACCGAAACAACAATTTTTCATTATAGAAATCTGCAATTAAAACCAGGCACAATGAACAAAATGTGAGAAAATGCAAATATTCTCTTAACCTGTACCATCTTAATATACAAAAATATGGCACCCATCCGCGACAGTGCATGCTACATTATAATAAAAATTATTGTCAATATCCATTTTACAAATTGTACAGCGGCCTATACAGAACAATACAAGTTTTATACCATAAACTTCCATATGACTCATAGCTTACTAAATTATCAACGTTTGGAAACCACGAGCAATGCTCGGTATGATTATGATGATGACCTAATATAAGAAACATCCCCTAGGGTAAATCCTTGTCCTCTAGATACCTGTACTCGAACGTGAAACCTTCTTTTTTTCGTTGGCTCCATTTTTCATAGTCAAAGAATATGTATGTTCCCTGAAATAAAATAAATCATGGTGTTAATAAAATACTCAAAATGCAATTAAATTTGAAATCTGGTGAAAGGAGATAAAAGGAAAACTAGCTTTTCTACTGCGAAGAGAACTTCAAGACACTAAAGGAGAAAGAAGTTTAGCTCACAAAGGAAATTTCGCCTGCTAAACATACATTTTATGCTTAAATGATAGAATACCTTTACTTATATGCAGAAACATCAGTAAGCAATGTCTGAATGTAAGTTATAAAACAGAGAGATGATATGGTAACGTCTAAAAAAAGGAACGTTGCAGCATGAATTTTGACACTGCCCCAGCCTATGGTCAGGGGGTGTAGTCGGAATGACAAAAAACAAAAATTTTCCAACAGATCATGATAAAGTCACAAAACTTCCCAATATTATAAAACAAATTTTGTGCCTGGGAGTCCCAGATAGTATAATTTGTATTGGATATAATTTCGAAGCGTAAACTGTGTATTCCAGGCCTAAGGAAAGTAATAATAGCCACAGATCACAGATCCCAGTATCTTGGTTAGTTTATTTACTAGAAGTTTCTTACACGGCATTTATGTTCCGTTAGTCAACTGTTCAGAGTAAACAATAGGCTCTGTGGCGCGTTTGTGATTGACAAAACAATAGGCCCTGTGACCTTTGTATTGTCCGGCCAATGGGAAATTTGAACGGCCATCACAATGTTTCGGGAAATAGTGTCTTTAAGTACAGACATATCTCCAGTACCAAGTGTAAATGCAAACCTGTTCATATTCATCAGTTATTGTCTTAGGTTCTTCGTGCCTCTGAAACCACATCATATATTTAGTGTGAAATCTCCAAGACTGTTTTTTCAGAGCCTTTGCAGCTAAATACTGAGCCCTTGTGCCCTGCAATAGAGAACATCGCTTGATACAACACGTTGAGTATCATATGATGGGAAACAAAGCTGTATGTGTATCCCTAGAATAGTCACCGTTACTTAAATCATTAGGATGTAATGTCAGTTTAAGGAGTATAAAACTTAAGTGAAAGAATTCTGCAAGATTGTCTTAAACGATTCTTTGCAAAAAGAGACGGGGATCAAGAAGCCTTGAGGAGACGGAAAGGGGGAAGGGCCAAGAAAATGACATGACGACAAAATAGCGAAAAATGAGACAGATGTCATGATGACGGTAAGACAGTGAGATAGAAAAATAGAAAATAACATGAAACAGTGAAAGAAAATCAGCGAGCATCCAAAATAAACTGGAAAGTAAAACTACAGCATAAAGGAATTAAAGGACCTACCTCCTGATAGTAAAATATAAAAAACAAAGTCTCTGTAGCAAGTTTTTGGAAGAATTCAAGTGTGTCGATGTGCGGGGGTGGTGGGTGGTGATGGTAAGGCGCGATTGGAACCGCATTCCTGGGCCTGAAAAACACAAAATAATTCATCTTACGAAAAAACGCAAATAACAATTATCGTGCGCAACAATCAGCTTAACAATACGAGTGTTGCATAAAAAATGTTTCTTCTTTAAAGGGGGATTTTTATCAAAACGTCTACTTAAGGCAGATGGGTTACAAATAATGATGATGATGGCAATAATTGAGGATAAGAATAATGAATAATGGCTGAGGATAGAAATGATGATGCTAATTGTGATGCTGCCAATGATGGATGATGATGAAGTATGATATTTAACATGTTGGTCGATATCAAGACAGCAATATAAAGACAAATATGTATGCACGATTTCAACAACATACTTCATTCGCTCACAATCCTGGCGCTGTGGCAAATGATGAAATGCGGCTTCAAGCATATTCAGTTGGTTCATTCTTCCCCTCACTAGAGGCACATGTCCTAGAGGCGCTACTCCCAGTAAGGGCTGCAAATGAACCTCTTGGGTTTGTGGGGGAGGTTTTGTCGTTCCTGGAACAGATGATGCATTTGTACCATCAAACATCCCTGCAAAGAAGACGAAGCAATTGTTGAGGAATTGTGATCAGGCAGTTGCGTGTACATTGTTGTTAATTCATAACTCAATTGCAACTGGTGCATTCAAGGTCGAGCAAGTTTGAGCCCAGCTATGTCGTCTTTAACAAGTAGAAAGGTATTGTTCTGAGTAATTTTAAAAACGAATGCAATGGTAGTAACTGAACATACTAGATTTCGTTCCATAGTCAGTTGGTAGATGAAGTGGATCGCTCAGTGACCCGGGGGGTGCCACAGTTATGCTGTCTGCCGGGCTGTGATTCTAGAAAAAGAAGAAATGTGAAAGACACACCTATATCTATTGCTTAATGTGGGAAGAAGGATTCCAGGCCACAATTATAAAGTTGTTGCCAAACAAAATGCACAAAACCCCATTTGTTTATTGTAGCAATGCTTTGATATGGTCGAAAGAATACCTTTTCAGAAGACACTTTGTGTGATCTTTTCTTCTCAACAAATAAGAATCTGGTCTTTTCTTCTCAACAAATTTGTGTGAGATTTTCTCATGAAAGGAACTGGGATTCATATTATTAATATCTTGCAGATCTTGTTATCTTGCTTAATATCTTGTTAATAATATTTCTGAAAATGTTCTTCCGGGGAGAGACAATTTATCATTACTGGCCCTCTAGAGGGACTTTGAAAATAACAATAACTTTGTGAATATAACCCTGTCTCTAGAGCTGTAAAGGAATCTTTAATTTGCTGTGAGAGGTAAAAATTCCTTACCATTGCTATCGAGGCTGCCAAACTACTAGCAATAGAAACTCCACTCTGGCTAAACGCTGTTATGGATTCGGTAGGTTGTGTCGAGGAGTCTAGTGCGGATGACGTCAGAATCGTTTCGATCACGTCTTCTGACTGGATACTTGACATAGGTACGGAACACTGGACTGTCGATTGTTGTGACGCAGTTAAGGTGCTGAATCCCTCAGGTAACTTTGATTCTGTACTTCGTGCAATTGAAAGAGCTATAAACAAGTTAGCAAGTTGAATTGTGAATATCTAAAAACAGTTTCATCCAGATATTAAAGTGGTTTGAATATGTCAAAAATATATTTTAAGAATTACGACTGTATCATCTGAACGAACACCACGAAATGCCCTTAAAATGTGCACAATGTTACAGGTGTTCTTTAAATTCCTTTTCAAGTAACATTCAGTAAGCTCGAGCTCTTGAATCTTATATGTAAAAACTCTGGTATTTTGTTAAGTGCTAAAGTATTTGTACTTAGTATCAAAACAAGATAGCTAATCTTCTTTTTCTCAGATGACCTAGCATAGATGACCAGATGATTTATCTCAGGTGAGCTCTCACCTGCATGAGACAAAAAAAACATGAGCAGCTGAAAGCGTATCCCTTCTGAGCAATAATAAGTTTCACTTCAATTAGTGAACGCTTTCTTAAATTATTAATATGCAGGGACGTCTGTGCCAGGGGGCATTGGGGGCATTGGGGGCATTGGGGGCAGTGGGGGCAGTGCCCCTTGCCCTCGCGAAATGGAACACTTTTCTTTGTTTTACTATTGTTTAGGCATTTTCTTGGCGGTTTGCCCCCATTACCTTATCCAAGTGCAAGCTTCCTTGTTTATATGTGAATAGCAATCCACCTTTTATATGCAATTTTCATAAGCTAAGTAATAGCAAATCGGCAGCAATGGCACGGGAAATACCAAACTTTTTGCATTAAAAGTATATAGCATAGCCCCAACAAGGGTCTTTGGTATAATCTGGTCAGTTTTCAAGGCCAAATTCAGTCACACCCTCCTACTTCTGGGAACAATGTTGGTTTTCTATAAATGAGTCTTGAATGTAAGTTTTTTGGTCTTTTGTTTGATATCATCCTTGACTAACAACATCGTTTTGGTGAGGATGGAAGAAATAGTAATATTTGACAAAAGGAATAAGAAACATAAAAATAGAAAGCCAGCTGCTCGGTGTTTCAAGGAATATTGACAAACATTGCAAGTTATCTGAAGAGAACCATCACCATATACACAAATGAAGACCAAGTAAACACTACTTCATACTACTTGTTGCTATAGTAAACCTGGTAGATGCAATGATTGAATCTTTCGGAAAGAAAATTTTGCATATCAGACACGCGATTGGAGCCCTGAAAACATGGAGGTGTGACAGACAAAGAACGCGAGGGATGCCAATGAAAACAAAATAAAAGGAAAAGGTCCCCGAAGGAAGGCTGAACACTTTCGGGACTCTGCAAGGCAAATAAGAATAGCATCCACTATAGGCATTCCATACATGAGATTTAACTAGTATCACCACCTACCTGGGTACTGTGCGCTGTCGACGTGGTTGCTAACTGATGACGTAACAATTTGTGTTGGTGACGGGTTTATTGCCTGTACCTGTTGACTTAAGGGTTTTTGCGAGATTGGACTTGGCTGGACAGCTCCTGCAGCTACTGCATATGGGGTTACTTGCGGTGGTCTAGAAGAAGCAAACAAACACGTAAGCACGACGGTGGGCGGTTGACATCAACGATATAAAGAAGCAAGCTGAAAATCATTATTCCAGATGCAAAATCATTAGAGTATTAAAGATTCATCAGGGAACAGGCTGCTTTCAAGCAAAAATCGAATTCAAAACACAGGCAAGTTTTGAATTATGCTAAAATACTTGTAACAGTATTGTTCTTGTAACAGCATTGGGCAAAACAGAACAGCGTAATGAATAAACATTGCAGATCTAGAATGATAACTATCTGCTAACAGAACTTTAAGAGCTTTTAAGTTCTTCAATCAATCACTCAACTCCGAAAATTTCTTATACATACCCAACGGCTTTACTCGAGGAAGTGAGAGCTAAAATAAAACAGAGAAGTGTCATTATCCACAAAGGAACAGATAAAAATCATGCCAATGCGTTATGATATCCTAACAAAAACTTGTCGCTTTAAAAATTGAAGCTACTCGGGCATAAGGCGTGCTTTAACTCACATCGTAATGTTATTCAGCAACCTTAATCAATTCGCGTTGCCGTAATTCGCGTTGCCGTAATTCGCGTTGCCGTAATTCGCGTCGTCGTAAATTGTGTCGCAATATATTTACGAGTAGTTAAATTTGCTTTGTAACATTTTCTGAGTAGAAAAATCTCACCATGTCCACAATATCTGCATGAAAAGTTTTCTCCTTACTCTATTGAATAAAGTTCTGACTACTTTGTCTTATTCATACAACTGGAAAATTCACACTTCTATATCTGACTTGGTCAACAGCATCTTAGAGAAAGCTTCGAATATTGAGTTCTGTTCATTTGGTTATTCTTTGAGAGATTTCAGAAAAGCAATTCACTTTCCTTACGAGACAATTCAGCGCTATTTTTATGCTCAAATGCTGCGTGTCAGTGCTGAGCAGGTCATTCTTTTCCAGTTGCCAAAACCGATAACTCACAGCATTTTTAAGAGAGTTTTTAGCTCAGTTCAAAGCCCAACACCAGTGAGAAAAAGTCTTGCGAATTTTCGCTTTGAAATACTTTCCGCGAAAATATTTCGTTTTTGTTGACCACACGACATTTGAATGTAAAGTTTGGAAGCTTGATAAAGCAATGCGGATTATGATTGGCTGCTGAAAGATTTCGCAAGCGAAAAGCGAAAAACGTTAAACTCATTTAGATTTTTTTCACGGAGAAATTCTTTGCGAGAAATCCCAGCAAAAGTTCACTGAAGATGTCCAAGAAATATTACGCGCGAACTTTTTCGCAATTCGCTGAAGAAGATTGGTGAAAAAATTAAGAGCATATTCTCTTTCAAAGCATATATTATGTATTGAAAAAAGTAAATATTGTTGTACTAATTTTAAAAGAAGTTCTTCTGCTTACGTTGGAACAGGTTTTACAATTATGTTACAATCTGCTACAGCATGGTCTGTTGATAAGCTGTGATGGTGGGAGTGATCGGAACTAAGTTTGTTTTTGCAAAAAGATGCTTTTAAGGCTAAGTTTAACAGCAGATGTCATGAGTGAGAACCCATCAATACTTCACAGTGATATACCATATGTGCTGTGACCCCGCGAATTCAGTTACACGCAAATAACAGAAAACAAGTACTGAAGCAAATGAACAGGCACAATAACGAAGCAAAACAACAGAAACAGGATTTATTCGAAGAACATAACTAGGACCTAAATTATACGTATGAAGTAGTACTAAGTTAAAGATGAAATCAAAATAGTGTGGAATGGTCCACGTATCTAGACACGAAAAACAAAAATTCTTTCCTCCAAAAATGTACCAAAGAAAAATCGTTATTTAATATGCAGTGCAACGCTGTGAACTCTACATTTCATTCGAGAGTCGTCCAGCCACTTCTTCACAAGTTCATCCAAACATAACAGTATCGACCCTATATATTCAACTGGTATTCAACGTGTACTTAACAGTTGAGGTCTAGCTGGGATTAGGAAAAGCAATGGGATAATCCTAATGACAGGTAACTTACTTGCAGTTTTAGTGCTCGAGAACGCGCTGCTGACGGATGACAACGGCAAGGAGATTGGTGTCGTAGATGGGGAGTCTGCTAGCAGTGTAGACGACAATGGTGGAGAAGGAGATGATGATGTTGTTATTGTTGCTGTTGTAATTATACCTGGCGGTGACGATGACGAGGTTGCTGATGTTGTTACTGTTGAGAATGACTTTGTCCGAGAACTTGTGGTCGTTGCAGCTGCTGCAACTGTGGTTGTTGTGACTGCACTACTGCTGTTTGGTGTTGTTGTGATTGTCGTTGTTGTGCCATTATTTGATGAAGTAGACGATGATTTAGATTTTCTTGGGGAGTTCTGAAATGAGGTTTACAAATAAGAATCAATTTACGCGTATAAAGCATTTCACCTCAACACCTCTGTTTAATAGGTTGAGGATCAAAGACTCCTTTGGGGTGATACTTCGAGGCCCTTAAAGTGTATGACAATTTACAGATAGCAAGAAATTCATGGCAAACGAGAGCCGAAATTGGGACTTAGCAATGTAGCCAAATCGATTCGTCTTTCCTCCGTTTTTTCTCGGGAAGGGGCAACTTTCAAGCCTTATAGCTTATTCAATAATTTGAACTTTGCAACGAAAATATTTTGCCATACTAAATGCAGCAGATACTAACTTTTAGGTCAACTAAAATAGAACGAAATTGGTCGGAGAGGACTATTGAAGAGAATATAGTTGAAACCAGACCATACCACATTGGGATTTGACTTTGAAGACGGGGAGTTGGCCGCCCCTGCCATGTAGCCAGATGAGGAGCTTACAGATGAACCCGGAGACGGAATATCATCGTCGTCATCCTTGTTGTTTTCTGATGGCGATCGTACTAATTCTGCAGCTGTAAAGAATTGAAGGTTATAATAATTCGAACTAGCAAAGCAAGACGTAATCATATATTTGTAATGATAATTATCAAGTGACGAGGGTTGATTGCTACATTAACTGTATAGACATTTTAGAGGCAATGACTTGCAGGCAGTGCGACGTACTAGGCGGCTGGCATAGCAATTTCCCCAAAAATTGGGGAAAAGTTATTTTTCAAACAATATAAATACAATGCTTTGGTGTGAGAAAATGAGTTTGTCGAATTCAACAAACTTTCTTGGCTTAGAGAAATTACAATTAAAGTTCACTGCTGAAAGAGCGTGATGAAAATCTAACCTTATAGACGACCTTGAAAAAACTCAAAATCACTTTTTGGGATTTGAAAATTGTTTGCCAACGGGCAGGAAGGGCAATGAAAAAATTTCTGGATCTGGATACAACAATCATAATACAGATTTATGGTAGCAAGGAGAAATGTGGATGAGAGACTTACACAGTGCTAGGTCCGACTCAAGATCAAAGTCATCGTAAAGTTCTTCATCATCCAAAAAATCGGGTTCCTATAATAAAAATTTGAAACCATGTCTAAGCCGGGGCATTTTATAAACCATAGTTTATATAACTGGCAAAAACATCATATCATTTCAAAGCAAGAAGAAAAAATGCAACAGCGACTTAAGTTTGCTAAATCTACTACTTCCGATTATTGACGATTCTAGAGAGAACTTCAAGTTGCCAACTTGAGACAGATAAAGTTGCTTCAGGATTATTGTTGGAGATAATATCTGCCTGGAACGAATAAAAATGATCCACGCCCTTACAAATGGAACCCAGCGTTTTGTGAGAATACACTCTTTTTGCTATTTTGGCTGTAAAAACAGTTTACGAAAGGCCGAATTATCTGCTGATATGGCGCGCAAAATATATCAATAAAATGACAAATATTAACACTGTCTCATTCTTTAAAACATTGTATCAGACTGGTCTAATATCAGATCTTAGATGGTGTAATGGGATCTATAGATAAACTGGCAGCAACTATGATGTGCAAACTAACAACTCTAAAGCTAAGAATATATGAACTGCGACAAAACTGCTCAAAAGTTACGGACGTATGAATTCAATGTTCGAGAATTGCATATAGTAGATTTGAAAATTTTCGATTGTGAAAAATGGCAAATTTACGAAAAAATTTCTACGACAAGCTTACAAGCAGCATCTTATAATTTTGGGGAGAAAATTAAAACAATCCCGACATTAAATGCTTAAAAAACTGGCTTGAATCGATTTGCAAATACTGCATTACTCCGACAGTTATAATAGCAAATTATAATCAAAATCAGAACATTTTAGCTAAAATCATACCTTGATTAAACTTTATAATAGAAAGAAAATTAAAAAAAAAATTTCCACACGATTCTAATCAATCTAGGCCAACAACTTTTCATAAACACGGGATTAACAATATTCTTTTAAACCCAAAAATATGTGGGAACTAAACCCCAGTACCAGGTTCTTTTCGTCCCTTTGCAATAATGTGTATTGCAATACAACAGACCGCATAATCTATAACAGAATGTATTAGATAATGGCAAGAAATGAAAAGAAAGAAGCTTTCGTTACCTAGCTACTGCCATCAAACCACAAAAAGTCTACATATCACAAAGGAGCTGTACAGGACAAATGTACGTTATTCTGCTAGCAAAATAATGAGATAAGATTGAAGTTTAAAAAGTACGGAACCAGAAATTTTTTAATAACCCCTAAAAATGCTACAAACCTGACAATTTTCAATGTAATAAACTACGTCTTCTTTTAACTTGTTCACCTAAAACAAAGCGCGATTGAAGTGAGGACGGGGGTAACGCTATCTTAAGTTCATAACATCGTAAACTACGTAATACAGCTAGAACAATGGGTCATTCATATTTGCATAGGTGTGATAATGTGTCGTGGTGAATCTTCAACTGACTCAAAAAGGAATCACAAATATTCTCATTTACGAAAAAAACATTTAAGTATAATGTTAACTGTCTACTGAAAGCCATTTCATCAACAGGCTACCAAATACAGATAATTTAACCCCCTTTCAACAACCAAAAAAAAGACCTACAAAAAAGATTTCGAGATTTTGAATTTGCATAAGTATTAGTCGCTTTGTCTGGCTTTCCAGCTAATCTTTGACTTCTTGAGGATCAAATCTACTAATGACAATAAATGGCGAAATATGATGATTTATAACACCTTTGACTAAAAGAAGGTCAGAGCTTTAAGCAGGAAAGTGACTATGTTTACTGTTAAGCATAAAAGCACCGCAACATACCGTGTCAACCTCTAAACTCTCATTGTCCAGATGCCTCAATATGAGCTACAACATCAATAGGACGTTACTAGTACGTCAATAGGGAAACAATTAAAAACAAACCAAACATGGTAGAATTGTAAAACATGGTAATGAAGTACATGGTAAGTTTCTTCCCAACTGCTAATGAAATAACTCTTAGATTCTAAGGAAAATCCCAACTACTGGCAAAAACAGAACTTCCAGGTGAACATCACCACATAAAAAACAAAGCAAATAATGAAGAAATTGTAAGCAATATTTATATTTCACGAATCATTTACTAAATAACAATCATAACTTTAAAGTTCGCTTTACTCGGGATACCCTATTTAAAATCCACACTTTAGATTCAATTTAATCGAGAGCTCTAAAGTAAACTCTGGCTTAGGCGTTAATGACGTACCTCTAAATTTCTTATATGGAATCTGTGTTTTTCTATTCGCTCCCTGTGCGCTTCAATTTTAATTGTTTTCTACAAGAAAAGGTTAAAGTTGGCTAGAGAAGCGGAAAATAAAAGAGGATTTGTTGAATCAAATATGGATTTACATATTTTGGAAGATTTTTGCTACAGGATCAGGCCATTCGAAATCAATACATTGAAAGAACCTAGTGTTTACAGAAAAATAAAAGCTAATAGAAAATCCTGAAAATGGCAATCAATTATCTGGTTCTGTTTCAGGTTTACTGGTATTTGATAATTCATGACCAACTTCCTTTTTGTGACACACGAAGCAGAAAATAGTCACAGCTTCTCTAATCTCACCGAAAATTTTTTGTCATTCTAGGCCAAGACTGACTCAAAAGTGTGAAGGTTGGACACAGAATGACCCTGCAGTACGTGATTTGGAGGAAAAAGAGATAAATTTTGTAGCTTTATTTCAATCCTTGAATACTAAAACTGGAAGTTAACAAAGAAAAAAGCCAGCTCAAAAATTAATGTCCTTGTGCTGTTTGTATTACAAGTCTTTGAACATATGCACAAGTTGATCACAGATGGGGAGGGGGGAATAAGGGGATTTGATAAGTACATTTTACAATAGTTGGTTCATGCAGTATTATGGGTGAAAATGGAATACAGTCTTGAAAATTATGGAAATGAGGGCTGACAGAATGTGCCATTCGTGAAAACTGAAAAAGACATAATATTGAAACGCATAAACAAAAAGTTGAATTGAAGGGGGACAGGTGTTGAACAAATGCCTATGTGCAGTATGTGATGAGGCCTCTCTCTTGACAATTATACCAGGATTGTACATGGACCGGCCATCCACTTGTATTTGCCTTACAAAAAACTCCATAATGGGTTCAAAAAGGAACGAAAACATGCATTCGTTCCAAAAACGCATAAGATAAATGATGGCAAATGTCAGCAGATGAAAAAAAACCAACTCTCCTTTTAATCTACAAAGAAACTCAGAAAGACAATGTCTTACTTCTCTGTCTATCTTTTTCTTCTTATTTCCAGGCTGCAGGTTTTCAATTTCACATTCAAACTGATCAATCTAAAATACAGAAAAATATCAGGCAATGAGAATATGCCTCTTCAAGACAACAGTTTCATTAATGATAACCCTTAAAATTGCTTAGAAATTTAGGAGTACAATAGCTAAAACCAATCTATTCATTACATTATAATAGAATGCACCCTAATATAAACCTTGTGTTCATTGAAACTAATAATGAGACTTTCAAAACAATTAGAGCAATTTTTGCAAAACACACATATACATACCTGAAGTTTTATATGATCTATAGAGCCCTGTGGAAAAAATTGACATTCAGAAGATAAAAATAAATCACATTCTATTTGTAACTTATTTACAGGAGAGTTTCCTTGCTGAAAATGCCTCCATAAATTGCTGATCAAAATGCAGTTTCAAGCATAGTATGTTGATGTCATTCACCAAGATTTGGAATTTTTTATCTATTTAAATATTGCACTGAACTCTGGAAAAATTGCAAAATCTCAATGAGATTTTGGTAAATAAACTAGCTGGACAAACCAAAATTTTACCCTGAACAGGGTACATAGCTTTGGTAAAAAATTTCCACTAGTAATTCTAGTTTGTGATTTAGCTCCTTTTCCAAAAAATTCCTACATTGTAAATGCAAACCGCCGCTACACTCAGACAAATGCAATGCTGAATTTTTATTGAGTGAAATTAGCAGTGTTTTTTGTTGAATAATGATTTACTATATATTTTGCATGTTATGGAAAGATAAAAAAGAAAGCGACTGGGATCTTACATTTAACCACTCTCTGCATTCTTCTCGTTCTTTTGTTGCTGGGTCTACTTTATTTGCTTGTCCAAGACCTTGAAAGAAGTAAACATGGAATTATAATGATTACTTTAATCACTATAGATACTTAGGCGGGAATTCAAATGGGGTTAGGAATAAGAACCTCTTAGATGCATGATTTAGTGCTAATCTATTGCAAAATGTTCCTTCAAAATGCCCCCTCCCCACACACACACACAGACAAACAGACAAATACAAACTTTTGAAATGCTCCCTAAAACTAGGAACCAAACGAAAAGAAGATTACATACACTAATACCAAAATAAAATCAAAGCAACCAGCCAAAAATACTATACTGGGCTAAACTTAGTGGCTTCATTTTCCCATTAAGAAGCAATAACTATTATATGTACTTCACTTTGTGCAACTTTACAATAAATATTTTCACCAACCTTCTTTTGAGTAAGCCTTGGTTTTTGTTTCCCTTTCAACTACCTTGAACCTTTCCATTTGCTGATTCAAAATATAAACAATGTGTTGAAAAAGAATCCTTGCATACACATTGAAAAGGAAATCATGTTTGCATAAGCAATTACAGTTCCACTAAAACTGAGCAGAACATCAAAGTATTAACACAAAATTCTACATCCAAAAGTGTGCTCTTATCTTTTTAATGTTCTTATCTCTTAACTGAATTCAGATACTAAATACAGCTACTGTTAGATCCAATTGTTTGGATAAAGTAAAGACCAGAAGTCAAACACTTACAGTTTCGATTAGCCTCCTGTGTTCTAGGAGAGGTTTCTTATCTTTTATATCATTAGATGCTGCCCATGATTTAATTTGGTCTCTCAACCTCTAAAATAAAAATGAACTATGAATTCACAATACTGCATAATATGAGAAAAGACCTGAGTTTTCAAATGGTTTGGCAAACATTTTACTTGATTATGTATCTTTTAAGATTTCCCTACAGGCCATTCTGCTTGTTAAAAGAGTCAAAAGTAAATAGAGTGTAATAAGTAGCCAAATAGAATGGAAAAGTTTAAAGCCAAGGCATCAAACAGAATTAATCAAATCAATAAGTATCAGAGAAACAATCTAAAAGGAACTAACAATTAAAATTAAATTTTCACATATGATCATGCAAAAGTATTACCTGAAGTTTCTTTATTTCTTTTTTGAGATCTGCCTCATATTTTTCTTTTTGATTACTATTTGAGGCTGACTGAACCTAAATGAAAATTCACTTTTATGTTACAGGACAGAACAGAGTTTAAATTATCTAAAAGAAAGATTTCTTAAAAAATGCATGGTTCAGCTTGGTGTTGAGGAAAAGGTGTATTGAAAAGAAGAAGCCACTTCTCACAACAGAATATCTATGTGTGGCTGGACACCTAAATTAGTAGGCTAAGCTTGATCCTAGTTGCTGTTAGCTTGGGTCAATCTCAACAGCTTGATTTGTGACACTGGTTAAGCAAAAATACTAAAAGACATAATAAAAAAATTAAATTTATGCAAAAAGGATGAACTAACTTCTGGGCTTTCACAGCCTTTTATATCAAACAGCAACATAAAGCTGACTAAGTCAAAACACTTTAATTCATATTATCTCCAAACAATCACTGACACTACCAGGTACCCTGCTTAGTGATTCAGAAAGATTTTCTTGTTGAAATCACCACCTTTTGCCTAATACCCAAAAGTTTTCAAAATAAAAACATGATAGAAACAGGTAATTACCACATGTATGTTAACAACTGAAAATAGTTAAAAGCATTAAAGCCTGGCTCAACCGGAAATCGATCTAATTAGAACACATAGTTCATAATGGGTTATCTCACTTAGTGAGAAAAATGACTCAGATATTGTGAAATGGATAGTAGTTCTGACAAAGATTTGAAGTTGCAGCCTTTGCTCTCGTTTTAGTTCAAAGATCTCAAAGATCTTGCTTATGTACCAAAAATTGACGATTTGGGTCTGGGATATTTTAAGTGTTCAAAAGCAGCAGGGCCAGTTCCACAAGTTACTTTAAGAAATGCGTTTGGAGGACAAATGTTGCATTTGTTTGTTCTTCCATAGCTGCTATCTCACTAGTTCAGGATTTAATCTTCTTGGAAACTTATAGGAAGGGTAATGATGTAACATTGTTTGAAAACAAGGAGAAAAATTCCATTGTTCAGAATGATACAGTGCAAACGATGATGATTCAGATGTCATAAAATGTGTTGGTGCGACTGAGATTAGCCTTCTCCTTTCTTCAATGAGAAAGTCAGTGAGATAAATATCAAGACTTTTTGATTTTATCCTCATTGACTATCTCACTGAAAATGCTCCAGTTAAAAAAATCAGGTGTTCACACCAGTGAGATAACAGTTAATTTTACTGAAAAGTCAGTGAGAATATTGTTATCTCACTGGTGCAAACCAGGCTTAAGTGAACTCAATCTATTAATTTTTAGCAAACATCAAGATTTAGAAAACAAAATTATGAAGAAGTAGGTTAAAAAAATGATTTTTTTCCAATTGAAATATAAAGCATCCAAAGAAAAAAAATGAGTTAGATATAAGATGATAGTTTTTCTTTAAAATGGTATCAGGCTTGCAAAGACAGTTTGTTCCAGTTGATATCTGTGGCCTAACCAGGGTTCAATCATGGCCAATTCACTTCTAAACCATTAAAGCCATGATTGAAAGTTTTGCTGGGGTTACAAATTGTTGTCTGACAAACAATTAAACATTTCATACTGGGTGAATTCCAAGTTGCTATGACATTGGTAAGTTCCATGGTAGGCCATTGACCGGTTTGCACGGAGAGAGCCCTTACACAGGACTCAAACAACAAAGTAATTGACTGTAAGTTTGTGTACCCTTCAAAGACTGAGTTGCAGCATACTCTTTTTTCTTTTATTATCAATGCTTAGGCTTGAACCAGATTTTTGAATAATAAAACCACACTTACATCGAGACTGTACAATTTGTATGAATAATTAAATATATCCTTCGAAAGAGCTTTGGCCTACTTGAATGCTAGGGTTCATGCAAAAATAATTTAACATGATAGAACAAAAGGAAGTTTATATCTCCTCCAGAAAAAGGTTTAACATCTTTCCACGAGTTCAGAGGCAGGCGGTTATTTGCATAAGAAACAAAGTGCACATGATACTCCGCCATGCCGCTGACAAAAAAACAAAATTCTTGAAACACTTACGGAAAAAGCGGTCAAAGAATTTTACTTGCAAAGCATAATACTGGGGTCATAGAAAGCTAGAAAATGAAGTATGGCAAAAAAATTTCAATACTACACAAGGCCTCTCAAATTGAACTGCAGCTTGCAACAAATGTCTGCCCGTCTTGATTTTGTAAAAGGCCTCGGTTGCGTACAATAGGTTTGTCTATCTAGACAAAAACACCAAGGAATCGCACAATAGATATTTGGGTTTCTAAGATGGCCATTTTTCAGATACCTAATGCATAATATAGATAGGATTTAGACTGTTTTCCTAACAAATACACCTCCAATTTGTGTAGGCCCATCCCAGGCCAAAATTTTGCCGGTAAAAAAGCAGCGACATGAGAAAGAGTTTACCTTTTGCCAAATGTCGTCAAATGCTTCAACCCCTTCATTCACCTTCTTAAGGCATCTGTCTATTTCAGCTAAAATCGAAAAACATGTGCAGATTAAGTATTGAGCATTAAATTCGTCAAAAGTCACTACATCTTTGCATGCGACCAACTTCCCAGAAACCGGTCCGACTCGCAAAAACTTCTCAGTGTCATACGGCAAAAAGAAAGTACAACGGCAACCACAAATGTCGCAACAGTGAAGCGAACACAGGGTGCAGATGTTGCATTTTCTTCGGGGTTTCCAACGTGGTGGCAGTAGGAAATTTGTTCTGTTGGTTTTACCTGGGCCCGCGCCATCGATTATTACGAGGGGGAGGAGGCAAAAAGGGGGTTACCTTTTAAATACCTAAAAAGGGGACTTAATACCTATAGTTAGCATGAAAAAGGGGCATGGCTCCCGGCCTCTAGTGGCGCGGGCCCTGTTTACTATGTATCAAAACAAACACAAATTTCCTAACACCATCGAAAAACCTTTCTTCCCGTTTAAAAGTATTAAAAATCACGACCTATGCCTTGTCAAAGAATTTAAATAAAAGAAGATCAATTGAGTTAGGAGGGGGAGGGGCAGAGGTAATAGCCCCCTGGTACAGCCATTATTCACAATGAGAAATAAGCCTTTCAAGAAGTTGCGAAAGAAAATATAGTTTTTAAGTCAATAATTTGAAAGCACGTCAAATCTTCCTTGCACTTGAGCAGCACACGTTGCTGTAAGCCAGGTTTTCACGAAATAATTGTTCCAGACCTGTCAACCAAAAATTTTCAAAACCTGGAGATTTCAGATTTTTTGTTTAGAAAAACAGGGAGATTTGACCAAAAACGTGGGGACCCCTGGATTTTGTTGACTTTATAAACAACATACCTGTCAAAAAAGTAATGTTGGACAAACAGTTAATGACAACAATTATCATGGGTAGCATCTTCCTAATGGTTTTCAGCGTTTTCATTAATTTGTAAACACCAACAAAAAACTTTGTCATGAAAAATGTAATTGTAATCATTATAAGAAAACCTCAGCTAAAAGACAAGAAAAAACAGGGAAAAAATCATAAAAACCCAGAAGACCGGGAGAAAGCAAGCAAAACCTGGAATCTCCTGGCAAAACCAGGAGAGTTGACAGGTCTGACTGTTCTGACCAAACAACAAAAATTAAACATTATATGAAAAATTTCTCAGCTCATCAAATGGCATCTTGTTCAAAAATCTTTGGTTCGAAAGAGTACATTTTTGATGTCCTATAAGTCATTGACCTGGCTCAACGAATATTTGCTTTATGTTTAGACAACTTTTTTAGTTCTGGGACTGATGTAAACAATGCTGGTCACGAGTCTTGCGCGAAATGTGTTCCTGACTTTACGTCACTAGGGTTTGGTCCCAGACTTCTGACCTCCGCGGACCTGAACCACAGGGTCAGGCACTTTAGCAGGCAATAACTTACGATTGGGGGCTTACATTACCAAAACAAAGTTACTTCCTGACTATAGGCATATTTGTGAAGAAAAATATGAATAAAAAAGATCGGTGTATGTCCACTTTAAAAAGGCAGATCCTCAATCATTTTCAGAGAAATCTATTTCAGTAACAAAGATAGGCCTAGGTTGCGTATAACTGCAATGAACTGATTCAACAATTTTGAAATAAGAGTATAAGTGACATAAGAGGATATTGATAAAAGATTTAGATTCAAAACAACCACTTTTAGCTGAACAAGATTTCTAAGCCTTTCCGATCTGGAAATAAAATAAATTAAATATACATCAAACTAAAGCATACAAATATTTGAAAAATTTATTGTCCTGAAAAATTTGGTAACTTCTAACAAACTTTAAGTAAGTTGTGGTTTAAGTAATTGCTTCCAGTGGCAACATTGTGGTGAAGTACTGGAGGTCATTACATCTACTAAAATATGGTTCTGTTCATTATTCTAAATTGATTTAATTTCGTTTCAAATGTTTAACCAAAGGATCATCTAAAATGAATTTTACAATGTGATTATAATTACAGGGAAAATGAAGCACTGAATTGTTTATTAAAAACAATTTAGGGAGGATAGTGGCCTAGAATCAGCTGAAAAGATATTTCGTAGCTTTGCACCTTTATACAATAGAGTTTCTGGTCGGTAAAAGTTTTCTGAGAGATTGAAAGATGTGCACTTTGCAAAAATGTTATTAACAGATTGCCATGCTAACTCATTCAAGACCATTACATGAAATCCCCTTTTTATGAGTCTTTTTATGTGTTTTAGTGATAGGTAGTCGTAACCAAGACTTTTGATATGTGGACTGGGCAACCTTAATTAGAGCAGCCTCAAACAGAAAAGATGGGGTCCAATGTTCCTGCATGTACACAGTTTTCAAACTTTCTTTCTGAAAGAAAACTTTGGCATAGTTTATATTGTTCTCTTCAGTACAAGGCCAAGGCCTCTAGAGACCTATTGTTCTCTTCAGTACAAGGAGCAATCTATTTCTGAACTGCAGAATTCTGTTATTCATTCAGCAAATTGGAGACTGTTCTAATGAATTTTTCATTCCTGATGGTTATTATGATTTTGAAAGATGTTATGCTTCTTCTGAGGAGAAACTGGCATGGAGTGAGTTTTTGCAACTTTTAGAAAAAGTTTGTTACCCTGTCATCAGGTGTCTTATTGCTTAAGATCACTGGTAAGCACACTCAGCCATTATATCTTGAAGTTGATAGCAAAAAGTGGCTGCATCAGAAAACATTGTGACAGAGGCATTTTGGACAGCTTGTTTGAGACTGTTGAAGTAGATAAGAAATAGAAGGGGGCCTAGGTATGAGCTCTGAGGAGTACCAACCAATATTCCAATTTTTTTGAATCTATACAATTAAACCTGCAGAATTGCTAGTGGTCTGTCAAAAAGGATTTCAAATAAAGAGAGTCCATGGTTTTGAACACAGCCAGGATATTTTGTATACAAATGTGTGATCAATGGCATCAAATGCCTTTTTCAGTTCAATGAAAACCAATCACACATGCTTACCAAAATCCCATCCTTTCACTGAAACCATCCAGTATTTTCAAGTAAACACAGGTCTGTAAAAGATGCCTTAGAAAATTGGACTAGCTATTGGAAAACTGATCATCTTCATTCATATACTTGTACAGTTGGTCAACAATAAGGGCCTTGAGATGCCAGACAATACTGATATATTGGCTAGTACTTAACCCTTGTCATTCTTCTCTCCATCTTAAAAAATTGGAGTGACAGTAGCTATTTTCCCTGAGTCAGGAAACTGACTTGTTTCAATGGATTTATTAAATAGGAAAGCAGACAAATTTTCAACTTCAAAACTTCAATTCAAGTTTAAAAAAGGAGCTAGAGATATGTCAGTCCAAAAGCTCTTTGCTGTTTTGACTGTGTAAAATGGATATCTGATCTCCTCAACCTTCACCAAAGCTTGAAACAAAACTTTGTCTTCCTTTTATTAACTTTACTGCCACCTTAGAAAGATGCTTTCCTACTTAGCAAAAGAAACTGTTCAACAAATTGGAAGTCCACAATTAAGCCCAGTCATAGAACCAGATTCTTTGAAAAAGTAAATGTTACTTGACATTATTAGGACTTTTATTATTAATGACTGCCTCACTAAGATTTCTTCCCATAACCATTGAATGCAGAAATCTGCTGTGTTGAATCATGCCAAAGTGAAATGTTTAGTGGAAACCAAATTAAAACGAGAAGAAGATCACCCCTTTAGCCATAAATTAATATATAACATAGCAAAGTCACTGTTTTTAATCGTGTTAATGTATCCTAATTGATTTAAAATTGACTTTTTGCTTTCTTGTCCTATTCTCAGAGAGATCTTTGTTTGAACCTTGTTGGACACTGATCTAAAGCCTTCAATTCTTCTATAATTCCAGAGCTTATTTTTATTTAAATTTCACAACTCTTTCTTGAGATTTTTAACTTCTACAAACAATTTAAAGCCCACAGAAAAGAAAGTATTTTTCTTAGGACAATCATTGGGTTTTCTATCAAAGTAATTTTTGCAAAACCATATCCATTATACCAGCACCTCTAAGGGGACTATAGAAATAATGTCAACTTGACCTTTTAAGTTTATTTTCACGTTTTTATCAGTAAAAATTTTATTGAAACTTTTTTATATTCTAAAAGTTGTGAACATTTGTAAATATTATTGCAAGCGATACAATACCAAATATTACTGGAAGGAACTATTTGATAATGGAAAAATTAATAAAATCTTATGAATTGCTTGCCTTTCAATAAAAGCTTCTCACAAGAAACTGTGAGGAGCAGCTGACAGCACATCAGCGTCTTTCAAATTTGTTTTTACCTAATTATTATAATCCAGTCACTATCATTTTGGTATGCCTTATCGTTGTTGAGAGGCTCTAGATAATATATTCAAGATCTAGCTGTTTCATGTTAATTTGTTGGTTAAGCAACAATGTATACCTTTGCCAGTAACATAGATCTGCATGCTAGACTGTTGATAATGTCTGCATAATCTTGGATGGATATATCATTCTCCAATCTTTGGTTTGGTTTGCAGTTAAAGATCAAATAAAAATCTTAGGTGACAAGTGAAATACCCTTAGCTTGGTAATACATAAATATGAAGAGGCTGATAGATTTTATTTTTGGTTGGCAAAGTTGCCAAGGAAGATAGAAACATTTAGGTTAAGTTTCATGCTAACTGTAACACAAAAACTTTTAATTCCATTTCTTAACTTCTCCCAAGCATGGAACACTTATTTTATGAAAAATGAAATATTTCCTTCAACATAACTAAATTTTGTTAGTTAAAATACCTAGTCATTCCATATTTTGCCTTAAACATATTTTCAAAAACTGCTACCTTGATGTTCTTTCATGCTAAACCACCTGTTCTATCTGTTAAAAACTTTCTTGAGAAACAATTTAAGTGGAATTTTTTCATTTTACACTTCATTTTTAAGTTTTTAGGCATGGTGGCTCCTCAGAGAAAAACTGATTTACAGGGGGCCATGCATTGATCTACATAATCTTTGATATATCATACTCCAATCTTTCAATTCTTAAATGACATCTCCCTCTATATAATGTCTCCATCTAATGAGCACTAAAATTAGCTTTTTAAGTTTTATATCACCTGATGCCAACACAGAAGACTTTCTGCTGGTGTATTTATTCATAATTAATTTTCCCAGAAGTATTTTATGTTAGAGATTTCTATTTTAAGGTTGCTTTGCAGAAACGCAAGATTCATTTAACTGGAGTTTTTGCCTGGTAATATCATTGATGAGACAATGCACCATTTCATCTTAAATAATAAACAACAACGTGTCGTATAATAATGATTGAAAGAGCTACTGATAACCTGACTGATGGAATGAAGACATACAGTCATGCACGTACCAAAATAGAGACACGAAACTTAGGCTCAACAAGACTATGCAGCTCATTGCGCCTAGTAGAGCATCTTTTACAACAGCCCCCAAAACTTAAACGAAGAGTTTTCAAAAGAAACCCCAAACTGTCGGTGAGCTGCATGACATCTAGACAGGTGTTATTAGGCCAGCTTACCTTGTAGTTTACGTTTGTCGGCCATACTCTACTTTATATGAATGCAGTAATCTTTATCATTCCCTTCTATGTTTACTTGAGGATTTACAAAGCTCAAGCCCTCATGAAACGTATCTGAAGTATTGATGACAATTAAACTCCTGAGAACCTGGCGATTTGTCAGTAACTTGGATGATTCTTCTACCGATTCCATTCAAGCGAGACTTCACGTTTGCCAATGTTCCATAACTCACGCATGCGCAATATCAGTGCCTCCTCTGCTCACCTGGTGAAGACGAGTCCGGGTTCAAGCTAACCTCTCGACCCCCACAGCATTTAATCACCCTATAGTAATGAATCCGAAGATGACTGCAGTAGCAAATTGTGGTTCAGAGAGAAAAAGAAAATTTTTCCAGATGTGGTTGAGGATTTAATGTGATGACACTTCAAAGAAAGATTTTGATACGTGTTGAGGCAAAATATTGACAAGTAACGACAGCCTTATCTCCTTGATTTTGAGTTTTCAATCGTGCAAACAGTAATGGACCAAGAAAGTGTCCGTGAGGCATTTCAGTTCTAATGGCCAGCCCAGTTTCCAAAAGCTTTAAATTTCTTACAAAGGGTAAAACCATTTTCAATACAGTATCTACAAAATAGATGATGAGATTTCAAAGACAGACAGTAGTCTGACAATCAGCAAAGTGACAAAAATTGCGCATTAAAAACTTAATTTCGACTAATATGTAACCTTCAAAAACCAGAAGAGAGCACAAAAAATAAACAACAGTCTCAATGAGTTTCTCAATCTATCAGTGAATCCACCGTTTACATCAAGACTGCTAGTCTAAATCTAAAACTACTTACAAAATTCTGGATTAAGTTAGGACGGTTTTTATGGTGTGTGTTGATAAAATCCAAAGCAATGCACCTCTTAACTCGCATATTAGAAAATACCCTGAAGTCTTCGTACAAACTTTAAACCCCAAAATTCACTACGAATTACTACAAGACATGTTTTTGAGTTTAAGAGTAAAAATTGGAAGATTCTTAGACCATTTCATCGAAATAAATTGAGGAGGAGCCGAAATCCATGTTCATGATTATGTCCGTGCATATTTTTACAACGATACAGCTTCTCGCCACGATCTTGGAGGCATAACTTCTAAATTTGTAAAAAATTAAAGCTACAATGATAGAATAAAGCAAACAGTTTCCTTTGAAAATTTTTTGGGGGAAAAAATATGAATATGACTTTCAAAACCTTTGTCATCACAAGGGCGATAAAAACTCGCTCTAAAATAATACCAATATTCCATTTAAAGATTAACCTGAAAAAAAGAAGCCAAAACTATGGGAATGTGTCCTCAAATAATTTAACGATATGTATAATTTAGGCATGAAGAGACTTAAATGGATTAGAAAGATGCCACCCGCAACACGAAATGATTAATTGCTACTTTTTAAACATTTTGAATAAAAACGATAAAATTTTTGTTATTTTATTAGCTTTTCTCCAAAAAAAAGATTGATTTGCTTAAACGTAAACGATTGCTGGCCGAATTAAACTACGGCAAGAATCTTCAAGTATGAGCGCAAAATAGGTTGCTAGATCTAGAAATATTTCCATGCTGATATGGGAAGATGAGAAAAGTCTTTTGTTAACTACAGAAACAATAAATCATGTGGAAACATCGAGGGCAAGTTGAGTTTGCTTTAAATGGTACTACCTTTAGCCTTAAGTTAAACATAAAACATGGATTTAAAATAGATAAAAGGAACGGAATGAAAGCATTTAATTGAAAATAATACGTTAGGTAATGGGATCCTAGATACTAAATGAGCATGGGCATAAAAGTATTCCCCATCAAAAAAACACTTATAGTGCTTCGAGAGATAGACTAACACTTACTAGGTCTCTTTTAGACGACAGTATATTACGTGCGTAAAGAAAGATTTGCTTGTTTGGGCGATGTTGACGTAAATAACACTCCAAAAGAGTTCACAAGACTGGACAACCCAAAATCCTGAGCAATAAAACGAGCTTTAGCACATGATAACAGTCGACATTCTCTGTAATGCATTTCCCCAAGTTTAGGTTTTCAACAAAAACCTGGGAATGATAAACACATTGGAAATGGTAGAATATCTTTCAATGAAATATTTTCGATAATGTTGGTCAATGAAATTTGACATAAAAATCACATCTCTATTCCCTCATTTCTCTTCTGAATCTCTTCTAAGCTCTTCCCTAACCCTCTAACATTAAAAACCCTCTTTTGCTCTACAATTCAAAATATCCTTCGTTTTCCTTCTCCCCTTCTAACTTAACTTTCCCTTCACCTCCTCCCTCTTCCTCATTCCCTTTTTCTCCCCATCTCTTCCTCATTCTTCCTAAACTCTCGCTCCCCTTCCCTCCATGTTCAGGTAACCAATTCAGCAACGGGTGACCTCATCCTAGCTTGTGTATGTAATGTTTGGACGACTACCCCCCTACTGAATCATTTCTGAATAACAATGAAAGAAAATGAAAAATCAATAAACTCATACAGGAGAAATGTACGTCATGATTGTCCGAGACGAGGTTAGGGAAGCTACAACGCTACTTCTAAAATAAACTGTGTGACGTCATTTGAATATCAAATGTTGCTGCATCTATGACTTGTTTAAGGTTTTTAGTAAATGCACGGCTTTCTGTTAGAATGTTGTCAGTAACATAGACTTTAAGACTTTTTAAATCTCCACCAATGAAGAAACTTAAAACACGACACTTCATTATCTAGCCAAGAAGATTTTTTAAACGCAAGTTATTCTGTTATCTAACTAAAATTATACTAAAACAAGTCAGAAATTATGTAATGAAATTAAATTGCATAAATTAAACACTACTAAACGTCATAGAGCTGGAGATGATTTACTCTTTTGGATCTTCTCTACATCATAATATATGTGAAAGGGAGCTTCGTGTTTGCAGATACACATTGCGTTGTAGCAATGAATAAGAAGTCTCGGAAACCTACTTGTAAAATATGACACGTAATCATCCGGTATCTCACCAAGAGATATTCGGAGACACTCAGGCAGCTCTCTGTAATGATGTTTCTGTAGAAATGAAAGGAAATGATGTCATGGTCGTCAAAGAACACACGTATTTTCAATTGCAAATCGACTGTATTTTGGAAATACACGTGAACGCAAGATAAAATCCCAAACTCAAAATTATTGAATATTCTTTGTTACAAATACTGAGTTAGACAATTTGACAACAAATAAACAACATTCTGAGTAAATATCAACAACAGTTTTTGTAGTTGTTTCTGTCATAAGGAAAAATATTTAATTTCTATAGCGGTTGAGTTTATTGAGTGATTACCTTGTTTCTAAGAGCTCGAAGCAAGTCTCTGACATACACGCCTTGATAAGTTCTGTATTTTCGAAGATCTGCCAAAAATGACGAGAATAAATTACAAAAGATTTCAGATAATTATATAATTTCCCAACGGATGCTCATCATGAAGAAATTATTTTTGAAAATGGGTAATTGGAAGCATTTAGAAGCCAAGCATCCCTCTCCCAATCAAATACGGGAAAAACCTACGCAAAAGCGATACCATAGTACAAATTGTGAGGGGAACAGGATCTTCAGGGGGAGTCTTCCCCTTCCAACATTTTGGATTCCTTCTTCTGTTTGGAATCTTAAATCAGCTTATATCCAAGAAAATCAAGCAAAATCAAGCAATGATGACCTACAAATCAACCTTTCATAACGAGACACTTTCTTGTCTCGAATTGCTATCATTTATACATTCAACTAATCATCGCTTAAAAACTTAGCATGATTCGGGTAGTTTTACGGCATATCCAAAATATCATCAAACACCTTTCCTCTTGTTTATTTACTCTTTCAGTTAATCAAAAAAATTTCATTATTATCTCGGTGATTATTCAATTTGCTTATGCTATATTTTCATGACAACAACAAACGGATCCCAATGCAGAAAAGCATCGATGGTGTTTCGAGTCTGCAAATAAAAGGACTAAAAACAATTTGCAAATCAAGCATTCGAGACCTTCATCTTTTTGACTACTTACCTTGCTGTAGCTCTGTGCCTATGTGCACCTTCCAGTCTCCGCGCACGACCGCGATTGAATCTCGTTGCAAGGATTTCACAGTCAGGGATTCGTCACTCTCTTTTTCGATTCTATCGCTCACATCCTGATATTGAAGTAAAATACATATGTTACTTATTACAATACCCACGAATACTACACAATACTGTAGGAGAGCTGAACAAGCAAAAACTTCTTAATCAGTGAGCATGACGATTCAGTGCGCATGTTTTCTGGTCACAAACAAGGTCCGGGGTGACAAATTCAACAGACGACTTCCCTTTGTTTGTCACCCCCCCCCCTTCCCCCCGTCTCAATTACAGAGCAGTACACGAAGGAAACAAGAAATACAGACGAATAGATACAAAACGTTAAATGTTTCACAGCTTGTTGGCTTATTCAAAATTGGTTCATTCGGAATCGCAATCATACAAACCGACCAGTTACGTGAATATAATTAGACGGGGGTTGACGGTTTCATGCCCATGTTGATGCTCCGGTGTTTGTGGCCCGAAAAGTTAAGTGCGATAACATGGCAAAAAAGTTCTAAATGGAGTACACTCAAGCATATAAGTGGAAGTATATATGGAGTGACACTCAAGGATGAATTTACCAAAACAAAAACATAGCTTTAAATATATATTACATATGTAAATGAGTAAAAGGAATAAAAATCAATGATCTTCCAGTAATTGAAAAAAGCCTAGAAAATTTACCTGAAAGAAGGCAAGCTGCTTGGCTTTTGACCAGAAAAATGGATGCTTTAAAGCAGCACTCGCTTTCGGCCTGGTACAGAAGGAAAATTAAAAGAAAGGGGTAAGTTTGGCATTATATACGAGAATAATCAAAACACTTATAAAATATACTACCTCAGTAGTTACTTTTTCGAATTTCAATCTTACGGCTGACACCAGATTGTGGAAAGCAACGAAGTGAATTTTAGTTAGACTGATAATTGTTTTATTTACAGAAAGCAGAACAAAACTAATCAACATAAGGTTCACGTGACAAAACGTTCGAAGCAGTTCATAGGATTCAGAAGAGTCGTTGTTAACAAGTTGCAGTTAAACCCAACAATCTTGAGTAAAAACCTCTGCAGGGGTCTTCAAAGTAACAGAATCAGCTAGTTTGTTTTTGTTTGTTTGTTTCTTTGTATTAGTTTCTACCTAGCATCCTAAGGTAGTTTTTTAGGACACTGAGAAGCTATACTTATAGAGCAGTATCCTTTGTACTTCCTCTCGATATTACCACACTGCGTGTTTCCTACGTCTGTAATTGCAGAGAGGTTGCCACTCTCCTCACTCTGGATGAGAGTTTAGCCATGTCAGGTACTTGAACTCCGACCCTTGGATCAACAGTCCATGACCCTAACCATTGAGCCATCCCCGCACCTAAGAGTTCCAGTTCTTAAGAAGTCGGTGGTATCAAGTTCTACTATATATGACAATTTAATGTAATACCTTTCGAGCAGTGACTCAAAAAATGTTTGGAGTGCAAACTGAAGGGCTGCCTCTAGATATTACAATATCATATGATCTCCTCCAAAAGGTGACAAAAGTACAAAGCAGCGAATATGTAAATCATTTAAGATAAACTTTAATACGTTGTATAAGAAAATAGAAACGAAACCTGCCAGTACTTACCTTTTCGATGGATCTACCATTAGCATTTGTTTAAGAAGATCCTTGACTTCAAACTCATCTGTAAGGTAATGAAGCAGTTAATAGCCAAAGTCATTTTTATCCTAGGCCTTATAAATGTATAGATATCATATTCCTTAATCACAGGCCCAAGATTTCAGTCAATCTTTAACTAGACATTGAAAGTATTGCTGAATACGATTCTAGATCCCATCAGCCCTCCACAATGAAAATCTTACATTAAATAAAACATCGTCACCTTGGGTTATAAATTGCATTTTTTCAATAAATCAAATTTATCAGATATAGAAAAAATATATTATCCTTTCCTAAGATAACATTGTACTGTCATTATCATTTCGAAAATACACCATACATTTCGCTCGTTTTGGTTTCATCTCTGAATTCATCTACACACGCCAATAATATAACTACAAAGCAACTTTGAAATACATACTTTCTAAATAATGTATCTTGTCCAATGAGTATTGGCCGCCCAGAATATTGGCTTGCCTTCTGAATATCTCACCAAACGGGTGTGATCCTTTTGACAACACGTAATAGGCCACGCATCCATATGAAAATATGTCACAGGCTTTTGTCTATAATTAAGTTTAATTACTTCAGTTTGTCTTCAATCAATAAAAGGAATCACATCGTTAATTGTGTATTCTTGATACAAGGCCACTCAGTGTCAATTTTGGTGAACATAACTTGATTTCTGAACATAAGGTGAACATGCAGTTGGTAGGTTTGCAAACCAGCGGTTGGATGATTATATATTGAATTTCACTGGAGTTTTCCAGTCAATAAACTACATGACATCAATGATAATATCAACAAGACAGGTATCTATTTCATTAACAGTTTTTAAATGTAAATAATTATATAGTTAATTGAGAAACACAGTCGCAAACGTTGTAAACATGTGGCACCACTAGGCATGTTTGAAAAAGACGAAAAAGAGCATGAAGAGGGACATACAATGTTCATGTCATTCTGGAACATTTCCGGGGCAATCCAGCCTTCTGTGCCGATGCCTGACCGTGACGAAAATGAATGCCGACCGATGGCAAGCTTCTTGCACAAGCCAAAGTCTGATATCATCGCCTTCACAACTCCATGGGCATTCGGTTTTGAGATGAGAACGTTGTGAGGTTTAATATCTCTATGGACTGCAAAGTAACATTTCACATTGAAACATGGAAATATTAATGCGGAAAGGAAACTATTCGGCTATGAATATATTACTGCAATCTTCACAGGCCTGAAGCTTTAAAGTTATTTAAAAAGAACGATCAATCACACCTGATCACAACTTTTACGAAGTCTAGAGCGGAAAAAATACCTAAGTTCCTCATGACATCACTAGAACGTTTCATAGCAACTAGACTTACAAGCCAGGATCCTCAAGATGCTACAGGTATAATTTGGATCACCAAACAAAATGTAAAAACAAAATCCGCATCTAAGCAAAACAAAGCGAAAGCTTGACGCTCCTTGTCCTTTCATTTCTAGAAACAGTACCAGAAACATCGTCAAACAAAACTTACCTATGTTAAGAGAGTGTAAGTGGGCAAGGCCAGATAATGCTTGGTACAACAAATCAACTGGCTGCAGACCGTTTCTTTCGAAATTGGCATCTGTAACGTACTGTAAAACAAACAAAACAATCGCTAACAACGTAGAAGTACGACTTACTTGCTAAAATCCACGATATATTCTCTCATATATTTGGCGAGTGTGCAGTAGTAGGATGAAGCTCGAGTTGTTACGAATGTACTTATAATTCAATGGTTTTTAAAACAGAGCAACACTCTTGAAGTGCAACGTAGTCTACTTTTCCACCGAGTTGGGGCATCTTTTTGTAACAAGATGGCACCTGTAGGCTATCCCCTTCTAGGGATTATTGCAAGTTAAGAGTCCTTTCTTACTTAGTCACTAGAAATCAATTTAAAGGTCATAACCAAAACACTAAAACCTATCAACAGGTGCATACCTCTTGAAGTGTTGCATCACACAGCTCCAAAGCAATGTATCTGAACTGTCTGTCTTCCTCCTACAATACCACATAGAATCAAAATTATTACATACATTGAAGATAAATCAACGAGGATGACCACTTACTTACCTTCACTTCCTTCATCTGTTTTTTAAGGAGTGTTGCTTTTCAGCAAAGCGGATTTTCAAGGAACGCGCCATTAAAAATTTACAAAATCAACCTAACAACTGACAGAAGAAAAGACACAATATAATGAAAGTTAGAAATAGTCGTTTTAACGTCCAGAAATAAAGAATTATATTAGAGAGATTGTTCGGCAAATTTCTATAATAATCTAAGACTGATAATCTTGGTTAATCGTTATTGCCTTACGATGAAAACTGAGTAGAAATTTTGAGAAATGTATATATTTTGGATATAAACTGTGAAAAGAGTTTGCTTACCATGCAGAAATATCTTATTACATTTGGATGCTCATCAGATTCTCTTAGTAGGGCAACCTGGATTGAAAAAGTCAAAATTAACTAAATGCAATATACTATATGAAAATTCTGAATTAAAATTGTTAGATTAAAGATAAATCCAGGCATAACTTAGATTGTCGAACAATTCAGAACCATTGATAAATCCTCAAAAGTCTAACCAAAGTTCTCCGTTAGCAAGCGACCAAAGATAACCATTGATATCTAATGAAAAAGGTGTCAATGATTATAGCTATTAATAAAGTATTATGAGGGTACACAAAGAGCGTTAAAGCTTGATTTCTTCTAATCCAGCTTCTAGGGGCACCTTGATTGCATATGAATGGGTACCCTCTACCTACACAGTGCATATCAGAACTCTATCACATCATGAGGTACTAGTTAACAGATGAATGAATTTGCATTTCTCAGACGTTTAAAAGTTCTAAGTTAGAATGACAATTTCTTCAAAACGAATCTTTCAAATTCAATATGAATATATTTTTCTTCCTATTTGCTTGAATATGGATGATTTTGCTATTGGACCTGTTTCTGTTTCTCGTGGAGAGAGCATAGATGCCAGTTACAAATGATTCGATACGGTAAATATATCAAAGACAGAGTTTCAAGCAAATATGAATGAAATTATCAAAGAGTATATGATCCCGTGAGATGAGTTCTGTCGTATAAAGTTAATCGAAAGGTGAAAATATCTAATGGAGGAACTTCTATTTCAACATTTGGGCAAATTATGTTGAATCTGAAGGGGTATGACATTACATCTAATGTGAAATCTAATGAAAAATTTTTCGTTCAGTAAACAGACCTTCACGAAATATACTGTAACATACGAATAGGGTTCTATTGAAGAGCCGTTGACTCCAAATTTGCGATATCCTAATCATACCTGTGTAACACTCTAACTTAGATTGCCTTTGATAATACTAGTCTGCAACGCAATTGCAATTGATAATTATAACATGCTGCCCTGCTCATTATATATAATCAAATCTCCACAGCTTACCTCCCGATCGGCAAAGCTAAAACATTCAGGCAGAATTCTTTTCACGGCAACGTCCCTGTGATCGAATCTCCCTCTAAAATTGCAATCAAGTAGATTAAAAGGCAAAATTTCACTCTGGGTTCATAAAAGCACGGCCAAGCATTTTTTAGAGAACCCTAAGGTCTTAAAGAGAGATATTGGCAGTAGCCTTCAAAGATCCAGGATATGAGGAATGCCAGAAAAAATGTGCTTATAACTTATAATAACTTATTTCGGCAAATTGGGGGTGACAGTAGTGCATACCCGATACAAATTGAGATGAAAAATTAGTCGACTTTTAGACTCAATTGGATATTTTCACGCATACATTTAAAAGTGAAAGGACTGACAGGGATGTAGGGCAAAGGGGTTCCGGAAAGTTATGCCCTTCCTTTCCTCCTTTTTTGAAAAAATTCTACTTCTTTCAGTTGTTTAATTTAAAAATTCAGCCCTCTCTAAACCCTTCAAAGCAAGTTTATTGTAAAATGGAGGGACAGAGGGACATAAACTATTGTCGCGTTACCAAATTTCAAGTAGGCATAGAAATAAGAAAACGCTTAACTGAAGTACCTCGTCCGACGCAATTGAATATTTAGACGCAAACAGACACCAAGAAGTATTTTCGCGTTATTAAAAAGAAGCATTATTCCAATATTATCAAACACTTTTCAAGTAGTTTCGCAGCTCCTACAAAACAGCGGCTACAAAAGGACTTCTTTTATCAGCACCAAAAGTTAATTTTATACATTACCTGTAGACTACTGTTCCTTCGCAGCCTCTCCCAAGAATGGCCTTTGGGTCGAACACGACCTTCCCTACTCTGGCCATTCCATCTTCCTCCTCAACTGCAGAAACAAAAAATAAGTGATTATTTTATATATAATTCCAAACGAAATATTCAACAACATACAACATAAGCTCAATTTGATCTTACATAAAAACAACTGATAGCTAGAAATGAGCCTCATCCTATTTTGTGAATTGTCTTCCAAGAAACGATGAAAGTCAAACAATAACTCGTGGGCATCTCAAACTACCAATTACTAGTGCCAATAACAAAAACAGTGGAAACGCTAGGCACCTCTCGCTCTTAAAAACGCTTCTACCACAACCAGATTTCTTAACGCAATCTTAAAAATGAAAGGCATGTGGACAATTTGATACACTTGCTCACAACCCCAACATATGTCCTAGGTTTGTTTTAAGAAGAAAATAGTATCAATGCATACAGAATAATACTGTATTGATGTAGTATTATTCTGTAGTATACGAATAAAATTGAATTGAATTGAATTGGGTTGTTTTCTACTTGTAATTGTACAAACCTTATAAACAGACAAAAACATCTTAACAAACCTAATCTTTCTCCGACTGAATAATCTGACCCTGTATTGGAGTGCTGGCTCACTTCTCCCGTGCTTGAATAGCTTTTATTTGTGTTCACTGACAACTGCGATGATAAAGTTGGCAGTTTTCTCTATAAGAAGGAAAGAAAGTAATAAACAAAAAGGCACCGTCTGTTTTCCTATGTCAAACAATCTGCTAAGCAATGGTTTTATTTACGGTTAGTTTGGACGAAATGCAATGTTTCGATCAGAGTCATATGAACCGAGATTAGCCAATAGGAGAAGAAGTACGCCTGATTGGTTGTATGTAGACCAATCAGCGTACTTTAACCTACAAGCGGGCTGGATATGGGTTCGAAAATGTATTTAAGTAGTTCATATGAAACTTTTAGAACCAGGGCAGGGCAGCAAATGCAATTCTGCTTTATATGACTGCAAACTGACAAGGTTTTTAAAACAACGATTGTTAAACACTAAAGAAAGCAGGGATGTATGCAAACCAACCTCGAAATAGAACATAAGCAGCAATGCGATAGGAATTCCAACCGAGGCTATAACTGTATAGAAGAAGCTTTGGTTGTTCTTCACTGCCTCGAAGAGTTTGGCCAAATGCCGCTGATTGATGACATTTTTATTCCTTGGTCGCTCATCTTTGGTACTATGTACTTCACCTTGATGCCTGCTCTTAGCTTTTGAATCGGAGTCGCTGCTAGTCTTAAGATGAGTGATGAAGAACCCCGAGGAGAGCTGGGTTTTGGAGGAAGGCGGTACAGTGTGGTATCCAATCAAAACAGGGATCGCATTATCCTGTTTCTGCTCAGCTGCTTTCTTGTCAAATTGCTCTTTCCCAGCAACATTCCTTGGGCCCGCAATAAGGAGTATCTTCGGCTAAAATCAAAAACAAGGGCATTAAACAGATGGATATTCATTGCTACTGCTTACGGTGGAAGGGGAAAAATATGAGTAAATGGCCATGAGTATGCCAATTCACATCTCATGAATTCTTGTCGAAGAGGCGGAAGAAAGAAAGATAACAAGACAAGAGTGACGAAAAGAGACCAAAGAGGAATTAAAACAAAACGGGAACGATAATAGACTTTATAAAGAGTTCATAAATTACAGTTTATAAAGAATGCCCATAACAGCTAAACACAGCAGGAGCGTAAACATCTTTGAGGGCATACGATGAAATAAACGAAAAAACAATGTTAAGTGCAATAAGAGCTTACATCAACAACTACTGATTTATCATCGACCATTGATGGTAGAGCGTACAATCCACCTTGGTGCTTTCCAATGAAAAGAGTAGGCCTAAAATGAAGATGCAACTGGGTTTAGAAACTGAATATTTAGCAACTAAAACTATCGGTTCCAAATCTTTGATTGGTTGGGCGATCTGAACTCTCCATACCAGATGGACCTATCAAACGTGGCACCCAACTAGATTTCGAATTATCTCGCACGTTTTTACGAACACTCACAAAAAATAAACGTGTAAAACGTGCTAAAAGATAACCTAATTGGGTATCCGTAGCTACTGTTGTTCTTTGGGGAGGGTTTATGCCCCTCCAAAATGACAAAAATCACTTTTGCCAAAGAACAATTCCTTTCGTTCCTATTGCTATGAGATAATGGTGTCTCTCCAATAGTCCTGCCCGTTCCGTGCATCGCTGAGGTAAAGCCATGACTGATTGACATAATTTTTGTGACTAATGAGTCTTTTGGCAGTATCCGTTTTTCTTTAACAAAAATCTCGTATGTAGTTCAAAAATGATGACTTTGTCACATAAATCGAAGTTTAATAAGATTCGAAGTTTAGCTACTGTCAAGTTGACAGTAACTTTATAACAAATTCTGCAGCGTTCCGGCCAGACTCAATAGCAGCAATATATTCTCGCTTGTTCTAGTATTTTTGTGCCATCAATTATATTCTACAACATTGAATATACATATTAACTGAGTTCTAAACAAAATGACAGTGTTAACTTAGAAAGAGCTTTTGCGAAAAAACGGGGTACATACTTGAGAACAAGCTCTCCAGATTTCCCAATATACTCATTGCTGCCATTCTCGCCAGATGCGCTAGCCTGTATTATGAGAGACAGTGTCTCCTTGGCAACGTAGTTGACAGGGATTTTTTGAAGGCCCTCAGGCGCCCATTCATAGATGCTGGCCACAGGCGAATCAAAACTTGTCTCCCATAAAATTTGACCTAGAATATATCAACAACATATCGTATAGAAATGCTGTACACATATCGTATGGATTCTGCAGGGCCTAAAATGGAATCTGGCATTAGCATCAAATTGCATTAGCATTAGCATGATGAGTGTAGTACATTGCCCATGTACGGATATAAGTGCTGTTCTTTTGTTTTCATATAAGAAAAATTGGACTGAGGTGTGTACTTAGTAGGCAATTTCCCATCCAGTTATTATTTTGAAGGGGAACAGCTTTTTACGCTTATGCTGGGAACGTTTATAAGCAACAATCTATATTTCAAAAGGTACTTAAGATTGCCTGCTTTTGAAAAAGTTTGTAGGGTCGCTAAACGATGAGACAGAGAAGAATAGTAGATTACAGCGAACTTTGCTTTAAACTAAGAAGGCAGAGCAATCAAAATCTGGTAAAAGACGTTCAGATTAGCATGGAAGACTATAAGTTGTTTACACAAAAAACAAAAACATCGAGCATCTCCACGTTTCTGAACTGCATTTCAACTGAATATTAGAACTGCTTATATAAATGAATTTACAAACATTACTCAAATTGTCAACATGAAAACTCTTAAAACAAACACAACATTACAAAGTGAAGCACCCTTAAAGTAGTTCTTTCATAGGTGGTAAACTGTTGTTAAAAATATACCTGTTATTCGATCCATGGAGACAACTTGACCGTCAGAGCAAGATGCGAAATGCAACTGATCTAATAAACAATGAATTTATAAATAAGACAATAAAAATGCTACGCAATGATCTAAGTTTGAACATAAGTAAAAGTTGAGTCTTGGATCGGAGACTTAATGGCTGACCAGCTACTGAAGAAACAGCATTTTGTAAGCTGTATGTTAAAGGGTTTACAGGCCTGTTTTAAGAACAGTACAAACATGAAATAAGGTGTCCCTATCATAACTAGCAGTGGCACTGGAACCAGGATTCAGCAAATGATAAATTTAAGTCATTAATGATAGCTTACCATACTCATTTTCTTTGGCAGGTTGTGATGCATAGTCCAAAAAGGTTACATTCCACCTTTTTTCTCCAGTGATGCCATCAAACATAATGATTGTATATTCTGAAAAAATCAAAAGACAGGAAATTACCTAAACAAAAGCTTTGTAACAATTTAAGAATACGGAGTAGATACAGAGTCCACCAATGCTCACTCTGTGACTTCATTCTATCAGTTTTATTAAAGGCTTTTCTTTTACTGTCATTTTTAAACCTTAAAAGATAATATAAAGAAAAGTGTGTCAACGGGTATGGAGAAAAAGTATTAAACGACAAAAAGTGAAAAAACAGAATTTATGGTTAGCAATATACAACTGAAGCAAGACAGTGAATTCAACATTTGAGTCGTTGGAAATGGAGAAACTGAAGTAGCAGTCACAGAACAGAGCAAATTTGGACTAGAACAATTGCCCTAGACAGAACTGGGAGACTAATAATGAAATATAGTGCAAAGAGAGATATGAAATAAATGGGGCTGAAGAGCGACACTACTGGGCACAGTAAAAAAGGAAAACAGAGAATACGAGCAGCTGACCTAGACAAAAAAGAAAAAGAAGAAAAGAAGTATTGTTTAGGGTATTTCATGATCAATGACAATACAGGATTGAGGTCAACTAAGTGGCTATGAAAAATCAAAATCACAAAAAATATGTCAAATTATCCTAGAAAGGGTTTTAATTGTTTATATGCTCTTCACATGAAAGGGACTCAGGAGACAAAAGGAATTTTAACAGAAGGAAACAAAAGGAAAAGCAGAAGACAAAAGGAATTTTACAAAAAGTCACTTAAGAACTAATTATATCAAAGGCATAAGGGTGCTCTTCAATGGACTTCCAAATAGTTTTTATTCCAAAAATGGCATTTATTCCAAAAATGGCCATAAGCCTGGCTTGTAAAGGCATTTACCGGTTCTTCCAATGTACAACGGTGCATTCATCTGACCCATTGGAGGACACATGCTTCCAATGCCATCCATGGTAAGCTTTCTTTGTTTCTGCCCTGTGACTGGGTCAATTGCAAACCAAACATCTTGTTTTCGCCCTGAATGATACAAGCACGAGTCATATTGGCAGCAATTACAATAAAATGCTAAAAAATCACTTTAGAGCTTTAGGAAACTTCCAAAAATGATAGAGACTGGTTATCTTTGAAGAAGATCTTGAGGATTAAGCACCTAAACAAAGAGGTAGTGGAAAAAGTTTGTTTCTCCTGCAATAATGGATTTTTTCACAGATCTATGTGCATTATGTTTAATTCAAAAATGCTAGTTAAACCAGAGAGCCCTTTATGATAAACGGGTCCTGAGCTGGGCAAAACCAACTAGCCCTTTGTATACTTTAAATAATATAGGCTCTATAACTGTAAATGGCTGGAAGATGAACTACATGATATTTAAACTATTTTTTGCAGAAAAGATATATATAACTCAGGAGAAAATGTTTTACTTTGTAGAAAAAATAAAAATGGCTAAAAAATGGTATACATGGCAATGAAGTTCTTTGGCTGACTCAATATCGTGAAAATATCAATTATAAAAATACACAAGGCATGAACACATACCAACATATAAGGTTCCATCTGTGCTTCGACATGGTGATGCTCTGACAAGCTCAGGTATCGTGAATGGCAATTTCTGCAAAATGAAAAGAAAAGATGAGAAATGAATGTGACTTATTCTAATGAATTTTTAATTATGGAAAACTTAAACATGTTTACTCAAATAAAGGCTTGAAGCTTAAAATCAATTGGGAAAAATCAGAAAAATAAACATTAGTAATTGTGCAAATATTATCACAAGTCAGTGAAAAACAAGAAAAAGTCAACTTCTATTTCTAGGAGGGTTTGAATTTTGTTATGTTCATTCAGTTTAAGTGCCTTTCCTTGAAACTAAAATACAAGATTTGGCTACAGGTAGGTATATTCTGGTCCTTTGAAAATGGATGAATCAAATCAACATACTAGATAATTACAATATTTTAATCTTAAATATTATCTGCATTGCAAATGCCTTAAAAATGTGAACTGCTTTCAAAGATGCAGTCATCCTTATCCTTATCTCTAAGCAATGGGGAAACCTTACCAAAAAATTAGGAAGATTACTCCCTAATTCAACTTCTACAAAATATAAACAACATTTCAAAACTTGATTGACAATTTCAGGAACTCACCCTTAAACTTTCTTTAATGCTCCCACCAAAAAATCCATACAGACTCCCATCTTGAGGGTCTGGTAGGAAAATCCCCCTATCAAGAAAAAAACATCAAATACATGCAAAATGCATATTTTACATACATATTTAACAGATACTAGGTCGCACATAGGGTGACATTTGAGGATAATGATTTGTGAGGCAATAGCTGCATGAATAGGATACCTGTAACAAGAGAATGGGACATTCTTTGCTAGGTATTTGATGTGAAAACTGTGCCATTACAGCCGGCACTTGCTTACAGCCTGTCCCCACCATTGTTGCATGTATTCACTTCTTTCCATAAACCCAGAGAACCAGAAAATCCAGAGAAATATAAAGAATACCTGTTCTAAGAACAATACAAACACGAAATAAGGTGTTGGAACTGAAAAACAGGATTTTTATGCTTGATTTTAGCAAATTGCAACAATGAAAAATTACAAAAACCAAATCTATACACACACATACCCAGGGTTAGCTTTAACTGGAGATTTTAACACAGGATCTACAAAATAAAACATGCAAAATTTATTTTAAAATGTTCAATCTTTGAAAGTAAAAGAAACAGCTATTTGTTCAGAATTGATGTATAAAAATTGTGTGTAGCAAGTAGATGTGGGAACAACTTTAGAATCACCTCAAGCTGTTTTATGATTTGATAAGATGTGTTAATATGTTTTTTTTTCGTTTGCCTCTAAGTTGAACATTTTAAAGGGCAGTTTAAAAACACCTGATTGATAGTGATTGCTTGTCCATTGTTTTGTGCTGTTCTTTTTGTCAAACAGCAGAACAATTATTTGTGGGACAATAGGAAGCCATTGGATAAAATCTTGGTTTAATGATTTCCCCATAAAATGGACAAGCATTGTTAGAAAACTCATAATGTTTAGTGAGCAGTATTTTCAGGATGCTTCAACAAATGAGCTACTTTTGAACAGCTTGGCTTTATTACCATCACATCTATATAATCATCAAAGGATATCCATTCATAATTTAGGATATTATGCAACATTAAATTTGTCTTTGATTCATTCATAGCAAGCATATCAAATTTGTAGCCACACTGAACACAGAAAACAATCAGAAAGGATATAAGTTAGAGCTAAGAACAGTGGTTGACACTGGGGGCAAGGGGGCAGTTGACCCCCAATATTTTGGAGGACAATGGTCTATTGTTCTGGAATGTTGGGAAAATGTGAAATCATCTTATCAAAACAATTAGCTTGCCCTCCCCCAATATTTGACGAAGTGTCTGATCTAAAAAGATTATGGACACAAAACAAACCATCTTCGGGGAAAGCATAATGATAGAAATTTTTTGAACATTTCAAGCAAATCAAAGCTTGTCTGCCTGCTTCTGCTGAGAAGGCTGATAAATCCTTCACTTGCTAAATTGTTTACTACCAATGACCATTAGGGATGAAATCAAAGAAACATACTGTCTTTCATGATCCACTTTACATCACCAGTATTCTTCTTAACAGCATGAAATGAACCATCTAATGTTGATACAAAAAGCATTGTCTCTGGAACTACCAGTGTCCCATGCTAAAAAAGCAGAAAATAAATCAATAATTCAATTCAAATTCATTTCATATTCAGCAACAATTTACAAAATTAGATGTCAGTAAAGCGATTTATATTGAAGTATAATTAGCAAATTAGAATAGCATAAAATTTTTTTAACAATATAGTTGCCTAGGATGCTAGGAGGAACCGGGACAGTTTTCGAGCCCAACACCCTAATTGCTGAGTTGAAAATATAATAATGGTAACAATGAAAATCAGATTATATTACAGTGAAAACTATTGAAAATGATATGATTTCAAATTCTGAGATTAAGAACAGGAACAGAACAAATACAATAAGAATTCAGATAAACAAAAGAAAAGAAAGACAAAATTGGGTGCAGAGAGAAAGTAAGTGGGAGGGGGAGTCAAAATTGCTAAGTATCAGATATTTTTTATAGTGAGTCCTGGTTTCTCAAAATTATTACACAGTTCTTTCATATAAATCTCCAAATTTTTATCTTAATTTATCCCAATCAGCCCCCACCCCTTTCCCCTCCCTTCAAGCAATGTTGGCAAACGCAAAATTACTTAGTGTTTACCTTCTTATAAAGCCCTCATCTATTTCTTCCTAGTATCTCAAAAGCAGGTTGAGAAAAGGAAATCTGGTAAATTGTGATTAAAAGTGTTTTATGATCATTAACGGTATTCCCTACCTCCCCAGGGTACACTCAAATTAAAATTATTATATTGGTTAACAATCTTCAATTCCCAAAACTTGGCTCACACTTAAAAACACCATAAATGTATACTATGAAACAGCCCTGCAGTAGAAAATTTCATTATGTTACCCTTTAAATTCAGAAACGTATCAGATATCGCTTTCCTGTCGCAGTCTCGTCTCGACAGTTTACCTGTAAGATGCCTACTTGACATGAGACTCATCATGTGGAAACTAAACTTACAAACATTACCGTAGGAAGGCCTTTCGATTTTGTTTTTGGCTTCCCCGCTACCGTGGAGTTAATGTGCGTCAGCTGATATTTTTCATAATTTATCAAACAAAAGCTCAATTCGCCAACAAGTCAGATTATAACCCCACAGTTTCAGGCTTGTATCACAATCCTCATCGGCCTGTCCGTGATTTAATAAACAAAGCCGGGGTTTACAACACATGTAGCATTTACTTTTTCAATACAAGGTATCCTATTTAATGAGGAATCTTTGTTATGTTATATTAAAATTCATTAATCAATTCAGCCAGACTTTCAACATCATAACACACCGTAATGAAAGTCAAAATTTAGTCTAATTTAATGCCCACATCACTTACCGAGCTTTCCGTGCAGAGTACAACTTTACACATGTAAAGTATTACAATAAACATCAGCTTCATATTCGAGCCTTCATCCAATCAACTACCTTGAACAAAAGTTAAAATATTGTTTTGAGAGCCTTCCTCCCATCCAAAGAACAACTTTAATATTCAAATTGTTATTGAAAGTCTATAGCTGCCTACAACTTCACTTTCGCCACTCTCTTTGTTCTACTTGTTGTGTCCACGAGTTGCCATTCGATGTCATACTTTATGAGGTGGCTCTGATGCAATTTTTTAAAGGAAAATTGAAATACACTATTATCGATATATTGATATGCATAAAACCAGCAAAATAAAAAACATGCCGTAGGACCAAAAAATCAGATGGATTAAAACCTGATTGATATCAGTTTTGCTTTGGTTTCCGTCTCTGAAAATCATGGGCTGCATTTTGGAGTCGTTAGTTTTATGTGCTTGGGTCGTATGACATTTTCATATTGATATGCTGCAGTCTAGAGTGGTAAGGCCATAGTTCATCCGTCTGCCAAAAAAGGATCTGGGGATAAGCTAGGATCCAGAATACGTCACTGGCAATATATACAGTACCTGAAATTTGTGGTTTAGAGTTTTCCTTGCATGCAACATTAATTATTGAATGGCTTGTTTTATGTCACGCCAACTCGTAACCGGTTGTGGCATCTGCGGTAACGTCTAGGGATTTCTACCAATTGATCTAAGCTTTCAAAAACTTAAAATCAAAGGCTTGTTAGATGGTCATAAAGTCAAAGCTCACTACAAGATTATTCTCTTATCTTCACTTATTTTTCAATGTTTAAAGTTTTCTTCTTCAGCAAAAGGTTCAATTGATCGCTGCACTAATTTCGTTTTTCTCACAGCCGTCTGATCCAGCTATCATAAAGAATCATCATCCAAAAGATCTGAAGCTAAATTTTGAATGAAAAACAGCATACCGTACAGGTATCTTTGAAAATAGAATAATTGTTGCCATCTTTCATTGGCAGAGATCCTCCTTTTTGCTTAAAACACCTACTATAAACGGAACTAAACACCTTGTCCATTCGCCACTCCAGTCAGTACTGCTTAACAATTCCTTGTTAAGACGTTAACAATTTTAGTACTGGTTTTGACGAACATCCGATAAAAAGGGTAAGGAAACATCAGGGCTGGAAGGGTTGAATCCATCCCCCCTCCCTCACCTTATCAGGCAAAATTTGTTGCATTTTGGTTTTAATGAAGCAATACCAGAGGCTCAGGGAGCTGAGCCCCCTTGTTAATGCCGCAAGTAGCCAATCTCAACTTTTGCTATTGTTTTTCGCAGCATTATGCGCAAGAGCCCCCCCCCCCCTCCCCTTGTTACTTTGATAGCACTACACACACCCCTGAGCAATAACATTCGGAAAGGCCCATACGAAGCCCCCTTTAAACGTGTATCTTCCGCTACGCACATTATCCGATATAAGAAGCTACTTTCCTGATTCTCTCGCAGATTGTTTAATCGTGATTCCACTTATCTTTTTGGTCTGCTTATTCTGATCAAACTACATCTCTGATCAAATGGAGAGGGTGAACATATGATACCTTTAAAAATAATGGGATCGATTCAAAATGTGCTTTTCCTAGGACTTGTATCGTTTCATATTGTCCCCATTGATTTTGTATCGGTATATCGTCAAATATTACGAGGCATGCAAGGTGTAGGCGACACAGTTTTATATGCAGTTATATTTTTGAAATTATTGCTTCAAACCTCAATGCAGCCATGTTCAGAGCAATGTTTTGGTTTACAGACAATCAACTGCTGGTAAATTTTTCGAAACATCAAGTTATGCAACTCTCTTTGAAATTCGGCGTTAATAATTCTCTCGACACTGGTGACAACTCAGTTGTTATCAAAAGTGTTGGCTTTTTAAGTATATTGAGAGATTCAAAACTGAAGTTTATTCAAAATTTAGCATATATGAGTAGACGCAAACAATAAGATGTTTAGGTCAATCCCCGTTAGATGGAGTTTCTAACTCTTTTCATGACGAACAGATCAAATTTGCAAGCGTTCTTACATAAGGAGCACTAAATTTAAAACACAATTTTCATGACTTTATTGTTGTATAGCTCGCAGAAGTCCTTCTCTTTGTATTTCTCTAGTCATTGACATATCGAGTCTTTGATTAAGGACGCCCTAACATGAACAGCAAGAGAAAAGTAAAATTATAAACAAGAGAAATGAAAATGTGAACAATTTTTTGGCGGTACAAAATTTAAAAAAGGCTTTGAAATGAAAGGATGATACCAATAGTTTTCACATCTGGATTTTTGGGGTCAATATCTAAGATTCGACAAATCGACGTCAGAACTTTTAGGGCGAAACATCAATTACAATTCGTTTTGAAGTTTTTGCAACCTTTTAACTCCAGAAAAACCAGCACAGCCCCTAGCAAAACAACAGTATCGAAAGAAAGGACCAACAATTACTGTGCAGAGTGTTTACAAAGTTTCTTTTATAGAAGACTTGGCATGTTTCAAAAAAACCCACCACCCAGAAGACCTTTGTAGAAACAGCCTTCATTTCTCCTTTCTAATCCAATAACTACATCGAGCTCAACATAGCGTATTCGCGGTTTCAATTCTTCATGTTGACTCTTGAGAATGCTGTCTTCTAAACTTTAATGTCATTAATTTTAGTATTTGTGTTTATTATTAATTTTTCAAATTTGGAAAAAACTTTGTTTTTATATCTAAATATTTCTTTCCTTACCGATGGCAGGATACATTTGCAGTCGGTTGTTAAGAATTTGTGAGACTTTTTGTTGGCGTAGAATTTTTTAAACCAACCAGTCCATCGCCATTATAGAATATAACGAATTTTCGATGCTGTACAATTTTTCAAAAATCGATTGCTTCTAAAATGTTTTGATCGCATTAAGTACTGCAGTTTCTTTTTGCACCAAGTACTGCAGTTTCTTAAGATTTATGCAATGTTCAGAACTTGTTTCTTATAGCACGTTACTTATATAAAAATCTGTGCTTTTCAGGTAATCGTCTTTGGAATGAGAGTATGGTCGATCGCGTGTAGATTTTTCCTTACGAAGGAAATCGTGAGCTCCCTTCTTGTCGTGAGACAAAATGGAGGGCACAATCAAATGCGTGAGTTCACAGATTGACATTTGTCGCAATAAACCAATACCTTTTCTACGAATTGCCTTGATGATAGTAGCACCAACTATCCAGATCACTTACTAATAACAAGCAATTTATTTCACGAAAGTATAAATATGCATTACAAATCATCATGTAATATTGCTATGAACTATTTCAGCAAATCTCCATCTAAAGCGTTTTCAAGAAAAAGTAAATATTTTCCACAACGTACAACAACAAAGCGTGCGCAATTAAAAATCTTAAACGCCTGGAAAGTTATTGGACACATGCTAATGATATAAATCTTTCCTGGTACAAGAGTTGTCTTGAGAATTGGGGTAGAAAACAAGACCTGGATTCTGTTTTGAGATGGTACGATGGTATGGTATGATGTGGGTTGGTTGGTAAAGAGTGGGTAGGGTGGTACTGTGTGGATTGGTTGGTGCTGTGTTGGTGAGGTGACAAAGAAAGAGGACCATTGTGAGACTAATCATTCCCAGAATAAAAATCAATGTGATTTAACATTAGAACTTACAACTTTAATACAAAAATTACAAAGCAAAAAGTGACATGCTTGTGTCTCCATTTATAAGCTAATGGTTGCAAAAATACTTCATTTCCCTCTAGTATGAGGGGACATTGTACTCTGTTGTGACTGGTTGCTGCGGCTTCCCACCAAAAGGCTGGGATTGAAATCCTTGGTCATCTTCTGGTTCTGGAAATGATGCATATGGTGACTGTCGAGTTTCTCCTGGGATTCCAGTGTCAAAGTCTGTGCCTTTTCTGTGTCGCATAAAAGCCATAGATGTCAATCCAGCCTGGGGAAAAATTTCAAGATAGTTGCAAAAATCAGCACTGCTTTACTATAGCATTTATTTCTAAACCAAAAATTAAAGTTCCAAATAGAAGCATGAATAAGCAAAAGTAAAGCATAAGGCTGCAAAAAGTATTGGAAGTTGGGTTCAAAGTAATCAGGAAAACTTGAGCGTTGGCAAAAAACATTAGCTGAGAAAATATCACAGCAAAAAACAGAAAATTTAGCTCAAGTAGGAAAATTGATTCATTTCTTTGCGACATATTTTACAATGAAAATGATGTCTGGCAGTTGTATCTATTACTTTCAGCTACTATTGAACAATTCTGTTTATTGAGACACATCAGAAAAAGTAAAAATAGCATGATAAAATCCAAGCAATTCTTTTTGTCCTTTATAAGTCTACCATTCTCGTAATGTGTTTATTTTCATTTCCTCTTTTTAAGATACATAATGATTTTTGAGGCTTAAGAAGATAGAAATTTTAGTGATCAAATGAAAGCGATGAATTAAAGTACAAATGAGAACATCAGGCCCGGGCATTTTGTATTTTTACAGGTGAGCTGTGAATTGTGCACTGCGAGTGAAGCATCTTGTCTTTAGTGTTTAATTTGGAATAGCGATTTGCAGTTCCCCTCAGCTTGTGGGGGAGCAGTAGGGAGCAGGAGCTACTGCTTGCTCAAATGGCAAGCTCTGAGCATGCAAAAGTCGTCTTTGGAATTTGTTTTCTTTATTCTTTATACATTTATCTGCCTTTCATTTCACAAAATGATCTGCCTTCAAACCCCAAGCTCTGTTGAAATATTGATCAATCAAGCTTTTTGTTTCTCCAAAATCTATATCAAATGCTTTATCAGATTTAAAAGAGTTATAATTTTAAATATAAGAGAATGCTAAATTTTGAATGAAATAAAATTTATCTTACCCAGGTTATAATAGAAAAAAATGAAAATGTGATGGATGCTCTTGCATGATTGAGCTGAAATTGTGAATAGGATATTGTCGATGATTTCCTCCAGGTGTCTGCCAGGTAACAAAATCCAACAAACCAAAGAAATGACCAAAATCCAGAAAAGACCAAGTCAGCCAAAACTAACTTCTTCCTTAGCTCTGCATTGCTAATGTTTTCAAAAGATGCATCTGCTACCAAGAAAATAATGCAAGCAAGAAATGCAATAACTCCTATGCCAATGCCATAGTTGCATGCATTTGCATCTTTGTGGAAAAGACAATGCCCAGTGCCTGGATCATAACAGCCATCAGAGATGCATCCAAAAACGATAATTGCAAATACCTTTAAAGGAAAGAACTTCATCTTTAACATACAAATAAAATTAATTAAATCATGTAGAATAATTTTACACATCAAAATTCTGAGAAAATAAGTATATATAGGCCGAACAATTTTTTCATGAATAGATTGTTTGTTTAAAAATTTGACCTGATATCAAGAATGCTTAAAATTACAACAAAATAACTGCAATGCATTTATGTTGCTGTGCCCTTTGGAAGATATATGGGTGTGGCCATTTATAATAAGATAATTTATTGCTATTTATTACATTTGTATTCGTAAGTAAATATATTACAGGCCTGGCCATTTGTTTCTTTGTAGGTGAGCTGTGAATTGCTACCCTCATTTGCTGAGGCGAGCTAAATCAGTAACACATAAGATGTATTTTAAAGGCAAACAACAAATGGCTTAAGACTCTTAAGTATCTGTTGACTGCCTTTAAATAGTCTGGGAGTCAAGGAGTATGCTGCTTCAATTTAGATATGCTTTAACCGATGCTCATGCACCCCCTTTACTTAAAGGATTTAAAAGAATGGACTCTATCAATTTTTTTTCAAACTTTCACAACACAAAATAACAAATCTTAAAAAACAATCTTCTTGTTGTACAGAACTTGTTGTACAGAAAAATGGCTTTGCAAAACATATTTTCAAACAAACTGGAGTTTTTCGTATAACAATCCTCAGAGTATAAGGCATCAGAACATAGATTGAAAACTCTTTGCTAGAAAATATATATAATCAGGTGTGGATCAAAATAGGCCAATCAGAAATGCTAGCACATGGCTGATGAGGTTGTCCAATCAGTACCGCTTACATATTTAAGATATTAAAAATGGAGTCCCAAGGCCAAAATGAACTCCTTCTGTCTACACAATACCAGCTTTTTCATCTTTATGTAGATGGAATCCAAAAACTGTTTGATGAAACAACGATCTGGCTTACCAATAATATCAAACATGTCGCCAATTATAGTTTTTCACGCAATCTGGATTTTCCAGTAAATGCCGCTCGATAGTGGAATTGCATGTTTTAGTTGTTGTTTTTGATTTGCAGGGCCGAATAGGCTGTTCTCTTTGAGGGAGAGTTTTGTTTCTAATGTTGGAAGGGACCTGCTGTTTTATTCTATCCCCCAATCGACAATTCTTACCAAATTCTTCGACTTTCCACCAAGAATATGCCTGTTTTCATAAAATTGAAAGGTTCTAAGCTCTGCAAACACTTTCGCTTCATTTTCCTTTTCCAAATAGATTGAAGTTTGTGGGTATCATTACAAAAACCACCCGACAGGCAAAAAATTAATTGCAAAAAATAAACAAAAAAAACCAATTAACCCTTATAAGTTTTTCAGAGTTCTCTGAATACGAAATAGAAAAAAGAATGGGAATTATTCAAGGGGAGCAATTTTTCCTTCATGTTTTGTTTGGGAGAGCAATTCAAAGCTCAGCTCAGTTTGCAAAGGGAGCGCAGAGGCAATCGCTCGCCTCAAAATGGCCAGGCCTGCTGCTTTTTATCTAGTTACAGAAACAACCAAGGAACACTAGTGCCCACCAACTTGTAGATTTGGCCTCCTGATTGAAGGACAGCCTACATTTCTAAAGAGAAAGGGGTAATTACTTGATATTTTGAAAAAAATGAAGCAAAAAATCATTTGAATATTCTTAATTGGCAATATGCTATCAGCTTTGTCTTCTAGCTACTATGTTGATTTGTCTTTTGTCTTCACAATTTGGGCTTACTGGGATTTTAGTATCAAAGCTCCAGGAGGGTTGAGGTTGCCATTTTAAAGGCTTAATGTTCTCAACCTTTTCTATCTATAATCATGCCCAAATAGTTAAGGTGCTTGCATGCCAGGTGAATTCCCAAAATCTAATAAGAGCCTCAAGAAGGTCGCTAGGTTTTATTCTCAAGGTCCCATTTGCTATCTGAAATTTTTTTCCAAGGGGGTCACACCACCCTCCCCACATCCCCCACAGCGACAGCCCTGAGGACCCTGTGCTGGTGCAGTGAAGATTACAGTGGCCCACAACAGCCATGCCAAAATCTTTTGATTATTTCAAATCAAATACATAACATTGTGCTCCTTTTCAGTTATATGTTTTCTTTACTAATCGGGATACACGCCTTGTTATGAAAGTGTGCTGTGAGAAGTATGCAAGTTCACCATGATAAAAATGAAAGTGTTCCATGAGAAATAATAAAGTGTGTTCTGAGAAATATGAGACTGTGCCATGGAAATATACAACTGTGCCGTGAAAAAAGATTGTGCCGTGAAAACAGATTGTGCCCTGGCCGTTGTGGGCCACCATAGAAGATTGCAATTTTATATCAGTCTTTTAAAAGTTGCTGCAACAATATCAAGAATGAGATTTTAGAGAAAAAACGAAATAACAGTGTTTTGCTGATGTTCCCACACTGTCGTGCATTTCCTCGATGTTTGATACAATAATCTTTGGTTCAGCCTGAGTGCGAAGTCATGGATTAGATCAGAGTTCCTTCATGTAATGTCAGTGGTGTAACGGACTAAGTTACTTTGATTTCAAAAACTAAGGACCCCCAACCTTAAGCCCCCCCCCTCCCCTAGAGGCCCTGGCGGACTTAGTTTTACACCGCTGTGTAATGTCCTTTCCTTCTAAAGTTTTAGTATTGTCATTCTGAGTAAATTTGACGCATTTTAGTATATTATTTTTATCGTAACTTTGTAGAATTGTAAATAGGATGTATCAATAAATCAATGATACTGAAACTGGAACTATGCTTATAGGCCCCAACACATTTGTCTCGTGGCCTAAATTTCTTTGTGTAAGCAATGTTAACACAGCAAGCTCACATCAAAATCAGCTTACCCAGCTTATCAAACGAACGATTGTTTGCGGCCTTTTCAAAAATTCAATCGCATCAAAGTCTCCACCAGCGAATCTACCTCCGTAGCTGGATCCACCTCGACTTTCATCCATTTTGTTGTGCCTTATCCAAACGATCAGTGGCCTTATCCAATCCAGCCAATGCCACGCAGGCGCAAAGCCCTTTCCTTTCAAGACGATAGAGGACGCCTTACATTGGTGCCAAATTAATGGAGGGTGACTACTGATCAGTGAAGGTGACCACCTTAGTTTCCCAGCAACAAATAGATTCATAGGCAACCTACGGCCCACAGGCCAGAATCCGGCCAGAGAAGAGAATTTTTGTGACCCGAAAGATGAAAAATAGCAACCTATTATTTTTTTGATTGGCAAAGATGATTTTCCGAGGGATCGCAAATATTGAATGAAACACATCGATTCAAAATTAGCATACATCTTAATCAAACCTGAGAATCATGGAAAGATTTGTTCACTATTCGTTGTCACGAATTCATCTTGCTTAAAGACAGGACAGCAAAATCTCACAAATGCAGCAATTACTGGGCGCGCTCGTGGCAGAGGAGCAGGGTTATTGTTATCACTGTTTTGTCATGTCTCAGTTGCTAATGCGCTGAGGGGGGCTATGTTGAATAAATTTGTGTTTAATTATATTCAAGTGAGTGGTCTGAGCTAAAAAGGCCGATGCTAAACGTCGATTGGTGGATAATTCTGCATTTCCTGTTATGTGTTTTTATCAGTGTAAAAAGGAGGGGCCCATGAAGGATCCACGTGGGACGCCATGTGTGACATTTTATGTAAAGTGAGGACATGGCATTTGAACATGTTGCAATACAGTGTAATACTCGTAGCATAGAGTAGCCATTCTCCAAGATTATTATGCCTTGGTAGGGGTAGAGTAGGGGTCTGTGACCAGTTATTTTACACCATCTAAAATGTACATTACATCTCAAAGTCACACAAGGAGCATGGATCTTACTTATGTATACTAAATCTTTAGTAGATGGAAATTGAAAATTGACTATGATCTGAACAATCGAGACATGGAAACAACAAGATGGCACCAAATTCCAGAAACCTAACATACTTTAGTAACCGAGTGCTTTCTGTTTGGATCTTTCTCTTACTTTGCTATACTATTATCTTGCTAGCATGCTGCTTCTTGATAATGTAAAATATTTTATTTGACGCAGGCTAGGCTCGATGAGCTTTGTTTCTAAGTCGGATATATTGCAATTTTGAGTTGGCTTTACGATATCAAACGATGAATTGGCTTTACGATTATTTCATCAGATGATTGTCTGATGATTATCCACCGATGTGAGAAAGCTAAGGGGCATATGGATTAATCTAGCTATACCCTTAAACCAGAACCACTAATGGGCAAAAGTTCTTTTACGCATCTTTGCGCATCTTTTTGGAACAATCCCAGCCCAGTAACCAAAGCAACCTCAACATTGCAAAATTTCAAGGAGCAATTCAATGTTTTTAGACAACTTTTTAGACTTTTAATTTCAATATTCATACCTACATATTCAATTTTCATTTTGTATTTCTCTGCTTTTCGTATTATAGTACTTTATCAACCTTAATTTGACTAATTTCAAATTAAATATTGCAAGAAAACTTTTACCAAACATATCTAAAAAACAGTAGCAATTATAAAACAATATTTTGAGCAAAATTCTAATCCTCATTGAATATTTCTTCTGAAACCATATCATATTTGAAAAAATTAAGAATACTTTGAGAATAGGTATATTTTGGCGCGAAACGAAAAATTTTTAAGAATATCGAGGCTGAACAAAATTTACAGTATATAAAGTGTAGGCTGGTAGGCTGAAGTTTTCAGTCAGTTTTCTGTCAGTCAGAGAGCTTTTCGTGTAGCGAACCACTTCTGGAAATTGTAACTTGTTTAAGGTGTCACAGTTTCTATAATTTTCTAGCAAGCCACGGAATTCCAGATGATGGAGAAAAAAGTATGAGCAATCATATGAGCCAAAGCTAACACGTTTTTAAGCCCTCAGTTGGTCCTTAAACAAACTCTGTGTATCTGCGAAACAGATACCGGCTACCATTGTATCCCAATTTTTTTTATTTTTTTTATAGATGGGCTTTGACATCAATCCTTGTGTGTTCAGCTGTTATTGAATATTTCTACTGGTATATAAAAATTCAATTTTGCAGTGTGGCGGTGTACAACTTTGAAAGAAAGTTATAAAAAACTTATCTATAAAAAAGTGAACATGTGACTTTGACAAAGAAAATTTTGTTTTTATTGCATAGCAAATTGGCTTGTTTCTGATCACTTTCTAAGTATCAAAGATGTTTAATTCTGACAACTGTTGACCATTTGTATAAAAATTTATAGCAAGTACCACAACAAAAAGGACATATTGATGGCAAGAGATTTCTAGCTAGAGTCGTCTTGTATCTTGATTGCTTCTCTAAAGTACTGCTTGATCACATGATCTATGATCCCCTTTGTTTAGCCTTTCCGTACTTAAAGTTTTTCTTCGCTTGTAATTTTATACTGAAGTTGACTCTAGCTAAAGTCGAAACGTTTATTATAATGGACATCCCTATTCAACGGATCTGTAACGAGGAATTGCCGAATGTAATGGATTTTTTTACTTATCAGATTTGTTAAATTTAATCGGATTTTGTACTATCACGATGTAACAAGGAGTTGTTGAATAGATTCACATTATGTCTCTTTTTGTCATGGTAATTATCATAAATTTATTATCAAGCTAAAAAAGGAATTCCTTATTCGTTATTCGAACGCTCTCTTGCGTCATATCCAAACTTATAGGGTAAGAGGGAAACTGAACAGGGGGTAAGAGGTTTAGCAATTACGCCTTATTTAATGATCCTATATTTTTTAGATCTGTCAAAGTAATAGCCCCATTAGCTGTAAAGTGTGCCATATTCATACCATTAAAAGGTAAAGAGAAGCATCAACGTGCTTTTCCAGAAATTGTAGTACTTAATTACATATGAACGTCCAACGACAGAATGACTACACCCCCGTTCCAGTCTCAGGTCACTAACCTGGCATATTTAAACGGTATCTCTTTCTCGTTTGTAGCAGATTTATAGGCTCACGTTCTTTTGAGAACCGCGTAAAAGCGTGGTTATTCTATAGATTCAGATAGGAATTAAGTGTGTCTCAAGAGAGGACTTCCATTTACATCGAGTCATGGTAAGATTCAGAAATTATTCGTTGAAACGTTCAGCAACATTGACATAAAGTCAAAAGTCAGCTCGTAACTTCACTATGCTGATGCAAATTTTATCGTTATTGGAACTGTGTAAAAAACATAAATTCACAAGCATTTATTTAGTTGTGCATTATTGAATAAAATCATTTAAGCTGTAAACTAAGCTATGAATTCGCCATGCATTTCGGTTTGGAAGAAGAATGCTGGAATTAATGTTGGAATTAATAGCTATTTTCTGTGATAATCGACATGCTTGTTTTCCCTTTGAGCTAAAAGTGCGTTGACTGCAGAACCTTACGTGTTTTTTCCCATAAGATAACAAGATTCTTACTAACAGCCTCAAGAATATCAGCCCTATTTTCATTTGCAGCAACTTTTCGCTGTTTTCAAAGAAACTTTAAACGGCATTATCACTTAGGATAAGGCTATTCTTAAGAATAAACAATCTTTCTTGTCTTTCTTGCTAAAAATTTAAGTAAAAGGGTAACGTCTAAATATACGAAAACCCAATATTGTTTTTTCGAGGTAGGTCTTGGGAGTCTTGTCCGATGGAACGAGGTACACTTTTCTGGGCTTTGAAATGGTATATACCCTAATAGTTTTCTTCTTTATATTCTTTTTAATTGCAAGTAAACCGTGACTTGACAGAAAAGCCTTGAAAATTGGGAGTGTGACTTACCTTATAGATGTTTACCGAACTTCTTGCTTTGATTGCATCAATTGCCATAAGCACTTCCAGTGCATCTACGGTCGTCACTTCCACGATCTCTGCAAGCACGCCAGTGTCATCTGACGCCACTTCCACGGTCTCTGCAAGCACGCCAGTGTCATCTGCCGCCACTTTCACGATCTCTGCAAGCACGCCAGTGTCATCTGCCGCCACTTTCACGATCTCTGCAAGCACGTCAGTGTCATCTGCCGCCACTTCCACGGTCTCTGCAAGCACGTCAGTGTCATCTGCCGCCACTTCCACGGTCTCTGCAAGTACGTCAGTGTCTGGAACTCCTGCTTTATCTGCAACCATAAGTGCCACACAGTCGTCTGCTGACCCCACAGTCTCCATCAGTGCTACTGCCTCGTCCAATGCCACTGCAACTGTTGGTAAGTGCGTCCAAGCAATTGTAGCAGAAGTTTAAAACGCTCAAACAGTCTTTCTTTGGATATGGTCGCAAAACCAAAGCTGCAAAAAACAAAAATATTGGAAAAAATCAAGCAACACTGTAACCTTCCAAAATAATTCATTCTATCATTGCTCTTTAAAAACAATCAGTTGATATTTTGTAGTTAGAAATGCATTTGTCATCGAGCCAGTAAGGGGAATAGATTTATTATTACTAGATATAAAGTCAAATTACTCTATAAAAAGTCAAATTAAGACGGTAGTTTTTGATAGTCAAGTACAAGTGAATGATAATGAGATCATTAAACGATATAGTAAATAGCACTGTCCCAAGAGCAAGTTCTTGTGGTACTCTCAAGCCACTAAGCCGTTGAAGCTAGACCAGTGGCGTACGCAGCACCTGATAAACAGGGAATGGACATCTAGGGCCGTGGCTCCTGGGAAATTATCTCTCCACGCCCTGTTTACTTTTAAAAAATGTGGTAATGTCCGTCAAACATATAACGATCAAACAATTTTGAATAACATAAAGAATGCAATGGAACTGTCTGCATTTAACCTCGCCATTTTTTACCTATTAAGGACATATTTCGAAGGAAAGGCTTTCAAAAATACGCCTTTCTCCGACACCCTTCTACTTAGAATTCAAAAAAGAAGTCTAAAGGAAACATTTCCGTTCCTGCATCATAAAAGAATAACTGTTCCAAGATCTTAAACCCTTTTTCTTTAATGATAAAAAGTTGCAGGACTTCAGCTAGTTTTTCCGGCTTATGAATTACCCTTGCTCAATTTTGGGGCAATTTTTCTTACTCATTCAATCTACTGTAGCAATGGTCGTTTCAGGACTTAATGCAAAGTTGGATTAGCTAAATTTGTCTTGCCTTGACAGCTGCCTGCACGCAAGTTCTCGGAAACCCTACCTGTGAAAAAGCAACTTGCTGCTTGGGAAGTGCTGGAGCCTGGACAGGAGTAAAGACAGCTGCCACCATTGCCTATACAGACACGCTTTGTGTAAACAATACAGCCACTGTTAGTAACTCTACAAAGACTTGTGGTCAGCTCTGTGTTAGCAAAGAGTGTGGTAAGTGTCTCGTTACAAATGAATATTACACACCTTCTTCTGAAAGAAAAGATAGAGACAATGGGTTCGAGGAAGATGTCACGGCCCAACATACTTCTCCCATAAGAGAAACTGCTTCTTATGAAGTTATGGGAGAAGTATGTTAGGCTGTGACATCTTCCTCAAGCCCTGTCTCGATATCTGCTTTCTATTGTTTGATTGTGGCAACACCATTATCCATTGTACGATAATTTGCTTACTTGAAGATGGTGTATGTTTCTGGCTTAATTGATTCTGCATTATTTTTTTCTTGTATCTGTCATCGTCTGTCATCATTGAATAGTTTCAATTTCTGGCATGGCAGGGCAGAAACCTTCATACCCCGAAAGGAAAGATGTTTGTTTCGCCCCTGCTTCAACTTCCACATTTTATTACTGTTAGCTTCTTAACGAAATTGCGCTCTTTGAGGAATGATGAGGATTGGAATTTGTCCAGGCACATGTTTGAAGGAGAGTCACCGTCCACCGTCTCCATAATGATGGATTAGAAGAATTATAAATGAGGATCCTTCCAAAATTACCTTACGCATCTATGCCATGTCTAGGTAGTTATGTCATGGTGTATAAAACACGACGATTCTAAGTTGCATCTCCGAGTTCAGGCACCGCGGAGCAGGGGAGGGGGAGGGGGCTAGAGGGCTTTATTCCCCCACTTTTTGCAAAAATGCTAAATATTAAACAATAAATTACCAGTAAAGCCTCTTTTTCTTCGGTTTTAGCCCCCACTTCTTCTTTACTCCTCTCTTTTCTGAATCCTCCGAGGTGCCTGGAGTTTAACGTTTAATGCAATAATCGGGCAACTATCATGAGCTCCGACAAAGGTTGAAAAGTGGGGGGGGGGGGCCAAGGGAAAAATCAACACCCATAACAAAAGATTTTGAAAAAAACTCCATTGTTTTGCAAAAAAGTGGGGGGGCAAGGCTCCCCCGGCCCCCCCCCCCCTTCGTCGGAGGACCTGACTATGAAGGACTTTTCATTAGAAGGAAAAAGGTGACAACTGGGTAATGTTAGCAGCTATGGTAGGTAGTAGGTTGTCAGAAACGCCCCTGCTTCAAGACCCTCGTGCAAATATCACAGAGAACCTGCTCTGTATAGCGAAACAAAAGCTGAATTGTCGAACAACGTACGCCTTCAAAGCTTACATGAATCAGTTCTTGGAATTAATACACACTGATTCGTTAATACTCTTTCATGCCTCAAATTCAAGTTTGGAAAAAAATATTGGCATTTCTCAACACACTCACACTTGAACTCTCGTGCCATGAATGTCAAGGAGGAAAAGAAATATTTATTTTTCCAGTTTGCCTTTTTGAAGAGTATTTACTAAGGTATGCAAGATGTACTTATTTGGCTAAATTGTTCTGATTTCGCCTAATCTTCAGTTTCAACAGCAGAATACGAACTAAAAAGGCAACTCAAAAGGAAACTCTAAGAGGCAACTCAATTAAAAAATCTTTTTTTGTTTATTTTAGATGGAGCGGTAGGCCTAGCAGTCCGTGCAACAACGATCGCAATGTCTTTCTTTGTTTACTGGTGAGTATGGGTACATACTAGTAACCACTACAAATTCAACTGACAAACTTTCAAATGTTGAAAAGAACACAGTTGCAAATGGCTGTACACTCTTTTTTTATAAGAACCAGTAAATTTAAGTTCAGGCTGACTGTTCTTAATTTTTTCGAAAATCTGAGGCTGGATTGTTCTTAATTTGTTCTTAAATTAAGAGGTTGTAAGCAGTGATACTGTTAGCTTTTTCGCTCTAAGGGGGTGTTCAGGCCTCATTTGCCAACAAAGTCAGTGAGACAGCCTTAATTTGCTGACAAATTTGAATATTTACCGAAAAAGCACCCACACATCGCTAAAAATCCTCAATTTTGAGAAAAAACGTTGTTCAAAAGCTCAGCCTCAGCTTGTTCTTAATTTGTTCTTAACTTTTGACCAGTTTTGAGGCTCGTGTTCTTATAAAATTGTTCTTATAAAAAAAGAGTGTAAATGCAGCTTGTCTATTCTGTAAATTGATAGCTCTGTTTTAAGCTTCCTGGTGATGGAGCTTCATTATTCAAGCTGAAAACGTTGAAATGTTGCGGTCGAATTTCAGTCGACATGTAGATCCATGGAATCAAACTAAATCAGAGAAATATTAGGTAGAGTGCGTGAAATCGCCTTTTCTAACCCCATACTGAGGCTCCTTTGTACTGAGGATTTGTGGACGAATATGATAGAGTCCGTTATTTTCTAAATAGGGTGCAGGATAGGGGATATCTTATCTACTTGACCAGCGTGTTAAAATCTACGCTTTTTGTCTGTTTTACCCCCCTCCAAATTCAGAAACCTGTCTTTCAGCCCTGATAGCAGATCAGCAATGTTAAACCCGTAGCCATCAGATGAGGCCGCATCTTCAGCCGAAAATGCTAAATTGTCGACTCCTCTTCGCGTTTCCGCCTTCTCTCATTATAGATTTCTATAAGATTAGAGAAGTATTAAAAATTATCTTTTTTTAAAACTACTTTGAGCACATGGAGGCTAGAATGAGCTCTTTCTTTCTCTTTGCAATTGAATCACACAAACTGCTAAATTCAACATTAATTACTGGAACCACGAAGTCAGTAATTTATGCTAATCTAAGAGCTTAGCTGGTTTGAAGTGGAACCTGATGCAAAGGTGGGAATCAAACAGAGGATGAATCTATGACCAAATATTAAACGCGGGCTGAGGAATCTAGTGCGTAGGCCCTTGAAAGTCTAGTCAAAAGTTTTGGAATAGCAGCCGTCGAATGGCATAAAATTTGGAAAAAGTTTGATGAAAAAGAGATTGAAATTGTGATACGTTAAATGACGCGATTGCCATTGACCTTCAACAAGCAAATTTCTAAAATATAGAAATGAAAAAATGACCAAAATTACTGAAAAAGATGTTATCGCTATCCTTAAAACATGGAATGTAGAATACGGAATACGGAATAAGGAATCCGTGCTTAAAGATAGCAACAGTGCCGTCGAAACGAAATTCATATGGGGGGGGGGGTGCCCATTGTATTCCTTCTCATTCAGTACACTGTTATAAAGGAAGTATACTACAGTTTGACTCTAGCCCACCCCCCAAGCCCCTGCAGTTCCGACGGACCTGAGCAACGAATAATTTCACAACATAATCATTCAATCCAAGTTGACTGATCTTGCTCTATTTAAAGGCTTCTGGCTGTGCAACATTGATAGAGACCGACTCAAGAAAGAAAATTATCAAGGATTCCATTGCTGTACATGAACAAATTATAGATAAAGACTGTTACTATATTCTCGCTGTTTGTAAAAAATTACAGGAATAATCTTATTAAAAAGTGCGTTAATATTTATGTTATGTTTCTTAGATCTGCATGATATCGTTACGTTTTTCAAATTCTCCTCTCTTTCCTTAAACTTTCAGTTTAAGATTTTGTATCAACATGAATATTGTTTAAAACTATATTGGTTGTGGATTGGGGATTCATTTTTGTATAAGAAATTTTAGTCTGAAACTTGAAATAGGGTTTTTTGATGTTTTCGAAGAATTTTTGCAGGTTTTATAATTTGGCGGGGTCTGTAATGCACGCAGAATAAGGACAGGGTATGCAATGGAGCGTGCACCTATTATAGGGGGTCCAAAAGCCGCAGAACCATGCGAAAATCGGCCAAATGCCATACAACGTAACATATAAGCATTTTCCAAAAGAATTGTCATTTTAGCAAGAAATAATTTTCTAATTAAGATTTGAAAACCACCTCAAAAAAGAATGGTGAAGGTTTAAAACAGAAATATTTTTTCTTTTTTCCTATCTCTAGAAAATTGTTCACACAATTTTCGCATGAGATATTTTTCAAACAACATTCATAATCTATTTTTTTCAGCCTTTGCTAATTAAAAAAATTATTTTGAAAATTACAAACAAGTTTTTGTTGGTAATGGGGCTCAGTGCATACGAGTAGTTCAATTGGGGGCATCTGAAAGAGGGCAAATGCCAACAAATTTAGGAAGATGTATTGAATAACCAATGATTCAGGGCCACCTTATCTTGCTAATAGATTAACTCTTCAAATAGATAAATATACATAAACAAGAATTCAAGACTACTTAGACAAGATTTTTTAACTGCACACTCTTTCCATTATGATAGCCTGTGGTTTGGAGCACGGGCTACTACTATAGGAGCAATTTTATAAGAATAAAAAATTAAGAAAAAACTTTGGTTGAGAGACTGAAAATTGTAAGAAGTTTGATAGATGTAAGACTAATTTTAATCTAGGGTGTATCTTTATCAAGGATACATATCGTCAATTTTTGTTTAGCAGTATAATATTTTCTCATACCTTAATGTCATTGATTTGCACTCCAATGATTTATGGTCAAAATAAGAACAGTCAAGCCTAAATGTTTCGGAATTATTAAGAACAGAAAACCTGGATCCCGATTTCCTTATAGAAAAAATGAAAAAGCAGGTACACTTCTACAAAGCAAAACTTGGTACAAAAATTCTACATAAACATGAAATGTTTAGGAAAAAAATGATTCTTTGTAAATTGCACAGATGCAAGATGCCAATAAATTTACAAGTACGTACTGGTCTGCACAATAGCCGAGATAGCGGGGGGGGGGGCTAAGGTGTTTGACATCCCCACAAATTTTTAAGATATACTAGTTTCAAATGGTAATTTTTACAACCTATATGTTCTATATAATGGCGGGAATCAATGCCCCACACTATTCGAAATCTCGACCCTAGCGACTGCTTTTCAAAGATTGAACAGGTGTCAGGTGAAATAATCTCATGACTTGTGTTTGGGGTGTAGAATTACGCTTGTTGCCATCACAAATCGGGTCTCTGCTGGCACTTGGAATTGAATGACTTAAAGTTTCAGTTTGTAATCAAACTTCCTCAACAAGCTCTCATTCAACTTGAAGCCACTGTCTACGGTATGCGTCTTCATCTTACTTTTCTTAAAATCACAATTGTGTCAACTAAACAATATTGCCTAGAATATTGCACAGCAAATGCGCTTAGGCTGAGGTCTAGCAAATCCTGTATCTTATTCGCATTGCTTTGTTAAGTTTTAGTTGAATTGAACATACCAACGCAGAGGGAAATTCACTTGTTAGAAAAATAGCAGTCAAAAACGAGTTTATTTTTCAATTTGACAGCGCCTAGTAATATCACCTTTGCCGGGTGACGCAGCAGTTAGCACTAACACAAAAATATATACAAAAATAAGTTGTTTTAAGTTTTATTTCTTCTAATCTAGACATTAGAAGAAACGAAAGGGAAAGGATGGAATAGCGAGTGTGGAAACGGATCAAAGGTCCCTTTTCATTGAAGTGCTATTACATCGGTCATTTGTGATTATCATAGAGATTCATAATAAACTTTGACTGAAGAGCCTTATTCGTGACAGCATTTCTCAAAACTTCTAAAAAAGTTTCTTATGCCAGAAGTAAGCCCATTTTCAAGATGTTTGTGAAAACTAAAACAAAATGATATATCAGAAATAATTGATACAAGCTAGAAATTATTCAGATGCTGGGATTCAAGCGTCCCTGTAACTTGATAGCACTTCTACGAATTAAACCAGGACTAAGGACACTTAACAAGCTCAATGTTGAGACTTAGTGCTCATACTTTTGAAGTAGAGAAGTAGAGACAAGTCGATTAGGTGCAAATGTTATCCTTAAACAAGAAAGACATTGCAGTTTCTCTTAAACTACAGGTCTACAGATTTTATGTGATGAATCGCATCTCTTTATAGTACGCCTAGAGTCTCAGATATAGGATGCTACCTCTTAAATGACCTCCAAATTACCAAATTAATTACCATAAATAATTAGGAATCTACTTGTTCAGATAATGAAGCAAGAGAATAAATGATATTTTGACTTCGTTGCAACAGTTGTATCGAGCAGGGATTAAAATGATATTAGTACAATGCCCACGCCCAAAATGTTGAACCAAATATGCTCATTATTATGTTTATTTGAACATTGATTTTTCTACTGTAAATAATTTGTGCAAAGAGTTTCATTATCTTTGTATACTATAAACTTTATAGTATAAAGTTTTTTAAAGACATGGCATAAACATTGCACGTGCGCAGTATAATTTTATAAAGTAATTTTTATATTCAATGGAATTTTTCACAAAAATCTATGTTAAAAATATTTCAATTTTGATCATAAAACCTCACATAAGCTCAGGTCTTTTTCTCCAAAAGACCTCTGTAATTTGGTTTTGGTTTATAACTTTATGAACCGCCCATATCTCTTCCATATCTCGCCCAAGTTTGAACATATCTAACTGCTTTTGCATAATGAGATGTTTTTTGCTGTTCTTTCAGAATATGTGGTCAAAATTAAGAAATTCCAACAATAGGCTTTTGATGACGTCACATTCCGATATTCTATTGACCCCGTCTCCCCTGACAGCGTCAGACCGTATATCTCTGACAAGTGACACAATTTTTAAGCTGGATTACTGGACTTTCTAATCGTTCACATGATAATTCTACTATAGAACACGAGCCACCAAGTGCCAGTCTTTAAAGAACTCCACTAAACGAATGTCCACTAAAAAATAGGTTATATGGGATAAGGGAAGAATAAATTTGTACATTATATTATGTATAGACGATAGGGTGGGTGACTTCTATGCAACTGACCAATCACTCGTAGAATCTCAATCGAACTTCAACTTCCCCTTCAGGTAAGTATTGTTCAATTTTCAAATTTCATTACATCAAATTTACTCTGTAAAGAACATTTCTTTGTTAGGCAATCTTAATTAACATAACTGCATTCTCAAAGCCAGAACAGAACAAAACAGTGTCTTGTTAAGATATAAGTTTTTATCAAACTTTACACTGACAATGTTTTTGCCAAATTTTGACATCACAGCCATCCTCACCAGCTCAAATCCAAGAAAAAACAACGAAATCCCATCGATATATTAAATATACTCAAATAGCAACTTTTCTCAGCTGGAACGTTTTTGCATAACTGAAAAATGGAAGAGTGGATAATCAGAATATGGCCCGCGAGTGAAATATTACATTGCCTCTGGATCAAACTTTCAATGGAAAGAAAAGAATAAAACTTTTTCTCAGCATACCGTATTCTCTTTTGTATTCTCGCCATCTCTACTATTCCTAACAATCCCGCCTTTTTCCTATTTTGAATTATTAATCCCACCTCTCCGATAATCCCAAGTGCTGGTTTGTTTAAAGAAAGAAATCAAATGGATTGCAAATGTGCCTGGAGCTTTGAATGATTTGCAGCGTAATGTTTTGTCGTTCTTTTTATTAATTTGGTGACAGCAAGGGTGAATAATGTTTGAGTCAATAAGCGTCGCTCAGGGGCGTAACTTGGCCAATAGGTTTGGGGGGGAGGGGTGAAAAGGGTTTTTGCCCTGCGAAAATGAGTGGTGCCCTGCAGACCTCGTAGCAAAGGTTTGCCTATAGGTTACTAGTGAGAGCTTTGCCAGTGTGAATTTGTCTTTACCAAGAACAAACTTCTAAGCAATAAAAACAAACTTGAAACTTCATTGCCTATGAAATATCTATTTTTTTACGTGAGCGTAAATTAAATGTCAAATTTAATTTTAATTTTGTAATAAAGCTTGTATTTCATGGCATATCAAATTTAATGAGGTAGGAGGACCCACCATGGTTGGGTCCGACGTGAAGAAAATTTTTGAAATTATACCTTGTAAAAGGGCTAAAAAGCATCTCCCAGACTAAAATTTAGCAAAATACTGTACTGCTAAAAAACTGATTTTTGTTTATTGGAAAAATAGGGAGGTGGGATGGTATGCTAAAACTCTAGTGATAGACGTTGTGGAAGGAAAGAAACGGTAACCTTTCGTTTCAGATTGCACATAGTTGTGAATGACAGAGCAATGTTGTTTTGATTGGGAGAATTTTATTTCCTGAACAGAAACGTGCAGTTTCTTATCTCGAGAAGGCCAAATGAAAACATTGCAATGTGGACTCAACTTAAATTAATTTGTGTGGACTCAACCTTGCCCTCATAACCTTATGCATCAATCATTGCATCCATTGGCTATGACTTTCGGTAAAGAATGCTTTTGCTCTTCTAATAACGGTGCTCTTCCTGACATAGCTGTTCCGTTCTCTAAAATGCAATGTCAGGAAGGGAGGTTCATACAAAATATAATAATTCCATTTCAAAATTCGTAAACGGCCCTTTACGAAGTTCAGAGGTGGCGTTTCTGCGTGGCAATAAAGCTCTTCTTGGCGCCCTGCAAAATCTTCGATTGCCCTGCGAAATCGGCTATTTTTAAGATTTGAGGGTTGTCACACCCCCTCCACACACCCCGGTATTTTCGCCCCTGGCGTCGCTCTTCCAACCCCGGGGGAGGCAGTACGTTTGAGGGTCTTGTCAAATGGCTACGAGATGACCCATTTTCGATAATAGCTGAACTGCTCAGTTTAGCTTGCGATTTGTTATAGATGATGAACAAGATTTTTCTTTCCCGAAACAACAACAATCAATTATGAATAAATTTGTCAAAAAGGACCAGGGGAGCACAAAGAAATGGATGCTACTTAGGAAATAATTTCGGTTTTTATGCTACCGTTTGAGGGTTTTTGTCAAAAAATACTATCATTTGAAGGTCATTTTTTAAAATTCTAGCGTTGACCCTCTTTTGCCCTGACCGGAACCCCCTGTCAGGCCATAAAGGGAGTAACCCCCTCGGGCTTCCAACCAACTTTGCAATTTACATGCAAAGGAGAACACGGAGAACATGACAAATTAATCTAGCCTCTCTGATGATCTCGCCTCTCTTATAATCCCACATTGAATTAGGAGGCTGAATCAATAAACCCGCAGCGAGAATGCAAGAGCGAATACGGTATGTATTCACTTCGCAAAGTTATATCGGCCCCTTATTTCAAACAGCATACGAGATTTGTTAAATAAATATGATTTCTATGAATTTTTTGTGGATTTTCCTACAAAATGATTCTTGTCAATGGCCTACAAGTGAATCCAGGGGCACATGACTTCATGAGCCAAGCTGGCCCTTCTAATCAAAAGCTTATTTATTCGGAAAATCATGTTTTGATTTTTTATAGTTTAAACTAAGCTTATGTCGCACTATTTTTCTTTCTCTGCTTAGATGCAAGAATTCACAATGGCTCGAACTTTTCTGTTGTTGATCGTTGCTTTAACCACTGCTGAAGGTAAGTAGTTGTCATAATGGCTCTACACTTTGTTAGCCTTTTCTCCAGACCCATGACTTTTTATGAAAAGGGCCTGTGTAACCAAGAGCCAAATCACGTACAAGGACTGGCTAGAGAGTTTGGGTCTCGTTAATGGTCTCGACCACTGACCAGTGGTCTCGACACAGTTCAAGTAAGGGGTCTGGGACGCAGGCTATACTTTGTTCATCAGGGCATCCTATGAAAGGCATTGAGCTCAAATCTTGATTGGCTGGTAGCTTGCCTCTCTTGCCGCTGAGCCAATCACAGCCTCGGAAAGTGTAATTTAGCGTGATTACAAAAGTAAACTTAGCGTGTGAAAGGTTAACACTGAAAACGCTTGTTATTACACTCTTTTTTCTATATAAGAACAATTTTATTAGAACACGAGCCTCAAAACTGGTCAAAAGTTAAGAACAAACTAAGAACAAGCTGAGCACTAAGCTTCTGCAAAATGCAATTTTGAACAACTTTTTTTCTCAAAATCGAGGATTTTTAGCAATGCGTGGGTGCTTTTTCGGTGAATATTCAAATTTGTCAGCAAATTAAGGCTGTCTCACTCACTTTGTTGGCAAATGAGGCATGAACACCTCCTTAGAGCGAAAAAGCTAGCAACAGCACTGCTTACACCCTCTTAATTCAAGAACAAATTAAGAACAATCCAGCCTCAGATTTTCGAAAAAAATTAAGAACAGTCAGCCTGAACTTAAATTTACTGGTTCTTATAAAAAAAGAGTGTAGATTTCCAAAGCATTTGCCGGAGTATATGGTATTAATTTGCTTTACTGGCTATCAATTTTTAGTTTATTCAATTCTTGTGGACTGCAGCCCCCACCCCTGCCCCTTAGGATTGAATAATAGCACGATTTAGAAAGGATAATTTTCGGTATTTACAAGGGTTGTACACCACTGACAAGAGCCCATGCATTTAAAACGTCTGTTTCGGCTGCCTTGGTTGGGAAGTGTTTCATGTGTAGTCTTTGTAAAATTTTGAGTTGTTCCTTCTTATCAAATTTTGATCTAGGTAGAGTAGAACTAAAGACAAAAGTTGGATAACGATATATCTAACGATATAACGTAACTCCGATATAACGGATTCTGAAAGGAACAAGATGATCGTTCATTATATCGGGAGTTCGTAAAAAGGTCCTTTGAGGCCTTTTCGTAAAACATACCTCAAAAGCCCTTCGTTGAGCTTGATTTGGCGCTCCCCGAATTTATTTCTAAGCAAACCAAGATGAATTCAACTATTACTAATGGTTAATTACCGGAAATAAAAACTTAATGTTCCTCTTACAATTCGGGAGCGAAAAAGCATGCTATAGTCGTCTGTGTTTTGGCTTTGTTCACTAAAATGTCGTAAAGTTTTGAAAAGGTGCTAACTTTTGCACGCATCTCGTCATAATTTTCAGCATCATAGAATGTGCATGTTTAAAGATGAAATTTTTGCCAATGATAGTAATTGTTTTCCCCGAGAGAAAGTAAAAGATGTTAAGGTAGTCATAAAACTAATGGAAAAATAAATGTTTGCAAAGGAAACCTAGCTTTAGGATGACAGTGAACTAATTCTATATTCAAATAGGAACGAATTTTCCAATTTTGATTAGATAAATGTAAAGGGAGTCAAAATCGATTCTAGAAAAGAAAAAAGTATCAAAAATTTGTACAAAGGAAACCTAGCTTTAGGGTGGTACTTAATTAACTATTTTTTAAAAGCTGTCATGATATTTGATTCGTGAAAGATGGTCACGTAAGAGTGATTATTTGCTTCTCGCTCTACCATTCAGTGTTATGAAACGCCTCTTACAGCGGGGGAGGGGGAGAGGGTGACTGGCGGGACACGACTGGCGAGACACGTCTCCAGTTCTCGGCAGGATTGACTTTGTATTTCATCTAAATTCGATGAGAAAATGTTGGGGGTGGGACAATATTTTGATAACCTACTTTTTGTGATGTAATCCTATGATTTTCAAACTGCTTTTGCATAACCAAACGTTGTAATTTTCTTGCAGTAACAGTGGAAGCAGCTAGTGTCAGCACAAGCATAGAAGGTTAGCAACCATTAAGGGAAAGCTCGAATGGGGGGGGGGAGGTGGTTAGTTATTACGTGTCTGTTTAGACAAGTTATGATCGTGCAATAATGTTAAGTATAATGATGTAAAAAATGTTTATAGTTTTCCAATTATCCAAAACATCTTTTAAATTAGCATCTGCTTGCTGAAATCTCAATTATATACTTTTTCATCAGTTTTGATAAGATATATGTAAAGGGAGGCAAAATGGATTCTAGAGAAGCAAAAATTGTCAAGAATGTTATTAATGGAATCCTAGACTTAGGGTGATAGTTAACTAACTCTATTTTCAAAGCTGTCAAAATACAACTTAGAAATAAATCATAATTAAACTCTTTCTGGGCAATTAAAATCCATATTAAGCTATGATCTTTATGATTGTTGATAGTAAATATCTATTCTTTTCTTTCTAGCAGCCTTATCGTCAAATTCAACTCCAACATCTATCATGCCAACTTCATGTGAGTTTTTCGTAGAGGCTTGATTTTTTAATAAAAACGCCACTAGCTGAAAACAATTGTAAAAAAATCGCATTTCGTTCTTTTTAGAGTAAAATTATTATAAATAACGATCAATGTTAGAAAATTGTACCAGGAAAATTTATTTAAAATAATTAACTACGTTTCGAGCATAGCCCGTTATCAAGCATAGCCCGTATTTGACTTGATTTACTTACATTGATCGTTATTTAAATTCATCATATTGTACCGCAAGCATTTTAGTATATTTATGTAACATTATTATAAGCTTTAATCTACTAGTCAATTTTGCTTGTCAATTTGTCTCCTCGCTTGGATCTTTTGCGACTCAAAAGTCAACGAGAATATGGAAGTTTAATGATGCTACTTTTCACCTCTCAAACATGAATGGTGTTCTTATGCATAAAGAGCTAATTATCCAATCTTCTCCTTGTGAAGAGTAAACAGAACTTCCTGAAGTGTGATTTTTTCGGCATTGCTTTGTGTAATTGTAGCATCACGTGAACTGAAACAGACCATTAACTATGATTTTTTATGCAGCAACAACATCAGAAGGTGGCAGCCAAACCTTATCAGGTTAGTTAGCTTTGAAGCGGTAACCAGCAATCGGAAGCTGGGAGGGTGTGGGGGGGGGGGGAGATGATGGGTTGGGGGATTGGTTTCTAAATATTTCAAGACTTTTTAGACAAGTTATGATAGTGTGATATCGGAAAGTTGAGCATGGTGATGTGAAAAAGCTCCAATTTTATCACATTCTATCTTCTGTCCTAGCAGTATTATATACTCCCATCCATCCCTAGGGAGTGATCTACACAAAATTTTGATAAAGTCTTTTGTACTATTGGGCAGCAATGTCTATCATGCTCCCAATAGCATTGTCATTGTAACTTTGTTAAGTGAACTTTTAAGACGGTGTATTAAAGAATTTCCCATTGTGAACAGAAAAAAGTTTCTGCAGAGAGCTCCCAGTTAGATACTAAAACGGTGGAAGTTATTATAAACCAAACTTTGCATTGATAGAGTGCCCGGAAAATTCTTTTTCAACATAATTGGCTAAAACTACGTAACAGGCAAAAAGATAAGTATGTATTTCCTTGATAAAAGAGCAGTTTAATGGGGAAAGTGACAATTATCAATGGCTACAACTGGAAAAATTATTTTAATAATGACAATTCTATCTTTTGCTACATACCTGTCCACCTACAAATAGAACTTCTAAAAGTTTATTTTGCGATACAAAATTTAAAAGTGGCTCTGAAAAGAACTATTTTTCTATAAGCTTCTTACTTTTCACACCATAAAATTTACTTATCCAAGCAAGTTCACCAAAGACTTCTAATTATAAAGAATTTTTCAAAAAAATTATTATCATCAGTTTTGAAAAGATAGATGTAAAATTTCATAGTTGCCAAGTTTCAGAGAATAATATGGTAGAGACTTGAGTGCTACGCAGCAGCACTGTGTAGCTATGGAGGAGTTTGAAATATTTCCATGGCAACACGATACAGAAGAGCAGCAGGGGACAAAGGGAGATTAGAACTGCAGGTCGCAAGCCCGCGAGACATCTAAATATAGGAAAGAAAAAACTCTATTGGTAGCATGAAAGAACAACTGACCATAAAAAAAATGTAAAATTAAGTTTTGAATGTTTGAAAATTATAGAATGCGGGAGATTTTTCTAGGTTTTGCTGTTGCAGAATTCGGCTGGAGACAAGCTTGAAATGATGTAAAAGTTTTCAAAAATGTGTACAAAGGAAACCTAGCTTTAGGATGACAGTTTATTAACCCTTTTTTATTTGCTTAGGAAGCAAGTTATAAGTTAACTCTTTTTTCGGCTATATTAAATCTCAATTAAGCTTACACTGGGTATCAAAGTAACAAAACCTCGAGGGCAACAATAGAAAACCACTATTTTCTTCTATTTTCGCTCTCGAATATATATGGCTCTGGTACCCAGGGTATATCAAGCTATAATCTATACGATTATTGGTAGTAAATATGTATTCTTTTCTTTCTAGCAGGTAAACTGCCAAATTCAACTCCGACATATATAATGCCAAGTCAATGTAAGTTTTTCGTAAAAGCATAATTTTTTGATAAAAACGCCACTAGCTTAAAACAATTGTAAAAATTGCATTTCGTTCTTTTTAGCGTAACATTATTATGAGCTTTAATTTATTAGTCAATTCTGCTTGTCGATTTGTCTCCTCAATTAGATCTTTTGCGATTTAAAACTCAACGACAATATGGAAGTTTAATGATGCTATAACTTTTCACGAAATATGACCCTTGGAACGAGATTTCCACAAATTGAAAATATTTTCCATTTTTTAAATGTCGTTAAACTAATGATAGAAGATATTATCTGAGAAAATTTTTCTCTGTATTTTATCAAATAGCAAGTAAGTCCAAAGAAACAAAGTCAGTATTAAAGCTATTCTCTAAAGATTCAAATTAAATGTTCATTCACGGCGGTGCTCATGATCACCTATCAAATAGGAATGGTGTTCTTATCCATAAACAGCTAATTGTCCAATCTTATCCTTGCGAAGAGTAAACAAAACTTCTTTGTGTAATTATAGCATCACGTGAATCGAACCATTTCATTAACTGTGATTTTTTATGCAGCAACAACATCACAAGGTGGCAGCCCAACCTCATCAGGTTAGTTAGTTGGCTTTGATGAGATAACCAGCAATTGGAAGATTAGAGGGGGTAGGGTGATGGGTGGGGGGCATTGGTTGTTAAATATTTTAGGACTCTTTAGACAAATTTCGACAGTGTGATGTAATAAATTTAAGTATGATAATGTGAACATGCTCCAATGTTATCACATTTTATCTTCTGTCCAAGCAGTAGAGTACTCTACGATCTATCCCTAATGAATGATAAGTACAACTAGGGGGCCATGCCTATCATGTTCCCACTTTCATTGTAGAACACGTTAAATGTGCTATCTTAGACTGTGTAAACTGGGTTCAGGACAAGTTGAATCGGCTCGGATACAAAATAAAACGACTCCTCACAACCAATCCAAATGCATGAAATGGCACTGAAACAAAATGCATGCTAAGCTAAAACTGATGTTCTTCAAGAAGTGACTGCAAATACTACACATTGACTTCCTTTTTCTAATGGGTGGATTATTCTAGATTTCTTTATCAAGTTGGAAAGGGCCTGATTATCTTAATGGTTGCATCTTCTTTGGCTTTTCAAAACATTTTCTTATGGTTTGCTAAAATATGTATTTCTTTGCATCTATGTATGTGCATACTCTTATAATCGTTTCGAGCACCTTTTATTCTTGAATACTGAATTCTGGGACGGCTGGCTGGCGATAGGAGGATGTGACACCCAACACCTCCTAACATTCTTCCCTCTTTACTAGACCTCTGATTTTCATTCTTTGAAAATTTTTCTGCATTTGCTTTTTCAATTAAGGACTTATCTCTAAAGATTATTCGTGTAATTGTTCTGGTATACATGCAGCGATGTTTGTTATCATGTTACACGTGGAACATAATTTTTCGTGTCATTGTTTTTAGCAAGGGAGCTTAGATTTAATTATACTGGGGATGGCTCCCAATTCGAATTCAAAATATAGCTATAAAAGGGATTCATATCCTTTGCAAAGATCCATTATTAATGTTCCATTTATGTCTTATTATAAACCTATCAAAATGCCCTGATAATAGAGATTGCCAAAGGCATTCCTTGTGATTTATAATTTTTTAAATTGAGAATATGCACTGCTTGAAAGACTTGTAGAACGCAAGATGTTCGTAAGTTTTAACAACATTAATTTATGTTTTATAATGTTTCTTTAAGCGTGTACAACGAAAGCCCCATCATGTGATACGACCAGATGCTGCATTGGAAGTAACGGTGCATGGTCAGGAGTTAACTCTGCAGCAAATATCACATACTTTTCTGGTTGCAGGAACCAAACACAAGAATCTATGTGCAAAGATGTCTGCAACAACGACCAGTGCAGTGCGTATGCTCCCATACTATCAACAAAAAGTTTTTTGAGCCTCATCTATGCGTCTGAAATGATTTCTAGTTATAATGGAGGAGTAAGGGTTACCATATGGGAAGATAAAATAATGCCATAAGCGTACGAAGAGGGAAAGGGGCTGCAGTCTACCAAAGTTAGCAAATATTCAAAATTGCAATTAAATTAACAAATCATATTAATTGGAATAAGCTCCTTCGAACGAGACCCCTTTCGAATAAGCTTCCACCCTAAAGTATTTTTTGTGACATAAGCCCCCACCCTCAAATAAGCCCCCATTGACTGAGACATTCCTTGACAGAAATATGTATATCCGAATATATCTGCATTTTTAAGCAAGCCCTACCGCAATACATTTTTTGCGAGGAATTCGTCATCATTCGTCATTTCAGAAAGTTACTTTCAGAAAATATCTAGCTCGACAGTAGTTTTCCAGAGTTTTCTTCACTTTTCAAAAAACATCTCGAGTCAAAAAACATCTTAGATAAGCTATTTACTGTTGCTGTGATATGGACATTATCGCAGATGCATTCAAATTTACCTTGAATCTAGGAAAACCCTGGCCCAAAAAGTGTGCATGCTACGGCCCAAGCCGAAATAGTTATCAGGGTCATGTAGAGGCTTTCTGACCAGTCTTGTGGATGGAACCCCTAACGTTTTGAGAAATGGTTTGGGAATGTCGGTAAAAGTTAAGAATGAACAACATGGTGATGTCCTAGTTGGTAGGTACACCTTTCCAGGCAGGTAGATCATGATAGACTATTTGAAATAGCCATGGTTAGGACTAGGGTTAAGTTGGGACTAGAGTTACCTTACTCCATATAAAAAACTCTAAAGTATAATCCTTGTAATTTGATTTATTCTAACTTGACTTGAAAATCTTGACTAGACTTGAAAATATCAGTGCCAAATCACAAGGATAAAAACTGAGCAACGATACATTGCGTTTGGCAATAAAACGCAGTTACAATATCTAGTATTGTTACATAATGACTAAATAGAATTAGACATATTAGCGCAGCATTTTTTCTTTAGTACTGTATAGAATGTATCAAGTTTCTTATTATCGTTAGTGTAGTTGTTGACAGATAAGGACAGTCTGTATTTTGGACACGATTAAATCGCTGTAGTTAAAAAGTGCTGATGACGCTTTTTCGTTTCAGGTAGAGGCGCTGAACTGCAAGTTTCTGTCACAGCCGTCCTCTTGGTGGCTATTGCTTTCTGGTGAGGTTCAGTTAATTTCAATGTGTGAAGTAATAAAAACCATTGACATCTCAAACAGTCGGCTGTAGACTGATTAGGAGGTAGTGTTGTCTTCAATGTCTGCTAATGCTGTAAGGGTGTTACTTTATCCACAGAGTACTGCCCCTGGCGAATACTGCCACAGAATGAATCCTACGTACAAGGGCAAGGACTAGGGGCGGGGATGAACTATCCTACAATGCGAGTTTGTAGAGACCACATTTTTTCAATATTTGCATGCCCTCCTTGGTCTGCGCCCCAGTCCACAAATGCTGCTACTTTTATGGACTATGCAATATTGATAAACATCCTGTCCAGACAGAGGGCTGGGTCTAGTTTATGAAAATAATTTATGCAATGAAACTTTGCATGAAAAATCTTCGAAGAGATATTTACTGAAGCTGAACAGGACGTAGATAAGATTGTGTATGAAGAGTTTAAAGTTTTAAAGGTTGGTCAATTTTAGCTAATTGCATAATTTTGGATGGTTGCATAAATTACCACCAGATCCTGGTGGAAACCATGGACAGGATATTTATCAATATTGCTCAGTCCATAAATGTGGCAGCATTTGTAGACTGGGGCACAGGCTAGTCCTCCTAGGACCTGACGCATATCGTTTCTCCTGCAGGTGGATGACATGGCACCAACGCTAAGCAAGAGCTGAAGAGCTACTTTTAAATACTTTTAAGTGTTGTTTTACTGATTCAGAATTTGGTTAGAAAGCATCGTTACATGCTCATAGTTTGCAAGATTCGATTAGATTAAGTTTCAATTAGTTTTAGGCAAGATTAAGATCGTTTCTGGGTGGCTGCGGTGGCGTGGCCCAGACTAAGAAAAGAGGGGAGTCGAAAGAGATATCACGCGTCTTCCCAGTTACTCAGCGATGCCTCTGTTGTTCCGCGGTAGTGGATTACATTTGTAGCTAAGTCGATGTTGACCTCGTTGCGTTCCAAACTTCGGTAACAGGGTTAAAAAAATAAGAAGCCGAGTATAGATTAGAGGAGGTTCTCTTTCTGGAAAAGAGGCAAACACACAATGGCAGCCAGGATAGTCCTTGCAAATGAGAGCAGGGTGATGAAATTGCAAATGTGCCCCCCCTCCCCCCTAACCTTTACAGAGCGTTATCCGACCTTTGTTTACAAACAAATCTCAGTGCTTGTTTCTTGTTTGCATTTGTTTTTATGAAAGTCACTAGTTTCCGTTCCTCAATGCTGTAACAAGGGGAACGGTGTTTGCAGTGCACAACGACACATTTTTTTATACATTCGTTACTTTTGATGTTAAGTACAAGTATCTCTAACTTACCATCGACTTTTTCTCGTCTCTTTCTGTCAATGAAGCAATGAATGAAAGCAAAATACAGATAAGATGTTGAAAAAGGCAATATTGAACCGAAGTATGAACTTGCTATACGAATCAAATCAGAAATCAAAACGCAAGGATATCTGACAATGCTACTTGAATAAATGCATGCATGCAAATCTCAGCATCTGTGGAAATTAAAACAAAACACTTTCCAAGCACTCTTGGGATTTGGCTATATGGGGCAAATTAAGGTTTAGTGACAATTTGCAGCAGGGTTTTCTTAATCAAAGCACCAATGAGTCATAACTGCGGCTCGTATAAATCGATAAAACATGTTATTTCTATAAGAAATACAAACCTTTTGTTCCAAGAATGCCTCAATGTTATGTATTGCTTGTTTTAAGTATCCAACTTTGCTTTCGGGATTATGAATATTCATCCAGCTTTGCTCCGGTATCAGTTGATCGAGCAGCATTGGCCTACAATGTCTGCAAAGTCTTGGAATGGAACACTGACGTCAGTTTGCTAGGTCAAATTCAGCCATCCCCCTCTCCCGCCACTGAACAGTGTTTGTTTTCTATAAAACGGTTTAGGGAATTAGGAGGTGCCTTCTTTTGCGATTCTTTTATGATATTTGTCTAAATTCTCAACATTGTTTTAGGGGGAAGGGGGCGAAAGTAGTATTTTTTAAGAAAAGGAATGAAAGATGTAAAATATAACGCAATTGGCTGGGTATTCCAAGTATCATTGGCAGGCATTATTGATCTTGTTTATCCCATGAAAATTTTTTCCCCGTGTAGAAACTTTATGGAAGTAAACTGAATGCGGTTCAAATGTACAATTAACAAAAGGTTGCACAAGAAAACAGGGTTTTTCGCTACCATACTGTTCAAAATCAAGGTTTTTTCTGGTCTAAGGGATTTCCACAGAATTTTGTCTTCTTAGACTGTTAAATATGTTTATTTTCTCAAGGCACGGGATTCAAGGGGACGACCTGAGGTCAAAGGTCCATGCTGATCACCTTTTAAAATGCATTGAAACAGTGTCAATTCTACAAGTATAGGCTTGTTAAAAGTGATGTAGCAACCAAAGATTTTCAATGCAATTTTTTATTTGTTTTCCTCAATCTGTTTTCGTCTTCTGTCCTCAATTTGTTGAAGTCAATTCACAACAGCATGTAAAATGGGGTGAAACAGCTCCATCAACACAATTCTTTGCCTTTTAAAATTTGTATAAACTCGCTATTTTTCCCTTTCTTGAACAAACTTCAGATTACAGTTAGAATATTCAAACTAAACGAGCAAAAGTTGGCAGGTACACTTTTTGTGCAAAAATGATGTTTTGATTCATAGAGATTTCATATGAATTCATTGTTGCTATCAAATATCTTAACATTCATAATTATTAGTATACATATACTATTCTTTCAGATGGTTAACAAAATAATACATGCAAATAACCTACAAATAACGATATTAAATGGGGTATATTCATTAATAATCCACTCCTGTTTCGTCATTGGTAGGGATGACTCATATAGCCCTCTTATTGCCATCTATTATATCATTGGGGTAGCCGAGGCAGAGCTTGGAAAACATTTTAGTCACATGGTCAAAGACTGCGAAAAAGGCCGGTGAAGGTAAAGTAAATTAAAAGGGTCAAGCTCAATCCCCGCCTTATTTTCTTTGTATCCCAAGATTGAAGGATTGATCCGGAAGAAGGATGAGCACTTTACTTGACTCCGGGGCAGTGTAGTTTGCGTTCAATAATAAGAAATCTCGTTTTCTGGCACACATGTTCTGCACCCTGACTGCACCCAAGCCACTGTAAAGTACTTCCGATCCGATATTACACTGCAACATTCAGAGCGTATATACGTCAGAACCCAGACAAAACCATGTCCATTAAGAATGGGAAAATACACCAGCTTGGTCTTCATGAGACGCAAATCAAAGAGCTATCTCCCGTTTTCAGATTTTTCTTGATTTTTTACATTTGACATAAAAATACAGGGGATGTTTTAAAGCATGCTTATGATCTATGCTATTCAGATACTTGAGACTGTAATTCGGTTATTCCGGCCTTCTTGCTTCTTGAAGACTTTGCTTCAGTGGGAGTCATGCCCCCCACCACCCCCCCCCCTATGGCTAAAACTGACCCAAATTTTAGGACACATGGGAGACTGGGATCTAAAGGCATATTTATACCACGAACTCAAAAAATATACAGTTCAAACTAAAAATGTATCTCAGCCTCGTCACCCCCTTGTCCAATGACAAAGACTGAGCGTTCTAGAAATATCTGACAAAAAGTTTTACATCTCCAAATAAAAAATAAACAAACTTCATAAATGTACAAACATTCTTGCGATTTCATGCTATATTGGGTCAAGTAATTCTCATCAATATTGCTAGTGATTTCAGAATCATAATTTTTGTCCTATTCTGTTCCTCGGCATTCAATTGACCAGCAAAAAAATCGGAACGGTGAAAAAAATTGTTACTAATCATACCCCACGATATTAACAAAACACTTCAAAGGCGTTTCAGAGACGATAGTTTAAAAAATTCAGAAGCTGGTCGGTATAAAAATGTTATTTGAAAATCTAGGAAGCTGAGTGTTGTTCCCTCATTTTTCGGTAATTTCTCTCAACAGCAAAAAATGATATTGTCCCTAACACGCCTGTAACGACCTGCAATACAAAACACTTCACATAAATTTGAGTGATTGCAACAACTCAAAATAAAAAACACGTTCAAACAACACAGCTTAGAACAGATAAAGTGCATGGGCGCTAGGCACTGGTGTCAAACTTAACGTAGAAACAGTAATTCTTGGAAGATGACCAAAGCATATAGCCACAGTGAATGCTGGAGTCAGGTATGCACTTACATTATAAATTCTTGAAAGTACCCTACGGCACGTTGCAAATAACCAATGTTTTGAAGAGCCTCGTGTTTTCGGCTGTTTTTATTGGACATTAAGAGACCACATTAACATAAAGTTCCTATACTCAGTACTAACTGTGTATGTGGTTTGCTATGGGTGTGACAAATTGGAATCAAAACCCTCGCGCTTGCAAGTTGTTAGCCAGGGTCATGGTCTGACGTAAAAATGGGGTAAACCTACATCTATTAAATACCCTATAAAACTGCCGGAGGGTTTATCGCTTACAAGATCTCATATACAAAAAGGGGAAATGAATTTTAGGGGAGAAAAAGATCAACATTTGAATGAAACAATGGGGCGAAAGACTCTAAATATCACTTACTAGAACAAGGAGTTGCCACTTGAGCGGTGTAGCAAGTGCATACCCAAAGGCGATGGCAGCAGCTACGGACTAAAAAGCAAGCGGAGATTAATGTCTTCATATATTTGGATGGACCAAATCTCCGACTAGGCAGGCCGAAAATTTGGATTTGCCTAAAATACGCAATTCAAATCAGTTCAATTCAACTTTTTCATACATAAAGTTAAATTCAACTCATTCATACATAAAACAACTAAATTCGTAGATAACAACAAAATTTACATTTCACGCGACACAAGAAGCAAAAGATTACTAAGGCTAAAATCAAAATAATTACATTGTAGAAAACAGGAAGAAGAAAAACTGCATATAAGCTAAAACAGTGCAGCAGATGTAAATATATACGACGAGATCAGCAGTTTCATAATTCTTTAAGACAACCATAATTCTAATCAGAAAGCAGCGATCTTGTACTAGAGAGAAAATCATTTTACTTCGCGGTATGGTATTAAGCTGGAAGGTCTTGGTAGCAACTGTAAAAATAGAGTGCAGGTGGGATTTTGCCGTTGATGATATATCAATAAAAGCGAGACAGGGAATGTGAAGATAACATATCTAGGGGAATGGGCGCTGAGACCCCTTTAGGACACCTCAGTACAAAGATTATTTGTTGAAATTACAATAAAAGGCTAAATTTTATACAAGGAAAGGAAATGCATGAATCTAATGTACTACTAACGATATATGGCGAAATCGATCTACTGTCGACTGTTTAAGGAGTCTGTGGTTCCTGTACTCTCACTAAATTTTACATAATTTCTCACCTGTACGAATTTGAACAATGCAAAGGCGGAAGCACTGTCTTCTGAGTACATCGACCCAAGAAGCGAGTAAATCTGCACAAGAAAGACATGGGCGTTGAAAAAAACTCGAAAGGCGTGTTTGCAGAGCTTGAAAAAAGGAAACTAAACTTTCGAGGCTATCTGTATGCTGGAAGACATGATCATACAATAGAAGGTTATTTTAGAAGGTAATCGAAGAAATATTGTACTTTCAAATTAAGACTGATTGTTAACTGTCTTGATAAGAAAATCAGATTTAAAAACTAATTTGCAGTGATGGTAAAGGGAATTCTGATGTCAAATATAGGGACAATGTCAATATCAACTCGACCACCAGTGGAATATTTTTTGCATATTTCATGAAAACAGTGGCTCAAAAACGTTCGGATATATACACCACAAGTTCAGAATTTTAAATTACAAATTCAGAATGTGGGGCTACAAGTTGGTTTAAAAATTGAAGGATTAAGAAACGTAGGAGCAGAAAAATGCCCAAATACCTGTGTGTTGAAACAGCTATCGCCAAAGCCAAGCATATACGCACACAGAGATATGATATGTATGCTGTGTAAAAGAAATGACATAATTAATCCATTTAATGAACTTTATTAGCATGAACTATCAAGTAATAGAATAACTGAAAGACAGTCAGTTGTAAGACTTTAATGATAAGGGAATGGAGGTAACGAAGATGTTAACTTACATACAGTGGAATTTAAGGTTAGTGTCAACTGGCCTGCTGGCAGAGAACTCGACGTCATGTTTATTGAAGCGTACACGTCACTGTGAGTTCGTGCGATCATTGCATCACTGAAGTGGAATCTGTGTATATCATATCACATGCAATTGGGTAGCCCGAGTCACCAGATTAAGGGTATGGAGGGTCATCAGCAATTTTACCGATAATCTAAAGATTTTGTGGACGAGCTGAAGATTTACCTACTAACTCATATGAAGAATCGGGTGTGTCACACCCCTACACCCCCTGCTAGTTACGCCCTTGATCACATATTGTTATCGCACTTTTTACGGATTTCCCATGTTACACAAAACAACTGTATTGGGATGCGATACAATGATCTATATCACGTTACAGGCTTTTTAGCCAGTGAAATTATAGGAACGTTACGAATTTTATTGCTAGAGGGGGTTCATTACAGGCCCTTACTAATTGGCTTCCGTCCACCATTTAAATAAATATAACTTCTCAGAATTCGCACGCAAATGTTACAGTTTTCTATATCTATATTGTTATGAGATACGATTAAGAAACTTTAAATACGATGTTCAATGTTAGACAAGAATCTTTCAATGATATAAAAATATATCCCCTGTAAATTTGATTGCTTAGAATATGCCTACATTCCTGAATTTGACTGCTATAATATCTAAGGCGCTTTCCTTGTAGAAATTCGGCGAACTACTGATTAATAAGCACAATAAGCATTTAAAATATCGTGGGTACAGATCAAACGAAATGAAAAATACACACAGCTTTGCCAGTGAGATAGTGATTGCTAAAACAACGAGCTCAAAAGGGTTTGTTCGAGTGTACACTGGAGATTGTTTGGTCTAAAGAAGAGCAGCTGTGTTGTCTAAAGTATTTATCTAGGGCAACATCGGCATGAATATTACCTTTCTCTTTAATATATGCTTGCTGAGCAATCAACTAAATGTTCCACCTGCATATATTTCCAAAACTTCAACGGCTTGTTTCTACAATGCCTGCCAAAAGTCTTGGAACACTGACGTCAATTTCAAAGGTCAAAATCACTCATCCCTCTCTCCTCTACAGAACAATGTTGGTTTACTATCAAACGGGTTAGGATTTTAGGAAGCACTTTCTTTTGCGCTTTTTTATGATATTTCTCTAAATCATCAACGTTGCTTTAGGGGGAAGGGGCGGAAGTAGTAATTTTTTTTCATGAAAAGAATGAAAGATATCAAATGTAGCGTAAATTGCTGGGTGTTCCAAGTACTTTTGGCAGACATTGTAGATTCGTAAGAAATGTAGCTTATGCCTGTCGGCTCATGGCTGAACAATAGGATTGGAGTAAAACTGGCCTTAAAAGGCCCCAGAAATCCCTACTGGACTGCGTTTGTAGATTCGATTCTATCTGCTTTCCAGACATAGTAAGGGAAAGATGAACCCGATCTTTAAACAGAAAGCTATGTAGAGACCATTTATTTTGTAAGACAATGCATCTGCAATCTGCAAACGTCAGTGATTCTGCTTATTTTAGGCCATCAGCATCCAATTATCAGATGTTTAAAATTATTTTGATTTAAAATACATGTATTTTTTCTTTATAAAGAAAACAAAGAAAAACTTTATCATTGAACAAAACAGATGTGCAAAAAACCAAAAATGAATGAAGTTGTACAGTGATGAATCGAGGGGAAAAACAGTTGATCAAGCTATTATAGAAAATAGTGCGAAAAAGAGGGTTCGTTTGAGATTTCAAATAAAAGCATTTTTATAGACTTTGCTCAAGAACTCAATCATGATTTGATGACTGATTATTTGTAAGTATGGTTCGGGGCGCCAGCAGGATGAAATGCATAGAGGCAAACATCATAGCGAATAGGCACATGGCTACCCAACGTAAGTATACTATTAATGTGAAAATCTTGAAAAATTCGAAAAATTAGCTCTCTAGAAATTGTTTCATCTCTGCGCTTTCCTGACGAGACAATTTGTTTCAAAATGGATATGTTGTCCCCTTGTCCAAACGCAATACTATTTAAGAACAGGATCATTAACGATGTAATACGAGCCGTGCTGTTTTAGCTGAACTTCACATCTTCAATCCTTTCTAGATTTGAATAAGAAAATAACTACACGACATAGCAATGGAAGCCAGGTATTTAGAACCTTTGAATACGAGCTCTATGATTGGCTCTCAGTTTAAAGAGGAGATTCCCTGAGTGTTCGCGGGGGTCAAATTTGTAAGCGTATTCGTTGGTTATTTTAGAGAAAAATTATTTAGAAACAATAGACTATGCAACAAAACGTAGGCCAGCCCTTGGAAGCGGGTTAAAAAAAGATAGACATACTTGTTGTGCAGATGCGTATCGTCCATTGTTTGGCCTATGGGTGCATGATCAGGGATGTTGAGGAGAATGAGGAAGAATGTCACCATGTGGATTACGAACCCCAATAAGACAATTGGGTCGCGTCCGTATTTGTTCGTGCGCTTCCCAAAGATGCCAAAAATAAGACCACCTAGAAAGAAAGAAATTATCAATAAGAAGATTTTGTTGTATCTAGGAGGGGTCAGGCAAATGGGAGGATTGGAGTGCATTATTGAAAGCAAGAAAAGTAAAAGAAGGATTGATGCAAAAATACGGAAGGCTTGGAATGAGCCTGTAAAAAGAAGGTTTACAGAAAGGGACACAGGGGACAGAGAAAAGAGGAAATGAAGTTACTGGTAATCAAACCCTAGCTCTTGGGAAAATAACTTTGCAAGAAGAAACTGAGCGACTTCTTTGTAAAACAGTGTAATTTGAAAAAGCTGTTCCATCAGTGTTCTGAGAAGTACAACAACAACAAAAATTTGAGATGCTGTTCTAATCAAAAACTAAGCTAGGTGACATTCTCATTTGCAATACACGTCACCTAGAAATTAATCACTTCAACTTTGTGAAGAAAGTGTACTACACGATGACGGCTATGAAGCAAAAAGGATGCGAGAAAGGAAGCTCCAGAACAAAGTCGAAGTTTATAGATGCGCATTCTAAATGGTCCACCATATAAAGATACTATCAAAAGCCCTGAGTTTAACGAAACTCTTGATTAGGCTGAAGGAGGGAGTTCAAAACACGAAAACTACAATCTACTAAAACATGTAGTGTCGAGTCAATACGGTGAAGAAAAAAGGCTGCGATTTGACAGTATATGAGAAAACTCAAGAAAAGCTTACGTAATGAAGTAACAAAAATCCATGCACTAAAACAGAAACTGGGGACAGTAGTGATGCAATCATTACTACAATCACCGCAATCATTACTACAAACTGTAAAATGTATTCATTGTGCCTCAACCTAACCTCTTTACGTTGCCTTCACTGCGTGCAGGCAGTTATGACAAGACTAAATTATACCACAGACGTATATATGATCGTCTTTAATTAGCAAATGAATGCTACGATCGATTAAGTAGCAATAACTTGACAGGAAATGTTTTAAACCTGCCATACCGGTGATCTCGCCGATCCCAATCAGCATTCCCACTAGGCCTAGCTGCTGCTTGTTGTTCTTCAATAAACCAGTGTTTGCTGAAAAGCAAGTAGAACAACTAAGAGGAGGCTCTTTTATCGTACTGGAATATAAATATTTCTTAAAAAGGAAGCAGCTTTGCAACCCAAAGGAAAGGAGAATATCAGATATCTAACAGCATACTTACAAGAAAATCAGTATTCGGTTACTAACATAATCTTTTAAGCGATTAACAGCATAGGTAACTGCACATCTACTGAGCATCAAGTGATAAAATTAACAAAACGGACAAGCCTAACATACAAAAGTAAATAAACATTTAGAAAATAAATATTACTAAATAAACACAAATAAACACCCACCAACACTTGTCCCATACACGCCACTGAAGAATGTCAACTCAAACCCTAAAAAGAGATCCCCTTATTACACATACAAATATGAGTGAAAATTACTGCCTACCGGTCTGGTATAAAGTGCTCGATGCCGTATAGGCAGTAGCAACTTAGAACCGTCATATTCTATATACCAAATAGCACATATAAATATTAATCATTTTGCATGCTAATAAATTTGAAACCCGCTTAAGACTTCATCTACATGATCAGCTGGGTATGTGCTCATGTAGCTTGGAGAAAACATTCCGCATTCCTGTAATTTACGGAAATGAATCATGGGGGAGCCACGGCAAGACTTTTAACTACTGAGGTTTCCCTACAGTATTTTTTGTAAGTCTGAAGTACTGATATGTGAATCTTACATGACTCAAATGAACTTTGCCTCCCCATATCCTCTAGTCATTTACGGAATGTTTTGTTCGCCAATAAGATTATTTCAACGGTATCAGTAAGAATTACCTGTATATGCAGTTGTTACGGAAATAAATGCCATGTTTTTGGTTGCAAGCATCTGGAATGATCGCACTAAAAGGAACATAGAATCAACTACCAATAACCTTCACTGCAAGCACTTAATGATATAAAAATCATTTAAAACTGTACTTTATTAAAGAAAATAAAATATAGCATTCAAATTCTGGTTGAGAATATAATATATTTGCTATACGGAAGATATTCGGCAAAATTAAAAATCTAACAGCATGGTTCCATTGCAAAAAGCGAACGGTGTAAAAAGTTTATAGATTCAAGAAGATCTGGATGAATGGATGAAAATGAACTGGAGATTGCAAGCTAAAATTTGCTTTGTTGAAAATAACTTACCGAAGATCTGAAATGGCGTTAGTCGTGGTGACGAGCCAAATTGTTCATCATCCGTACTAAAATGATTAAAAAGCATAGTATGATCTGACCCCGCTCCCGCTTCAATGCTTGGAAGAATATATATGCGTGACCTTGGACTCACCGCAGAGTGCACTCATTCTTCCTCTACAAAAAAGGAAATTGCTTGGGCATATCCAAGGTATGACTTAATAAAGTGGTTGGATTACATACCGCGTTGCAGTAGTTGAAGTGCTATCGTAACTTGGACTCATTTCATCTTGCAGTAAAGGTTTTTCTTCATATCTTGGTGTAGGCTGAAAAACAGATGTACCAGGTGCAGTTGCAAGACAAAAAAACTGGACAGCGTACCATTTTAAGCTAACTTTATTATCAAATAAGTCTCTTTCAGATTCTGGTATTGCTGATTGATCATAAACAACATGAATAATGATGGCATCAGTTCCAATTATCAATTTTCACTTCTGAGGGTGGTGGCTTCTGGTGGTTTCATATCCAGGACAATCAATCTCGGCATATAGAGGAGGCTAAAGTTACTGAGGAAAGGACCTGACAAAAGTAATTTTTGCATGGTTTCATGAATTTAAAAGTTTTCTCAAGGAACATAGTATATCATCACCAGATCAAATATACAATTGCGATGAGTCTGGTTTTCCATTGCCGACATACTCCTCGTATTGTATTGACAAAATGGTAAAAGGCGCTCTCCATTTAACCAGCTCGTCTTGAGCGTCAAACGTCTTTTACCACTTTCCCAGAGGATCATTTATACCACCGTCAGTCTACTTTCCTGGTGAATTCTTGAATCCAGTGTTCTGTTAAGGTTTCGTTAAAAATGTTTTTCGTGGCTTTTCTGATAATGGCTGGATTGAGTCGTGTCACTTCTACTTTCAGTTGAAGAAAATTATTGACTTTTGCAAACTTTCCCGAATTAATTATCGTTCTTGTTTTGCAATGGGTATAACGCAGTTTGTGACAGCTTTATAATGGAGAATTGTCAGACCAAGCTTGTTGCTTAGCAATTTTGATAAACTTTTTATGTCCATTGCTGTGAGTGACTATCTGGAAAACATGGAATGTGAAATGTTTGAATGCTGGAACGTGGTTTCTAAAACGTATGTAACTACATGCTAACAAGGACAATTTTACTGACATTGGGTTCATTGTTTCGATATTTATAGCAAAGGAAGGCTAAATTTCTTCTATTCACATTCCAACATTCCAACATTAAAACATTTCAACCTTCTGCATTTCATGTTTTCAAGATTGCCATTGTTGAGCAGTGACTATTATTGCCAAGTGTCTTTTACTGATGAGTTTCTAATGCTAAAAAGTGTCCCTTACTGGGAGATCTGTACGCTACTGACATTTAACAATAAGTATCCATTACTGTTAAGTGTCTATAATTGGGAAATATCTGTTAATGGGAGTTCTGTCATTGCTATGTATGCGTTATTGGGAGGCGTCTGTTATTGAAAGTGCCCATTTAATAAAGTCCCAATGAAGTACAATTGCAACTGCATCTATTTCCTATGATAAAACTCGTGTACACACGAGCCCCGTGCCACAGTGCAAAGTGGGGAACTATCTGCTGCCGCTTATGCTTGCGTGGGAAAAATCATGTTGCAAAATAGCAGGTTAAAAGCTGTGGGATTTTATTTTTAAATAGTATTTGTCAGCCTCGTAGCGAGGCTGTGCGCAGGATTCACACGAAAGTCTGTGCTGCAACTGCAGGGATTAACATACATTTACAAAAATGCATTTTGTAGTCTGGGCCCCGTGTATCTTACTGTTCTATTACCGCGTAAAAATGTGTTAAAACCTACATCGTTTGTGTTTTGGTTGTCTTCTTGCGATTGACCCGGCGCCTTGCGAAGAAACAGAAAACAGAGGGTTCCCGCAAAGCAACATGAGGACAGGACAGTGAATATAGTTCTTCCTTCTTTCGCGCCTGGGAAAAAGAGGGAGTTTTCTTGCTTTGAATGACAGTAAACATGCTAAGTTTCATGGCAACAGAAAACAATAATCTCTAGAACAACACCAAAATTCTAAACATTCATTGGTTGCCTTAAATACAGCCAGGTAGGTATTTCATTCACAAGAGGGAATAGATTTCAGTATTTTACTTTCTGAAAAAATTTCGACATTCCGTCCTTGATCTGGTCGTAGTTTTTAGCTTTTTAACCAATAGCAAAAAACCTAAACAACCTTCAACTTAAAATTCAAAATAATGATTGACCTTCAATGTTGACACATGGAAGGATGATTTAAAATCATAAGTGCAGTTTGGGAATAAAAAAATCTATATGATTTTAATCAATTCTTGGATTCAAAAATATTTTGTAAGCGGAACCATAATAGGAGGGAAACAAGAACTTGAAATGGCTGAAATGCCAGCCAAATATACTTGGAACACCCAACAATTTGCATTGAATTTTATATCTTTCAGTTCTTTTACAAAAATTTACTACTTCCACCTCCTACCCCCTAGAAACATGTTGACAGCTTCGATAAATATCAAACAAGTAACGCAAAAGAAGATACTTCATGATCTCCAAAACCACTTAATAGTAAACCAACTATAACTATGGGAGAGAGGGATATGACTGAAATGGACCTTGAAAACTGATGTCAGTGTTCCAAGAATTTTGGCAGGCTGGTTGAAAGTTATCGTCAGAATAAGTTTGTCCCAGAATAAAGATTGTTGAAAACTATAATAACAACAAAATGTGTGTAATTTTTGTAAAGTACAGTAGCAAATATGAACTCACTGATGTCGCTTTTTCCATTCAAATAGAAGTAGACAAACATATTTCCAAACAGAAGACTAAAAGTTAGTAACATACAGATTATTTTTCGTGAATTTATAACCTTTAGTATATGAAAGAATTCACTGACAATCTATTTTCATTGTAACAAAGAATGTTGTACAATAGCATATATACTGTATTTCCTCACTTAAGGTCAATACACAAATGCACATCTCGTTCTAATCAATGCTGCATATATTTCTGTTTATGATCATGTTAAATAAAGCTATATGTAAACAGCTATATTTAGCTATATCAATCGTTAACTATAAGAAAATTTCAATTTTTATTATCACTGCTTACGAAGTATGCCACGGTTATTTAGTTGTTGTGTTTAAGAGGCTAATTGATATCTGGTTATAAAAGTTACTACTTCTTGTCAATGTTGCCACAGCATATTGTGTGAACCATTTTAACCCTTGAATATTATGAATGAGATAATATAATGGCTACTTTACAAAGTCTGTTTTCTTCAATCATGCAGTATCAACATATTGTACACTTTCAAGCAGCGAATAAAATATTTACCTGCATTGTAGGAGAGCCCAGAAAATTCCACTGTTTCTGCCCATAGTCTCATGATTAGAGTTGATTGTCAAGAAGTTTCCTTGGGCTGTCCAAATGACTAAAAAAGAAGATATTATAGCTTTCTGAAAAAAGCCCACAAAAGGATTTGATTTTCCTCTCACTCTCTTCACTTAATAGAGTGAATCTTTTTTGTTGTGGCAATTAAACAAATTGGCAAGAGTTTCATGTAAGCACCTTCATAAAGAAAACTCAAATTTGGTTTATTCAGAGCACAAAGTCTGAATATAATAGCAAAAGGTCTGAAAATATGGAGTGGGAATATTCAATTGCTAAACCTTGAAAACAAAGAGGAGTAGACTGGTGGATGTTGGGTGCTATCTTGTGATAACAGCCAGGGCTTTGGGGATGTCATGCTTCAATAATCTTGGCCACCTTAGCGATGTTACTGTCTCCTGATTACTCATTTAATTAGCAAAAAACTGAAATTCAGCTACTGTACTACTGCAAATAATGGCATTAGTCCTCTTTTTTACCAATAGCCTTGAATGTGCTCGTAGCACTCAAAATATGATATTATATTTACGATTAAAACTCAAAACACCAATGCAACAAAATATATTAAGGTAGTAAAGATGACAAGATCCTTTTTCTGCGATACAGGAAGTTTGAAATCAAGTTATTTGCTATAGAAATTAGAAGATTCTGTGTATATCAAAAAAATAAAAAAAATGTTACCTGCTGCACCAAAGCCAACAATAACAGAAGCCAAATACAGTGACCAAACAAAGGGGTAAATTAGACTCCCAATAAAGATGCTATAAATAAATAGATATCAAAAGTAACTGACTAGTATATATCATTACATTCCCATTCAATCTGTCATAATATTCACTACAAGTTCACTTGTGTGAGTTCAAAAGACTATAAATTGGGATAAAACATGATAAGATGATTCAGATTAAGGAATTATGTTTATGTTTAATTATCAATTATATGTATACTAAATAAAACCATGTGTTTATATGCAGATATATACAGAAAAAACTCTGACCTTCATTGGAAAGATTCACTTACAACATTTAACTTCGCTAATGAGCATTTATTAAGGTTACAAAGAAAACAATTTTTACAAATATGAACACAAAAACTAACAATTCCTTGAAGATTGGGATAAATATGTAATTATAAGTTCTTGCAGAGAAAATGAGAGGAACTTTCACTTGATAAATGTACTGATACAACTACATATACTTACCAATATGTCAGGCCACTCAGTAATAAGGCTACTCTTGGACCAACCACGCTGACAATGGGTGGAGCAATGAAATTGGCCACAGAGAACACAGCATAAATGATGGACAGACTGGAAATTGATCAAAATATAATTTATTCATTCTTTATTAACAAATTATCAAATTAAAATTATCAAAAAGTGCAAAGCAAGAAGCAAAGAACAAGATAAAAAACTGCACATCTAATAAGCAAAAACAAAAGCTTTGATTATGCTAATGTACTTCTTTATTTGAACAGGAAAAAATAAAAAAACTACATTTTCTTTGAATAATATTCATTGCCATTAGGGTGTCATTTCAAGAGGTTTCTGTTTTTTATGCAGACATATACCAGCACACCTCCTGAATAGAGTAATTTGGGATGTCAATTTTAGAAAACATAAGGATTAGCAATGCTTTACCTGGTATAGCCTTTCCCTGTGAAAATAAAAATATGGAGTTATTATTATGGGGCACAAAATAAATTTTTTGATGTTAATTTCTAATGAAAATAAATGTAAAACAGTCTGTTATAGTATTTGATGCCAAATAGGCAGTGCCATACCAGCTTAGCTATGCAGAACAGGATGGTTCTAAGTTGCAACTACTAATTTCACACTTAATGCAGTAATCAGGCAACAAATCACAAATCTTAAAGCAGCAAGATATAAAAGACACATCAAAATAATGATACCCTTTATGCATGCACACTAAGTTACTGAACTAGAAGTTCTGGTACACATGTTAATTCATTAAAACCATTTAAAAAGTGCATCTAAAATCTAATTAGCTAAGTTTCAACACAACCAGAAAAAATGATAAACTGATACAAACCATCAAATATCTTTTTTCCATCTCTCACAATACTATTGAGAACTGGTGTCTGTAAATATAGATTTTGTGAAACATTATATAGCACATACACATTTCAGTGAATTTCTCTGAAATATCAAGGGTGTTTACATGATGCCCATTAAACGGTTTATTTGCAGCTGTATCATGAAGACTTTTGGAAGTCCCTTAATGGAACAACTTACTCTGCTACTAATTATAAAATATCTAGGGTATATTATTACTCTTGCATTCTAGTGCAGTATAGCATTCTTGTGTACACAGAGCCCCAATTTCAAGATGAAATGAAAACAGTATCAGGGAAACTGGTAAAAATGTTGGGTTGAATTAGGAAACTGAATCGGATATGAAATTAAAATGTTATATCATGTAAATAGGCCTTAAATGGAATGCCATAAGCTGCACTGCTTGGGGGTAGCGAGGCAAGTGCTAAGTTGTTCCCTTTACGACCATACCCTTTTCCGAAGATGGCCTGTATAAAATAAATGACTTAGACTGATATCTTGGGTCAGAGGCAAGCGCAAGATATTCAGCATAGCTGCGAGCATACAGAAGTTTTCCAGCCTGGCATCCTAGCAGTATGTCATTGGTACAATGATAATAATTATTAGCACCAATGAAGAGAGATGGGAAGTAGTGACACAGGATCTCAATGGTAAGCAGATTATGTTTCCTTTTCTAGAATCCTTGTTTATATTCTGGACTGCTAACAGGTACTTCTACACTATTCATCAACTACTTCATGAAGAAGGTTATGTCAATGTAAAGGAAAAAAAGAAATCGAGGAAAAAAGGAAACACATAGGACAACAGCAAATGCCAAGATGAAATTTGGAGCTTGAAAAATTTGAGGCATATGACATATCAGAGCTTAACATATCATAGAGAGAGCTCTCTATGTGAAATAGCCTCCCCCTCCCCCCCTCCCAAGAAAAAATCATACTTTAAGTTGAAGAAAGGTTGCTCTGTTGTCAGTGTAGTTGAAATGATCTAAACCAGTCAAAGTAAAGATGGAAAAAACAACAAAGTTATGCTACAAGAGGGTGGCTGGTATGCAGAGCTTGCCAAAACTTTTGGCTATACACTTGAGAATAGGTGGGTATTGTGAAAAAGTTTTTGATTAGCCTGAAAAAAAGCAAACAGCTTTCCTAAAAATTTCCAGGTGAGCTCTTTGTAGATACCTTAAATCCTCGAATTAGCCCCCTTGGAGCTTATGTATTTATTTCTGAAATTTTTGGATGGGGGCTTATTCGAGGGGGGGGGGGGGCTTATAAGAGGAGGGCTTATAAAATTATTATAGATATTAAGAAGACATTGTTTTAGTAGGAATTTCTTTATGAGCATTTAGTTAATCATTACCAAAAGTATGCAATTTTGTGGCAATTCTATAAAAGGACAAAGGCAACCTCAGATGGCAACAATCATCAAATTGAGGGGTCCAATTTGAAAATTTACTATAGCATTGGGGCTTATCCAAGGGGGAAGCTTATTGACAATTTGTAGTTCTAGGGTGGGGGCTTATTCGAGGAGGGAGGTCAATTCGAGGATTTACGGTAAATAAGAACAGAAACAATTGGAGCATTTTTCAAGGAGAACAATTTGCTTTTTAAACGAATTTAGGAGAGCAGTATGTCACTCCCTCCAGCATTTGAGGAGAGCTTAAAGAGGAGCAAAAGCTATAGCTTATTTCTCTTCTCAAATGGCCAGGCCTGAGTGAGGGTGCAACTATCTCTTGTGGATTCACTTTACTTTCGGCCTTTTGAGCATAGAAAAATCTTAAAACAAATATCAAAATACATTTAGAAAGGAAAAAGAAAAATTTATGTAGACTGAATAGCTTTTAGGCACCAAAAATAGCTTGTTCTTTCTCTTCAAACGCAACTCGAATTTAAGACTCCATCCGAATCTCGCTTGGAAAAACAGGCAAGCTATTTACTCGCCTTTTCTTGAACTACAATGACTTTGAGCTACAAAGGGAAAGCTCAATAAAAATAAAGATATGTTACTTACCTGAACATTTGAACTTGTCTGAAAAGCGGTGAAAACAAACATAAAACATAGACCAAGAACTATAACATTGTAGAATGCCACGTTGAACGCCATTTTGAATAAGAACCAAGTGTTGTCATGTGACACAGGGAATCAATCTAATACAGTCCATCATATTTGTTTATGGTGGTGTCAAATATTAAGCTCTCTAAAGTTTTCAATATTCGGTGACTTTTAATTCAAAACAGATATTAAAATTAAGATTTAGTTTAACAAAAGTGAAACAACTTTCTGAGGAAAAGGCAACCTTGTCGTTATCTATGATGGAAAAACTAGAAAAAATCCTTAAAGAAATTTGCAAAACTTGGAAGCTAGAAAAGTTGCAATATGAAATTGTTTTCTAACTACCAGATCAAAAATTGCTGGAAAGAATCTTTAACGAGACAAAAGCTTTCATTCAAAAACTTTGCAAATAAACTCTGGCTGTCTATTTGCAGTGATTCATTGATCGAAATTATGGCTATACTTGATCACAGTTGATACCCTTTCTTACATAGGCTTTCTTGGGGAATTAAACCTAATAAAAGTATTTGACTACGAACTATCAAATTACTTTATACATATATGAGCGGGGTGGATTAAAACTTATGGTAAACTTTCTTTGACAGCCAGTAGATGGAATGACGCCGACCCACATAAGATAAATGTGTTTGAGCAGAAAATGTCAAAATAAATTCAAATATTTTTGATCGGTGTACCGTCAAACAAGGTTCCTTTTTTATTTGAAGTTTAGAGATTAAGCGGTCCTTTGGCAATACTAACTCTCCGTTAAAGGGCATATGTCCCATTAACAGTTGGCTATTACAACAAAAACGTTCAGAGTGAATACCATTGTTTCGTGATTTTTCATTTTTGTTTAATGAATTTTAGCCATCGTGAGATCCAGTCTAGATCCCGTGTAAAAAATATAATTGTATTGCATTAGCAGATCAGGTTCACGGCACATGATCATTCAATAAATATTTTCAAGGCTATGACCAGTGGTAGCCTAAATAAAATGGGCTGGAATGAAGTGTATCTTTAAGTACCATGGCCTAATACGAAATATGGTAATAGTCCTACCACTCTTTTCAGCATTTATTTTGGTAGTTTAGTTATAGTAATTGGTACTAGTATGCTTAAATTTGTTTTGTTTTTTCGAAATATTGCAGACGTACATGCAAGATTTGCTAATTTATTCAATAATTGGCACCGTATCAAATATTCAATATCTGCGTGGTATCAAGATTTATTTTGTTTTCCTTGGCCTTCCTTTGATCGTACGACTACACTCGAAGCCTTGCCCTTAACATCCCTGGCCCCCAATCATAAATAGTGCATAGTACCTTTTCTTGGAAATTCAAAGTAAGCCAGAAAGACGATAATAAACGAAGAAGTTCCATCCACCAACAAATATATCAACAAACATTTGTGCTCAAATCTGACTTACATTTTAAACAGAGCACGAATTTATCAACAGCTTATTTACAAGGTTACAAGTTATGAAGATCGGTAGAAGATTCAGTCAAAAGAAGCAATCTCTTGAAAAAGCATCGCATTAACGATCGACATCGCCGTTTTCATCATTTGAGTCTTTTTGTTCCTCCTACGAGAGAAAAACACAAACCAATTATATATGGATATCTCAGGAGAACGTGTTATTATATATATGATATTAAAATCTGTTCCAGAGAGGAGAATACCATGACTTGTTTTTTGGAAGAAAGTTAAAGTTTATTGGCCCGAGGACGGATGAAAACGTTTTTGTTGAAGATTGGTTCAAGCACAGCCGAGGCTGGCCTTGTGAGGCTCGTGTAACTCTCCTTTTCTGTCCCTTGGTTTTGCTGCAAAACTGGAATCTAAAACAGAAACTAACCTCTGACACTTCTGTGATAGGCCCATTTTCTGCATTTTCTACATTGTCTTCATCTTGTGGCAGTGTATCATTTTCAAGGGCTTTCTTTGCATTTTCCAATGCTTTATTAGCATCCGCGTGCTTTGTTTCACGGGTTTTTTTCTCCGCTTCAATTACTTTGTAGAAATCCTTCTCTGCTTTTTCAATCAAGTCTTCATCTGTCTCCTCTAGCCTCTCAGGCTCCTCTCTGATGAGTAAATTGTTAAAGGCTTAGTCAGAGCGTTAAATGGAATGAAATTAAAAATAATAATGTAGAAATAACACATCAATTGATTAGAGTAGCAAAACAAGACTACAGAATCATTTTAGGAGCAATGACTTAATAACTTGAGAAGAAGATTGAAGACTTAAGATTATTGAGACATGAAGGATGATAACAACTGAATTAAATCACAAAAAACGAAATAGGCCATCCAAAAAGGTACCAAATCTTTATTGGGAACATACAAGGCAAAGAGCTCCCAAATCTACAGATTTTTTCATAAGGTCAAACCCATGACTTTAACACGAAGGACAAAACAGTTTTAATTCACAAAGTTGAATTTGCAAACAAAGTAAACAAACATACTTTTCTTGCTGACTTCTAGAACGCTCTTTCAATCTCATTTCTCTGTGTCTTGTTTCTAGAATTTTCTCTCTACGAGTTTCTCTCTCAAACATCTAAAAAAGCACAAGAGGTCATGCAAAATAAACTAAGAGTGGCACAAACACAACTTGGACTTTGATATTGAATTTGTCTATCTTGAAGGTATTTATCAAATGGGTAAACCATAATTTGTTCCTTAATGCTCTCAGCGCTATCTAATTTGGTTTTGGGCACTTACACGAAAATAATCAATGGTGTTATGAAAATTCTAAAAATGTGTTAAAAACATTTATAGCAACGATTAATCAAAATAATATTAAAAACATTCAAGAACATTGATTCTTCAGTCTTTCGTTAGCATCAAATACGGGTGATGAAAATTCCACTATTAAAACAGAAAAAGAACATTGAGCATGTAAAAAACCACTTAAAAATAGCAATTGCCCTTTGGAGATTCCCATTAGTGGTAGTTGTCTTGAGAAAATTGACTGTGTTTTGTATTTTCATGCAATACGATATAAGGCAGGTTCTTTGAATTATAGTCGAAAAGCATGCCGGTTGCGCAAGAGCCTTTAAGATGATCCTAGGCTCAATTTGATTTTTGACCGAAGCAGGCAAATCAATGTTAATGGCTCAATGTTAGTGGCCTACGAGCATAAATCCGGTGCTCTTGTGTTCATTACGTTTTCTGGCTTGTCAAAACCAAACTCTTTGACGCATCATATTTCCTACTCACTTGTTTACAATGAGCTTCCCATTTATTGTTGATGCAATGGCAATAAATTTCATTACCCAACGTGCAACCAATCAAATAAAAAACTGCCTGTAATGTAAGATGCATTAAGGCTGCTTTTATGTAGGAAAACCCTCTTCATGTACTAATTAATCTTATACAACTTACAGCCGTCATTGCAGATTTCTCATTCCTAAGCATCTTATGCAAACCATCAGATAATTCCAACAGTGTTGTTGTCCCATCATGTGAGCCACAAGCAACAAGTCTTCCCTGGTCCTGAACTCTTAACGAATACAAGGCTTCGTCACAAACCTGTCAAAGAAAATTTATGTTTGTAAGACACTCCCTTGAAAGAAACCTCATGAAACAAAAAAAATTTAGGCCATGAAAAAGAGCCAGAATGTAAATAGAATGCTGTCAAAGAACAATTTGTGCAGCAACCTTTTCTTAAAAGCAAATCGTCAAATATATTCAGGTATGACTGCATAATTGTGAAAAAAAACAAAATACAGTGAAAATTTCTAGCTATTACACAATTTGCAACTATTATGCTTTGGTCATTAGTATTATTACACATTGGCAGAGGTGTTAGTTTAAGACGTTGTCCTGAAGCAAAATATCGGCAAGAAAATACGCTGATTTGAAATTAGACTCAATTTTTTTAAAGAAACGATGTAAGCTGGGATTAAAAATAAACAGCATTTGAAAATTTTGGAATTAAATAGTTGGAATGACCATTGGAATTACCATTGAAGGTACTTTAAATTTATCCTAGATATATCATGAATGAATTTACGGAAAAGTTATGGCAAATCAGAGCATTAAGAGGAGAGCATTAGTCTTGAGAAAGACGACAGAAGCAAATTTAAAGTAGCAGCATGTATAATATTAATAGGGCTAAATTTACGATCAACCTTACTCATATATTACATGTCAAATACAGCTTAGATACGAAGGTGTGTTTTTACAGGATGACTTTATCTGTTTGCGTACTATTTAGTCTTTAATACTTGAAGCAGGGTAAACAAAAATGTCTTTTTTCAACCAAACCGCTGTTTTTTCTCATTTCTTAGTCTTGTTGTACCTGCTTGTCATAAGCTTATCCGAGCTGGTCTATGTATCTCGAGACCATAATCAAAGTGATAATTTTCATTGTACTGTTACTCAAAATAAATCTGTTTTCAATTCTTTCTTTGGTGACCGATAATCGTACACGACAAATGTTTACCTGGATGCTCAAAGTCGGATCGTTTTGTTTAAAAAGATAATCCCAAACATCAAGGCAACCATCCATCCGTGTTGTAAAGAAAACGGCAGGCCTGACCGGACTCCAGCAGCCGGCAGTGAGATATGTGACATGTTGCCTGCAGAAGAAACAATAAGTCCAAAATGCAAACTGACAGCAATTATAGACACATAGCTGCTAATGTTTAAAATTACTATGCATATTGTAATTTTATTTTTGCTTTAATAAGGTGATTATTCAGCAAAAAGGTATCCTTAGTACAAGATATTAAATTAATTTATCAGAAAACATCCCCCTCCTCCCCCTCTTTGAGCTTGTAAATGCCTTCAAACGCCAACCAGCCTCACCGACAGCAAACGAGTAAGTGATGCTTTAGAAGGTTTTTTCCATCACGTATAGCAAATTAATATATAAAAGAGAATGAACACAAATAAAGAAAGGCATAAACATTTTCTAACAGCAAAATGAGATATCTTTGGATCTTCTACTTTGGATACAGAGCCAGTACTACTAACATGCTTGAAAAATGTTAGGTGTATCATTTCTAAATATTCCCCTCTCCCCTATCATGCAAGTTTACCAAATAATGCCGAAAGGCAATGTTCTTTGTAAATAATACCAATTTTCCCTTTTGTGAATAAATGAACTGGCACCGCTTTTCCTGTTTCCATTTACTCAGTAAATAGGTCTTTTTTATCTATAACAACATCATCATAAATTACAGCAAAATGAAAGAATGCTGCACAAGCCGTCCATTAGAATCTTCGAAATTTGGAATTACAAAGACGGGACTAGGCATATATCCAGCGAACATTCAATCGTATTTTGCTTTGTATTTTCTATGATATTTTGTAGCAGATTTTTCGGTTTCGTTTTCAGAAATAATTACATCTTAAACACTTTCAGTCACCTATGAAAAGAACGTAAAACAATGTACATCATTATTCTTAATCTAAAACCTTGAAAATGCCCTCTATAACAAGGCAAGTTGAATGTCTTTTCATACAAAAGTTCAAAAAGGAATACTAACTTTGTCCACATAATTGAAGACTCGCGAATATCTTCAGACCATATCTATAAAATAATGACATGCAGCTCAATTACACTGGAGAGCATTTGAGATTCGTTGGCATTGGCAAAGCTAACCTGTTTCTAAAATAATGCACAAAAGGTTTGTAGAATGAAGCTTAAATTCACTGGCACTGCAATTTAATATTGAAGAGCTGAACACAAAATATTACTAGTTGCAAAAGGAAGTCTCACCCTAGCAGTCCAATCTCCAACTGTAAGGAAGTTCTTTGGAAAGAACGGGTTTCTCTAAAAGTTCAATATGACTTGAATTAAGAACGGCGATTAACAAATGCAACAAGAAAAATAAAATAACGTTAACTTTGATATAGTAAAGAATAAAATCAAAGTTGCTTTATAATCCAGTGTCGATAGAAACAAAAACAGTCTAAAATGTTAAACATTGCAATACGAGACACATCTTGAAAGTAAAGCAAAAGAACGGTATTTTCACAATAAGAAACAATATTAATTTTCTAAACATGAAAGAGAATTTTAAAAGGTGAACTATGATGAGAACAGTGACAAATTTGAATAGAAGTAAATAACTATATATTTTGTAGGCAGCTTGGTTAGAACTGACTGTCAAGTGTTTTTAATGTAGAAATAAAGGATAAAAATTGAAGACACTCAAAAAAACTTAGAATACGGTATATACAGTGGGTACCATAGCCAAATGACCATAATTGCAAAAAAGAGGAAACTGTGGTTTGAAAAGTTCTTGCAAAAGTAACTCAGACAAAAAAGCATTAACCATAAAATATTCCATGCCAGCAAATGTGTTTAAGGCAAAACAATTTGATATAAGAATGCATTCAAAAGCTAACAAGAGAGAATGCATTCAAACTAAAAAAAAAGGGTAACGAGTAACAGAAACAGGGGAAAATATCCATACCTGAACAGAATAAACAGGACCATAGTGTTGATTGTAAATAGCGACGATTTTGTCATTGGCTGATTTCGCTTTTCTGTTGCAGGATAAGACAGAGCCTTGCTCGGTGCCAACCATGAATTTCGTCGGCATAGTTGGCTCATACTCCAGTGCCACGCCTCCAAGTGGACGCGAGGACTCCTTAATGTTCGGTACAAGCTTCAGGGATTCTGTTGGCTCGCCCAATTTGCGGATGTCCCACCAAAACACTTGCCCATCGGTGCTTGTAGAAAAGCATTCGGCACCTATTAATGTTGCGGAATAGTAAACCATGCATTAAAGGAATAAATGGATAGAGAGAATCGTAAACATGAAAACGAAAGATTAAATTTTTCCTACTCTACAGGAGAGGTGAAATTTTCTTAGTCAGTACATCATGATGCATGATAGAATGAAAGTTGGCGCCACATCATTTTCAAAAAAGGAGCTATAGGCCAATAGAGGCAGTTGCTTTTCTAAGAGAGATTGATGCCCAGCCATGATTTAAAAATGTTACACGCAGAATGAGAGGGACCTGACAGTTCTTTGAAAAGATAAAACTGTAAGAATCATTTGTAGAACTGAATCTTTGAGTAATTAGCATTTAAACGAATGGAAAAGCCAAAAAATAATTCGGTGGTAATTGGTGTTTTAGCTAAAGTTGATTAAAAAGCCTTATGACATTCTACATTGGTGAAAGATTGCTGCAAAAATATTTTAAAATCCGTCATACCGAATTCTTAACTATTCAGTCTAACAAATACAAAGCAATATAAGTTTAAACACAAGAAGAGCCTTGATACTTAAAAGTTGGCATTTTAGTGGCAAAACTGGCAAGGACAGGAGTCACAGATTGTTAATGTGTGTCCTTTGCTGCTTTCGTTATAAACTCAAGTCTTATCTGCTTACAACAAGCATCGGAAACCAGTCTGCTTACAACAAGCAATTTTCACAACCTTTCCACATCCCATTATAGCAAAAACCGGAGATTCAACTTCTGAGCAATTCACTTTGATCTCTGGGACGTGAGGAAAATTTTCTGTGAATAGAGGGGATCTTAACTGAACAAACCTTGCTAGTGACGGCGTTCTTCCTTCAAATTATTCGCTTTACTTAACATACCCCATCGATTCTTTTTGCATTATTTATTCAATTTCTCTCTCCAATGCAACGTTTAGATGTTTATAATTTAAATTTCTTGTTTTTTATATAGTAACTGTGGAAATGCATATTGTGGAATTCAAAACTTAATGAACTTGAACGTGAACCTGAATTGCTAAAAAACAATGCATGCAAGCAAAAAAGGTAGCTTAGGAACTTTGCAACAATATAATTAGTTTTGATAGTCTTTGGTTGTAGCGAAGGGCCCTGCTACAGTTTAGCAATGGGCTTTGCAAGCTTCAAGAGTACCTGATGAGATTAGCTCCAGATTAAAACGAGACACTCATTTACAACTTTCCTGATTAATTGCTCTACTTTTTGAGAAGCTTTTAGATTTATGAATAAGCTATTGGGTTATCTAATCTACAAACCTCAATACAGTATAGTTACATCCAACAGAGATAAGAATGATCACTTCCTAACATGTAACTAGTAAGTGCATCAAAAGGCTATGATCTTTTAGGCTTTATGGATTTACTTCCCTCGATGATTTTAAGGTTTACGGCGCCTTTTTTCTAATGATGAACTACGTATAAAATTCAACATCAAATTGAGTCCAAATACAATGACAATTCATACAACACCAGATCGCAGCTACTTTCCTATCAAATAGAAAGTTACACAATAAAATTATTTGGTTTCTATTTATGAATGGCGCTTACCTGTTTTCGACTGTATGAATACAACATTGTAAACGGGATCTCGGTGGCTCTTTTCGATTGGGGTCATTTCCATGGGGTGCTGTCCCTTTCTTGTGTCCCAAAAGCCTTTAAATAGGAATGAGTATAGGAGATTTTTAATGGATTTCTTACAGAGAACGATGGATCAACAAATAATAACTGTCAACAGCAGTCTAGCCAAGAGATATTAGAGAATTTAAAAGAAAATGGACCAACTCTTTAGTCAAATTTTCTTAAAAATTCGATAGATCAAAGCATTTAATGTGTTTTCATCTGGTAATCATTAAAGGCAACGGTGGAAACTTTTCTTAAAAACGATTCAGTGCTTCTTTAAGATGTAAAATAGTATTTTAAAATCTTAAACACTTCCATTTCATCATGGTCTTCTTCAAACTTACTTTCTGGATCCACCTTAAAAGTGTGCTTCTTAATCCACTTTAATAGATCGATATGATTATGCCATGATATTACTTAGAACACACCTTTTTGGAAGAATTTTCATTGAGACTTAATAATCTTACTGAAATTGATAATTCAGCGAAGGTTTCTTGAGAAGCTTATATCCTTGAGAAGAAGGTTTAAACGTTTGCTACAGTAATTCTTTATCACAAAAAGATTATAGAAACGAAATACACCAGCATCACATTCATAGTACATGCTTAGTGAGTGTTTTACAAACGTTTTGCATGAAAGTCACTTTTTCTTGTATGCTAAAAAAATTCAAATATTGTCGATGAAATTCGACTCTGGTTATTATTCATAATCAATTCTTGAAATACAGCAATTTAATAATTAAATTTATTCCTCTCAAACAAGTGCGTTGGTAACAATAGTCATACCAATTTGTCCATTATAGCATCCACCAACCAAAATATGGGCATCCTTTGGGTTGTACTCAAGTGTGACAATTGGTGAAACTGGCTTCAGTGCATACTCAGGTTTATTAGGATTCTCTGCAAAAATAAAAAAATTTAAAAGAAATAAATTCAAAAAAAATCTTTCGTCGTGGAGGAGGGACCTGGGAAGTGGTAGCACTATGAAAACACTTTGAATACAAAACAGAAAAAGAGAGCACAACATACCTATATCCCAAATATATGAATCAAGACAGGTTTCATGTGAATGCTTTTGGAACTCTAATGTTGAGTAAGCAACTGCCAGCTTCTTTGCACCATCAGGGTACCATGATATGCTGGTTGCTGTTCTTTTCACTTCGTTTGGATCTCTGAAAAAAGAGTACAGAAATTAAATATGTGGCATTTTACTTTCATTGTAGTCATTTCCTTTGATTAGCAGATGGGATAAAAGACCGAATTTACTAGAAAGATCCTTGTCTAAAAGGAATACCGAATAGAAGGAAGATCATTTTTAACATCTGAATGAATGGCACTAGAAAAATTAGGACACCTATAGGTAAAAATAAACTGAGTAAATTAGTTCTCAACATCAAAGAAATATTGTTCCTTTATTATAAAGTGGTTCAGACTTTGGTCTTGACCAATATTGATTAATATTGATTGACAAGTTCCCAAAGAGAACTTAAGTTTATGATTTTCAGTCCTTACCTCAACTGAGTGCAGCTATTTGCACAGGACACATATTAAAGGGCAGATTCTATATATTTGTATTCAAAATACCTGGAAGAAGAGTTTGCTTTTGACTTTGCCAAAACTTTAATGATCAGATAACTTGAAACAGCCCAAACAATGCAAACAAGGTAAGATTTAAAAGTATCACACAACCACGTAGCTGTAGGTGTCGGCTAGGAGGGGGCAAACTTGAGCAAGAACCATACCTGAGGAAGGCAGGCTTTAAAACAAGAAAACAGATATATAACAAACAAATATATTTGGACAAAATCAAGGTCATGGAATTATAAATATGCCAAATTTTCAAAATATCATTTGGAAAAACTGTAGCCAAAGGGGGCAAGCTGTTGTCAAAATTTTCATTTGGGGGGCACAGCCCCCTGTGCCCCCCTGCAGATACGTGGCTGATATCACATGCTAAAAAATTGTCCTGCATTTACCTGAAGACATTTATGGTTTTGGCTGATGGTGGTTCAGCTGATGAATCTAACGATGAATCAATGAAGTACTCTTCATAAATATCAATGGCATTGTTTTGCTGGATTGTGTGCTCCATAATCTAACCAGTGAAATAAACATGAAACATTAAAAACCTTGATAAAAAACATCATTCTTTATAATAAAAAGCCAAAGCTTATTACAGTTTAAGATGAAACAATTAGCTGAAATGAGATGGCAATTGTTCCATATTTGACATTTAGATAATTATATGATACTTGAAAAAATTGAATTGGAAGTTTTCCACAAATAAAAACTTCCAACAGTTATAAAGTTATAAATTATAGTTATAAATTCCAACAGGGTGATGCAAAGGGGGTATGTGCCCTAGCCATGGGTCCCATTTGCCCTGAATGCGGGCAGATTGATGAATAAATCAACAAATCAACATGAAAGAGTGATATGAAAAGCAGTGGAGTAATAAGAACTATTAAAAACAAATAGAAATTTATAAGACTTGCTAATGACTTGGATCAAAATTGAAACTTCACAAACCTCTCCCAATGACTGAATTGCAGTTGTGTACATCTCATCTTTCTCAATTTTTTTCCTGAAACGTGTTGTTTGTTCAATCTCTGCAGGATTTATATCTTTAGGCCATCCTCCTTCAACATGATTTATACCCCTGCTCTCTGTTTCAAATCTTTCAGTGTTGACCTGAGTATTTAATCAGGTGTCATAAGAGACTGGTGAAGTATTTCAAAAAATAGAGGAAATGTGTTGTGAACCTGATTGGCTAATGCATAGCAAAAAAATTAGTACAAGCACATGGTCGAGGATGAATTTTCATGGCAGCGAATATTCATAAATATCAATAAATAATGGAATTCCACTCCAAACTTTGTTTTTGCATTAGCCAGTCGGTAAAACAGCATATGCCCTCGGTAAAAAATATCAAAATTAAGGAAATTAAAGTGCAGTTCAGTGATACATTTGCTAGTTGCTTGCTGATAAACAAATTAACTGTATTCATCATATCATATAGAAATAAATATTTTGCCAAAAAAATTGTTCTGGTTTTTAGGATTTCCTTTTGCAATGGGATATTTCTCCTAAATGGGTTTAGTGGATCTGTCAAAAAATTTGTAGAATAAATTTTGCAGTTGAATAAAATTTAAAAATCTTGTTGTCAACCAAAATATTTTGCAAAGTAGATTTTGATACTAAAGGGTCCAAATGGTAAAAATATATTTTGCAGTATCTCTTGTGTAAAAATTCCTTCTAAGGTATACAATTATATTCTTTAAATTGTTCTAGAGTAAGTATATTTGATAGATTGTATGCCCCCAGTGTACTTTTGGATAAAATGACAGAGTTCAAACAACAATGACAAAGAGGTAGCACAAATTTTTATGTAGCTTTTTAAAGAAAGAAATCATATTCATTGGGTGAAAAAGGAAATAAGTTATTTCATTGATATAAAATGAGTACTAGGAATAAATCAACCATGTAGTTAAAAGAAGATGGAAGAATTTATGACAGTCTCCTGTAATCTGTTAAAAATAGAACCTTAACCATAATATGTTCGATATCTTGAAATGTTCTATAATATGTTCTATATATTCGTTTGTTATACAGTAGATTTGATTTAGATTAGTTGTATGTATATATATCCAAATATATATGTATAGCTAGAAGCAATATCGAAATAAAATAAGATTACAAACAAACAAATATATTCAACTTACTTCATGTTCAGACATTTCAGCAACACATTGGATGCCAACATTGCATGGGTTTCTTTCAATATAGTCAGTCAAAAGCTTTTCATCTGGGGCAACATCAAAGTGGAGTTCTGCAGGTCTGTCTGAAAAGTTGCATTGCCTTCCAAACTCGCTTCTCTTCTTTGTGTAAACGTAAACGATCTCCATTTTTCTATTTGTGGTTCTTTACAAAGAGCAATCCAGCCTAAGCTGATAAATACATCGTTTCAATTTTGCTGCATAAGTACAGTAAAGGAAAAGCAAGAAGCAAATAGCTGAACAAATGTCATTATGAGAGCATTTTCAAAAAAACACAATAACATTCCTTGAAAAAACGCTTTTATTTTCAAGTAAGTAGCTGAAAATATCAGGAAACAATAAAGCAAAGAACTGTCAAATTCTAAACATCTATTATTGAAAAATGGTGTTCTCATAAACGATAATTGATTAATTATACTGTATGGTGCAGGCACCGCGGAGCGTTGAGAAAAGTGGGGAGTCTAATAAAAGCTGGGGGGCTAAAACCTTATAAAAAGAGGCTCTACTGGTAGTTGAGTACTGAACATTTGACATTTTTTGCTAAAGCCCCCCCCCAGCCCCCCTCTTGCTCCGTGGTGCCTGTGGTGACACTGTACTGGCAAAACGAAAACAAACCTGGTGGGGGATCCCTGGTGGGGGAAAGAACTAACAAAGTTTTTAGTTTTCTGTCACTCTGATGTTAAGAGGAGTCTACATCTAATTCCTTGGTAGAGTTTAAGGTAGTTTCTAAAAACTTATGTTATAACTTTGGTTTTTTATGTCTTTTTTCGTAAATATTGGTTGGTTGGTTTAAGTTTCTCCTTCCTCCCTCCAACAACGCAAAATCGCTGAAAAAATCAGTGATGTAAATCCGCGCCTATGTTGAGTATTTAAAGAGATAAAAACATAAAAGTCCTTTAATTATTCTAACTACAAGATGTTCAATACTCACATTTAATGGATTTAGAAATGACATAACAATTTCACAAACTAACTGCAACAATTTGGGACGATTGCAAGTTTCCATGGCAATCTGAAAAACCTCGATATGGGAGCTAGGATTTTAAAGCGAGGATGATTGAAAAGAGTAAGACAATTTTGATGAACATGTGAGGTGGAAAGTTGCTAATAATTGTGGCATGGTATTAATCTCAAGAAATGCAGAAATCAAGATGGACTGCAAAATATTCCACGTTTTTTTTTTCAAGATTTAAAGTTGCCAGAAGTGGATGTTGTTCAATAAAACCAAGCAATTATGCTCGTATGAATTATTCGTCTCACAGCCAAGGCAGCAATGGTGGATCGACAAATGTTCCCAAATTCGAGCACAGTGCTTCCGAAACACTTGCGTCGTGGATTACCAACAGCTTTGCATGTGATGAACATCTTCCTGCATTTAGGGTCAATGGAAATAAGCTAAAAATACACACCAAACCTCAAGATTTCTACCAAACGCTAAAAGTAATTTTAATTCAGATTGATGATTAACTGAAACTTCGTTCTTGTCCAGAAGCATTCTCTGTGAAATTCTTATTTGTCATTTTTTTATTTTAGACAAAAGCTGCCCATGCCAAGAGACGGATTATACTTGCATCACTTTATATTGGAACTGGAAGACTTGAACAAGAGCTTGTATGGAAAAATTACATTTGTTTTCAAATTCCAGTTATCTCTTTTCTTTATTGATGTTGATGTCATATTCAAATTCTGATAGAAAATCTTATTAAGTAAAGAAAAAACTAGATTTTCAGTGAAACTAGAATTCATGGAACTTGAGACCATAGGCTATGGCTGATAAAAATCCATATGTCACAGACAAATAGTTCTCTAAAGGACTGCTATCATATGAGGGAAATATTGAGAACTGCTATTAACGTTTAAAACCAGAAAAGTTGTGAATAAGTTACCACAACTGCTGAGGGGGACTGAGGGGGAGCAGGGGGATAATTTGGTGTGATTGACTAGAGATTTCATGTCTATTGTTATATTATCAACCAAATAGAGCTTTTTTGAGTGCCTCATCAATTTAAAATAGGCACCCAACCAACCAAACACTTTGTTATTCACGATAGATGATTATAATGAATGTTAAAATTTTGAGCTATTTACTTTATGAAGTTAAAATTGTTATCTATATAATTGAATGTTGCTATTTTTAGGTAGATACAATTTATGAAAGAACAAAAGAAATGGCAGATAAAAACAAGGATTTCCTAGTTCACATTTTACTTGATCATTCAAGAGGATCAAGAGGAAGAAAAAATTCCAAGACTATGCTATTGCCCTTGGTGAACGATTTTGGTGACAACGCTAAAGTCTGCCTTTATCACCCACCAACTCTTAGAGGGTTGCTGCATGCACTTGTACCTGAAAGATTCAACGAAACAATTTCAGCCATGCATATCAAAGCATATATCTTTGATGACACTTTAGTGATGAGTGGGTTAGGTTTTTTAATGTTTCTTCATAACATTGTTCATATTTGAACACTGATTGATTTGCCCTCATAGAATCATTTGACAACTTCCTTTTCAACAATGCACCATTGCCACTGGAGACAGCACAATAAAAACTCATAGTAATATGATTTTCAGCAAATAAAGGTGTTCCAAATTGAAGGATGAAATTGCTACTGAAGTCAATGACTTTGTGTATCTTATTCTTCAGTATCAGCATGAATCTTAGTCACAGATACATTTTACAAATTTCACACAATCAATGTTACAAAGCCAAGGATCAGGAAATCATGGTCAGATCCCTCGGCAATTTGCTTTAGATAGATTGTTGGAAAGATCATTATCTTTGCATTCTTAGCAATGGTCATCATCACCCTCATCAGCAAAATGCAGTTCTTCTTTTCCTCTTTCTTCCTTCCTTTGACAAACATATTCATAATTGTTTTTATATTTGTGTACTTAAGATGACTGTAATATCATTCAAGACAAAATTAGAGTGACAAAGTGATGGTGTTATGAAGATCCATTTTTGGAATATTTTAACCTTTACCACAAAAGCAGAAAGAATGTGGTCAAAAAGATCTAAATGTACAAATTCGGTCAAATCTTTACAGTCTTTCCGAGATATGGTCAGTGAAAAGCCTAAGTTTGGCAAATGTTTTGTGATTTTTGGCCTGGTTAAGGTTAAGAACCAATGCCATATTACAGTGGTTTGATTTGGAATGATCCCTTTTCAATGTGGGCAAACTTCAAGCATTCTATAAGAAATCTAGCTGATTTTGTATTTTTAGAGGTGTTGGAATATGTTCTTTCTAATCATGTGGTCAAAGTGCAAATCATTTAAAAAACCTTTTTATCTTTTATCACTTTGTCACTCTTTATTTCAGTATACTAAGAATGTGGTGTTTTTTTCTCTTCACATTGAAACAAACATTTATATGAAGTCTTGTTCTTTGTAGGGCCAATTTGAGCAATGACTACTTTACAAATAGGCAAGACCGTTGCATTGTATTTGAAGACTGTAAAGAGTTGTGTGACTACTTTCATGGCCTTGTTGAAACAGTGAGTTCCTTTTCATTGGAGCTTGATCCTAACAATACTACTAAAGTTGCAGATGGATTTCCAGAGCATCCATATAAAGGCAGCAAGAAAAAGTATATTGAAGCAGCTAAAGAAAAGATGCAGCAGTTTTTAAAACTTTGTTCAAAGGAACAGCCTCAGAAATTGAGTTTAGATTATGAAGCTACAAATGGTGAATCATGTTTTGAAGACAACTCAGCTGCCCATGATGCTGAAAGGAGGACTGATGCCATATGTGACAGTAAAGATTATGAAAATACAAATAATAATGAGAGCGAATTTCAGAATTTGAATAGGACAACCGAAAAAGGCTTCACAGATACATTAGTTATCCCAACACTGCAGATGTTCTTGTATGGTATCAGACAGGATGAAAGTTTCACTTCCTTATTCTTTGAGTCAGCACCAGAAAAATCTAGCATATTTCTAGCTACTGCATACTTTAATGTTACAAGTAAACACTGGAATGAGATTCTTGCCTCAAAGTGCCAAAACTTTGATATTGTAATGGCTCATCCTAAAGCAAATGGATTTTACAAGGCTCCTGGACCAGCAGGTATAGTGTATTTTAGGCTTTTGTGTAGTTTATGCATAAGGAAGTTACCATTTCCACAGGTAAAAAATTCCAAGCCCTGTGCTCAACTTAGATCTAAATCCATTATTCTTTTAATAATGGACAAGTAATTGAACTACTTGGCTTCTTCACAGGCCATTCTTCCTAATCTAGAGTAAATTAAAATTTGCTTTTCAACTGTTCTTTTTCTTCATCATAATGTTCATCCAAGGAGGATTACTCCTCTTTAGACTCAAGTGCCTAATTATTCATATAGCAGTAAAATGACATCAGCAAGGTATATAAAAATTGACCTAAGGACACACCCTTTTTCTAAACGAGGATATCCTCTTTGTCTAAGGAAATTGTAGCTGCTGGATTGATTCCATCAAATATATACCTACAACTTAAAGTTCAACAGCATGAATATGATTATATTTAGAACTGTCAGCCATGATCCAATATAGAAGAGTTTGTTCACCCTCTTAAATACTTAGTTTAAAAAAAAGCGGTATATTTAGTTTGCTTATCAGTTTATTCACAGAATATTTCTCATCATTTGTGTTTATTCTTAGATATATTCAAGGTTTGTTTCCTATAAACATCCAGAGATAAATAAGGTTAAAGACTCATTCACTTAATACAGTTTTTAAATTTTCAGGTGGAATTCCTCATGCGTACACGCTTATCGCCAAGCAGTGTTACAAGGATATTGTTCGTTTTAAGCAACAGAATCGACTATCATTTTGGGAGTACCAGAGGCTTGGATGGACTTTCCATGGAAAGGGTCTTTGGGCACAGCTACATGAAGTACCTTTACCTCAAATAACAATGATTGGTTCGTCAAATTTTGGAAACAGATCTGTATATCGAGATCTAGAAGCTCAATTAACAATATTTACAAAAAATGAGCAACTTACTAGTCAGCTTCAGGAAGAAAAACGAAATATAACAGAGTATTGTAACAAAGTTGACTCGAATACCTACAAAGACCCTGAGCGTAAAGTCCCTGTGTGGGTTTTTATTATCAGAACATTCATGCGGACATTTTTTTAACGAAAGCGATTGTGAAACGATATGTTGTTTTTAGGAGAGTCGTCTAGCTCTTCAATATTGGTGCAAGACTACTTGTATAAGGCCATACGGCCTTCAGTGGTTTTCTGGTAACTGTATGGTTTGGTAATTGAAAGTCAATATTAATAATTTGTACTGTACCCATAGAGTTTTGTAAACTGTAGCCAGCTGTTTTGGAATACTTTAAAAAATGCAGAGGGCTGACTGACGCAACCAAAAGAACATTTGAAAGTCTAAGGGGCAGCTGTAACGCTGAGGTAGTCTGGAAAAGGGTGTATCTCTAGTCTAGCAATAATTTGAGAAATCTCTAGCCTAGAAATGAGTCAGTTTTTGACAAAGTTGGATCACCATACATTTACTTAAAGGGTAATCCAATCCAACTGTAACAAAGTATCGAAAACATACTAATGAATTCGTTGTCCCTCTTGGACTCTTCAACTAGGAAAGCGGTTAGCGGTCGCTGATTGGCATAAATAAAGAACCAATCAAACGCGTCTTTCTTCCTCTCGCGTTACTTTCGAACCACACCTGGATTTAATTTTTCATCTTATGTTCGGTCATTATCCGACGTTCATACACTGAAGAGTGCCGGACGAAGCGTGCTTCAGCATGCAACGTTTCCGGAATTTCGTGCAATCTTCATGTTTGCTGTAATAAAGTAAAGAGCTTGTTTTTTTGTGATATATTATAACAAAGAAACGTTTTCGCAGTTGTGATGAGATTGAAACTATGTGTTTATTCCCAGCAAAGTTCGGCTGAATCCGCAATTCGCAATATCGTTTCATCCAAACCTTGTTTAACATCTACACAATCCTAATCTATCAAATTCAGACCATCAAATAACGTCAAGAAATCCAGAAAATTGAAACAGAAGGGAAAAATAACTAGAAACTGTTAATGAGTCTGTCTAGCCTGGACAAGTAGAAAAAAGCAAACTTAACATGTTCGAAGAAACAAGGACAATCGAATTATATGGAAATTCACTTTTAATGCTGTATTACTGAAAGGTAAATATTGTGAACCAAACTAGAAAGCATCACAAGCGGATTTCAGGGGAGGGCCCTGGGAACCAGAGACGTCACTGATTGACCAGTGAAAAAACCGCTTACAAATAACAATTGAACATGGCTTGTTGTGAGACTACCTGTTCGCAGAAATCATCACTTTGACAATTCTTTAAAGAGAGCTCTTCTTAGCATTTTGAATAAAATAATCAAATTTGTCACCAGCTTTTTAAATTCAATTTGAAAGGTGTCAATTGCGTATCATTGTTCATCATGTTTTCCTCAAATTCGATGTGCACTCTCTGCTTTCAAATTTGTGTTTTTACTTCTCTCAAGATCATTGCTATGGACGTAGTTGGCAAGCTGGAGGCTCTTCATACCGTTTGCTTGACACAATAACTTTCGTAGAAGAGTATTAAGGGATGTACTAATTACCCACAAACGGCAGTAAAGGAATCTGTCAGGGGTGCGTTTCCTTTAAGATTGTTTACGTATGAAAGACGTATTTCTACTTTTTTCTTGCAATCAGTAGCAGAAATTGAGATTTTTGGCTGGCAAGGCAAGCGCAGTGAATTCTCTGAGTTACTTCGTTGAGAGGCAGTTTGAAGTCAACTTGTAAGTTTAAGGTTTCTTGTAAGATTTCTAAGTAAATATTTCCAAGTCATATCGCCGGCATGACCAGTGCAAGAGACAAACTTTAGGAAAGGGACATTCGAAGATGATTCCTAACATCTGCTTTTTCTTTCCTTGCTTCTCTTTTAATTTTGATCTACTTAAGGAATCTTGTGGACAGCAATGTACTTCATGGAAAAACTTTAAGCAAAGTAATCACACGCCCAGTTCACTTTAGTTTCATTCTAATGGACTGGGGCAATAAATATTGAATGTCCTCAGAAAGTTTTTATTTTGATTTTAAAACGTCAGTGACTGTCTTGATGAAAGTAGTAGAAGAAATATAGAATTAGGGGTGTTTGAGTGTTTTCAAATTATCTAAAAGCAAACAAAACATATTGGTTTAGTAATGCATGGCCAAAATATGCTTTTCTAATGGTCTTCGATGAGTTTCCAGCTAAGTAGATGTAGTTTCGTCAGAAAAATAGACCGCTCTGAATATAAAATTATCGTGCTTTTGTAACAGAAGTTTGAAAAGGTAACACTGGGAACAAGGAAATTACAAATTTGTAGAAGAAAATACCATGCATTAGAAAGTCACTGAACTTTTTTCCAAATCCAGGATCGTTCAACACCTTTTCAAAGAGAACATTCCTAATTGGAAATCCGCTCCTCCCCCCAAAAGGAAACTTTTCTAAAGAGGGTCAGATATTAATTGAAGGTTTAACTGTGAGAAATTTCAATCTTGAAAACTTCTTCATTCCCAAGGCTTTCATTGGACTATGACGTCATTGTTTTTGTCACTTCTGCTTCGTTTATTTTCAATTCTACCACCCCTGTCTTATAAACAAATGTTCGATTGAATAGGTTGAAGACGATCAGAGGTACTTGCGAGACGCTGTAGAGAGAAACCGAAGATTCTCAAGCTACTATGAACGGCTACTCTATTTCTGATGTACCTCAATCTGTGGCCGAGGACCGTTCCACAAAACAGAACAAAAACTTTGACAGAAAACTTGAGCAGGAACTAGGACGATTGCAAAGACAGCAACAGATTTGGTTGAAATAACAGTCTTTCGAAGCCAGAAAATTGGTCAAGATGAATGTTAGAAGGAAGAAGTCATCATCGAGTGAACCACCTAGAAGTCCAACAAACCTGAAACAAGTAAGTATAAAAGAAAGTGCCAGTATTCAGAGTCGAGAAAAAAATAAGACAATTTGCTGAAAAATTCCTATTCAGAATGGCAAAACATAGAACGTAACTGTAGACGCAATGCAACCCAAGCTGAAGTAGAGAAGAATTAATCAACGCTGTTTGGAACTGTGTTTGAAATCAGCGTAAAATCCAAAGCAAAAATGTGACGAAGCAAAAGCTGCTCCAACGATAAACAATAGTGCTATTTGTTTGACAGATTGCAGAACAGGAATTTTCCATCGAAGAGCAATTTGGTGCATTTTCAAATGAATTCAAAGACCGAGATACCTTGGCCCCACAGAAAAACTTAAATATTATAAGCAAAGTACTCTTTTTTTGTAAAATATGGCAGTTTTTACATTTATTTATCAGGGCTGTCCCTCCCAAACAAAAAGTTAGATCGATCTTTGAATTGCCGGGATTTCGTCGGTTTACAGCAATTTTCTGGCGGCCAGTCTTTTGGAAATAACTTCTTCGGTGGCTAAATTATACATTTTACAATCAAATGTCCATTTTGATTCTGTGGCCGCGAGCCTGTATGATCTGCCTGTACTAGTAATTCCCGTAACTGCTTATTAAATCAGAACAAAACAAACGCATAAGAATAAATTACTCCCATGGAAAATATTCTTTTGAAAATATAAAACGATACATATTATAACTATTTACGAATATATACATTTTTTCATAAAATTTTCTCAAGACTGTCACTGAACAAAGTACCACAAGAATGAACTACGATGACTAAGGGACCCTAAATATCCCGAGGCAACTTCCTATATCCTTGCTGATCAGAAAAAATTACCTTACTAGCTGACAAGCAGTGATGTGCTTAGACAATTTTGTTTGGGGGGTGTTCAGGAAAAAGGTGACCGACTTTACTTTTTTGGCCGACCATATTTTCTCCATAGAAAATTCATTAACAATGAAATAAATGATCATATACACACTGGATGATAACAAGAATTAGCAAATGATGGCATGGAAGTATAAGGAGAGTAAATTTGCGGCAACTTATATTCCTGGATTTCGCGTTTTTGGGTGAACCCATGAGCATCTTTTTGCGAAAAGCCAATTTTAGAATAATTTGCAAAAATGAACTACAGATAAAACGTTGTTCAAGATTACACTTTAGAGTAGCTCAGCCTCAGCTTGTTCTTAATTTTTTTAACCAATTTTGGAGCTCGTGTTCTTATAAAATTGTTCTTATAGAAAAAGAGTGTATTATAAAAAGAAAGTTGACCATGATCAATAAAATGAATGAATTAAGGGTTGAAATTTGGAAGCACAAACTTCCCAATTAATGCTAAGGTTCCCGCTGCATGACCAACTTTCTTGAAGTTTGCAGACACGCCCCCCCCCCCAATCGGCACATACCTGCTGACATAACCAAGTTTTCTGGAATTAATCTACTTTCGTTTAGCTACCTCAAGGACAAAAGCTGCAAAAAAGAACCTTAAGCTTAAAGTCATAAGTAAGAAAGCTTTGTTCATGTGGTATGTTCGTGTCAACATTTGATTTGCTGCAACATCTTTATGCGATCTGTTATACACGTAATCTAACAGGCTATATGGAATCAACTTTCATTAATAACTGTCAGCTTAATTAAATTGGTGAATGTGGGTCTTATTTATTGACAAACGTTTTTATTAATGTGGATCTCTATTTAAATAAAATCACTGCTTCTCAGTTTATAAACCTTGAGTTTGAAGAATTTCCTCATTCTATTAGTACGAAACGTTTACACTGAATATCTTACTTTTATATACTTACAGAAAATTTGCGCAAATAAATAAACGTCCTAATTCTATCCTGAAATTTCTTGCAAATCAGCTACCCTGATAGCAATTTCAACAGATAGAAGCAAATACAGAGATAAAATTCCTGTCCTACAGTCGACTGATATCTCCCTATAGGTACGTTACCTGGGGAAACTTCTCCGATACAAGGAGCAGTTTCCCAGGTTAATTTGAAAAATCACGACCTTTCCCTAACCAGGCCAATTTTCTATAAAATTTTGGAGGAATCATGTAAATCGTGTTTTAAAAAATTGTGAGGGGGCTATTACCCTCCCCCACTCATTACCCCCATTTGATGCCTGCCTACAATAGACTGTAACTCTGGTCCGATAGGAATCCTTTTTCTGAAGGTTTTACTTAACTTTGAAAATCATATCTAAGGACAATGCTTCGAAGATACTCTTTCACTTATTTGTTTGAGGGTGGAAATTAAATTAACATTTAGTACAAGAAAGGAAAACAGTCGCCAAAGTCAATCTTTCTCTTTCTGCTTGAGGAAAAAGGTTTACTCTGAGGAGAACAAGTGTTAGCAAGATTTAGACATGTCATACCTAGGACACTATAATTTTTATAGAGATTTCTACTTGCCAAAAGTATTCTGACAGCACTGCTTGTTTTCAAGAGAACGACTCCCCAGGTTGTTCGAGAATTAGACGATTACCTAAAAGAGAATTACTCAACTTAAGTAACCGAAAATCATTGTTCGTCAAATCCGTTATACTTATATAAAAATCAGTTAAAAATCAGTTAAGAAACAGAAAATAATTTAAATAATGGCTTTTCGTGGTACAGAATTTAAAAATTGCCTTCAAAAAACAAAGGTTTTGAAACATATTACTAAAGCTTTTTCCTATTACAATAGCGAAAAATTCATTGAGAGACATCTTCTTATATCAGATACCCCCACAACACAACAAAGTTTGTCATGTGATGGTAATAGCTTTGTGCCAGATTGGTCTCGGTTGGATTGATTGCCAGATAGTAATAACGATGTTAATGGAGAATTAATGAGTTAAGACAAATATATTTTTCCCTTTGCTGAATTTTCTGCAAGTAATATTCACTGTAGCTAAACATGGTCTATATAATTGGATATGATTATCGACTAAACCAATTTCAAACAATTCTATGGATAGAAATCATAACAAAAAGATATAAGTGCGGTTAAGGAGTACAGAAGCAACATTTATACGTTTCGGTGTGAAGAACAAGAATTTTGCAGTCGTATCAGAAAAATCGAAGCAAGGAGAAATGGCAAACTCTCGATTAAATCAAGGGGATTCATTGCTGAAAAATTACCGAACATCCCAGTTATTCTTGTGGCAGCAAAATGTGGCTTACAAAGTTATACTTGTCGATTGGAAACAGTCGATTGATTACAACTGATGAACGTTATTCATGGTTATGGTTCAGTTAAGCAACCGAAATTTCCTTCTAAATTATCTTCAGATCATTTTCGTAGAAAATGTGTAGAATTTATTACCTTGGTCAGTTGTCTTTTCCACGTGACCGCTTTCCAGTTGCCTTGAATTTCTTACTGTGAACAATCTTGGTGACGTCTTAGCCTCCGGCTCTTGAGGTAAATGACTTTCATTTGCTGATACTGCAGCAGCAGGGGGAATGCGACTTTGTACAGCGACCTGCCTTATTTGCGGCCCCGGGGACAAGCCAGTCTCGTCCCTTTTATCCGGATATGGCTCCCTCCTATCAGTCCAGGCATTGGCACCGCGAGGAACCGAGGGGTGCTCGCGTGGTACAACTCCATGTTGCGAGTCATTGATGCGATGGGGATGAACGGTATTTGGCGGTCTCCCTGATTTTTTTAAAATGAGTTGCGAGTGAGAATTGAGTTAAGAGAATGCAAAACAGACTAAAGATTCACACATTAGCAGATAGATTTTCGACATTGACCGTGGTCTGAAAGAACTAGAAAGTTGGTTCATAAGTGTTTAAGCGATCCATTCCGGGTTTTTTAAGCAAAATATTTCAATTGTTTCTGAAACTACTAGGTGAAATTTTACCATGCGCTATGAGCCAGCTTTCTACTTAATTTAGAGGCATCCATTTGGAAAACTATTAGGATTGCCTAATTTAGCAGTCCAATGGGTCGGTGTATTCACGTCTATTGTAGGAAACTTTTATATCAAACAAGAACTGGATAATAATTGCAAAACCAGGAAACAGTTTAGAAAAGTGTTCTGGCGTCTAAGTCACCTGTGGTTTTCCTAATTTCAGACTTCTGACATTGACCAGTTTTATAGGCTAAAATTTCTGCGCAGTTTTTGCTACATATCTAGTTATCTTATAAAGAATAAAGATTTCAGATCCGTTAAATGCAATCGACAGATATAAAAGTGGCCTAAGCCATCTGTCCATCAAGATTAGCCAATCAAGAAGCGTGTGAATGGAATCACACTCACTGATTGGTCTACTTTTTAGTGAAAGATGGCTAAAGCCCCTTTAGTAACTGGCGATTGCTTTTAAGGATTTCTTTTAAAATTACTTATCGTCAGGTGTTATATGCAGCAATGAATTGTCATAAATTTGGCTGGGGTAGAATCTGCGTGTATATCGTTCAGCAAATGTAAGCATATGGTTGTGGACTGAGTCAATGGGAATATGCAAGAGTCACAGTACCAAATTAAAGCAAAATGAATTACATTATTTGGAAATGCATAAAGTGTCTCTCAATAGATAATCAAAAGGTTGTGCAATCAGCTAATCGCACTGTGCAATCAGCTAAATGTTCTAAATAGAAAGTGTAATGTGTTTGCAATACGTACTCATGCCTCTTCTTGGTGCCTGTGATACCATAACAGGAATCTCAATTTGAGGCTGCCTGGAGGCGGAGTCATAAATATAACGAATCTGTGGCGGACGGCCAGTTCTAGGCGGAGTATGTCGGTAATCGTCGACCAGGGTGGCGGGAAGGTAGCTAGTGGTTGGTTGATGTCGGTAGTTGTCTTCGTACAATTGGTATCCATCGTTTGGAAACTCGTTGACTGGTCGATTGAGATATGGAGACGAATGCTGAGCACGTGTTTGATGGTAATCATCATAATCATAATAGGAATCATGTCGATCATATGTTAATCGCGTTTCTGTGGTAGCTTCAGGGGCATAATGGCCAGGTTGTGGGTAAACTAGAATCAGAATATATGTGATTAATACGCTGTGAATCAGTCAAAAACCCAAACGCTCCAGTAAAGCCCCTGTCAAAGGACTCTGTCCAAAGGTTCACTTTAACAAATAAACTTCACGGGCAACAGTTGCGATGCAAAATAGTCAGAAAGCTACTTGCCAATTTCATTTTTCGGAAGATAAGATAGCTAATAGGAAATCCTGAAGATAAGGATTAGGTGGATCGTGATCAAATTCAAGCAAAATCTGGGAAACAAGGTACGATAATTCTAGAAAGATTGACGTACTATGAGAATGAAATACATTCAATACTACTAAAATTATTGATCAGATAAAATATCAAAGATTGCTAAACAGTAGAAATAAATCAGCCCACTAGAAAGCAGCTAAATAACAATTTATATAGTAACCAATGAAAAATTGAATAATCATACTTCAAAAATCTTCAAATTGAAAATTTCAGACTTTTAGTAATTTGAGGCCTTAGATGCTATTTAAGGCCTGCAGCTAATTGTCTCTAAAGGCTGTTATTTGCAATTAGGGACAGTTATCTTTCTATGGCACACTATGTCATTTAATCAAATGATTCTTCAAAAAGTAGCAATGCAGTGCAAATGATATGTTGATTTTGATGATTTTCAAAAGTTATGCACAGTTAATTTAAAATGTGCCCATGATAAAAACATTTGAAAATACATACATTCGTCTAATTCAATAGTAGGTTGGCGGTATCTTTCAGCTGGCCTTTGCAAATAAACAGCGTTTCCATTTTCAATTCGACCTCTCCAATTCTCGACGTATGCTGGATGTGTCCCGGCAACGTGCGAAGGAGCCAGAGGCATCTGCAATACATTGGTGGTATCATCAGGTAACTTCAGATCAAGATATTCAGAGTTCAGTGGAATGCAGACTAAATGAGGTATTTGAAAGAGTACTCAATGCTTTGATTTATGCTCAGTTCTGGGATTGAATCTCAAAAACATCTTACAATAAACCATACAATCGCTGAAAATGACCTAAACTTTGGTATTAGACATTTATTGGCAAATATGTTTTTGTAACAATTAATGGGGTTTTGACTGTCAAGACTTCTTGGGGAACAGATCTCTGTACCGCTGTATTACTGTCAAAACGGAAAAGTGTAAACTTTCTGGAGTTTCATTGCTACGGCTGTAGCAACATATTGTGAAATGTGAACTTATTCAAGTTTAAATCGGTTGGAATTAGTTGGTTTTTGCTTTAAACGAATAAAAATACTTCCTTTTATTTCAAACAACAACTGTTTATCTTGAAGCTACGTAACTCGTTGATGAATGCGCTTTTAGAGGCAGATCCAAGATGGTAGGATTCCAGTAGATTTGATAAGAAAATAAACTTGCTTTTAGCATACCGATTGTTCTGTTGTTGGTGGATTTTTCTCAGCATCAACTCGATTACGCTTCTTTCTCCTTCGCTGTGTCCTTTTTCTATCAAGTAAAGAATCGGTTTCATTTACATTTTTACTAAAAGCACCGAGATTGTTCAGATATTTCTAATAAAAATATCGCTGATATTATTTGCGATGGAACAAATCGACGATGACAGTAAATGAAATACTTCATACATCTATAACAAAAAGTTCAAAATATTTTTCATTATGACACTTGATATGAGAGTATTTAAGTCAGTTCCAAGAAGCAAGAAAGAACTGGAACAAAAATGGTATAGATTTCATTTAAGTCGAGCATTAAGTCATTCCAAGAAGCAAGAAAGAACTGGAACAAAAATGGTATAGATTTCATTTAAGTCGAGCATTAAGTCAGTTACAAGAAGCAAGAAAGAACTGGAACAAAAATGGCATGATTTCATTTAAGTCGAGCATTAAGTCAGTTCCAAGAAGCAAGAAAGAACTAGAACAAAAATGGTATAGATTCCATTCAAGACGAGCATTAAGTCAATTACAAGAAGCAAGAAAGAACTGGAACAAAAATGGTATAGATTTCATTTAAGTCGAGCATTAAGTCAGTTCCAAGAAGCAAGAAAGAACTAGAACAAAAATGGTATAGATTCCATTCAAGACGAGCATTAAGTCAATTACAAGAAGCAAGAAAGAACTGGAACAAAAATGGTATAGATTTCATTTAAGTTGAGCATTAAGTCAGTTCCAAGAAGCAAGAAAGAACTGGAACAAAAATGGTATAGATTTCATTCAAGACGAGCATTAAGTCAATTACAAGAAGCAAGAAAGAACTGGAACAAAAATGGTATAGATTTCATTTAAGTCGAGCATTAAGTCAATTACAAGAAGCAAGAAAGAACTGGAACAAAAATGGTATAGATTTCATTCAAGACGAGCATTAAGTCAATTACAAGAAGCAAGAAAGAACTGGAACAAAAATGGTATAGATTTCATTTAAGTCGAGCATTAAGTCAATTACAAGAAGCAAGAAAGAACTGGAACAAAAATGGTATAAATTTCATTCAAGTCGAGCATTAAGTCAATTACAAGAAGCAAGAAAGAACTGGAACAAAAATGGTATAGATTTCATTTAAGTCGAGCATTAAGTCAATTACAAGAAGCAAGAAAGAACTGGAACAAAAATGGTATAGATTTCATTTAAGTCGAGCATTAAGTCAATTACAAGAAGCAAGAAAGAACTAGAACAAAAATGGTAAAGATTTCATTTAAGTCGAGCATTAAGTCAATTACAAGAAGCAAGAAAGAACTGGAACAAAAATGGTATAGATTTCATTTAAGTCGAGCATTAAGTCAATTACAAGAAGCAAGAAAGAACTGGAACAAAAATGGTATAAATTTCATTTAAGTCGAGCATTGAGTCAGTTCCAAGAAGCAAGAAAGAACTGGAACAAAAATGGTATAGATTTCATTCAAGTCGAGCATTATGTCAGTTCCAGTCACTTAATCGAGTCATCAGGCAACTTTTCTTAGTTGAGAATAAGTCAAGAGTATTATATTTACTTCAACTTATAAACATACAGGGTCCTCTTCAGATGCAATTAATCTGCCTAATTCTTTTTTATTCTTCCTTGAAGGACTTTGACACTTATTAGATGTCAAAATGATAAAATAACATGATGCAGACTTATTCAAGTTACCTTGAATCCGTTGCAATTAATTCGTCAATCTGTAAAATGAGCACACAATTTTATTACTTAAGGGCATATAAAAATTAAAAAATACTTAATTTGAAATTTTTTCATCGAAACGAGTAAAACATGTCAGGCAGCATTTTTCAGATTGAAAGTTATTTATCCGCTAATATTTGGAAAGATCCTTTATTACCTATGGTCTACAAATCCAATCAAAGAAGGAATGGCAAAATCCTTGAATAGTTGGCAAAAGGTCTGACATACTACTTTGAAGATTTAAATTAAAAAATGAACTAGGTGGAAGAAAATTGTCAGGGGTGTCTCGAAAGTCTACACGGAGGTAAGAACACCAAAGTATTCAAGAAGCACTGTCGAAGATCCATGTTTTTTCCTAAGCATTCTTGTGTGTTTTAGTTCACTAGATAAGAAAGTCGATTCCTCAACTGAATGTAATGTTTATTGGCATGGACAGTCCTCTAAATCATGTTACATAACATAGCTTTACTGATAAAATTGATTAGTAGTCCAAAAATACCTCTCTCTGTGCTTGAAAGATTTGCTTTTGTTTGGTTGTTTTTATTTCAGCTGCTTCAACTCCTCTAGGCCACTTGGATTTTCTCCTCATCCTTTCTTTGTTCTTCCATTTCTCAACATCAGCCTAAAGATTCAAACCAACCTTGAACAAGCTTTGATGTGAAAAAATAAAAAATATCTCTTTTTAAGAAGACATACTTGGGAAAAAGTGAGTGCTTCAGTTAAGTATATGAATGCTCAAATTCTATCTTTTCAGGCATCAAAACAGACAGGAATTCACTTCCAGGGCGCGTTAGACAAGCTAATAACTACATAGCATATAGCAATTTTGTTTATAGATAAGTAAGACTTCCATCTTCATTTTTAGACCTTGCTTTATATTCAACCCATAATTAGTTGTTATTTATAAAAAAGAGTCAATAATCAACTTACACGAATTTGTAAAGTTGACTCATTTGCAGGCATTGTTTCGTCTTTCTGTGAGTTAGAAGCTTCTCGAATAGATTGCATTTTGGCGATCCATCCCTGGTTGAGAAAAATTACTGCAAATGAAGACACTGATGGATATGAAACAAATGATGGGAATATAGGATAATACAGACAACCATTCTTAAACAAAATATTGTATTTTACGCGTTGTAGAGCATGTTACAGCGATGAAGATAGTGGGATAAAAAATAATTTCCTCATTGTTTCCGCATGCTGGCCAATAGTTTCTTGGAACACAAAAAGTTTCTGTCTCTAACTTGTCCGCTTTTTCCATTCATTAAATAAAATTATGCTTGCTATAAAGCTGAATATTTCATTAAACACTAAATAAACCTTCCTTAAGGCATACCTAATGCAATAATACCCCGATAATGGAAGGGCAGACAAATGCAGCTGGAAAATGCTGGAAAACTCTAAATGGAGAGGCGGGATGAATCAAGCATATCCTAAATGACTAAAGCCGTTATCAAAAACCTGCTAACACCAGAAACAGGTAGCCATTGAGAGATTTTGAGCTAAAGTAATTACCCTTGGGACCCCTGCTTCGCTGATTATCTTTCGCTGCTCTTCCTTGATTCTCTCATTTTTTAAAGCCAGTAGTTCTTTCTTCAGTTCAAGGACTTCCTGCTCTACAAGTTCTTTTTGCAACTTCTTATGGTCATCTTTGTCCTCGTTTGAAACGCCATGGCCTACACTGCTAACATTGGTCTCTTTTTCTTCCGCTTCTGCCTCTTTACCGAGTGCACCATGAGTCAACGATGTCTCTTTCAGAACTCCACTCTCTGCAAGGCCCAGTGCAGTGAAGTTTCCTTGATTAAGAACGGGTGATACTAATGCATTTGTAGTTGACTTTGCACTGCGTGAAGAGGCCGTTGAAGTTCTGGATATAGATCGCTATCACAAAGAAAGAAGAAGTCATAGTACCTTAGAGGTCAATTCTGACTTCAGAGCTACACTGAAAGCTGCTTATTGATGCAATAGGCCCATTTAATATATCCAGCATTGTGTCATATTTATAAGACAGTCTAGAAGTGCCTTGATTTGCAACTAAGATGGAAAAGCATGAGCATGTCACAACCTTTGCTACTATCAAAATCAATTTGAGGAATTTAAGTCATGCGAGTTCACTTAGAATGTATGTAAGAGTAGTAGGGAAATCTCACCTTTTCTAAAAACATGTTTCTCTCTTTCTTTGTTCTTCGTCTCTTTTGTTTCTCTTTAACTTCGCTTCCTATTTTCTCAGGATCCTCAACAAAATACTGTGACGCAAAAGCACTGAAAAGTAGCAAAAACTTCAGAAATTAGTTGATAGATAATTAAATCATAAAATCAATGTCACTGAAAAGTTTTGATAAAAATTCAAGAAGATATTTTGCTTGACTTTTCAAACCTGTCACAGTCTCTTCTGCTACTATTTTCAATGGCACACTTTATAAACTGTTAAAAGCCTGTCAAAATTACCTGTATAACTGAGCAATTGGCGTTCACTTTTTCACATTCTTCATTTCTTTTCCCAAATATTACTACCTCTGCCCTTTTACCCCAAGAATAATGTTGACCCCTTTACCCCAAGAATAATGTCGATAGCTTTCGCCGAAGTTTACGTATATGCCAGCCACACAAAAAATCGCACTTCCTTATCCCCTCAAGCATTTTACAGAGTTCTTTCAAAGTCTTCTAGATCTTCATCAAGACTGTTTTCAACAATCCAGCATAGTCGTAATAAGGTTCAGCTTTCTTTGGTTATAGAATTTGATTTATGCTTACCCATCAGATCCCGAGTCCAATCGATCTATCTTTGCAGAGCCATTTTCAGCTTCAAAATACTTTATTGAATTAACTTTATCTTCGCCAGGTTGCGTTGGATCTGCCTAAAATTCAACGAGCTCGATGATTATATTTTCAGTGTACATCAGATATTGGCCACTAGAACCTTGTATGCAGGAGTGCGAAATGCCCCAGGCTTTCTAGGTCTACGGGGCTTCATTAAATAATGAAAATTCATTTTAAGAATGGAATTAATCAAACGTAACAAAAATATGCCTAAAAAATAGCAAAACGTTTGAAGATAACTGCAAGAGTTAACAAGCAAGAGGCGTTGCAAGAACAACTAGATAAATAATAAATTATTACGGAAAGTTTGAAAGAAAGGGTCTGTGCATGTTTGCTACATCATCAGAAGGCAAATTACAAATCTAGAGCAAAACAAAAGAAGGTCATGTACGACTGTAGGACAAGGATCACTGCAGAAAGCAGTCAGAAATCTGGAGTTAGTCATTCAAGGGAAGTGAAGTCAGTACGAGAAGAGCAGAGTACAGAGTCAGGCCAGTCGCTAGCGATTGTGCTCAAGGGGTGTTTCCAGGTCCCAATTTCCGATAAAGTGGGTGAGTCATCTTTTATTTTCTGCCAAGTATGAAATTTTGCCAAATAAGTATCCCTGAATGACAAAAACCTCACTATTTTTGCAACGGAAACATTTTTGCAGTTGCGTATCACACTCCCCCACGACCCTGTACAGAGTAACAATGGCTGCTTCAAAATGTCTGGTAAATCCAACTTACATAAATTCTGAGACTTTTCTTGAGCTTGTACCTCTGACAGACAAGAAGTATCAAGCAGATCAACAGCACAGCAATTGGGGTTACGAAAGCAACGATTACAGTTTTCAAACCCAACGTTTTTTGTCCTGAACCTGTTGATGGTTCGGTAGTAGTTAAAACACTCGGCCGAACAATGGTCTGGAAAAAAAGAGAATTAGATATTTTCAAATTTTATGAAATTACCAATGAATTAATCAAAGGAGAACAGCAACATCTTAAAGGGTACGATTGGTACATGAAATTAAGCAAAAGGTAAATGCTGCAAAATTTTAGAAAAGCACGAAAAAGTGTAAGCATATCAAATAATACTAAAAGACATTCTGCCCAACATTTCTCAGAGTATAAAGCGTCTTAAGAATGTTTAACAGAAAGCGTTTTGTCATTAATTCTGCATCTCCATGCTATATGTAAACAAGGACCGAAAAGTAGGGGGGGTGGGGGTGCTTTCATTTTTATTATACATCTGGAAAATTAGCGTATCTTTAAAAATGAGTGAAGGGGAAGGGGGATCAAGCCCCTTAACCCCCGCCCCTCCTGCTATAAAGATGCATTAGAAATTCATATAGTAAACAATTGATTCTTAAAAATAATATTGTAATAAACTGCCTCTTAAACATTTTCAACAGAGTTATAAAGTATCTTTTTAGTGACAAGAGGTGAAAGCTGCAACTTTGAAATGAATGCTTATAATATTTTAAGGAAACACTTCCTCTAATGCATGAGGAAAGATGATATGTTGGAAATAAAAATGATTATTAATAAAGTGTTGTAATCAAAATAAAAAAATTATAAAAAACAATAGAAACATCTGTGATATGATCCAGATTAGAAATTCTTCACGGAACTGGTAAAAGGCTTCAATAGCGTGATGAAAAGCTTGATTAAATGAAATTTAATCATGTTTAATATGTGACAGGGTACGCCTTTTAGGTGCCCCTTGGGCTTTTGTTTTTAAGGCACAGATTGCACAATTGTGGAGTTTGTGTTTATTGTAGCAGTGCTCGAGTAAGCTTTACATTGTGTCTTTTATACGGATAAAGCAACAAGCGTGCAAGTGTGCATTGGCCTTGGGTATATAAACTTTGTCTTAGCACAGTTTCATTCTCACACGTTGCACGACAACTCGAAGTTGGACTTTGGAGAGGAAAGGTTTTTCCTTTGCGACCCTGCCCACACAACCCATGTCTAGATATCTTCAGAGGTTTTTCTTTACATGCATTTTGACTTTCTACTTTTTTTTCGTGCATTAGATAAAGGCTGTATGGCTTGCGACTTTTTGCATGAACAAGGTGCTGCTAGTCGGCGGAGGAAGGCCATTGTTCTTCTTCTCAACCCCCACAAAAACGATTGGGGCTTTATTTATGGCCGTCTTTGCGATTGGCGCACTGACAGCCCAAAAATATATGGTTCAAATGATGAGAGAACACCACCTTCAGTCTTATGATTGACAATGGTAAAATATTCTGAGGACGATCTTACCCTTATATGCTAATGGTTTTTGTTTAGTAACCTGGAACAAATATTAAACGACGCTTCTTTGCTGCAAAAAAGAGTCAGTGAGTCATGCAGATTTATTCATAAATGGAAAACCTTACCGTATAATTCAGTATTTTGTCCATTTCGGTTAACGAGATTTTGTCGAACTTTTCAATAACTCCATTGGCAATAAGTGCTTGTCCGTTTTCAATAACAGCAAAATCGATTTCGACATTTTCAGGATGCTTGGAGTTTCTTTCGATATTCGTAATCTAAAATTGATAAATCAAAATGAGATGATTAGATGATATCTGAAACCCGAAAAACAAAACGTGAAAAATATCCATGTTCTTGAAACACGCACAATTAAAAAAGGGAAGGAGCAACAGCCAGTAGTTGTACAACGTATGGATAATTGAGAACGAAAGGGAGAAAGGAGGAATCTTTCGCATTGTTTCTCCCCTTACAAATTCCCTCACTTTGTCTCCATCAACAGGCTTTACTCTCGCTTAATTTACTAAAGCAACATAAATGTCCACTGCCTTATTCAAAGTGTGCCCGATGCCGTATAGGCAGAGTTGTAAGCAGACATAGTGCATAGAACATAAAGGTTCTGAGTTCCCACCTCCGAATTTCAACTTTAAATGCGATCTTCAGGCAACAGTTGGTGTTAGTATATTAAATTATTTTGATTCTTGAGGTGTATTAAAGTGAACACTATATAAATCATATAAAAAATGAGCTGTTTTTGAAGCTCTTCGACAATTTCAAGTGGATAAAAGAGCAAGACAAGCAAATTTTGAAAACTAAAATGTGACGTCAATAGTATAAACATCAGCACGTCAAGATTCTTAACATCAGCTCATACTGTGACGTCAGAATTCTAAGTATCAGCTCATATCTTGACGGCATGATTCTAAACATCAGCCCATAATGTGACGTTAAGACTCTAAACATCAGCTCATATTGTGACGTCAAGATTCTAAACGGCAGCACATACTGCAACGTCAAGATTCTAAAAATCACCTCATTTTATGACGTCAAGACTCTAAACATCAGCTCATATTGTTATATCAAGACTCTAATCATCAGCTGAAATTATGACGTTAAAAATCTTAACATCAGCTCATATTGTGATGTCAAGATTCTAAAAATTACCTCGTTTTGTGACGTCAAAAATCTAAACATTAAGCTCTTATTGTTATATCAAGACTCTAAAAATCAGCTCATATTATGACGTCAAAAATATAAACATCAGCTCATATTATGACGTCAAAAATATAAACATCAGCTCATATTGTGATGTCAAGATTCTAAACATTACTTCGTTTTGTGACGTCAAAAATCTAAACATCAGCTCATATTGTGATGTCAAGATTCCAAAAATTACCTCTTTTTGTGACGACAAAAATCTAAACATTAAGCTCTTATTTTTATATCAAGACTCCAAACATCAGCTCATATTATGACGTCAAAAATCTAAACATCAGCTCATATTGTGATGTCAAGATTCTAAACATTACTTCGTTTTGTGATGTCAAGAATCTAAACATTAACTCTAATTGTGACGTCAAGATTCTAAATATTACTTCGTTTTGTGATGTCAAGATTAAAAATGGACAGCCATTGTAATAACAAATGGATGATACTTTCTTGCAGGTGGCTAACAAGACAAGGAACAACATACGTTTCGTAACCGGAAAATAACGTGCGAACAACGGCAATTAAGGCTAGAAAAATACTGGTCGGGATATTCAGTCAGTAGAGGGTATTTTTCAAAATATTCTCCCTATGAAATATCTCGTAAAACTTGATATACGGAACTAAAAATAGCATAAGAATCATAAACATGGGAAAGCTTTATACTTTTGCAATTTAAGTAAAATGTATTTTTGCATTGCGGTTTCAACCATTGCTTGTTATTGCATACTTCATTAAACTATTTGCAATATCGTGTATATATCTATCATCATTTATTAAATTTAAACAAAATCCTCGATAAACTTGATAACATTTATTAAATTGATTTATCTATCTAGGGTCAAGTATTCAGTTCTCGACCTTATTGATTGGTAAAGATGTCAGCGTTAAAGCTATGCTATCACATAATAAGAAAGCAGAAATATGATAATTTTATCTATGTTAGAGACGTCTTACCCGATTTGTGTTCCTGTCGTTTTATAAATCCCGAAATTCAACTTGCCTGGTTTTACAATCATGACACAAACATCAGCTTGTAAATTGTAGTGGCCTAGCACCTGCAGTTTCTACTTTGATAAATTACAAAAATAGTTTCTATAGTAACGTTTACACAATTGGTTATCCAGCAACGATGAATACGAGATCAACTCCAATGACGTTATTGTGAATGAAAAATGAGTTCTTTATGCATAAGTCAACATAAACAGGATTCAGCCACAAGCTAGCTCGAAGATTCTCTCTATACAAAATATGAACAGCTTGCGCTCTTTGTCAGTAAAAGCTCTTCTTAGCAATATATCTTATTATCTTCTGTTTAGAGTTAAGAAAGGAGCTATTGTTTAAAAGTCCGTTATCCGTTGATTGAGATACGTCAGGGATGGGTGAGAAATTAACCAGCTCTCTGACTGATTAAGAATTCTTTGCATGATAATTTCAGTTCAAAATATGATAGACCAGTCCAAACAAAAACAGTAGCTTCACTACGTCTCGATTCCTCCTAACTCTTTCTCGTCGGCGTTGTTGTTGACCCATCCAAATTTTACAGAAATTTCTATGACATTGGTCCCAGGAGATCAGGGACGTTACCCCGTGCTCCCTAAGACGTGTCAGAAACATTAAAAATCTTCCCGTGCACACCTTTTTTAAGTCCTCTTACTAAACTTACAAACTCACATCTCAAAGCTGATCTTTTCTCTCAAGAGCTTGTAAACTTTGGAATACGTTACATTTTTCCTGCTTCCCAGATTGTCGAAACCTGCCTTTTTTAAAACAAGATCACCAAACTTGATTTCACGTCCCTCCCATCCTAGTTCCTTCCTCCTTTCCCTTGTGTGGGCTTTGTAAGGGCTTAATCGATAAAAATTCCAACATAAACGCAAACTCCATATCATAAACAAAAGCTGATATACAAAATTCTGATGTATATTCTATAGACGATGTATCAAGGATTCTGAGTTCTCCTTTACTGGCAAAGCCGAAGGCATTAATGTGCATAGATTTTTGAATCAATCTACTTTGAACAAGATGTCTTTTGTCTTCTAATTTATCTTCTACTTGCCTACAATTTGAGCATACTGCATAACATTTGCATTTTAAACAAGTAGTTAGGGAATATTCTGAGTCATAAAAATGTAGGAAGAAAAATTGGCTGGAAAACATAACAGTTCCAAGCCCATCGAAGGTTTTTTACCATGAACGGAAAAAAGACCTAAAAAAGGTTTTCTTTCGGTTTAGCGAACTCCTGATATAACGAACTATTTTCTGGTTTCCTTCAGAGATGGAATCGTATCGGAATTCCATTGTATTTCAATTCAATGTTACTTTTAGTATTTAAACGTTCCTAAATGAATTTTTAACAACAAACAACACCTAAAACAGCCGATTTATGATAAGAGCTAAATTATGTGTCTTGACCTCCCTTGCATTGTTATTTTGAAGTATTTCAATATTGTAAAATCGGCCATATTCTCACTCATTCATTGACCATACCATATCCATGACATCCCCTTACGTCATTCACTGCATTGCATACCATAGGACTTTTTCTCTACAATTGTTTTCAACTCCGCTCTCCTAGGTAAAGCTGACTCAGCTTCTCCCGTTCTATGCCTACAGCTTTCTTCATCACATTGCATCATCATTACATCATCCTAACTTATTTTTAGTCAGCATCTTGATTTTTCAATATAAGCATGTTAATTTGTAAATTTAGTTAAGTTCAGGTCAGAGTTCTACAGGCAACATAATATCTCTCTCATTGGTTCCGTGTTCTACACACGGTAAATAGGACTCTCTGGAATAAAGAAACAACACGTTAGTCGATGGATTATTAATCTCGGATCGATGGATGGATCGATGCATTTGGTGGCTGCATCGATCGATGTTCCAATGCACACTGAAATTTAATCCTGAAAAGAAGAATGGGAAGCGGTATTCTGTTCCTAAATATATTAAAAAAGTATTTATATAGGAGAGATCCATAAGAAGTTATGCATTACTCACTTGGACAAAGGCTCCTCCAACCTGCCTTCGAACTCTGAGAAGATACTTTGCTTTGTCACTGGCGATTGCTCTTCGCTTTCTGACTTTTGTTATTGCAGCAATGTACAGACTGAGCAGCCTCTTCTCCATTTTACTTTTGAACACAGTCAGTGTTATGTTTTCTTGAAGCTTTACACGAATGACAATTCTTATTTTAGCCGACTTTGGTATATTTGACGGACTCAGTGTCGGTGGAACAACGGATGTAGTTGCAGTAGTTGTAGCAGGTGAATATTCTGAAGGAGTTGGTGAATATCCAGAATCTTGAGTTGTCAGGCGTGAGGCAAAGTTGCTGATCTTTGTAGCAAAATAGATTGAAGTTGAGCTTACGGGAATCACTACTGTTGTTTTTGTTCTAGTTACAGCAAAACTAGAATGACCCAACATAAATGACATTATAGTAGTTCCGTTCTTTGTACTAGCAGATGATTTTGTGGAAGATAATGCATGCATGCTAGATGCAGTACTTAATCGTGTTCTAGAGTGCGATGAGTGAACCAAAGAAATGAATACAAAAGACTTTTCATTCAATTGGGTCGAAGAAAACAATGAAAAGGTGAGGGTCATATTTCTAAATCTAGAATGGCCAGCCTCTGACATTGTTGACATAGAGTACAAAGGCAAGCTCAAAGAATGAAACGCCAGTGTAGACCTAGGTGAAAAATGTGAAAGTGGTGTAGAAGATGACACTAAATTAGTAACACTAAAATCTGAAGCAAATACCGACGAAGGTAAAAACGATGATTCATAAACAGAGTTCCTGGTTGATGAAACTGTTATCAATCCCAGAGCTGTATCTGACGTGGAAACAGAAATAGTAGCAATAGTAGATGTGGGAGAGAGGGTCGGGAAAATTTCTGATGTACTTGATAATACAGTCCTTGCTATCTGGGTAGGAAAATTTGAACTAATTGAGCTTGTTATACCAGAAACTAATACTGATAATGTTTCTGACGTTGTGTGGATGAGAGGTATTGTTGATAAGCTAGAAATCTCCACTGCAAGGGAAGTCGACGAAGATATGGGTAATGAACTGCCTTCAACTGTCGATATTGCTGTAGTCACTGATGATGCGTCCATGGTAGTTGCAACCAATGTTGATAGAGGTAATGCCACTGTCCTTGTAGAAGCATATGCCGATGAGTTCGAAATCTCCATTGGAAGGGATGTCGATGAAGATATGGGTAATGAACTGCCTTCAACTGTCGACATTGCTGTAGTCACTGATGATGCGTCCATGGTAGTTGCAACCAATGTTGATAGAGGTAATGCCACTGTCCTTGTAGAAGCATATGCCGATGAGTTCGAAATCTCCATTGCAAGGGAAGTCGACGAAGATGTGGGTAATGAACTGCCTTCAACTGTCGATATTGCTGTAGTCACTGATGATGCGTCCATGGTAGTTGCAACCAATGTTGATAGAGGTAATGCCACTGTCCTTGTAGAAGCATATGTAGATGAGTTCGAAATCTCCATTGGAAGGGATGTCGATGAAGATATGGGTAATGAACTGCTTTCAACTGTCAATATCGATGTAGTCACTGATGATGCGTCAATGGTAGTTGCAACCAATGTTGATAGAGGTAGTGCCACTGTCCTTGTAGAAGCATATGCCGATGAGTTCGAAATCTCCATTGGAAGGGATGTCGATGAAGATATAGGTAATGAACTGCCTTCAACTGTCGACATTGCTGTAGTCACTGATGATGCGTCCATGGTAGTTGCAACCAATGTTGATAGAGGTAGTGCCACTGTCCTTGTAGAAGCATATGTCGATGAGTTCGAAATCTCCATTGGAAGGGATGTCGATGAAGATGTGGGTAATAAACTGCCTTCAACTGTCGATATTGCTGTAGTCACTGATGATGCGTCCATGGTAGTTGCAACCAATGTTGATAGAGGTAGTGCCACTGTCCTTGTAGAAGCATATGTCGATGAGTTCGAAATCTCCATTGCAAGGGATGTAGACGAAGATGTGGGTAATGAACTGCCTTCAACTGTCGATATCGATGTAGACACTAATGAAGCGTCCGTGGTAGTTGCAACCAATGTTGATAGAGGTAGTGCCACTGTCCTTGTAGAAGCATATGCCGATGAGTTCGAAATCTCCATTGGAGGGGATGTCGATGAAGATATAGGTAATGAACTGCCTTCAACTGTCGATATTGCTGTAGTCACTGATGAAGCGTCCATGGTAGTTGCAACCAATGTTGATAGAGGTAGTGCCACTGTCCTTGTAGAAGCATATGCCGATGAGTTCGAAATCTCCATTGCAAGGGAAGTAGACGAAGATGTGGGAAATGAACTGCCTTCAACTGTCGATATTGCTGTAGTCACTGATGATGCGTCCATGGTAGTTGCAACCAATGCTGATAGAGGTAAGTTTACTGTCCTTTTAGAAGCATATGTAGATGAGTTCGAAATCTCCATTGGAAGGGATGTCGATGAAGATATAGGTAATGAACTGCCTTCAACTGTCGATATTGCTGTAGTCACTGATGAAGCGTCCATAGTAGTTGCAACCAATGTTGATAGAGGTAGTGCCACTGTCCTTGTAGAAGCATATGCCGATGAGTTCGAAATCTCCATTGCAAGGGAAGTAGACGAAGATGTGGGAAATGAACTGCCTTCAACTGTCGATATTGCTGTAGTCACTGATGATGCGTCCATGGTAGTTGCAACCAATGTTGATAGAGGTAGTGCCACTGTCCTTGTAGAAGCATATGCCGATAAGTTCGAAATCTCCATTGGAAGGGATGTCGATGAAGATATAGGTAATGAACTGCCTTCAACTGTCGACATTGCTGTAGTCACTGATGATGCGTCCATGGCAGTTGCAACCAATGTTGATAGAGGTAAGTTTACTGTCCTTGTAGAAGCATATGCCGATGAGTTCGAAATCTCCATTGCAAGGGAAGTCGACGAAGATGTGGGTAATGAACTGCCTTCAACTGTCGATATTGCTGTAGTCACTGATGATGCGTCCATGGTAGTTGCAACCAATGTTGATAGAGGTAATGCCACTGTCCTTGTAGAAGCATATGTCGATGAGTTCGAAATCTCCATTGGAAGGGATGTCGATGAGGATATGGGTAATGAACTGCCTTCAACTGTCGACATTGCTGTAGTCACTGATGATGCGTCCATGGTAGTTGCAACCAATGTTGATAGAGGTAATGCCACTGTCCTTGTAGAAGCATATGCCGATGAGTTCGAAATCTCCATTGCAAGGGAAGTAGACGAAGATGTGGGTAATGAACTGCTTTCAACTGTCAATATCGATGTAGTCACTGATGATGCGTCCATGGTAGTTGCAACCAATGTTGATAGAGGTAGTGCCACTGTCCTTGTAGAAGCATATGCCGATGAGTTCGAAATCTCCATTGCAAGGGAAGTAGACGAAGATGTGGGAAATGAACTGCCTTCAACTGTCGATATTGCTGTAGTCACTGATGATGCGTCCATGGTAGTTGCAACCAATGTTGATAGAGGTAGTGCCACTGTCCTTGTAGAAGCATATGCCGATAAGTTCGAAATCTCCATTGGAAGGGATGTCGATGAAGATATAGGTAATGAACTGCCTTCAACTGTCGACATTGCTGTAGTCACTGATGATGCGTCCATGGTAGTTGCAACCAATGTTGATAGAGGTAAGTTTACTGTCCTTGTAGAAGCATATGCCGATGAGTTCGAAATCTCCATTGGAAGGGATGTCGATGAAGATATAGGTAATGAACTGCCTTCAACTGTCGATATTGCTGTAGTCACTGATGAAGCGTCCATGGTAGTTGCAACCAATGTTGATAGAGGTAGTGCCACTGTCCTTGTAGAAGCATATGCCGATGAGTTCGAAATCTCCATTGCAAGGGAAGTAGACGAAGATGTGGGAAATGAACTGCCTTCAACTGTCGATATTGCTGTAGTCACTGATGATGCGTCCATGGTAGTTGCAACCAATGCTGATAGAGGTAAGTTTACTGTCCTTTTAGAAGCATATGTAGATGAGTTCGAAATCTCCATTGGAAGGGATGTCGATGAAGATATAGGTAATGAACTGCCTTCAACTGTCGATATTGCTGTAGTCACTGATGAAGCGTCCATGGTAGTTGCAACCAATGTTGATAGAGGTAGTGCCACTGTCCTTGTAGAAGCATATGCCGATGAGTTCGAAATCTCCATTGCAAGGGAAGTAGACGAAGATGTGGGAAATGAACTGCCTTCAACTGTCGATATTGCTGTAGTCACTGATGATGCGTCCATGGTAGTTGCAACCGATGTTGATGGAGGTAGTGCCACTGTCCTTGTAGAAGCATATGCCGATGAGTTCGAAATCTCCATTGCAAGGGAAGTAGACGAAGATGTGGGAAATGAACTGCCTCCAACTGTCGATATTGCTGTAGTCACTAATGAAGCGTCCATGGTAGTTGCAACCAATGTTGATAGAGATAGTGCCACTGTCCTTGTAGAAGCATATGTCGATGAGTTCGAAATCTCCAATGGAAGGGATGTCGACGAAGATGTGGGTAATAAACTGCCTTCAACTGTCGATATCGATGTAGACACTAATGAAGCGTCCATGGTAGTTGCAACCAATGTTGATAGAGGTAGTGCCACTGTCCTTGTAGAAGCATATGTCGATGAGTTCGAAATTTCCATTGCAAGGGAAGTCGACGAAGATATGGGTAATGAACTGCCTTCAACTGTCGACATTGCTGTAGTCACTGATGATGCGTCCATGGTAGTTGCAACCAATGTTGATAGAGGTAGTGTCACTGTCCTTGTAGAAGCATATGTCGATGAGTTCGAAATCTCCAATGGAAGGGATGTCGACGAAGATGTGGGTAATGAACTGCCTTCAACTGTCGATATCGATGTAGACACTAATGAAGCGTCCATGGTAGTTGCAACCAATGTTGATAGAGGTAGTGCCACTGTCCTTGTAGAAGCATATGTCGATGAGTTCGAAATCTCCATTGCAAGGGAAGTCGACGAAGATATGGGTAATGAACTGCCTTCAACTGTCGACATTGCTGTAGTCACTGATGATGCGTCCATGGTTGTTGCAACCAATGTTGATAGAGGTAGTGTCACTGTCCTTGTAGAAGAATATGTCGATGAGTTCGAAATCTCCAATGGAAGGGATGTCGACGAAGATGTGGGTAATGAACTGCCTTCAACTGTCGATATCGATGTAGACACTAATGAAGCGTCCATGGTAGTTGCAACCAATGTTGATAGAGGTAGTGCCACTGTCCTTGTAGAAGCATATGTCGATGAGTTCGAAATCTCCATCGCAAGGGAAGTCGACGAAGATATGGGTAATGAACTGCCTTCAACTGTCGATATTGCTGTAGTCACTGATAATGCGTCCAGGGTAGTTGCAACCAATGTTGATAGAGGTAGTGTCACTGTCCTTGTAGAAGCATATGTCGATGAGTTCGAAATCTCCATTGCAAGGGAAGTCGACGAAGATATGGGTAATGAACTGCTTTCAACTGTCGATATTGCTGTAGTCACTGATGATGCGTCCAGGGTAGTTGCAACCAATGTTGATAGAGGTAATGCCACTGTCCTTGTAGAAGCATATGTCGATGAGTTCGAAATCTCCATTGCAAGGGAAGTCGACGAAGATATGGGTAATGAACTGCCTTCAACTGTCGATATCGATGTAGTTTCTAATGAACCGTCCATGGTAGTTGCAACCAATGTTGATAGAGGTAGTGTAACTGTCCTTGTAGAAGCATATGTCGATGAGTTCGAAATCTCCATTGCAAGGGAAGTCGACGAAGATATGGGTAATGAACTGCCTTCAACTGTCGATATCGATGTAGTTACTAATGAACCGTCCATGGTAGTTGCAACCAATGTTGATAGAGGTAGTGTAACTGTCCTTGTAGAAGCATATGTCGATGAGTTCGAAATCTCCATTGCAAGGGAAGTCGACGAAGATATGGGTAATGAACTGCCTTCAACTGTCGACATTGCTGTAGTCACTGATGATGCGTCCATGGTAGTTGCAACCAATGTTGATAGAGGTAATGCCACTGTCCTTGTAGAAGAATATGTCGATGAGTTCGAAATCTCCAATGGAAGGGATGTCGACGAAGATGTGGGTAATGAACTGCCTTCAACTGTCGATATCGATGTAGACACTAATGAAGCGTCCATGGTAGTTGCAACCAATGTTGATAGAGGTAGTGCCACTGTCCTTGTAGAAGCATATGTCGATGAGTTCGAAATCTCCATCGCAAGGGAAGTCGACGAAGATATGGGTAATGAACTGCCTTCAACTGTCGATATTGCTGTAGTCACTGATAATGCGTCCAGGGTAGTTGCAACCAATGTTGATAGAGGTAGTGTCACTGTCCTTGTAGAAGCATATGTCGATGAGTTCGAAATCTCCATTGCAAGGGAAGTCGACGAAGATATGGGTAATGAACTGCCTTCAACTGTCGATATCGATGTAGTTACTAATGAACCGTCCATGGTAGTTGCAACCAATGTTGATAGAGGTAGTGTAACTGTCCTTGTAGAAGCATATGTCGATGAGTTCGAAATCTCCATTGCAAGGGAAGTCGACGAAGATATGGGTAATGAACTGCCTTCAACTGTCGACATTGCTGTAGTCACTGATGATGCGTCCATGGTAGTTGCAACCAATGTTGATAGAGGTAATGCCACTGTCCTTGTAGAAGCATATGTCGATGAGTTCGAAATCTCCATTGCAAGGGAAGTAGACGAATATGTGGGTAATGAACTGCCTTCAACTGTCGATATTGCTGTAGTCACTGATGATGCGTCCAGGGTAGTTGCAACCAATGTTGATAGAGGTAGTGCCACTGTCCTTGTAGAAGCATATGTCGATGAGTTCGAAATCTCCATTGCAAGGGAAGTAGACGAATATGTGGGTAATGAACTGCCTTCAACTGTCGATATTGCTGTAGTCACTGATGATGCGTCCAGGGTAGTTGCAACCAATGTTGATAGAGGTAGTGCCACTGTCCTTGTAGAAGCATATGTCGATGAGTTCGAAATCTCCATTGCAAGGGAAGTCGACGAAGATGTGGGTAATGAACTGCCTTCAACTGTCGATATTGCTGTAGTCACTGATGATGCGTCCATGGTAGTTGCAACCAATGTTGATAGAGGTAGTGCCACTGTCCTTGTAGAAGCATATGTCGATGAGTTCGAAATCTCCATTGCAAGGGAAGTCGACGAAGATATGGGTAATGAACTGCCTTCAACTGTCGATATTGCTGTAGTCACTGATGATGCGTCCATGGTAGTTGCAACCAATGTTGATAGAGGTAGTGCCACTGTCCTTGTAGAAGCATATGTCGATGAGTTCGAAATCTCCATCGCAAGGGAAGTCGACGAAGATATGGGTAATGAACTGCCTTCAACTGTCGATATTGCTGTAGTCACTGATGATGCGTCCATGGTAGTTGCAACCAGTGTTGATAGAGGTAGTGCCACTGTTGTTGTAAAAGCAAATCTAGATGAATTCGAAACCTGCGATGGAGAAGATGAAAATGTGGCTTTCGAGCTATCTTTGTCACTTAATGTCCATGTGGTTGTCAACAACGAATTCAAGGTATCTGTAGTCGATGCAGGTGACAATAAATTCGTTTTCGTTGTAGAAAACACTGTTGATGAATTTGAAACCTGCCATGAAGAAGATGAAAATGTGGCTATCGAGCTATCCTTGTTACTTGATGTCCATGTGGTTGTCAACAACGAATTCAAGGTATCTGTAGTCGATGCAGGTGACAATAAATTCGTTTTCGTTGTAGAAAACACTGTTGATGAATTTGAAGCCTTCCATGGAGAAGATGATGACCAAGATGTGGCGATCGAGCTATCTTTGTCACTTAATGTCCATGTGGTTGTCAACAACGAATTCAACCTATTTGCAGTCGATGCAGATGACAGTAGATTCGTATTCGTTGTAGAAAACACTGTTGATGAATTTGAAACCTGCCATGGAGAAGATGATGACCAAGATGTGGCGATCGAGCTATCCTTGTTACTTAATGTCCATGTGGTTGTCAACAACGAATTCAACTTATTTGTAGTCGATGCAGATGACAGTAGATTCGTATTCGTTGTAGAAAACACTGTTGATGAATTCGAAACCTTCCATGGAGAAGATGATGACCAAGATGTGGCGATCGAGCTATCTTTGTCACTTAATGTCGATGTGGTTGTCAACAACGAATTCAACCTATTTGTAGTCGATGCAGATGATAGTAGATTCGTATTCGTTGTAGAAAACACTGTTGATGAATTCGAAACCTTCCATGGAGAAGATGATGACCAAGATTTGGCGATCGAGCTATCTTTGTCACTTAATGTCCATGTGGTTGTCAACAACGAATTCAACCTATTTGCAGTCGATGCAGATGACAGTAGATTCGTATTCGTTGTAGAAAACACTGTTGATGAATTCGAAACCTTCCATGGAGAAGATGATGACCAAGATGTGGCGATCGAGCTATCTTTGTCACTTAATGTCCATGTGGTTGTCAACAACGAATTCAACCTATTTGCAGTCGATGCAGATGACAGTAGATTCGTATTCGTTGTAGAAAACACTGTTGATGAATTCGAAACCTGCCATGAAGAAGATGAAAATGTGGCTATCGAGCTATGCTTGTTACTTGATGTCCATGTGGTTGTCAGCAACGAATTCAACCTATTTGTAGTCGATGCAGATGACAGTAGATTCGTATTCGTTGTAGAAAACACTGTTGATGAATTTGAAACCTGCCATGAAGAAGATGAAAATGTGGCTATCGAGCTATCCTTGTTACTTGATGTCCATGTGGTTGTCAACAACGAATTCAACCTATTTGTAGTCGATGCAGATGACAGTAGATTCGTATTCGTTGTAGAAAACACTGTTGACAAATTCGAAACCTTCCATGAAGAAGATGAAAATGTGGCTATCGAGCTATCCTTGTTACTTGATGTCCCTGTAGTCGTCAGCAACGAATTCAACCTATTTGTAGTCGATGCAGATGACAGTAGATTCGTATTCGTTGTAGAAAACACTGTTGATGAATTCGAAACCTGCCATGAAGAAGATGAAAATGTGGCTATCGAGCTATGCTTGTTACTTAATGTCCATGTGGTTGTCAACAACGAAGTCAACCTATTTGTAGTCGATGCAGATGACAGTAGATTCGTATTCGTTGTAGAAAACACTGTTGATGAATTTGAAACCTTCCATGGAGAAGATGATGACCAAGATGTGGCGATCGAGCTATCTTTGTCACTTAATGTCCATGTGGTTGTCAACAACGAAGTCAACCTATTTGTAGTCGATGCAGATGACAGTAGATTCGTATTCGTTGTAGAAAACACTGTTGATGAATTCGAAACCTTCCATGGAGAAGATGATGACCAAGATGTGGCGATCGAGCTATCTTTGTCATTTAATGTCCATGTGGTTGTCAACAACGAATTCAACCTATTTGCAGTCGATGCAGATGACAGTAGATTCGTATTCGTTGTAGAAAACACTGTTGATGAATTCGAAACCTTCCATGGAGAAGATGATGACCAAGATGTGGCGATCGAGCTATCTTTGTCACTTAATGTCCATGTGGTTGTCAACAACGAATTCAAGGTATCTGTAGTCGATGCAGTTGACAATAAATTCGTTTTCGTTGTAGAAAACACTGTTGATGAATTCGAAACCTTCCATGGAGAAGATGATGACCAAGATGAGGCGATCGAGCTATCTTTGTTACTTGATGTCCATGTGGTTGTCAACAATGAATTCAACCTATTTGCAGTCGATGCAGATGACAGTAGATTCGTATTCGTTGTAGAAAACACTGTTGATGAATTCGAAACCTGCCATGAAGAAGATGAAATTGTGGCTATCGAGCTATGCTTGTTACTTGATGTCCATGTGGTTGTCAGTAACGAATTCAACCTATTTGTAGTCGATGCAGATGACAGTAGATTCGTATTCGTTGTAGAAAACACTGTTGATGAATTCGAAACCTGCCATGAAGAAGATGAAAATGTGGCTATCGAGCTATGCTTGTTACTTGATGTCCATGTGGTTGTCAGCAACGAATTCAACCTATTTGTAGTCGATGCAGATGACAGTAGATTCGTATTCGTTGTAGAAAACACTGTTGATGAATTTGAAACCTGCCATGAAGAAGATGAAAATGTGGCTATCGAGCTATCCTTGTTACTTGATGTCCATGTGGTTGTCAACAACGAATTCAACCTATTTGTAGTCGATGCAGATGACAGTAGATTCGTATTCGTTGTAGAAAACACTGTTGACAAATTCGAAACCTTCCATGAAGAAGATGAAAATGTGGCTATCGAGCTATCCTTGTTACTTGATGTCCCTGTAGTCGTCAGCAACGAATTCAACCTATTTGTAGTCGATGCAGATGACAGTAGATTCGTATTCGTTGTAGAAAACACTGTTGATGAATTCGAAACCTGCCATGAAGAAGATGAAAATGTGGCTATCGAGCTATCCTTGTTACTTGATGTCCCTGTAGTCGTCAGCAACGAATTAAAGATATTTGTAGTCGATACAGATGACAATAAATTCGAATTCGTTGTAGAAAATACTGTTGATGAATTCGAAACCTGCCAAGTTGTAAACGCCGGAGAAATGCTTGAGGAAACATTGTTTGGTAGTCCCCAAAGTATTGCAAGATTACTGATACAAAAGAGTCTCACCAACGATAATTTTTTCCACGTCATTGCTATCCTATCTTCCATGCACCGCCTCTACGAAGCAAGCACAGGTTGCTGAATTTTCACTCTTCCACTCATCTTCACTAACATTGTTTAAAAAGTTAAAAAGAAAATTGGCAGTTCAAATATACCTGAGGAGAGACAATTCAAAAAGCAAAAAGGAAACATTATCAAAAGTAATGCTTTATAGCTTTCGTCACAAGGGGCAAGCCATTGCTCTTTAAAAAAAAGGTGCAAATTTTCAAAAAAGCGAATTCTTCAAGTCCATATGAGTCTATAAGTGTAATTGCTCCATAGATGGTATGGCGAGAAAGGCCCTGTTTACTGTCTAAGATACCAGAAGTTGGAAAAGTGGAGGTAGGGGAGGGGGAAGAGTTGGAATCAAACAACTATTTTTTTGGCAGTGGTGGTTGCAATTCATGGAAATGGGTTGGCAAAACCTAGAATTAACTGAACGAAACTCTCTTTTGGATAAAGATGGAGAATTCAAGGGCGAACATCCATTAACAACAAGCAAAGCTTTGAAGGGTTTTAAAGACGGGTGTGTAAGGTCAATGTCAATTAAAAGCCAATTAGCGTGGAAGGTGTCCTTACAAAAGCGAAGGAAATAGCAAATTTTGAAAAATGAATAAGAGGGCTGAGCAGCTAAGAGTTAGTCACCGTCGAAAATATTTGCACGCAAATTTAAAACTTTTCCATTTGAAGAAAGTCGGCTTTGCATGGGATTGTTCCAACTACCTTGTTCCATTTATCAAGAACTACAAATACATAATTAAAAAATATTCACCTGAAGCCCTAGACCATGGAGTTTCCTAGCTGCTCAGCCTACATTCACAAGTGAAAACAAAATAAGAGCAAATGTAAACTTACAAAAAATTAGCGAGAAAATGTGAAAACAAAAGGAAGTAGATTTGATGTCAAAGTATAGATTTCACAATCAGACATGTCTTGGATTTTAGCAGTCTTTCAAGAGGATTAAAAATCATGCCACATAGAAAAGCGGGATTTCCTCATCAATCCTCAATGATTCCTCATGATTTCCTCAAGTTCTCGTAAGGCACTAGCTTACACTTTTTATCTAATGTAAACAAACTTCAAAGGATATGGAACAAAAGCAAAGTAAAAGGTAAACAAAAACCCCCAATTCCAATATTTTTAATACAGTCAAAAATATCAAGAAGTTTGAGTAATGTTTTCATGTTAATAGTCAAATCTAAGCAATTTTAAGTAAAAATACAACAAACGCTTAGTGAGGAGCAATGAATTTGCAGCTTCCGGTTCAATACTCTGTTTTAGAGGTAATACAAAATTGTTTGGCCTTAGAAATGTTATGCTTTAAATTGTGAACTTATGGTTTTCCTTCTGCTGACAGTTTTAATCATACAAATGCATTTTTTTTAACTTTTAAGGATGTTTATCATTACATTATAATGGTGTGGTCGTTATATTATAATGGAGTGGTCGTTTTATTATAATGGTGTGGTAGTCATATTATAATGGCGTGGTCGTAATATTATAATGGTGTGGTCGTTATATTTTAAAGATGTGGTTGTTATATTTTAAGGATATGGTCATTTTATCATAATGGTGTGGTAGTGATATTATTATGATGTGGTCGTTATATTATAATGGTGTTGTCGTTATATTATAATGGTGTGGTCGGTACATTATAATGGTGTGGTCGTTATATTATAATGGTGTGGTCGTTATAATATAATGGTGCGGTCGTTATATTATAACGGTGTGGTTGTTGTATTATAATGGTCGTTATATTTTAAGGATGTAGTCATGATATTAACTGGTTTTCCTCGACATAGATGCAACCACGTAGCTGTAGGTGTCGGCTAGGGGGAGGGGGCAAACTCGAGCAAGAACCATACCTCAGGGGGGCAGGTTTTAAAACAAGAAAACAGATATATAACAAACAGATATATTTGGACAAAATCAAGGTCATGGAATTATAAATATGCCAAATTTTCAAAATATCATAAGGAAAAGCTGTAGCCAGAGGGGGCAAGCTGTTGTCAAAATTTTCATTTGGGGGGGCATAGCCCTCCCGTGCCCCACCTGCAGCTACGTGGCTGCATAGATTTAGGAAGCATTTCAAAGTTGGAGCACATGTAGTCACAAAAATGGGCACCTACGTGAGTGCAAACAGATCTTTACCTCTGTTTCTAAAGACGGGTACACGTGCCTAGTGAGCCATTCCTGGTTTTCAAGGTCTATGGTACCTCACACGGATATTCATTTAAATAATAGGCTTTTGTGTTGTACTTTTATGTACTTTTATGTATATGAACTTCGTACTTCTTACTTATGTGCTTTAACATATAAGATGTACTTTAAATTTCGTTTTAATCTATTCATTTAAATTACGCAATTCAATTTGTATTTGATGTTATTTTCTATATTCTTTATTTTATTATGATGAAAAAAACCCCAGGCTTTCAATAAATATATTGGAACTACGAGTCTTAGGAAACTGCAACCTCATTGTCTTGTAAAAGGTAATTTTTAAAAGATGGATAACATTATAGATAAAAAATAAACAAACATACTCATCTACTATTTTGGTGCTCAAGGTACAGAACTAGGATACATACGATGTTTCTTTTCACTTTTTAATTGCATTTGTATGAAAAAGTTTAAATAGAAATTGGAAGCGATTTGAATGCGCCTACTTCAAAACATTGCTTTGTTTTAAAACGCAAAGATATACTTGGTTTGCAACTTGTCCTATCACAGAGCTTGTTCAAGTTTCCTTTAATTCTAATTAACCATAAGCAGATAAAATCTGATAAACGGTCAGGTTTAAGGCCAAAATAGACAGTTTTTGGGACTACCTTCGGGGCAGCAGATAAATTACTGACCACGACCCTTGGTAGTTGCTTTAGAAACACTTTTGGGTGCAGGTTTCAAGATGGATATCTCATTTGATTATGAAATATTAGATCAATGTCTACCAAAACCTATTTGATGGTAAGCTGGAATATTTTGTGCACCAATTGGAAGCTATTCTGTCAACGGCTAATCACTTCTTAAAAAGCAATACGTTTAAATCAAGATGCCCACATAATGACTCGGCTTTAAACCAAATAAGCCAATATAAAGGGAGGTGGTTCATATAATCTGATTTAAAGACGCAAGCCTTGCAAAGATCCAATGGCTCAATACCACAGTTGCAGGGGTGGTGTCTCTAGGGGGTCATAACAGCTAGGGGGTCATAACAGCTAGGGGGTCATTTACTATAATTATTTTACCGATGGCTACAATCATTGCCAATATTGTTGGAACACTTGCGCAAAACTGAAGCCATTTTTGAAAAAAAACCTTCCAAACATAACAATGTTGCTCAATATCGCAGTTTTCATGCTGAAGTTAAATGTTTTGTAACTGAAAGTTGTACAAAGGTATTGAGAAAATAAATCAACTTTGTAAGGAGGAGGAGGGATCAAAAGTTTGGAAGCAACAGTGATGTAAGCATTGATAAGGTTATTTAGACTTGCCAACTCTGTTTGCATGCTATCAAGTCAAGGCAATCCAACTACTTTTGGCCAAGATTATAAGCTAAGATTATAGTCATAAGAACAGCTCCGGCCCAGGGGTGGTTCACAAAACTGGAACCCCTTAAAAAAAAATTCTGTAGCCACGCCCTTCAATCTCCCGCAAAACTAGAGGAACGCCCTTATTAGTTATAATTGTTGAAAAAATATTTTTAAGGATTTTTACAAGAATGTGGAAAAACATTAGACATGAATCAAGGACATGTGAACAGCGTTGATTCCATGTCAGTAGCTGAAATAGTAGCTTTTTTGCATTGTAAATAGATCTTGCTACATTATTACGGGCCCCATTGGAGCACGGGCCCCTGACCTTTTCCCTCTTCTAACCCTCCCTCTCGACGCCCTTGCATAAGAAATTCTATGCTCATTTCTTAAGAAAATGCTAAGATCATATAGGATTCACTTTGTCAAAATGCCAGATTTTCCGTTATATTTGAAAAGCAGCCAGCAAATCATTTTACTCTTTACCAAAATGCTGTGTCAAATAGATGGATTACATTCTGACTTCGTTCTTAAGATTTGCAAAAATGCTCGTTTTCCTATCTCCGAAAAATTTCTCCCTTCAAATCAGTCCCTATTACACTCCTTCATTTCATGAACACTTCTCATGAAAGCATATCAGCCAATAAAATACATGATCTTATTCTCTGACGTCACATCCTGTTACAAATGCTATGCAAAAACTGATATTAAAGGTCCTTAGAAAAGTTTTTTCGTATGTAGCTGTAGAAAACTAAATGTTCAAAAGAGAACAGCAAAAGAACAATCGAGCTTCGAATTTCCAAAAAAAGAAAGAAAGAAGAATTTAATGCTGAATTCATCATTTGAGCTGCAATTAACGCATAAAGAGTTGTCAAAATTTACTGTTTTCGTATATGTTCCCAAACAATCGAATTTGTGCATTTTATGTGATTTTTAAAATTAAAATTTTGAGGAAAGGCATTATTTTTCAATCTAATTGCATTTGATTATTTTTCAATCCAACTGCAATAGAGGTTTCAATCTTGCTGCAACCATTTATTTAGCGTTGGTAATTTAAATTAGTTGGTTTTAATTAGCTTATATGCATAGCTAGAAATTGTACCAACTTTAAACAAAGAGAGAAAAAAAAATTTACTTAAATGAAAAAGATTAATAAAAATCGGTGAGATTTGTTTATGGAAGGTAGAGGTCGGGGGAGGGGTGACGAAATAATTTTTATTCATAAATTGAGCAATTGATAGTAAGTATGCGAGTGGATTGTTGGTATTAAAAAAAATATTCTACACCAGCAGGATTAATACTAAAAGTTGTTGGTAATGCGAACTGTTAAGACCGACGCCGAATTCCCAGAAAGAACAGAGAACAAGCGGTACAAGAAGAACAAGGTCAGTAATCAGTTACCCAAGAAATTTAAACAGGTAATTGCATGTTCAGTTTAAATAAAAAACCCCAAGCGTACTTTATAACGGATTTGGAAGTAGAGAAACTTAGCTGGAATGTCATAAAAACTATATCATGGTTATAGGACAGGTGGGTTTGTAAGTTGTTGTAGCAATTCGATCAACTTTATCCCTTAATAACAAAGTTATTGCAAGGGTCGGTATAACAAAATATTCTGGATTAGAAAAACATAGACTAGAAAGACTGATAAAACAGCTATTAATTTCAGCTGTGCTGCGAGGGAGTTAAAGATTCCACAATGCCAGTTTTACGAAAAGCAAAAAACAAAAGCGGTTCAAAATAAACTTACATTGACGAAATTTGAACAATTTTTTTGCGGTACAGAATTTGAAAATGGAAATTCATGAAAATGTCACAACGGTACTTACGTGAGTTCTCTCAATCGAGACCACTCGCTTCTATTCCAAGATTGTGGAAATGTCACCAATACTTCTCTCCTGTTGGGTCGCTTTGGTTCGCATAGTTTTTCCAGTCAACGATAGTGTCCCACCGTCGCTATAGCAACGTCATTATAAACTCGGACGCTCACGTGGATTTACTTTCTCGTTGAATTTGATGCTCAAAAAATCTGCTTTCAAAACCAAGAAGACTAAAAACAAAAATTTGTTACCAAGAAGCAACAGGGCAGCGAAATCTTAGTTATGGATCGTTATCCTCAAAATCTTTGTGGCAACGAACACATTCTTTTTGGCAGCCCGATAAAGTACCTCAGGATCTTTCAGTTTTCCCCCTTTCTCTAGGATCTGGAGTCCAGTTAAAGAAGCAGCAAGCAAGCACACACAAATACACCAAAACAAGCAAAAGTTCAAACCCTTTTTGAGAAACTCCAAAATTTCATAGCAATGTCTTCTGCTAGTACATTGCACATTGCTCGTTGATAATCCATATGAAAGGACGTGAGTAAGAATGCACAAGACAAATTTACTTTGTACATACCGTTGAGAAAAATTAAATAACTGTTTAATACTGAAAAATCGATCAAGCTGTGAGATCAAATATACATGTCTCAATGAGATTGAAATTCAAAGCATTGTAAAATCGGTAAACCCGGTTACAAAGGCTCGTATAACTTAGTGTAATGTTACAATATTTGATTCGTTTTGTGAGTAACCGGAGAAAACAAACACTAGCGATTAGAGACACTCATGGAAGAAGATTAGTTACTTTTCTTAGAATAAGCTCTGATAAAAAGCGGAATTTCATTTCATGAATGACCGAAGTTCGTGAATGTAAAAAATTATTTGCTTGCTCACGTAAAACCTTACTTAGTCGAGAAATTTTCCCCGAAAACATTCCGTGTCAAGTGTTTAATTCAGGGCAAGATCTTTTGGGGAAACAAGTCAAATGAAGATAGACCCCATTTATATTTTGGATCCCTAACACATGTTTAAATATGTAAATTCAAATGTCTCCGAAATTGGAACAAACAAGACTGTCAGCAAGCAAAAATTGTTTCCATGGCAAAGGCAAAGTTCACTATAGAGAGACATTCGGTCTTAACCAGAAAGTAACTTGAAGCGAAATCAGAGAAGACAGTGGCAAAGTACGCACACTTTAACACTTGAAAGCAGAGTTATATTGAAATTATCCGTTAGATGTAAACAGAGGATATTCTGTGCGTTCTCTTTGTTGCGTACTGGTGTTCTAGTACCTATCTTAGCATTATAGTAAAAACTGGCGTACAAAAAGTGTTATAACAAAAAATTAGGCAATGGTACAGAGCTAAAGACGTAAATGAGGTCTGTTAAGAATAAGAAATAACAGGCGTATGAACGATGAAGAATCAGAGGAGCTGGCATTTTGTATTTCAAAACTGTTGCTAGTATGGAATCTTTTGACAAATTTTGACGATATATTCAACTCTGTGGAAGGTGAGGCTTCATCCAACAGTTACGGAAAATATTCTTGAAAGAAGTGAAAAGGTCTTGGATGAACTTACCAACTGGACGATTCTTACCAAGCAAAACACACAAAATATGTCCCTTTTGGCTCTCAATCATGTACTTGTAGTTAAGTGAGAACCTTAGCAAAAGAAAACGAGTTAAGTTTTTAGCTTGGTTAACCGGGCATTATTGATCAAAAGAAAAGTAAAAAAGATTTATCATCAACTCTCTGGCAGCCTGTTTCCATTCCCAACGCAAACAATGTCACTAAACATCCCAGTTTGCACAAATGTATGTTATTTTGAAAGTGTTAACATTTTATGGAATAGAAACAGCCAGTCTACTTCCTCGATTTTTTCGTTCCTGCTTCTTGCTCCTGTACTTCACCCGTGTGTTCTGTACTGTCATTTGAGGCTCTCTTTTTTCCTCTTCTGCCACTCCCATTGACTGTCTCCTTGACTGCGATCGGTTCAAGATCTAATCCTACTTTCTTTGCTGTTAAGTCAACCCACAGTGCTAGTTCGACCTTATGCGGTGTCCATTCAAACTGATTCTCTGTGAATGAAACATAAAGACTGCTGGGTGAGGGATTTGATTCGAAAGAGAGCTCAGGTAAGACAGGCAAGCTTAGCATTTACATAGTAGTAGAACCTATGGGAAGTAGATACATGTGACAAATGTAGGACCAGAACTACTATTCGCTGGTGGTAGGTGCCAACAACAACTTTCCCAGGCTCAGCCTAGGCCAAATTAGCCAAAGTATTCTCCTATTTGACATGGGTTTATCACTGTGAACATAACCTAGGTCGAGCCTTGTTTTCTCTTTTTGGATATCTTCCTGCCTGAGAAATCGTTCAATACGTCCTTGTGCTTGTAATTTTTAATCAAGCATGCAGCACTTGTTTATTTCCCCCTGGCCCACATTGCTCCTCGGACAGTTGTAACTTAACTAGCTTGGACAAAGTCCTTGTTTTCCGTATCCATGCTAGCTTGTGCAAGACTCAGGTTACAGTTAACCTTGGCCAAACCCGGATAGTTTGCGTAGTGTGGACAGGGCTGATATCTGGTCCATAAAGAAGACTTTTTGGACGAAATTGCTTGCTCTTGTTGGCATAAGAAGATGATTTATAGCTCATGTTTCATTAATGAGATGTTTCATTACAGGAGAATGTGCAGGGGGGCTAGGGGGGCATTGGCCCTCATTTTTTGCTAAAAATGCACAATATTAAGAGAAGAACCATCAGTAAAGCCTCTTTTTATTCGATTTAAGCCACCTCCATATCTTCAGAACTCCCCCTTTTCTCAACGCTCCGCAGAGCTTGGCCTTGTCCTTTGCAAACTTAGTTGCCTTAGATAAATCTTCCCTTACTTTCTTGGAATTGACCCGTTATTGCTTTATTGACACCTATCATAGTGTTGCCCCTCTACAAGCCCCCTTATCTAGCATCAAGCACTGAATAAGCCAGTTTTTGTTATGATTATGAAAGGTTTGTTATGAAAGATTTCAAAATAAAAACAACTGTAGAGAATTGAGTGCAGCCTCGTTTTAATCTTCTGTGTTATTCCTAGTTTTGCTTTTCTTTGCTTTGCTTGTAGCTTTGCGCTCAACATGTGCACACGCTACTGATAAAATAAGCACAATATTTGCAAAACAATGCACAGTCTAGGAAAAAAACAATGCTATTCTCGTTAGTCCAGACAAAGAATTTCAAGTGAAAAAAATCAACGTCTCATTGATTTTTCCAGCATAAAATTTGGTTTTCTTATGCTTTAAGTGTATGAGTTTTCAATATTTTTGTTTGTTTGTTGCCATAATCCTTATTTATTACAAAACAATTTATTCTTTTGTTCGATAGCTTATTCTGAGTTACAGTGAGATGAAGAGGTGGTTTTTTACCCTTGCATCTGAGATACTGGAGTGAAGGGGAAGGTCGTTGGAAGAAAGAAGGAGATTCTAGCGTAATAAGAAGGAAAGGCGTTGGGAGAAAGAAGAAGAAGAAATTCTGACAGTATCTACAAGGAACAATATGCAACATTGAACTCTCGACCGCGAAAAACATTTAGATTGAAATCGTTTGCGTTGGATTGTAAATTGTTTATTGAATTCTTCCTTGTGCTGTGTTTACATTTGATTCGGTCGCTGTTTATTACAACTTATACAGTCCTATTCTTGATCAGACTTTTCAGAATTATACTTTCGAATACTTTTTTAAGCATGTCTAGCCTGCTACCCCAAGGTGGGCAATACTTTTAGAATTCCTTTCCCTTAGCTTGAGATTTGAATCTATGCAGGAAAATTCTCTATAACAGCTAATTGATTACAACTTATTTACGCTTCACCACATTTCTTACATTAGAGCACCGAAATGTAGCTTTATATAACATAATCTGGGAGCTTTTATTTCCTGTTCCTTTTTCATCCAGTTATTGGGGTCACAATAATCTTGCTGTTGTTTAAATATGTTCTAGGTGTCAAATACGTCTTTTCCCTAAAGAAGATAAAGTTTGAATAAGTCCCCATTCTCAAATGAGCCCCCTTCTCAAATGACGAGCATCGAGTTGTGAATCAATAAACCCCCGTACCAACGGTGTTGCGAAGGAACAATCACCCACGTGCACAGCTGGTTCGTGGAAACCAGTGAGCTGAAACACTACTTTAACCAATGGAAAAGCTAGTTCCAGGCCATTTCCGACATTTCGAGCCGTTGGTTTAATATAAATACAAAACAAAGGACTACATCGCGCGTTTATCTTCCAATGTTATAAATATTGGTAGAAACTCGAAGCCCGTGTAAAAATGTCTGATACTAGTGCTACTATTGCCACTAAAGGAAAGAAGATATCAAAGAAAGGAGAGAAGAAGCCTGGACCTGGAAAGAAAGGGGTTCGTGCTGCAGGAGACAAAACAAGGCGTAGAAAACGCAAGGAAAGCTATGGAATCTATATTTACAAGGTCCTGAAGCAAGTGCATCCAGATACTGGTATTTCAAGTAAGGCAATGAGCATTATGAACTCGTTCGTAAATGATATATTCGAGCGCATTGCCCAAGAAGCTTCTAAATTGGCTACATACAACAAGAAGTCGACAATAACATCGAGAGAAGTACAAACAGCAGTAAGGCTATTGCTGCCTGGTGAACTGGCAAAACATGCTGTTAGCGAAGGCACGAAAGCAGTCACCAAGTACACAAGTAGCAAGTAACGGCTCAGGCATACGAACAGTTTATTGACTTAAACTAAGGCTGTGGGTTTTTGGAATGTATCTCAAAATGTGGTATTGAGTACCTGTTGTATAAGAAAAGCAATTTATTTGTATAAAAATTGTTGCTATTGTTAAAACTTGCGCTGGAATAGACTGTAATATGCACGATGTTGAATCAATGTTCATTCCATTACTATCAAATCTTTATGATACGATTGGAGCACAAGATTCTGAACTTATCAGTTTGAAATTCTTTATTAAAAGTTATACACACATTTATTGTTAATTGCAGCTTATATTTGCCTTATTTTTTAATGGATAAAAATGATGTACGAAATTTATAAACGAATTACCTTTTTTGTTGAGAAGCATTGCCTTGTCCGTCAGGATTTTCATAAATTTTTGATAATGAGGAAGGGTGTAGTCAACCTTAAATGATGGAATGGATGACATGGCCTCGTCTGCCATGAAAGCAAACTGCTCTGGGTTTGCTGCACACATTATGGCTGTGAAAGTAAAATCAATACCACTACAAAGACAGTGGAAAACTTGTTTTTTACATCTCTTCTAAGAATTCTATGTCACATAATTTTACATTAAATTGTCACATAATTTTTCAGTACATGTGAAATGTAAAAATGCATGTGAAATGCAACAATTATCAAATAGTTATCAAACTTAACCATAATACTTGTTGCAAAACATGATAAAATTGAAAATTAAATCTGACATTTGAATAGTTATGAAATTTGCCTTAAAGTGTAAATTTTCAGATTCTATGCTGAAAGAAAAAACCCACAACAAACATACTATTTTTGCATATGGCATTTAATCTTTGTATAGACAAAAGCAACTAATATGAAAAATTGAAAATTCTTTTGGAAGCCTGCATTTTTCAAAAAGAATCAGATAATTTCCTGCTGAGGCTCAATTGTTTTGGATAATTTTAGACTATAGTGTTCTTACTGTTGATTTTATTTCAAAAATTGTATTTCTACCACAACATAGCATAATTCTTTCTTAGACCACTGAATCAAAGCTTGCGTGACATTTCTGTAGCCCAGGAGACTAGCAGATAAAATTTTGTTTCATTGCTCTTATTCTGAGGCAAATTGAGCCTCTGGCCATTTAAAAAGAAGAGTATAGCTCTATAGCTTAATTAAAGCAAAAACATGATGAGTTACATTTTAAAATTAAGAGCAAACTTGATTTGATTTAGAGAAGATTCTTACAACTATTACAAAAATGATGTTATTTGATTATTGACCTCATCATAAACCATCTTGGAGTTCGGCACACCATGACTTGTGTTGGGCAAAAGCCACAATAAATACAATGGTAGCCTATATCATCAAGATCTGTAACTTCTTTTGTAGCTCAAACAAGGTCAATTGCTAATCAATAAAATTGAGATTTTATCTTTCTAAAGAAGTTTCAAATCAAAATAATGAAAAGAAATCCTCAATCCACCATGAATTTTTCACTGGTTTGCCACACCTGAGCAACTTGAGCAAGCTTTAGAGCAATAGAATTCAATCGTGACCCAACACAAACATAAAGATGGTATATTAAATTGCAAATACCTGATGCTGTTGCAGGACCCACACCTTTCAGCTTGCTCAGCTCTTTGATTGCAACAGATACATTTCCAGCATTTGAAAATGCCTTCTCAGAAACCAATTTAACATCTTTTTCTGTGTTCTGTTGTATAAGTTCTGTCAATCTTGGTCTGAATTTCCCCCTCTAGGAAGAAAGTTAAGCACCCAGAATAGTTTAGTGAAGATTTTTGAAAAACCTTTCTTTGAACTTTTGCAACTGAGATGCATCTGAAAAAGTTTTGCCATTTTCAGCAGTTGACAAATTTTGAAGAAATTGGATTTTCATGTGATTTAGACCTCAATTGTGTGTACAACAGGCATTATCATTTTTGCAAGGCATTTTTGCATGAAAGATCAAAGATTAGAAGATTCATCGAGGACAGCACCCATTGGAAATTAAGACCAATGATTGAAACAACCAGATTAAACATGAATAAACCATTATGCCATTGTTCAGTAGCAAAACCAGATAAAAACAGGGCAGGGGTGTTTTTCCAAAATGCTAGGAGGGGGCTTTGCCGTAGGCAACTGCTAGAAGCTATACCCATCAGGGACTGCATAAGGGAGGCTTGTCCCCAAAAAATCTCCAAAATATATGTTAAACCATACAAACAATTGTCCTCTTTGTTTTTAGCATGTTTAGCCCCCTAAAACGTGTTTGCCCCCTGAATCTATAATATGCTCCATGGTCCTTGGCGTCCATGGCTACAACTGTAACTACAGCTTGAACAGCTTCCCTAGAAAAAGTACAAATAATACCATTAGCTTCCATTTCATCAACTTTGTTATTTCATCTTTAGTTATGTGTCTTGGACATCTGGCTGCTATTGCATCAGGTAAATCTGTTTGAAACCTAATAAAAGAAACACACACCTAATTGACATCTTTAATCAAACAAAATGGTTCAGTCAGTTGTTAGATTTGGATTTGCTTATTAACATTGCATATTCAATTTTGCATTAAACATACAGCAAATAGTTTCCTCTAGGTTACATCATTATAGCTTTTCCTATTGCCAAACCTTTAGCTGAGCTTAGAAAAGAGTGTTTTTTACCTTCCTACAAGACTGAGATGTTTTCTAACAAAGCAGTATAGCACCAAAGCCTTGTAGATTTTGCCATTTTTCAACAGTTCTTGGGTTACAAAACTGCTGCCGCTTAATCTGTGTTATGAATTCTTTGCTGTGTTTTTCATGAACAGTTATTTGCCTTTTCTCTTTGCAAATACATTATTCTAAAGACGGCATGGATTCTAGGAGCTTAGCCTCAAATTGTTTAGCACTTTCACATATTCAAGCCATGGGGGTAGGACTTTGACATTGGGGGGGGGGGGAGTGGCAACATTTTTTTACCAACATATAGAAATGACTATAACAAAAATAACGTACAACCAAACACAGTCATGGGAGAGAGGGTTAAGAGGCAACATGTGCACATTTTCAAACTTTGTATGCTCTAGAATATTGCAGCGCCGCAGGCCCGCCCCTCCTGCCACCCACTTGATGAAGTTATTCATACTTGGCATCAATATGCCTGTAAAATCCGGACACCTTCTTAACAGATTTATTCTCATGAATGTGTGTAGAAATCAGTAGTCAAGTATCTTCTGTGTGTAAACAGTTCAATTTGTCTAATTCAAGAATTCAGTTTCAGTTCTAACAATTTTATTTATTAATTTTTTTTCATTCTTTGGCAATATGGCTCTACAATGCTGTTCAGGCACACATTTTTGTCGTGTTATTACTGCCAGAGGTGATTTCTAAAAAAATTCACAAGGGGGCTCCATATGCAATTTCACAAGAGAGGGTGTGGTTTCTTATGAAGATACCTATTTTTCAGGGACATAAATATAATTACTAATACTTAAGCAAGTCAAAATGTAAAAAACAACAGTTCGAAAGTCAGTTGTCTTCTATTCAAGTCAAAAAGTCTATTCAAAAACCAGTAAAACTTTTTAAGTTATCATCACAACAAAATTTGAAAACACTTAATAATAAAACAAATAGAACAGACAATTTCTATGCAGGTTATTGAGAGTCATGTGAGCATGAGCTCAAGAGAATTCAAGTCTTCCTCTGTTTAAACAACTCTGCATTTTCTCTTGGGTGCCAATGCTAATCTGTGACTCAAAAGCTATCCAGAATTGATTCTTTTGCATTTGAAAAGTTCGAGGTAGCTTTATTTACAGTAAGACCTGCAATAACCCCCCAGGTGTTTATACTGCAAAAAGATAACTTCCGGTGGGGGCTTATTCAATGCTGAAGGCTTATTTGAAAGCGGGAGCCTCTTTGGTAGCAGCCTAAACTGTTACCAGTGCAAATTTTTTGTACTTTTTGAAAGTACAGCTATGTCCAAAATATACAGCTGTAACAAATTGCAACACAATGGCAACAACTCTAGTCCAAAAACTTCCAAATAGACAAATATAAAAATTTAGATTTAAATGAGACAGGAATTTAAAAAAAAGTAAACACAGTTATATCTTATGAAATTGCTCAATAGGTAAAGCAACAACAGTCCCAATGGGGATTTGTTCTAGTGTGGGGGCTTATTTCAGAAATCATACTTTTGGTGGGGCTTATTCGAGGGAAAGGCTTAGTCAAAGGTGGGGGATTATGTGAGCGACTTTTAAACTGTACCAATCACAGTCAATATGATGATATATGGTATTCTTGTGAAAATAAGTGATGACAACTTGACAAGGTTGTCACTGCTAGAGCCTATCAAGCTGGTGACAGTGTGCTAACAATGTACACTCAAAAGAAAAATAAAATATTAAAAAAGACTTTAGGAATAAGAGAATTATCAACCTGTGTGCACCCTTTGTCTATATCTTTGCAAATAAAGCATTCTAGGAGAACAAGGGGGATATTTTTGAAAGCCAGATCAATGCAGAATTTCCTGAGGGGCTTCGCTCTCTTCACCCCCTAAAAATCACCACTGGTTACTGCCAAATCCAAATTTTTAACAACTCTCCAAAATTATCAAGCCAATTTCAAACTGAGTGTGATGCAAAAATGACATTTTAAGGATACAGTAAACGTTTTTGACATGATATTTGGTTTTCTCTCTCTAGAAGTCAAACAATTAAATGGAATTATATTAAACTATATATCATTCGATGCACAAGAATTTGGTGGTTCCAATAATATCAAAATAATTGGCAAATATCATAAAATGACACTTTCCAGGCAAATTTATTGCTTAAATGAGTGTACCGCCTTCAAAAGCTATTTTGTACCCTTGCATTTGAGATATCAAAATCTGACTTATGTCAGCAGAAAGCGCAGATCCTAAGCTACCAAAGTGTGTCTCAGATTTTTAAAATTCCTCTTCTCCTTGAAACAATACCCTGTCAAAAATTTGCAAACAATTTTTCTTCCCTTCTCATAGCTGTATTTGGCTATAAAAGACGGACCAGACCAAATACAAAAATTTTGAGACACACTTTGCTTACCCGACATCAGTCCTGGCCGTATGCAAATTTTTGAGCCATTTGATTGGTTTTTTGGGTACAAAATAGTTTTTTATACCTGTATGTAGAGGAATTGTAAGTCTGGAGAAAACGGGATTTTACTGATCGCACTTGCAAGGTACACTCGTAAACCAGAGTGTAATCCAGGTCAAGTCACTTTAAGCTTTAAGATCAATAAGCCTGTTTAATAAACAAGGCCATACACTGCAGGCACAGCACAACCATTGGGCTAGCAGGGGCTATAGCCTACCCACTTTTTTGCATTAATAGGCTAGAAAAATTTTTGAAGGTTTACTCTAATTAAACTTTGGATAGTTTACTCCTATGAAGTAGCAGTTCTCATTGACTGGGAACTAGTTTTGTTCTTTTTCTAGGTGTTTCATCTTGTCTAAAGATATGATGTATTTTCTAACTTGGTTAGCTTGGTTTTTTATTACCCTCGAGCTAATTCTTTATATTTCTATGGTTTTTGATATCTTCTCTGAACCAGACTATTTATAAAAATTCAATAGAAATAAGCAAGCATTTTCTAAAAAGGGCGCTTTCCGGCGTTCTAGAGGGCGTGGCCTAAAAAAATTTCGGCCACACCCATTTCAGCACCTCCACTTTTAGAATAGTGCGCGGTCCAAGGTACACTGGATACATGGACGTGCAATACGATATTGTAAGTGAGACATGCGACCACAACCGCAAAACAACGATTATCGGCTAACGGGTCTCAAGAGATTTTCAGGCCTCAATTAAAAAACCTTCGTTTACATATGGGATTTTTTCCATTTTCAAAATTTCTGTTTGTTTCAAATTTAGTATCATTGTGTGCCTTGAAAGTTCGGCTACTTGAATGCGAGGAAATCGAAAAATGGATGTTTTTATCCAGAAAACGTTTACCGTAGCCATACATTAAGGATCAAACGCTTTTGATACTGTACTAAAGTACTATACCATGAATCAAGATCTGAAAGTTCCTTTTTCTTTTTGTCCTCAGCCTTCTTTTTCATAACTGGAGCATATTGATTTAGTCTGCTCCTCCATATGTCACAGTCGTTGCAAGAAAACAACGACATTGTGGTACAATTTTCACTGTTTTCCCTATCAGCTGACGTAAAACGTGTTGACTGTTTTCGCGGGAAAATTCAACATAGAAAAGAGGCGGCAAACATCTCTCAAAAAGAGGCTATTGTGCAATGCTAAACACGAGGGTGTAAACACAGAGTTAGAGAAAGAAACTAAAGGTTAAAGGGGCACCAAGCACTGATCTTCAGGTAGGAAGACAGCTAAATTTGCAAATTGTAGTTGAATTAGCATGACATCACCGTACTTTAGTTCAAGGCCAGCAAGAAGTGCTGCAGCAAAAGCAGCAAGAGCTCTTTCTGGCTTGGGTAAGTGTTCTTTGTTGTTGGAGAATCCTTTTTGCCAATAATGGTTGTTTATAAATCAAATGCTGGCCCAAGCAAAAGCAGCCAAGCAAATCCATCCACCTTTTTGCCAATCCTTATTCTTTTTTATGCCAAATATCTTTCGGGTAACTCACATGAATTCCATTCAGATCCAGGGAGACACATGTAGTGGCCATTGTCTTACTGTAATCATGTCTTCAATTTTATTACTGTGTTTAGCACCTGCCATGGTCTATGTACCCACAGTAACGTAATCAACAACACTTTTGTAGCCAGGGCCGTCGCGAGACAAGCCTTGTTGGGGGGGGGTGTGGGCTACAAATCTACCTGATTAAAAAATAATTACCTGAAATTCTTGAGTTCCCGTCACAAACCTCTGCAATTCATTTTATCAATCTAACTGTGTGGTTTATAATTCACAACATTCATTTTAAAATGACAATAACAGACTTTCCTAATAGTTTTTGCCAAATCTGTATACTGGGACGGACACCATGGTTGCTGCCGAAGGAGCAGAAAATTTTCGAGTTCCCTGGAAAATGCACTCTTTTAAGTAAATTTTACTAAAGCAATCCTCCTAATCCTACCAAAAATTCTTTTATTTTTGCAAACAAATTGAACAGCAGATAAAAACAACTGGTACAATTTTGCAGTGGTCTTGAAAAATTTCATGTTGTCAGTTACTTCTAAAGCTAGGTAACAAGCAGCACTGGTTGCCAATTTAGATTCCTCTTTCCATCTAAGCATGCCTTTTTAGGGGAAATGGACACAAAACACAATTTTACCTAAAGAGTGCGTCTCTGTTTGTAGCATCCCCTTGTTTTATGTGTTTGGTCCCAGTTTTGTATTTAGTCAGTAAATCCATCAAGACACAACCGCCACGTAACATCATCACTTGTTGGCTCTGTGTTTTCTGCATGTTAAACATTAAAAATTGTTCCTATGTACACTGGCAACTCCACCTCTTAGCCACTGTCCACTAATCCCACGTTGGTGAATGAGGGCATCTGTGTGTTTATGCTATGCATATTAAGATTAATGTGAAATGAAATTTTGCAATGCTCAATTGCTTTTAAAGGCTCTGTTAGAAAAACTGCTGCAAAACCTGCTGCTGAAAGAAAGCAAAAGAAAAGGGAGCATGTTAAAGTTGAATATGATGATGTTCAAGTTAAGGAGGAAGTCTTGCCTGATATTTCATCAGAAGTGTTACAAGTGAATAATGACATAAAAGACAAAGTTGTCAGTCCAGGTAAAAGAAGAAATAGCTCCCCAAAGAAATCAGACCTTAAGAAAGAGAAACTGGATGAAGATACTTGGGAACCTGCTAACTGGAGAGAATTATTAAAGAATATCAAGCTAATGAGAGAAGATGAGACTGCCCCTGTTGATTCTCAAGGCTGTGAAAGAACAGCAGATGAGTCTGAATCCCCCCAGGTAAGACCAATTTCTTCAGTTAAAAAGATCAATTGATGACAAGTGTTGCAAGTATTTAAGCAACACTTCTGTTTGTTAATTTGCTGAATTCTAGACAGTTGTGTTTCTGCTCTCTATTAGATCAATCTTCAAGTCTTATACTAATACCAAAGATTGTCAGAACACTAACATTGTTATTAAAGGCAATTGTGGAATATTCTGGTTTTCAATATTTCTCATTAAAGATTTTATTTGCTAGGAAATTTAAATCATTTGGGGTTGTGTGAGTTGCTCATTCAAATTCCTGCAGCTCTATTCCTTTTCAATTATGTTCGTTGAAGTTCCCAACATCTTCCTGTGTTTGCTTTCAGATAGTTCGTTATCAAATTCTTGTTTCACTGATGCTGTCAGCTCAGACAAAGGATCAGGTAACTTTTGCAGCAATGGAAAGACTTAAAGAGCATGGACTAACAATTCCAAACATTATCAATACAAAAGAAGACAAGGTTGGCCAGCTGATATACCCTGTGGGGTTTTGGAAGGTGGATAGTTTTTCATGATGAAATATTTGAATGTTATATGAATAAATATTTTCCCCAGGGCCTCTATGTCTAAGGGTCTATAAAGTAATGAAATCCATTATATGAATGTTATATGAATGGAGTTAAGCAATTGTAACAAGTGTATGCCTTAAAAATAGAAAAACGTTTTGAACAATTGCAAAAACCGACTGCAAAAGTATTCTGAGAGGTATTTTATGGTAACCTAAAGGACATAGTCCTAAAACGTTTCTGCTTACTTTGCTGTGAAGAGGCCCCTGTCTTTGGGTTTTGCTCCATGGCCTCCAAATCCTCTCATTGGCCCTGTTGGCAGATAAATAACAGGACAATACGTATGATAACAAACTGCAGCATAAGCAGCATAAGAACAACTATAATCAAACTACTGTCATTGTAAGATATGTGTATGGGAAGATAGTTGTAAGGTGTTTTTGTGTTCATTGCTTGTTTTGTCAATGTTAATTTTATAAGCTATCGTTGTTGCAATTGTTTTCATGACAATGAATTCTTTTTGCTAGAGAAAAGCTATCTTCATCAAACAAGCAACTGAAATTTGCAGGGATAAATATGATGGAGATATTCCAGATACACTTGAAGGCCTATTAGCTTTACCTGGTGTTGGACCTAAAATGGGACATATTTGCATGCATGCTGCATGGAACAAGATGACTGGTATCGGTGTGGATACACATGTGCATAGAATCAGTAATCGCCTAGGCTGGGTGAAGAAGCCAACAAAAACCCCAGAAGATACTAGAAAAGCTTTGGAGGCATGGCTACCAAGGCTAGTACTTTTTAAAAATTGTTTTCTTTAAGACACAGGACTATGGAGCAGATCTAGGGGGCTTGAAGGTTCTGTAGTTTTGTGGTGGCTAAACATGCTAATATCCAAGAGCAAGGCAAATAATTGTATAGTTTTGAAAAGGTTATTAAAAATTTTGAAAATATGACTGCTGCTTTGATTCTAGTTTGAGGCAATTAAATTTCATCTCTTTGCTAATACTGCAAGAATGATTTCTTAATTGAAAGGAATTTAATTTACATTTCAATGTTCTATAGTTGCCTTAGCTGATGCCATCAAGCTTCCACTACAACAGCCAGTAACAACAATGCTAAAATATACTTTATAATACTAACCACCTTTTCAACAAAATTCTCGCCAGGTGACTTAAAAAGAGAACACCCCAAAATGGGCATTCCACTTAGCAATACCACTATTTTCCAAGAGAGATATGGAAACTTTCAGCTATACGTCTTCTCTCTCTCTCTTTCAGTTGAAAGAAATTTTCTCTTATTCATACAAGATGTTTTTCAGTGCAAGATATTTTTCAATGCTCAAACACAGGATGGGAAGGGTTATCCTGTGTAATTTTCTCTAACAAAAGAAATCACACAAAAAAATCTAAAAAATTGGAAAGCAAAATCTGCACGATTTTGTTGTGAAGTTTTTACAATTGTTTTGCATTTCATTTACAGTTAGATATTCTCCCAGCTTTTTAATGGTAAAAGAGCACTTAATACTAAAACAGATTAAAAATTCACACTCCTAGATGCTTTTATTTAGCTTCTGACTACATGTTAACGCAAGGAGAAAAGCAGAAAGTTAAGGTCATGGCACTGCAAAATAATCGGTTGTACAGTTCTACAGAGATTTCATTTTCATACCTAGATGTTAGCTCCTTTTTCTAAATTACCAGGTAAGTCATTGACATCCACTACCATTAAGAATGAGCTAGAAAGGCCATGATTTACTTAGATGCCACGATTTACATTTTTCTAGGAGTCTTAGATTTTCAGAGGAAACCATTTTTATTAACTGTACAATGGTGATGCGAGAAATGAGATTTGGCCCACCCAATTTTAATCATGGAGTTGTAAAAATCAGCCTTCCCCACTCAACTAAGGATCTTAATCTTCCTATCTTTATTCTGCAGAGAGGAGTGGGAAATAATAAACATTCTGCTGGTTGGTTTTGGCCAGCAAACCTGTCTGCCTGTTGGTCCAAGATGCACAGGTTGCCTTAACAACAAAATCTGTCCTTATGGTAAGTCGGCCATGAGTGGAAGAAAACCAAAGAAACAAGAGTGAAGGAATGGAGATACGGTAAATACTATGGTTTAGAACCCTCTTATTGTTACCATTTTAATGGAAAATTGTTCTAAGGCTCTCTTTCATCTCAAGTGAAATCTTTAAACCAAGACTAGAAGTCTTTTCAACGGATAATAAACTCAGTGGCTGTGAGCAACCGAAGACTAAATCGCAATTACTTGGGCTCTTAATACACACCCTTGAGAAGTTTTCACATGCACCGTGGAACACTGTGATTGTTTAAATCTCATTTCAAAGCAGCTGTTTTTTTTCAAAGAAGATGATTAATGCAATGTCGCTAAATCAAGTACTTATAAAGCAATCAAATAAAAACATTGGATTGTTTTTAGGTCGAATGTAGAAGGTTTTAGATTTTAATGTATTTCTGTAATGTATCGAGTTTTGTTTAATGTAATCATGTATATAGCAAATATTCTAGCCAGATCGTCTGTATATAAACCTGAATTATTGTGTTTGATAGCAACCCAGTTCCTTTGACGATGTTCTTTTTAGAAAAGCAATATTTTTATTCGCAATAGGACAAAATGTATTTAAATCGCAATCTTGTCACTAAACGACTTTCTTTCTGATTTTCTTGTGATTAACAAGTAATTTCAGACAATTTTGAGCTCGTATTTTTAGACTCTTGATGTCGAATTTCAGACTATTTTTTCAAACTCATGTTTTACATTGAACCAAAATTCTGACCTCCTCCCTATGTCACTGCGTGGATCCCTTGTATTAAAGACTCGATTGATTAAAAGCAACGTCACAGGACCCCTTTGTGTTGGTTTTTTAATTGCTTTATCAAACCTGACTATATTATGAATGACACAGCAAAACAGAAACAGCTTACCAGCATTCTCAAAATAGGGTTTGCTTTTCCAATCAATGGCTTGAGCAGTATTGTTTTTGACCGTTAATAAAAGAGCTTTGATTTTGCAATGAATTTGTTTATCGCAAACACAGAATGATAGAATAATTATATGTTTAGGTATATGAATGAAAACATTGCAATATAAGCCTGCAAGCACGAAGCTGTTGCTACTAGTTACTCGGGTTTTTACTTTTTTATGGAGTATTTTGAAAGGTTGCCTTGTGTAAAATCAAATGTAAAATTAACTTGGTTACAAAATGTTTAGTTACTCTAGCGAGCAGTCCGGTTAATACAAGACTTGCCTTCAACACAATAAAGAATAGTGACATTTTTTGTTGAATATAATGTACAGCGTCCCGTCTCGTTTTTATTAGTCCTTGTTCATTCTTTTATTATTGTATTTGTGTAACTAATTGTTTTTTAAAAGGTTCTAATATTTTTATGTTAAACATTTAAAGGATGTTTTGTTGAGTTTGCTAGCACTGTAAAACACTCAGTATGTTTTGTTGAATTTATGAAAATTGTAAATGACTTTGTTTTTGTTTCTGTTTTTCTGATACCTTGGATCTTACACAATTTTAGGCCAAATTATATGTAATTTTATGCTAAAAGGCGAATAGAATCATCTAGAAGTATTTGTGTGACTGAATTCAGGTTTGATTAACAAGAGTAATAAAATGTGGTCAGAGTTTTGCGCAGAAGTATGCGTTGAATCACTTGAGATACAAGCTTCTATTTTAAAACGTAATCTTTTAAAGTGAATTTTGACTACTTTGCATCGGAAAATACTCTCCGATGGTCTATCTTACCGTCGATAAATGTTTAAGATGGGGTCATTAAATTCTGGACGAGGATAACGAAATAGGTTCTGTTACGAGGTTGCTATATTGTCGTATGAGGCTGTCTATTTATCTTCGCCTGCTTCTAACAGCATCTCAGAGGTTAAGATCATTGTAGACGTTACAGTGTGTCTCAAGATGTGTTTTACTGGCACAGTCCAGAACAAGTTGCATTTATGCAAAGTATAATTTATAACTACATTTATGTAAATTATTATTTCTTATAACAACAACATAATTTGCGTAAAATATGCAACGAAAAGACGTAAATAAATAGATGTTAACCCTGTCTTAATTCTTCAATCTTTTCTTTTAATCGGCTGCCCTCACACGGGGCACCAATGTAAAGCCGTAGCGTAGCATGTACGTTTCGCCAATATTTTAAGGCCTGACAATAATTAGACTAAGTTTTCTACGACAATAATTAGACCACCGACAGTAAAGCAGTGAAGTTGATTACCCTATCAACAGATCTAAAATTCTAGCTGCCTAATAAACAAATATACCTATATTTTAACTGACGAGGCAATCACTGTTTGGCTATGTAATTTTACTTTTTTTGGCTATGCAATTCCGTGTGATTCTGTCCCTCAATGAAAACCCGGCCATAGAAAAGCCTGTCGGCTTAGTTTAAACAGGCATTCTCTCCATATTGTTGAAAAACAACAATTTACGGGGTTTTTCATAATCAAAAATTCCCAATAAGATTTAGATTGTTAAGAGGTCGGTTTTTATTAATCAGTTTTGTAAATAAGTTTTGGGTTTATTCTTTGGGAGGATCCTTCGGTAAATGAAAACATGCACGTGTGCTGAAGGGCTACAAATCCCAAAGATGAGCTGAAGGGGGTAACATTTTAGTCATTTGAAATGAGCACCTATATAGGAATGCATTTGTATGCTCTTTGTATGAATATGGTATTTCTCTCTCGAGAAAAGGTTTCTCGAAATGTGTAAAGAAACGTAACAGGTAACTATTATGTAGAATGCTTATTTGTGAAAGTCTATTATAGATTTTGGAAATGTTTGAATCCCAGTAAGTAAAAGACTTGAAAGAATTGTAAACTGTCTCTTCCCGCGTTCATCGTAAATATTGCAGCCTCGTTCGTATGACCCCAAGCGAAAAATATGCCCTCGTGTTGTTGTGTACGAAGGTTGACAACAGGATGGAAATAGGCTTTGCTGGAAAAAAAGCGTTGGTTACGGGGGCAGGGAAAGGTACGACTCTTTTCTTGGTTGATTTCTAATTTGAATAAGCTATCCTCGTGTATAGCTCTTGGTTATCCTATTACCCAAAATACAAGCCCAATCTATCATAAAGAGAGGCCCATATTGTCTTAAACCCCCACCCCACCCCTGTAGCCAACTAGGCCTTTAAGCGTAGCGAGATACTTCTCGTTTTGGATGAGGTTGTAAATGCTTCAGTAGCAGGGCATTTGAAATATGATTAACACGTTCTAATATTTAGTTTATAACTGTCATTTTATTTTGATTTTATGTGTAGACATCTTATTGGGCTGACTTTCATCATATTATCAAATTGGGCTGACTTTTGGCTACAAGTTTTAAGAAGTTTTTTCATATACAACCAGGCTGGAAAACTTGATGCATTGAAAGAGGGCAAAGCCCCGAGTAAAATTAAAATACAATTACAAACAAATTGGAATAACGATTAAAAAAGTGAAAAATGCTCAATTTGGTGAGGGGAGCCACTGCCCACTTGCTCGAAGCTACACTTGACTTCTTTTGCTCACACCTGTTCAAAGATATCAATGAAGTGATATGTATTACTCTATAGGAGAGAAAAGGGATTACATACAATCTCTATTATGTGACAAAGTTATTTGTGGGCATCATTGCTTGTAGCTAAAATTTTTCCACTGACAGGTTGCAGCTGATAATGTGATGTTGGTCACAAAGAAGCATTGCAAAATCATCATTCTTTTTTTCTAACATGTATCAGGCAATACATTTCCCAGGACAGGACAGGTTTGATAATTAAAAAAGGCTGGTGTAAAGGACACGAGGCATGAAGGACATTGCTTCCCTCTGACCCCTCTCTAGTGTCCCTGTACATTTTTCTATAGTTAGTTAAGAAAGAACAGTTTTTAAAGACATCTTTAGTAATACTAAGCACTTAAGTCTGACAAACACTAAAATACTTTTTCAACCTCTAGGAATTGGAAGGGAGATATGCAAAGCACTTGTAAAAGGTGGTGCAGAAGTTTATGCTGTCAGCAGAACCCAGTCAGATTTGGACAGTCTTGTAACTGAGGTACATAATTTGCATTTTTTGTGCTAAACTACAGCTCTACTTCCCTGAATGCTCATAAAATTCAAGAAGTGAAGGACCAGTTTAGGTCTAGTCCAGCTAGGGGCAGGAAACTAAAATGATTCTTGGGACAAAAAATTGAGTTTTAAGGGAATGTCAGAAATTGGTTTAAAGGGTGTGACTTTGAGCACTATGGGCTGCCAGTTCCTGAAACTTTAGGGTCTGGGAGACAGTGAAGTCAATTTAATGAGATCTAGGAACGAGCCCTGGGAGCTTGTATGATTTTATCCTTATGATGGTGAGATTTCTTTCTAGAAGGCAACTTACAAGGTTTGTCCATGTAAAAAGGAAAATTATGCCAAAGTTAAGGTTATGGCACACCCAACTTTCTGCTGTCTCTTTAGATGGCTTGATATCTCTGTAGTCTACCATTGTCCCCAAATGATGTCACTTGGAATCAAGTTTTTGCTTTTAAATTTAGATTTCCTGTTTTCAGACATTATTGTACTATAACTGAATTTTGTAATTAATCTCTATTCTTGAATTACTTTACTGCTGCTACTTCCATTACTTGGTTACATTTTGCTCTCTGCCTTTAGGTGCCAGGAATTCATCCAATATGCCTTGATCTACAAGATATTGATGCTTGTGTAGGAGCCGTCAGCAAGTTACAAGGAATTCAACTGCTAGTTAACAATGCAGGCTTTGTAGTCTTGGAATCCTTTCTTGATGTCACAAAGGAAGCATATGATCAGTAAGTTTACCAAAAACAGATCAAAATAATTATATGCACCACTATCAAGGCAAGCAGCTTCAGCATTTCAATGGAAAAGAGAATTAAAACTATCAGCCTTGACTACTTGTTATTTGGCTTACAGAAATACAGTTACTGTTAGATAAAGAAATAATATGGAGTTAGTTTCAGCACTAGTCTTGGTTTTTACTATCAAGTAGAGATACCATTTTTTAATTTTGTTTTGTATATTGTTACCTCAAACACCTTTGTTCTTCTTTTTTCCCCTCTATCAATTCTATGTTTTTCTGTTTTTAGGATAATGGATATAAATGTTAAGGCAGTTCTTTTCCTGTCTCAGGTAAGCTTTACTCCCTATTTTTGTTAGAGCATTTATTAAATATTAAGTTTGAAATCTCAAAATGTTTTATCAAGCAACCTGACATACAAAAGATTACTCCTTACTTTGATTTATACAAATGTTGTGAAAATGCAGATTTTTTTAAAAATCTACAAGATGGATAATCATCCTATTTGCTCTTTTTAAGTATTTGCTAATGTTATAATTTCTTAACTTTCAAAAAAACTTTTTTCAGGCTGTTGCTAAAAATATGATTGCATCTGAACTTGGAGGGTCTATTGTAAATATCTCAAGCCAAGCCTCAAAGGTAGCGCTGAAAGATCACACTGTTTACTGTAAGTATCTTTGAAGAATTAACAAGTTATGGTTGATAATTTGGCTTCATAAGTTCAATGTTTCCTTCTAGCTCTGTTGTTCCTTCTTTCATAAACATGATCACTTTAAATATGACCCTAATTTTCATGTTTAGATTCACACAGGAGTGGAATGTCAGTATGAACAATTTATTTTCAAATTAATCAAGCTTCAAACAATCCAGCCCTTTCAAAAATGATTCAAGATACTATTTTATTTCAGATTGTTTTGCTTTCTGCAGACCTTCTAAAATTTGAAGTGAAATATAACTTTTGAAGTTCAAGCAGCCTAATCTGGTCTTTTTTGCAAAGGTGCGTCAAAAGGTGCCTTAGATCAGCTTACAAGGTCAATGGCTCAAGAACTTGGACCATATAATGTGAGTTTGTTTCTAGATTCTAAGGAGAAGGACCTAAAATCATAATTAATTGTATGGCAGGGTGACTTGGTACACAAAGAATGTAAACATGACAATTTTTTCAAGTTTATCTCTTCACCAGGCTTATTTTTTATCTGGGTACTTGGAAGCATAAATTCAGTTTATGAAAATAACTGCTACCAGTCAGTCTTAAAATGCTCGAGACGTAATAAGCAAAGCTGTGTACCCTAATAAAGATCCATCATGTAAGGTTGCTTCTCTGAGTTTCCAGTTTTGAAACTTGGAGTTAGTAACATAGAACGTTCCTGTATTAACTATTATTGCTTGAATATCTCTCCAATGGTAGAGATGCTAATTTCCTATGTCAGGTGCCTAGGGCAGGCGGATGAATTAACCTCTATCCTTACCCATCATTCGATTGATTTTTATTGTTTTAGATTCGAACAAATGCTTTAAATCCAACTGTTGTTTGGACTGAAATGGGGAAGAAAGCATGGTCTGATCCACAGAAAAGTGCAAGCATGCTCAGCAAGATTCCACTGGGGCGTTTCGCAGGTTTGTCTGTTTTGAAGTCCATGAACCCAAGCTCTAAGCTGGCTATCACTCTATAAATCATGAATTGAAAATCGATATAATCGAAACTGTTTCCCCAGCAAATATGAAATGAATTGTAGACTAAAAACACAGCGTTCTCTTCAGAAGACATGGATTCCCCTAGAGATGTGTACAGGAACGCCAGAGATTAGGGCATAGGGGGCAAACGCCCCTCTTGCTCTTTGATTGAGTTGCAAGAGGGGCTAAAGTGCTCTTTTTGTAAAAGTGCCTTGTTCTCGGTCTTTTTGTAATTATTAAAGAGATTCATATGAAATTCTGACTGTAGTTCCATTTTTATGACAAAATTTCTCAAAACAATTAGCCTATTTACAAGATGCTTACAGAACATCAAAATGAAATGACAGTTACAAAAGAATACGTAAAAGCTGGGAATTTTGTTCAAATGTCCTTTTACTAAAGCCTGCCCCCTTCGGCTTTGGTCGTTCCGTTGTCCCTGGATGTGTAGCGTCCATGCCCTATCCCAGACTGTGTACGAGAAAAAAAAGAAAACTTCAAAGATTTGATATAAGCTGTTCTGATATAAGCTGGCTATCACTCTGATATAAGCTGGTTGTCACCTAATGTTGTTGCTTTCGATGTTGGATGAAATTTGACAGAGTTAAAAAATGCTGGTTAAGGATGCCTAACAATTACTTTCTTCTGAAATATTGGGTCAATTGCTGGATCGTTTGTTGAATTAACTTAAATGTTTTCTTTTTGAAAGTACGCTCAATCTTGCATCGTTTTAGTGAGCCATTTGAATTTTTGCTTTAATTAAAAAACTCAGCCGGTAAATGTGAATTTTCATTGTCCTGAATCAGTTTTCGTTTCGTAAATGACATCGATATTTGGGGATATTTCATCCTGGAACTGGGTCACACTTCCACACCCTTATGTTGAAGTTTATCAACTTGAAATTTATCTTAGGTCTGCATTTTGTATTTTGGCAAACCAGGGAAAAATGTTTCCTTTCAATGCTAAATGTTTTAAAATGATTAAATTTCTGGGGCTGAAAGCCTCTAAATTGAAGCTCGCTTTGATTTCTCTTCTCAATTTTTTTTCATTACCAAGTAGCAAACATTCACTTGGCTTTGTGTATGAAACCGGGAAAATGTCTCAATTTCATGGTGCTTTTTTATCGCTTCCTTGGTAAACACATACCATAGACATCCATCAAGTCAGTCGTAAGGCTACATCTTCACATTATCGAGAGCGAGTTAGGCCGTTGATGCATCAGTGTAAAGCTCTCAACTTACCATAAGCCTCTTACCGGAAGAAGGAACTGACGTAAGGTACAAAAACCCAAGTTTAATTGATTTCAGGTAGAGAATGTAAAAGAAAAGACTATCTTCTTCTATAACCCGATGCACCAGTCCTACTTAAAAGCGGCAACACTTAGGTCAAGCGATACCCAGGGGTGTGAGAAGCCTTCCCGAAGCCTTAAAAACAGAACTCAAGATATCTGGTTTGTAGCAAAAATGCAAATCGACATGTAAAGAAACAGAATGATGTCTGGAGGGTTGAAGAAGAACAAACTGATGCTTCACAAGCAAGTGTGACCCCCGCAAGGCTAAACTCTGAAATATTCAAAGTTTAATCAAGTGGAAAAAACTATAAACCCACACTCTTTCTGGCATCTTAACTAAAAACCCACTCGGTAACAAAAGACGCATTGTAAAGACAGACTTAAAGAATGAAACGAAAGATTGGGTAAAGCACGTCACAAGAGAACATCGCTTTTAGCAATCAAATCAGTAGCAACTTAAGTGAATTAACTGAAGGGAAAACGCCTATCGTGAATTAAGTTCTGAACATACTTTTGTTTCATTAGGGCAGTGACTTCACCAATGTTACCAACCGTCTTTTTGTCTTCTAGAAATGAAGGATGTTGTCAATGCCACATTGTACCTGCTTAGTGACAAGAGTGACATGATAAATGGCACAACATTGCCCATCGATGGTGGCTTTTTAGCTACGCATTGATATCAACTGTACTGTTGGAGCCAAAAAATTTGTACTGAGGTATAATAATAGAAACATTTTTAATTGTAATGCTCTAAGCTGATTTGATTCAAAACATTTGATTGGGCTTTGCGCTCTTCTTCCTTAGATATAGTGAATCATTTTTAAGCTAAAATTTGTCTTATGTTTTCAAAGAGCTCTTTTTGTCTTTGAAAGAGTTCTTGCATCTAGTGGAACGAGTTAAATACATAATATGCTTGAACTCTGTTTCTGTCAGTGATGTGATGTTGAGTACAGCTGTGGTAGCAGTGGACTTAAAATAAAATCAATGCGAATGCCTCATATAAGATTTAGAACGATTTGATTATTAGTAGGTCTGTGCCAATTTGTAAGAAAACATTTATTCATTAATTGATAAAGACAACTGTTAACTGGTCTGTTGTGTAGTACTCGACATCGAGGCTTGCATAGAGAGAGGCCTAAAGACAGACCTGTACATTTGTGACTGCATCAAGCTTAAAACTTTGAGTTTCAACTTAGAACGGTGCTGTTCTACACATCAATGCCCAAATGAGAACTCGTTAACATTGTACCTCAGAAGAACCCATGGTTGTATCAAAGCAAGCTAGCTTCAAATCTAAATGATAAATGAAAAACAGGACAAAGTGTATTGCCAGGGCAACCCTTTCTACCTCACATCTAGGCCTGTTGCAGAATACATAGTTTATTTAGGGTTGTGAACGAGAGACTGATAGATACATATAAGCATTGTTAACAAAGCATTCAAAAATAAATTACAGAAATTCAAATTTAAAACACTGCTCGTCTCTTTAAAAATTTTACAAATTTTTTAAAAATTTTATTACAAAATAACATAAAATAAATTCATGGTTATTATTTTTCAATATAATGGTGTGTTGCAATGTTGAAGATTACGTTTAGTAATTACAGATATATCTTGCCCATGGAACCGTGTATGTATTGTAATCAGTGGAATAATCCTAAAATGGAATGGATAAATAAGAATCATGAAAAGTTTTTCATAATTAAGGGGGGGGTATCACTCTAAAGGCTGTAAAGGTAAGCAACAACATGAAAGCAATTTGACAGTCTTCGATTGTTCCCTCTTTTCAATTTTTATTTTCTTTGCTAACAGCTTGCCAATAACTGTTCGGGAAGTTCTCTTCAGCTCTATCTGACATCCAAGAATCCATGGCATAGACTTAAATCTATCAGTAAATTATTTTTTTCTGAAGAAATTCATTCATAAAACCTAGTTGCCTGCAAGATGAAAGCTTGTGGAATTTATTCTTGAATTCGCACCGTTTATCGCCAGAATGGGTTCCTTAAGAAATCTACCATGACGTAGGGGAAAAGATAGTCTTCATGAGCTCCTCGAATGAGCCCATTCTAATGGACCCGAGGGTTAGAATACCTCTTCTATAAAGCATCAAACCGAAGAATATACTCTAAATACTCTAAAAAAATAGAAAAAAATACTCTAAATTGATGATGTAATCATTGCTCTCGGCGGTTTTCTCGTCAAGCATCATAAACTAACTGATCCTCATTAAAAGGCAAAAACTAGCATGTTTGGGTAGCAATTCTTTTTTTCAACTTGGGGGGCTAATTCGAGGTTGGGAGGCCTGAAAGAGGGGTTCGGATAGTTTGAAGAATTTGTGGTGAATATTGAGACGTTGTTGTTCTCAATCCAATCTCTTTCAAGAACGACGTTAAGAAATTTATTTTCCGGATTCAATTAAAATGCATTTGACAATAAAGGTGGGAACGTAGCTTGTTAATCAAACTAAATAAATTATATATGTTATGCTGCAATATTAACAGGATAAGTAAAGGCCCTGCCTTAATCAACCAATATACCACTCAGGGCCCGCGCCACTGATCCTAAACTGGAGGGGCCAGCAATGTGAAGAAAGTTTTCCCTTCCCCCTTTAGCCCCAGTTGTGGTAATCATTTTGTTCATGCTTTCTATTTGGGGGATTTGGTTCAATGTATTTGTTGTTATCTAAAGGTTTATCTATATAAAAACTCTAAGTTGATTTAAGTCTTTTATTTTGCGAAAAAATTGGGAGACCATGCCCTCCATGTGGCGCAGGCCCTGATTACAACTTTATATCTTATTTTACAACAGAAGCTTGAAAATAACTTGACTAGCATTAGAAATTAGCTGAGCCTGAAAAACTGGCTAAGTGTCCCGAATAAAGTGTTACAGGCCATTAGAACCTATCTGCGTCTGTATTGCATAAAAATCTATTAAAAGACGCTCTTTGACTCTCAAACAACAAAGTCGGAATTTACTAGACTGAGCTCTCAAGGACTAGCCAAGCACAGAGGTGGCATTTTCCTCTCCAGAATACAATAGCATTCAAAGTTGCTAGTTGGCTAAAGAGGATGCCTAAAAGGATTAAATCTATGAAAATACAAAATCTCAAATAGCCGCGTAATTATCATCATCATCATGGAGATAAGCACTTCTGGGCAATGTCAATGTCTGGTAATCTCCTGTCCCGTTCGCACCTTTCAGCGTCTCGTAAGCATCACTCGCACGCTCTTCTAAACTTGCGTGGTTGTTGTTGCATCCTGTCTCGCCTGGTGCACCAGCCTCCTTTTGATCAGCTAATGAAGCGTAAGGGTCGCTATGATCAGAATTTGCATTGACTGAAGAGGTTTTGTTTTCAGAATCAATCACATCTTCTGCAAAGTAAGAAAAAAGTTACTTATGCCAGGTGTTCGATATCTAAACCACCATATGGCGGGCACTACGTATCATTCAAGATAGCTAATCCAAATTGTGATGCTACTGTTTCTATAAGATATATCCTGTAAACAGCCCTTGAAATGCCTTTTGGACTGACAACATAACACCTCAAATCTGCAAAATTTTAGCTCCACAAATCGCCAAGAAATTTATATCTTCCTGATATCCTGATTTCAATCTCCGCGTATTTTTAGCAAGTAATTTTTGTAAGGAAAAAAGGAATCAGAAAGAAAGGTCTTTAAAAGAGAAGCATGGGGTTATTCCAAGTTCGGATTGTTTTTATTCAATAAACTCATATTGTAAGATTATAACATTTATAAACAAAGCTGGGTCAAAAAATTAAGAATGCTCGACTCGAGGCTCGAATTAAGCCTTGCCAGTAATGTTTTTGCTTTTGCACCCGTACAAACATCGTAAAAGTATCAATTTATTCTCTTTCCTATCCTTGCCGTAACAAAATAAACAGTTTCAGAACTCGAAATTTTGTTTCTTAACAGTGAATAAATTCTTGTCAAAGATAGGCAAGATTGGTATAAATTCTTATGTTCCGTTGTCCGTTCATGCAATATATAAAAAAAAGAAACCCTCCTTACCCTCCGTCTGGTTAACGTCTGGTATGCCAGTAGATGGTTTAGCGTTTCTCTCTAGAGTTAATGCTTCATAGAAGCCAGTTTGTTTAATGGGTTCCTCCTTTTCTTCAAGTGGTTGATAACGATCTTCAGACAGATTGGACGGGACTCTTTCCAAATTATCAAATTTCTTCATATTGTTGATAACATCTTCCGGAGATTCGTATGTACCACCTGGGATTGGACTGCCATCTCTTTCCAGGGTTTGATAAACAGGGCCTAAAATAACAAAATAGCTCAGAGGAAGGGGTTTGGAACTAATCCCACCTACCAGCGCCACAGTCATAAAAGTTCTACCATAGGACTATTATTCGTCTATATTCCCCGAATTGATCTTCACTAGGAGAATCTAGAATCATCCAGTAAAATTACATACTCGGAGACATTCGAAAAGACTATACGTGGCAAGGTTCACTGTATTGTAGTTCACTGTAATGTCTCTTAGTTTATCAGTCAAATCAAGTGAAAAATCAACATTGCGGCAAAACGTTGTGTACTAACATGACATAAACTCAGAATTAGTCTTAGACTCAGCTTAAAATTAGAGTAGCTCATTGAATATTTGACTCCAAATCGTTCTGTTCCACAACTAAGGCAGGTACAGTTCTGCCTATACGACAACGAGCACTATATAACAGACTGGTAAACAGTAATATTTGTGACTTATGAGCAGGGGCGGATCCAGAGCAAATTTGAAGGAGGGGCAGTTCGTAGTGGAGGCGCTGAAAAATTTTCGAAAATTGGTGACGAGTGTACGCTGTATACAACAATTTCGGACCCTAACTACTGACAGAAGGCTTTCTATTCACTTTGTAAGCAAATTATCACAATATTTGTTGTATACTTTGAGGTACTCCTTGAAGTAAATTAACCGATATGTCTCAGAAACTTTTTCACCTGATTCTGATTCTTCATAGGAGGCGCACAATTTCCAAAAAAGGGGCGACAGACTTGCTTTAACTTGGTTAGGGAGGGGCAACTGCCCCTAGTTGCCCCCTTAGATCCGCCACTGCTTATGAGCGATACAAAATTTCATTCTTTTTTTAGAGTATGCTTGATAAAAATTGTTTCATGACTTGCGTACATTCATTGCAAGGCGTCACAAGATTTGCTCTCGGCTTTGAAGAGATATAAAACAATGGTCAAAATAAGACATCAAGAATATAAAAACCTACCTGATGACGTTGAATCAGTAGGTGAAGGCAAGGGCCTGCCTGCCATTGACTTAATCCGACCACGGCTATCAACCGGTGTCAAATAATCGCTACCATCGGCAACGCTGTCGTATGTTTCTTCCTGGAATTTTTGTCCCGGTTGCGTATGACTTAATTCCGGTCTGATAACATTTGGGTCCGTGTTTTTACCGGGTCCAGATGCAATTCTTCTACCAATGACTTGTTTAGGAGCTCTTCCTGGTTGATAAGCTAAATTCCCTTTGATTGAAAATGAAAACAAATGCAACTGGACTGTCTGTATATTTCTTTTTTACAATTAACTAGTAAACATGAACAAATTTCATTTAAATCAGCCTGTCATTCAAATCTCGTGAAATCTCTCGTTGCGAAATTCCAAAAAGCAAAAAAGCCAAAAACATTACGGTATAGTAAAACACTTATCGTTCTTAGACTCTAAGGTATAGTTCGTCGGATAAGGTAGCAGTTTATATCAGCTGCGGATCGAAAGGAATGTGAGTGGAAGACTAGCACATATTTGAATAGGTTCCTATGGTATAGTAAATGCAAGATTGGAAACGTTTCTTATGCAGCCAGGTTTCCCCTTTTTCGTGCTAACTTCTTGTATAAACCGTTTTTTAATTTTAACCTGAAATAAATATGATTAACACTTATCCCAAAACATAAGCAACCCTTCACGCCCTTGACGTTTTTTCAATACGTCAGGGAAGCGACAATAACTTTTCTACCTTACACTACATTCCGCATCATATTGGCCTTACTCTGGGTTCCCATGATATGTAAATATTTGAACGAGGAGACGAACCTATGTCACTGCGGCTGAGTAAATCTCCAACTGTTTCATATGTTTCGTTACCAGAATCAGTTTGGTCTTGCCCCAAATATCCCATCTCATATTTGCCATCGACTGCTTCGTATGATGGTATTACATCCGGCATGGGCCTACCGTTAGCTGTTGAAAATAAATATCAATGATACTGAATTCCCACAATAATATACAAACAGTTCATTCAAATTATGGTTAAATTTGCCTTGTATAAACTTACCAACAGACCTTCTCTCGCTGTATGATAGACCAATAAGAGATTGACAGTTCCCCTTAGTCGATAGGAGGAGGGTACTTTTTATCAACACAAAAGCACATTTTTTCACACGAAAATTATTGTATTAATGCATGAGAATACGCAGAGTTCAGGAAACACCTCAACCTTCCTCCGGTTAAATTTTGCCATATTCGCGTTTCTCAAAATTATCCTCCCATCTTCTGTAGTACAAAATTTAAAAAAGGCTTTGAAAAAAGCAAACATTTTCTAAACATAAAATGTTTTTCGTCTTCCTCAAAACTACTGCATCGTTGAATAGCCTTCCACTAGCTTACAGCCGTGGAACCGTTATGTTTACTGGACTGTGGGCATATGAAAAGCGAACATTGAAGTAGACCAAAATTATAGTAATACGGATTGTTGTCGCGACTTACGTTGGACTGTAAAGCGTGGAGTACTAAGATCGGTTCCTGGCCTACGCATCATGTAGGTATTTCTCGGCATGTCCTGTCCTCTTCCTTTCTCTAACTGAGTCGCTGCTTGTGTGGCTGACTTGTTCGTTCGTCTTCTGCAAAGAAATGACGTCATAAATCAAATCAGTTTTTGATTAAATGTGCTGTGTGCCCACCTGAGAAAAACAATCTGAAATGGCACTATAGTTTGATTCTTCTCATAAAAATTGTAATCAGAAATTTATGAATTTCAACTCCTTGTAAAGAATGGCTCCTTAACGGCGAAAAGCATTTGATACAAAAGTGGTAATTTCATTTCAAATCTACAACCATCGTTTCAATACCATGTTATTTTATGTGGTAATAAGACGAAATAACTGCAGTGCACGTGGGAGCTGCTTCGTGTACCAACCTGTAGCAAAAAACTCCAAGTACGACAGCCACAATGAGAATAGCACCACAGATCCCTCCTACTATCGCGCCAATTGGGGGGTCATCACCTAACAAAAATATGGCATAAGATGATTTGCACAGAATAAGGTAATCCACAAAACATAGTTATTCCCCGCAGTTAGCTGTATTGACATAAGCCAAATTTGGTAAAAGTATAGGTCTAAAAGTCACCCTAGGAATGTAAGTATATGAATTATTTAGAAAAAAAAGCGAACGAAACAATGTTTGTACAAGAGCTGCTAGACAGACATTGAAAACGTCATTATGAATAATACTCGAGATTAGCAATGGTTGTGATTCTCTTGCATATAACCTATTATGTTAGTTTATTGACCGAATGTCTTTCCTAAACATATTACATGATAAAGCGAAATTGAAGCTGTTTGTCCCGAAATCTGAAACGATAATAATGTAATGCTTACGTAAAAAGGATCCCACCACGAGGGGCATTCGAACAAGGCAATAAACGGGTCTTTATGGTATATAGCTGAGAAGGCAAAATAACACCAAAAGTTTCGATGCCTTAGACATTCGCCATTTGAGAATAATTAACAGCCCCTCCCCAAACAATCTCGCTAATGGCATTTGCACCAAAATTCAAAATGACATACCAGCAACTTTTTCGCCTGTTCCACCTGTTGGCAAAGATGAGGTAGCTACGCTAGTCGGTGCGCGCGAAGTTGTGTCATCGGGTTTAGATGTTACTGTTTTGAAGGAGGTTGTGGTTGATGAACCACCCAGAGTTGATGGCGATGTACTGGGTCGTGTTTGTGTGGTTGAGGTTCGCTGCTGAGTTGTGGTTGGTGTTCGTGTCGTAGTAAGCAGCCCTACAACGAGATAGATCTTAAATGAGCAGACTTGGCATTGATAATTTACAATACTGAGCACAGACCAGTATTGTATGACCAGGATTTAGCTGGAGGGCAAAGAAGTGATCGTTTCCATGCTATGAATCCAGTTACCCAAGCTTACTGTTCCATTTCTTCAACGATCCTTATAAACTTCCAGCCGTGCTATAGGAGGAAGCACAGATAATGCAACTCTTTTACGAGAAAACATATTCAAAATTGCAACATCATATAATAAGGAAAAAAAATTGACCACAAAGGGATGCATGTTTGTGTAATTAAAAGAAAATATTTAAATAAAAGAAGTCATTTGGGGAACTCTCGTGCATTACTTTCTCATAAAAAAACTGGAGTGTAGTCCTGAAGTTCTTAAGAAGCGAAATCAAATTATCAGTCTATAAGAATTTCTGAACACAAAACTCTCGTCCTAAAAGTATGATGTATGATAAATAATTTACAAAAAACTTGAATAAATTTACCGGCGCGGTTGACATCAAAACGAATGAAGAAACCACTTTGCTGCAACTGGGAAGTGACAAGAATAAGTGTAACGAAAGGACCTTTCAGCGCAAGCAGCACTGGATTGAATGTGACAGACTTGCAGATTCTGTTGACTCTTACTCCATTTGCAATAGAACCCTGGAACACACTCAGCTGCGTTATATCATCCTTGTCACAACTGGGAGGGTTTACTAAAGACAAATACACTGTCTCTACAGATGGGATCTGTATGAGCCATGAGCTATGTTGCAGTCCATTTGGCGCATTTGATGGCACAAAGGTGACATTACCAGAAGTACCAGACACTCTTTTGCCATGACCTGCAACGAAGTATAAACTACTTATTAGATTTTAAAGTAAAACAGACCAAGTAAAACATCTTATTAGTAAAAAAACTGGTGCAAAACGAACGTGTATTTGCTTCGAAACTGCTGCACAACCGCTGGTGTTGAAAACCTTTAAGTAAAGCAAATATTGTGGTGAATTGGGAAACTATAATAACTGAATTCTCAATAACAACAATTATAACGTTAAATAATTTAAACTCCCTTCATTGGACAAAACAGCTATCGAGTTCATTATGACGCACTGTGACAAGAAAAAAAAGCCTCTGGACTTGGTACCTGAACAAAATCTTGAACAAGAAACAGACTACTCTGCCTCATTAAATGACCCATAAAATTTTTAAGCATGGTTGGCAAAATTATGCAATTTCGAAAAAAAAAGAAATTTTTCTTTTAGCTTTTGGACCAATATTCACACGTTAATAGGAGAAAGATGGCTGTCAACTTAACTGATAAAGTCCTAGGCCCTGTGCCACAACCTGGTCAAATAAAAAGCAAGCTAGATTACTGTTTTGAAAAATCGAGCCTACCTGTCTCAACATATACGTTGATGGTTTGAACGACCGATCCAGCTGCATTGCTATAGAATATTTGATAAATCCCAGTTTGGCTTCTACTTGGTCTTACAAAGTCTAGCTTGTTGTTACTAGTGATTTTGAAGACACCAGTGGCCTCTGTTATTTTCTCCCCATTCGCATACCATTCTGTTCTGTCAGCATTTAAGACAAGGCCATGTGATAGCTGGATGCGGGCAGTAACACTTATGTCTAGGGGAATTGGAACCATAATCTGAGGCTTTCCTAAAATAAATGTATGAATATATTAATTCTTGTAACAAATTATATGAATAATTTAAGATAAATCAGTTTATCAAAATTTCCTGCCAGGAAATTTTTAGCACAAATCCATCGCAGGAAAAAATTGCTGTTTGCCAGGAAACTTTAGCGTGAAATCTCCATTGCTTGATTTTGAAATGAACATTAAATTTATGTTACTTTCTTTCTACGGAACGCTGTTTCCTTGTGATATACATGTATACTGTATAATTTTTGTTCTGCACTAATAACAAAAAAAAAGATTAGCTTTAAAATACAATCGTCTGGTATTATCAGCGTCTGTTATACCAAATTTCCGGCAATTCGGGCATGATTTCCAGCTACTATTCTAATTGAATCAGGCAAGGTAAAACAAAGTTCATTTCCCTTTTACATAAGCCATTCTAGATAAGTAAGGACACTTAAAGACAGCTAGTCTTGTTACGTCAATTGTATTGAAGGTGAACATGCCCCAAAACCTGTGTGGATGTTCCCATTATTATCCATACTTTCCTACTGGCATTCGCATTAATTTTCATCGCTAGCTTAATAAAATGTAAGCGTTTTGGGCTTACATATTTGCCTCTAGCAATACTCCTTATTTAAAATATTAATTTCAACCACTGGAAAATAAAATAGTATTTTTACATGTTGTATGAACTACTAGCTTTGATGATAAAAATGAGCAGCAAACATTAGACCCAGAGCAAGATGTAGGATACATTAATACTTCAATAGTATCTAGTTTGCAAGTACTGATATGAAATTTAATCAAAGTTAATAGATATTTTCAGATTTACTAACTTAAACCTTGAAACAAACTCTGAGTATTGTGCTCAATCACGTTCTCCTTGATGATCTAATACGGTATAAACAAAATGATTCCTGTTCGAATAGCTATGATCAAAAATCGAGGACCAACAATTAGTTCCTCTTTAGTATGAAGGCTTATTTTTAGGACAAATGTGTAAACAAACTCAGCAACTTGAAATATCACTTTCAGTGGCTTGAAACTTTGTTAAAGCTTCGCAGGAAATCTTGAATTTGTTATTTTGCTGCCTGGAAGAAAAATCTTCTTTCAAGCCCTGAGCACCAATACCAAGTGAATTACTAACCTCGAACACTGAGGGAAACATTGTAGCTAACTTGTGCTCTGCTGCCAATTTTCGTAATGCAAGTATAGAGGCCTTCATTTTGTTTTCTTATGTTGTATATCACATGTCTTCCGCTGTATGCAATGTTTTTATACAACCAGCTGACTTCTCTCTTCTCTCTTCAGGAAGATAATCACAGATATTGTTAAAATTCTTTATAGTAAACAATATTAGCTGAATGAATGCTTAGCAATGACGTGGATAAGGTAAATTACAAATGGAAGTTGAGTAGAGGTTAAACCTGAGTAACTGAGACATTGTATTAGACTGGGGAACATAGAGGAAAAACATTGGAAACATAGAATTTCTCAACAATCAGCCATCGCAAGTTGGGAGTTGCCACTCTAGGCATTAATCGAATCATGAGCACTCTACGGAATGTACCCAATCATATGAAATATCATTGCCATCCAATCTTTGAATTAATAACTTTCGAGCAGTTTATTCAAGTTGAAGGTGATGTGCGCCATCTTCAGTTGTTCGATTTTCTTTACTTTACTTGTTTTTATTACAATTGAGCATAAAACAGACGAAAGTGAAAAAGAAAGAATGAAAAAAATGATGTAAGATAACACAGTCAGTCTGGGAAAAAAGTGCAATGCCTTTTTACAAGTGGAATTCGAACAAAGCAAAACGATTAGCCCATTCATGTAAAAAATTTTAGCAACACTTTCAAAGGGTAATTTGCTAGCACAACATCCAGGGCTCAAAAACTAGGAGTATGGGCCTACGATTGTACTGAAAGATGAGGCTATCATGCGTAAAAATATATCAACAATTTCGTATGAAAGGCAACTAACTTTGGAAATCAAAGAGGCTGCTAACACTGCAAAAATTTTTCCCAAGTCTCCTCTATGTAACTGGTTCAGTTGTATCTCTGGTACAAAATTCTTCTTTAGAGTCTAGTTCTTTATTTAATACTCTTATATTCTTTGTCACATCTTGCTGTTTATTTGTATTGATATCATTATTTTGAGAATTAAAAATATGAAACTGAATACTAAAATCCTTTTCAATCTACAATATGGCCTTTCAGTTTACAAGCCTTTTTTGCTTTGCCTTTATTCATATTGTAAGGAACAAAAAACCAATCTGAAGGTGCAGGGAAAGAGGCAAGTAAAATGCAAAATACAATAGGCAATGACCCACTTGCACATCCTTGCAACTCCAATGCATTCAAGCACAACTTTTTGGCCCTCATTGACAACCCTGCTTGCTTCCTGCATTGGGAAAACAACACCAGGATCCTGACAGTTTGGAGAGGGTCCTTCAAAAGTTAAAGGTTAATTTAAGTTAAGGACTGGCAGATGAAGCATTATTAAAGAAAACCAGTATAATGCTAAAACACAAGGATAAACTGTCTAAATCCTCAGGATAGCCAGTTTAATCATCCTTCAAATCCTTCATAAATTAAACATGCTTCGAAAAATCAGGTGGGTTTTACTACCAAAAAAATGAAGTTTAATCATGGGTTGTTAGAAATTCTTTTTGCCAACTACCTTCCATAACTTATAACCTTGCTTTGCCTTGCTACATATTTTAATTTGACAAGAAACAAAATATGTGAAACTATAAAGAATCTATTACCTTTAACTTGCACTGAGATATTGGCAATCGTTTTGTGTCCAGCAGGAAAGGTGAGATGTGTGACAACCAGCTTAAGTTGAGAACTATATTTCTTTGAAATTGATGGGAATAGGAGATCCCCATTCTTTGTTAGATACGCATCCTCCATGTTTACATGGGTTAACATTCCTATTTGTTTATCAAAATACATCCACTCAAATATTGGCTCTGGTAACGCTGTTATAGTTGGTGCCTTTATGAAAAGAGATGCTGTGTCTTTTACTGTATATGATGAATTGTATTCATTTGATACTGAGAAATCTGCAAATAAAATTGCAAAATGATATCTGATGCTTGATTGAAAAGTATGAAGCAAGAGATTAAACAATGATATTGAATTCTTCATCATCAATTATACCTCTAGCTCTAAAACCCCTTTTGGTGTTTTTCTAAGGGTCCTAGACAACTTGTACATCTGTTCCTTGCTTTCTTTTCATAGTTCTCTTTTCGTTTTTTTCTTATTCAAGACCAGGCTTCACTTAAAAAATACCTAATCACAGCAAAGTATTTTGCATCTATAAAACTGTATCTATGTTATAAGTTATTGAAAACTTCTTACATGTATATTTTATTATTGCCTTAAGGAAATCAGGGTGCTTCCTACCATAACACCTTATGATGGAAACATTGCATTGGTTTTAATATGAAATCAGTAAATCACATATATGAAACCACATACAATAAGGCCCAGATTCAATAATGCAGCAGTGCTGAAATTCTTGAGTCTGTGCTAAATATTCTGATAAACTTACATGCAACTCGCAGATGAGCAGGCATGCTGATGATGGCTCCATATTCTTCCATAAAAGCCATGCATTCATACTTTCCTTCGTGCAAAGATTTGTTCACGTTTTCTATAATCAATGTTCTGCCATAATTATAAAACCCATTTTTGGGGTGTATAGATATATATTTTCCATTGAATTTCCAAAAATATATTGGACTTTTGTAGGGATTTACTGAACGAGCTGAACAGTTGAACTCTGTGGTTTCACCAAACATAACTAACACATCTTTCGGCTCTTCTTGGAACACAATATTAGCTGAAAAAACAAGTAAATATATGACTAGCTAATTTTCCCTAGAACAATAACATGACTTTTTTGCTAGGGTCATTTTGCTTCATAAAGACCTGCAACTTTGGAAAAAATAATCTAGAGACTCTACTGCCATTTTACAATGGCATTAATTAGAAGCAACAGAACTATGCCTAAAAGTAGTAAAATGTTTTAAACGACTGCAAGAAAATTAAAGAATTTGAGCTAATCTAAAGGGCATGGTTGCAAAAATTTTCTGCTCCCTTCACTGGAAGGGGGCTTTGTCTTTTGCCTCAGGGCCTACAAAACTTCTTAGCAGCCCTGAGTGGAGGGGGTTAATGTTGCATATAAATGTTTGCTAATTATATGCTGTATTACTACCGATAATGAATGTGAATGTATGTTGATTTTCAATTTTTGCACAAGTCCATAGATTTTGGTGCTGATCAATATAGGAGAAAAATCATATTTCTATGGAGCATGCTTTCAAAAAGACTCGATAACAAAAGTAAACATATTTTCAACCAGTAGAACAGCAAAATCTCTACCCCATGATTTCCTTCTCTAGCATTTACAGTCTTTTACTTTGGTGGATGCCAAGAAAAAAGTGTCAGAATCAGGAAACTAGGGGCAAATGCCCTCAAACTTTCAAAATTTTTGGAAAAGAGCTCATTTTTAAGAAAAATAGTGCCCTTTTTTACTAATGTCCCAGAGACTTTGAAATTCTTCGGGTGCCACTTGGCTAGGAGAATAGGCAAACAAAGCACATGATATGACAACTGAAAGGCCATTTCTTGTATTTTATTAAGGTTCTCAATTTTTTTACTGCAGCTTTATGAGCTATTTTGTGTGTAGGAAACTCTTTGCTAGCTGTATAGTAGGAATATTGCTTCCACAAAATTAGAAATAGACATCAAAGAAGGGACAGGAAGGGTTGCAATGTAAATAGAGAATTAAATAGCATGAGTTAAGAGTGGCAATTATTACTAAATATTTCCTTCACATTTCTTATTGACTTGCTAAAAAGAGGTATTTTGTATACATTTTTGAAGATTGATATTGATAATGACTATCTTCAGATCATTATGATCATTATTATATTCTATTCATTAAAACACCTTAGGTCACTTTAAATACTAAAAAATCAGACGGAGCATTGAATATGATTTAGAAGTTACTTTGAAACAAAAAGACCTGTCATCGTCTAATTTGATTTTGGGAATCCCTTGAGTTGGCATAAAAACGGAAATGAGAAAATAGACCAAAACTCCTTACAATAGTTTTATCATGCTGCGAAGAAATTTTTTAGGTTAGACGGAAACTGAAACTGAAACTCAGTAATGTTTCTCCAACTTTTCCGTTGTTATTAAACAGCACCAAATGAATAAACACATAACATTATGAAAACTTTAGAAATATTTGAAAATTACCTATTTGTCTAATTGTTAACAAAAATTAAACATTCATAGAAGCCCCTGTCTCTCTCTCTTCCGCCGCATTGGTAGCGTCAGGGTGAATTCGATGAAAATTGGAGTAACATGATGTTCTCTCCACGATATTTCAACAGACACCCAAAAGTACACTGAATGACAAAACGCTTCATTTAACCTGAGCAAAATCTCCATTAACGAATATTTCCACCATGTACTATTCAATTTATTGTTTAGATTGTGTACTTTTAAATTCTGCGTGAAAGAAATTTGGTGTAAAGAAAATTTGATGTAAAGAAAATTTGATGAGAGCTCATCAGACAATATTAATTATAATGAAAGAGATACATACCCTCATGACTCAAATGACAAAACAATGAGCATACAATGATTACATTAACCGCCAACTGCAACTTGTCAAGCAACGCTGGCGATATCATGATGATGTGTGAAGATAAATCACAGAGACAAGAAGCGTTATTACATTGTGCTTAAAATGCTATGCACCATTTTCGAATTCGAACGAAATGTCGTTCCTCTCTTTGGCTAGATTACTCATCATAAACTTCCTTTTAATCGTGCTTTCTTTATTTTTAAGTCGAAATTTCTTGATCTCCTGCCAAAAACCCCTACACGGCCAAGCATTTCCTGTTTTCAACCCTCCCTCGTTTCGAAGCTTCGCGGAAGAAGCGCGCTTTGGAGGAGAATTCTGTCTCTCTTTGGTTGAAAGTCTCGATATGATTGTAGCCACGAGAACCAGCAAATGGCGAATATCTAAATAAATATTGTTTTTTAAAAACAATATTTTTTAGAGAAATGTCGTCAACCAAGCAAAAGGAAGAAATGGAAGAGCACGCTTGTGATTTGAGATCTCGAGATCTAGTTGAGCTAACACCATGCCAACTGAAACTGCAGTGTACTCCACTTGATTATGGAAATTCGAAAAGATTTGTAACTGAACTACTTCTAGATCACAACGACCTAGAAGCTATACCTGACAACATTGGTGAATTGACTAGTTTGAAAAAGTTATCCATCATAGGTAACATGCTCCTGACAATCCCAGACAGCGTTGGAATGTTGGTTAATTTGGAAGTTTTGAATTTGAATGAAAATGAAATTTACAGTTTACCAAAGACATTAAAACACTTGAGAAATTTAAGAATTTTTTCTGCAATTTCAAACAACATAAAATCAATCGAAAACGGAGTTTTCAGTGGATTGAAAAGCCTACAGGAGATCTTTCTAGATGAAAATGTACTGACAACGCTACCAAATGACTTTGGGACTTTGGAACATCTAGAGAAATTTGAATGCAGTGAGAATGAAATTTTGATGCTCCCAAATGGTTTTGGAAATTTGAAGAGGCTTCAAGTCTTGAATCTAGACTCAAACAGATTAGAAGAGCTGCCATCAGATTTCTGTGAGATGCCGAGCCTGAAAATCCTCATTTTGTCAAATAACAGTCTGTCTCTTTTACCAAGTACAATGGCATCATCCAAAAGTCTTGAGAAACTTATCCTTAGCAAGAATGATTTGTCTAGTGTTCCAAAATGGTTTGAAGAGTTGGGAAATATCAAAGAACTTGCAATTGAAGACAATGAGATTCTTGAAAAACCCTTATCTGAAAGTTTTTGTAAATCTGCAGCCAAAATTGTTTCTTTGCTGGCTGGGAGAAATTATATTTCAGACCTCCCAGACAACATTGGAACATTAGAAAATTTGAAGCATTTGCATCTTGGGAGCACCATGTTTGAGCTTGAAAGAAGTAACTTCCAAAGTGGCAACTGGCTAAAATCCCTTCCAAAAAGCTTCACACAACTTTTAAATTTAGAGAAGTTACATCTTGATGAAAATCAAATAACAGCACTTCCAAATGATTTTGGCAAGCTAAGACAATTACAGTGGTTAGATCTTGGCCAGAACCAGCTTGAGTATTTACCAGAGTCATTAGATCAACTTGAATCATTAACTTATCTCCAAGTGTCAAAAAACAGATTAAAGTCACTGCCTATGAATATTGGGAACCTGAAACACCTTATTGAACTGCGTCTGGATTCTAATTTGATAGCAATAATACCAGAATCATTTTCAAAGCTAAAAAACCTGCATTCTCTTGACTTATTCAATAACAAGCTAACAGAGTTCCCAAAAGCTATCATCTCTCTAACAAATCTCAAGAGGCTAGATGTTGAGGGAAACAATTTTTCAACTGAAAGTCTTCCAAAAATAATTAAAGAAAATGTGTACCCAGAGAGAGATGCATCATTAAAAGATAACTGGAGAGGTAAAACCAGGGAGGATAAAGTTAAATGTGACATTATTGAAATGTCAGCTACAAATGGTAAAACTGAAGAAGAAGAAGATGAAGAAGAAGAAGACCAGCCTGTTTGTTTCAATGAAACTGCATTGATAAATGCTATGAGAGCTGGGATGTCTCTTTGGAAACACCATGGAGGTTTGAATTAATAATTTTAGTCCTGATTACTCTTCAATTTTTGAAACATTAATTCAGCAACAATTTAAAGCAACATTGTTTTACCAGCTGTTAACAATATATATGTTTTTCAAAAAGGAGTCCCTTGAAAAAAATAAGTTTGTTATATGTCAAGGTTTTTTGTTGACAAAGTATCTTGATAAGCCAGGAATTTATCTAGACAGATTCGACTTTCTCTTAATATTTTGAAAATGCTACTGTCTACCAATTAAAAATCTATGATTTCCAACAAAGCAAGATGCTGACAACATCTTTGTGCCAGTGAATTTATAACATTTACAAATTCTGATGTTTATTGGTTTCTACAATAGCCAATCCATTGATCAAGCTCTAAAAGCCTAAGTCAGAGGATGAAATACACTGTTGCAATTTTCATATTCTAGTGCTCAATGGGTATATATCAGGTTTTCACCCATGTTTTGATGATTAAATGCCCCTTTACTTGTATGTCTTATATAAACTTGGACCACATAAGTCCACTTTGTAAGCAATAAAAGTATCTGTACACAATAGTGTATGTTTGATGCCATTTGAATTAATAGCAACACTATTTATCATTAATTTTTAATTCCTAAGACTTATCAGGTTTTGCATTGGTGTCAAGACAAGCCTGAGTGTTGAATAACGAAGTTTGCTTCGAAAAAAGTTCTGATAGTGCCTGGTTTGCAATTAGGCCAAAAATAAAGCGAGGATTTCCCATTTAATGTTTTGATACTAAATTACTAAGCTTCTATGCACTAGCTTATTGAATTAGAAGCAACATGATAATTCTAAAAGTTGTCCAATCCTTTAAACCATGGGATTGAAGAGTTTTGAAGTGAGCTTAATTGTAAGTAATGCATATTTGAGAATTCCATTATTCTAATCACACTTTTTACTTAGCAGGACCTTTTTTACAATTATGAAGTTATTTTATATATGCTTCAAAAGGTATGTAAGATAGGGTATTATTTTTGTTTATTTACATTCTAACTATAATTTTAGGTTCAGATAAACGAGAAGCTACTTCATCAAATAGGGAACTTCAAGAGAATGTGGAAATGCAAACACAACCACTGGGTCCATCTCAGACAAATATAGCAGACAAACACCAAGTTATAGTTAGTTCAACATGGTTGCCTTTAGAGCCAGAAGAAGACTGGGATGAGGAAATCAGAGATGAAATTTATCAAGATACTCTTGGTACCTATACTGCTAGAAAAGACTTAAGTTCATCATTAATTGATGACTTCCAGAACACAGTCAACAGATACCCACCTTGTATTCAAGCATTCTCACCAGTTGCTTGTTATGACTCATTAGTGTACAAAAAATATAGGAATGCCAAAGAAGGTCTCAAACCTGCAGACCAAGAAGAAGGGCAGTTTGATGATGCTGATGAGTAAAATTTTTTAAGAGTTTTTGTATTCAAAAATGCTTTAAGAATTTTTCAGAAAGATATCACAATTAATTGTTTTATTTGTTTTACATTCTTGCAACACTTTTTGAAATTTGTTCAGACGGGCACACTTATATGATAAAAACTAAGCTAGCAAATTTTTGAAATTGCAAATATGATTTTTACATAATAGCAATATTTTAGAGTACGCTTTGTAGATTGGTCTGTTGTCACAGACTGCATTGACTATGACATGCGTACAGAACAAGTTATGTGTTTAATTAATTTCGTGAATTCTATAAATTTATTTTCCCCAAGCAAGCTAGAAGATAAAAAAATCTTCGCTGGCAGGTTTTAATGTGTTGACCTCAGCGCAGGACACGTCAGACAACAGGAGGGCACATGATGAACTGGAAACCCTGTTTTAGATGACTTTTTTGGCAAATGAGTCCGATTAGTTCTTGTTTTAGCCTTTCCGTTGTAAGCGTTTCAATCGTAAGAGTACATAGCATCTTATCCGCTTGATATCAAATAATGCGTTTTAGTTCTTAAAATTTTTTAAAGTACTTATATTTCTCGCTAAAAATTTAAGTATTGTGTTGTAAGCCTGGTTGAATTGTTGTTGCTAGATGGTAGATTCTAGTTCCAACGTAATAGATTTATCCGTGTTTTGTTACATGTTTGATAATTGACAAGAAAGATACGTCAACATTATCTACGTCATTTTTTTCATTTGCGACTGCGCAGTAAGGTGGACGTGGCTTGCTAGTTTAGTTCCGTCGTTGGAAGAAGAAATGTTACAGATTTCTATAGTTCTACATCTGTAAGTGTGGATGGTTGCAGATACTATAGTTTAACATCTGTAAGTGTGTAAATTGTTTCTAAGTAGTATATTCAAAATGGGAAATTTCATGGTGACAGCGCTGAGGAAACTTTTCGGCAATCAAGAAGTTCGGATTCTCATGGTGGGCCTAGACAATGCAGGCAAAACGACAATACTATACCAGCTACGCCTTCACGAAGTCATTTCGACAGTGCCCACGATTGGTTTTAACGTAGAAACGGTAAATTATAGGAACATATCATTTACTGTTTGGGATATTGGTGGTCAGGACAAGATAAGAAATCTCTGGAGAGTTTATTTGCAAGGTTCTCAGGGATTAATCTTTGTCATCGACAGCAGTGATAAGCAGAGGCTGAATGAAGCCAAAGATGAACTTTACCGATTGTTAGAAGAAGAAGATCTTAAAGGAGCTCATGTGCTCATATTTGCTAATAAACAAGATGTAGTTGGAGCTGCCAGTGTGGCTGACATAAGGGACAAACTTGGGTTGAACAATATTCGAAGCCATAACTGGTTTGTACAGCCTGCGTGTGCATTGAAAGGAGAAGGGTTACACGATGGTCTCGACTGGTTAGCAAATCAGATTCAGGGTGTTAAGAAATAGGATATTAACATTTATAGACATTTACGAGCTAATAATTTATATGCAGCTGTCTTCAGGTACAATCGGAATATGTTGTTATACTACATAAATTTTATCACATGGTTAGCAACAAAGAGGTTTATTCACAACTTCCAAGATTTTTAAAGTAGATAATTTTCCCACTGGAACAGCACTTGACATATAGAAAAAGTAATGCATTCTTATGCTTTTGAGAGAGGACTAGGTGTGTAATGATATCAATTGAAATTGTATCTATAGTTAAAGACAGTTTTCTAATTGTCATTATCAGTCTTCAGGGCTTTGTAGAATCAGGTGTCAATTTTCTCACTGTTTTCACTTTTATAATCTCTAGAAAGACAGAATGTATTGTCAGGTTTTTTGGCCCCAAATATTGCAACGCAGTGGCGGCTTGCAGCGGTACTAGTGGTACCAGTCTAGTACCACTTTATTTTGAAAGCTCGAATTATTTTTTTAGTGTATGATTTTTCTTTTTTTGAGATAATTGAATAAAGGGAAGAGCAGCGGAATACACTATATCTTAATTCTGACCCTCCTATCTTAATTCTTATTGAAAGATTGGCATTGAATAAACCCTTTATGTACACCACGGCACTAGACCTCATTCGTCCAGTACTGCAGAAGTCATTCATCCATTGTCATTTGTGAGTGAAAATGACGTAAAACCGTTTGTCTTTGACAATCCAACAATGAAAAAATCGTTCGCAGTACTAGATTCCGCTTTCTAATGATAAAATGCTGCGAGACCATTTAACCCGTGCAGCTAACAATATCACATGACTTCAAACAAACCTAGGTATTATATGAGAACTTCTGACAAGCCATTAAAAGACAATTTGGCCATATTAGCTATAAATCAAAATTTTCCGGGGACGACGCCCATGCCCCGCCCTTTCTCTAGCTGACTCGCTCTGCTAAAAAAAATTTTTTGCTTTCCTAGTACCATCTTATTTTCGTGCTAGCCGCCACTGTTGCAACGGCTAGTCATAACTGCATATTTTAAATACATGTAATAATTCCTTCAAAGATGCATGCATCATTAACTTGATTTAGTCTTGGCTAGACAAAAGTTCTACAACCAATTAACACAAGCGTGAAGCATCTAAGATCTTGCATTATAGACAGGATTGATTAGTATAGTACATGCTAAGCAGCAGCAATTATTACCAAACAGCCACATTTTGAGAAGAATTTGGACCCAAGTAACTGAGCCACTTTATGCTGTAACTGGTAGTTTTCACCATAGGAATGTTCACCTTTTGTCAAGCATTGTTCTAGTTTATGTTAATTCAAATATTTCACCTCGTTCAGCTCTTGATTTGACCTAATTGTGAATATGAAAGCTTCTTCTAGTTTTTTTATGCAGCCAAAATTCTCTTGCAATGAAAGATTTGAAATCAATCTTAGAATAACTTTTATAAATTCTATTGCATGACAATAACCTAGATAGAAATGATGATAATCAACTGCATAAATTATAAAACTTGCAATAATATTATTGGTCTGCCAAGCTCGTACTCGGCTATGTTCTGCATACAAGACCATGACACACCTATAGCACTATGTTCCAATCTGATGTAAGAATGTAGTTTCATTACTATATCTACGTACCTAGACCCCTTAGATTCATTATCATGATGAATTTCTGAATAAAATATTGTAAACTTTCCTCTAATTAGTAAAAGTAGTGGCATAGAAAGTTAATTTACCTACAGTATAATCCGTTTATAACAAACTTTAAGAGATCGGCAGGTTAAGTACATTATTGTCACTATCTAAAAACCATACTTTCAACTGAATTACTACAGGCTAAACAGTTTGAAGAAGTCTGTAAAGAATTTCTGAAAATCATTTTTCATCCAATAGTTGTTGACTGCAATTTTGCTCAACATCTTCAATGTTTCGTCTGCATTAGACAAATCCAAAAACTCACAAAAAATTCTGTGGAAGTTGGATGGCACTTGATAGGGAACAGTACAACAATATGAAACAATCACACACATGTTCATGGTTTCATTTATTCCTATGACGGAAAGCATCTTGGCACAATAAGTGATGCAACACAATGGGATTTTAACAAAGAAGACACAAAGTTAAGCTGAGGGAATTTGTTTAGAAGAGTGGATGAAGAAGTATGCTTAAACCAAAAGTATGTTATAAACGGGTACATTATAAGTGGGGTACTTTCTTAATGTTTAGTACTGACCTTTTACTGAGTACACCAGTAAGTTATTTTGAAAGTATGTTATAACCAAGTGCATTACAACAGGATTATCCTATACTAAGCAATATCAAGTCCATTATTTGAAATTGCAAATTTAAACCTAAAAGTTGTGCCTAAGAAGGTATAAACAGCTAGACGGAAGAGCAATCACGAGTTTCCAGACAACTGAAAAGCAGTTTCAGTCCATTACACTGGCAGTTTCAGTCCTTAAGCCAAAGTTCTTGTTTAAAAGCTTTAAGTTTATTTAAGATTAGCAACCATTTGAATTTCTAAGCAGGCTACAACTGGAATCCTCCTGCCCCATTTTAACTCGCAAAGGATTTACAACTTTTGAAATCTTGTAAAGTCCCAGGTTTTTATCCTGAATTCCTAAAGACATCAAAAAATTTTGTGAAAAGGTCCTGAATTTCTAAATGAAGAATGTCTATGGATACTGGAAGGCTTGGTGATACTACCTGAAACAAATAAAATGTGCGTTTTATGTATATTTTTTACAATGAACTTTCACTTTGGTGCAATCTGTGGATCAAAAGATTGCAAACCTTTTCTGTTGAGTGTCCACGGGGAGGCAACATTAACGAGACCTTTTCGACCTCGAATTCACCTAAAGCCAAGTAGAATTATGAGGGCAGCGGCAGAATCTGAATTAACAAGAACAAAAATCTTCGAATCTTCAAAAACCTCTAACTAATTTCAAGCATATAATTTGCTTTAAGAGAACCACCATGTTTTGAAGTAAAGAACACCAAAGCGTTTATTATTGATTCATTATTGCATTTGGGATTGGCTGCTGATTATTCATGAAATGTATTGTAGATCGTACAACCCTATAAAGTGTGACGTCATTAAACTCTATTTTTAGAATTTTTAACTTTTGACAATAGACACTATGATCAACCTCTAAATTTGGAAAATCAGTTATACATCTGTTCATAATTAGTTGAGATATAGAAGCTTACAAATGTTTTTCGAAGCTTTCTGAACAAAATTTCAAAGGATCCTGTTTTTCTGGGAATAGGTAATTGAAAGACCAAATTGATTCGTTTCTCAAGTAACATCTTTTTCTTTCCTTGTCAACAGTAATCAAATTTTTAAATTGGCTTAATTAGCGCCGGGTAACCAGGAAGAGTCGTGTCATTCTTGTCGTAAATCATAAAACACCGCCTCTGTGAAAAATCTTAAATACGAAATGAATAGGAGCTGTTCTTTTCAATCAGAATCTGGTTCATTCGAAGAAAATCAGGTATGAAAATTGCCAGTTTGTCAAGATTAAGTGCAATGTAAGGATGCGTGTAAGGATAACCTTTTGTGGTAATACTATGATACTCAATTATAAATGCAGGCACATTCAAAAGGTCTATGACGTTTCTTGCACTGAAATGGGTTAAAATTGACACTAAAAAGCATAAACTTAAGCTTTTTGGACGTAGAAGCATCTTTTTCAATAATTTGCAATTTCAAGTGCATTGTAAACTGATTAATGGACTTGCATATTTTTAATCATTTTGCATAAAAAGTAATCGTGAATGCATCCAGACGCACTAATATGAACTTGTTTATAGGATTTACTGTTTGGTTCACATTCATCAATGAATTTTTCTCAAAGGTGAAATCCTTTAAAAGACAATGAACACCACTCGCAGCTTCTCACAAAGTACCATCATACTCCTGGTGACCCTGTATATCTTCCTGATGGTAACAGTGTCTCTGAGCCATCCAACAAGGCGAGATCAGCGCTACAAGCAATCGATTGGTTTAAGAGTATTACAGGTTGCTATGAGTTTCTTCCTTTTTTCCGTCTACAGTTCGCAGATCTACATTGCTTTTTGTGATTACAGGTTTAATGTTAGCCTATTTTGTTCACAACAGTGTGCAGGGGCGGACTGGCTGGTCGGGCTATTCGGGCGATCGCCCGAAGGGCCGGTCGGTTAAAGGGCCGGTTGATAAAAGTGCAAAAAAATATTTTAGCTTAAAAAGTGAATGCGAGGCAAAAAAGTATACCCACGCGTTAATCTGTTTGCCTTGAATTTTCAGAGACTTTGTGGGAAAGAGTAAATATACACGCGAGTACTCCAAAACCATCAAAATTATGAATTCATTTTTGCACCGCAGCCCAAACACACTTCTTCAGGGAACATGTTATTGACATTTTGTTATATTTTCTCTTGACGGTATTTCCTTTTTGGCGACATATTATACTGTAACATCCCTGTTTCACTGCTCCGATGTCTTTTTACTTAGCTTTTGCCTGAAGCTGGTCATGTTCATCCCTAAGCACAAGCTATTGCTAAATGTAATAAATTTAAAAGTCCAAAAATTAGAGTTCACTAAGCGATTTGCTCTGTGATGTGAAGTAATGAAGAGGACATACGTAGAACAAGGGAAGAGCAAGAAGACTTCAATCAAAGGTGGTGCACAGAAATTTTGCGAGGAAAAGCTGCGAGACTTAAAAAAGGATTCAGCTACGATACAAAGCTTTTTTTATCAAATATCAAGCAAAACAGGGGTATGGTGCTACACGATAAAATTTCAACAGGGGTGCCCGTTTTCTTTTTGGGGTCAGAAATTGACAAATCGATATTTTTGGGCTGCTGAAAATCATTGTGGTTTTCCGGAGGAATAGAAAATTATTTGTCACAAGTTGAGTGTGAAGCTTTTCCACTTTAAATATATAAAGAACAGATTACGTGGTAATTTTTTGCAGCCAAACCTAGAGTCCTTCATGTTAATGTTCTTAGAAAAACACCTGTTAGATGACATCTAGAACGATCACATTATCAACAAATAGGTTATTGTATTTAGAAAGAAAGTCAAACCAATGAGTTAAAATTTTTGTTTATTTATTATTTAGTTAGCAAATGACTTATTGAACATGTTCTGTTAACCAGCATTCATCCATGCACAAAATTACTGAATTTAAAAACTTGTTTTCCTTACAGACTAACATTTACTTGCATTTTCCGAAGAGTTTTTTATTTGCTATTTTTGTGGGCCGGTTTGATCAAAATTTGCCCGGGCCAAAAAAATTAGCCAGTCCGCCCCTGACAGTGTGTACAAATGTAACAACGACAATGGCTAATTTTGTTTAGTGGTGACGCAATAAGAAACATATTGTTTGAAGTTTGGTCTTGTATACAATTTGATAAAAAGTATATTTCCAGACAAGCCAAGGCCTCCTTCCCATCACAGACAAACACTGTAATTTGTTACTTGTTCTAAACAACGAACCAAGGCGAAGCTACAGAAACATGTTAGCAAACTTCAGGCCTTTCGCTGGTATCTCAGTCGGTTTTTAACATAGCTATCTAATTTTTCAAACTGAGTGTTCGTCTATACTTTGATTTGATGGTCCAAATCCTCAGAAAAGATTTTTTATAAAATTAAATTTTTGTACTACCGTTTCTTTTCTAGAACAAACAGTTGAGATTTTTCAACGCTTAATTCATTACTATTAAGTTACACGCTACATGATGTTGAGAATATCTTGAAATGTCACCAACAGCTTGCCTTAAAGAGGGAACTTTCAATTTTTCGGACTATTCTCTCTCCGATACTGAAATATTTTTTTTTAGGCAATGGCCTTTAGTTTTGTATTCCACCTCGAAAAATCTACAGAGAGGAACGTTTTCCTGAAGTCGAAATTTTACACACTTAACTTACCGAGCCTGAGATTTCAGACTCATTGAAATTGAACAAAATTACGAGTCCTACTAAGCGTATGCTTATGGTGGTCCCTTCGACCACTTCGATTATCTTTTACAAAGAAAGATTACATGTTTGTTATATTGAATTCTTTGCAGTTTTAGACCATAAACCGTTCGTAATATATTTTAACATATCTTGTTTATAGAGAACAAAAAGATCGACGACTTGCTGCCAATTTTGTCCTTGCATGACTAACGAAGACTGCCAGCCATGCAATAGAGAATGTCGAGCATACTTTGGAACCTCTTATTGCCTGCAGGATAACCCTGGACTGCCGGTAGACTAAAAACTGTGAAAATGACTGTAATGCGAGAACTGTACGCCAATCGCAGCATAAAGCTTTCAAAGAAACTGCTGTATCTGGTGTAACTATAAATTGGCTTATAAAAGAGGAAGAATATTGATGTGATTTACAT